AGTTTCTTCAACAGTGGATGGGGTTGGCCAATCGCGAATTCCATCGGTCTTGGCAGCATCCATGGCGACACATCCTGGGCGAATAATCATATCAAGATATTCGACCTCCTGCGCATCAAAGGTACATTTTTCCGGTTTCAAAAAGAGTCGTTCTTCGTGAATCTTTGTCAAAATGCAACGAGTATGGGCATGGTGTTCATCAAGGTTATCTGAAAGATGAGGATATCGTCCATATAGATTACCAGCCATCCTTCATTAATCTCCTGTTGGAACGTGCGGTTCATGTAGGCTTGGAACGTGGCTGGGGAGTTGCAAAGTCCAAAGAACATGACATTCGGCTCATAGAGTCCAAATTCGGTAGTGAATGCGGCCTTCCACCTGTCATCAGGGTGAATACGGATGTTGTTATAACCGGATCGAACATCCATCTTGGTAAAATACTTTGCTCCGTGTAGCCGTGCAACGAGGGATAGGGGAAGCGGCAATGGATAAGCATTCTTGACCATCCAATCATTGATGTACCGATAATCTTGACAGGGTCGGAGATCTCCGCTTTTCTTTCCCACAAAGAAGAATTCGCTGGCTTGTGGCGATTTAAATTCCAAAATAAAACCTTTCTTCACGTTTCATCAATGAATGCTTTGACAGCGGTTCGTTCAGTGACGGAGAGAGGATAGATTTTCGACGTATTGGGAATGAATCCGGGCTTCATTTCAATACGGTGGTCAATACTGGGTCGTTCAGGGGGTAGTTGGTTACGACCATCTTTGGTGAAGATGTCGGTGAAATCGTGTAGATAGGATGGTACAAGTTCTTCGAAAGTTTTCTTCTTCTGTTCTAAGCCCACAGCTAGAGCAAACTGCTGAGCTTTGTTACTAACTTTCGCGTATTCCGTGGGCCGTGGCAGGGGTTTAACCGTGGGTTTCTGTTCCGAGTGGCTGGTCCCATCAGAAGTCAAGGGTATGTCCATAGTAGTGTTCGAAATTACCCGGAGTTCAGATGCATCAGAGGAATATTCTACTAGGAATTCGTCATCATCCAGATCATACATAGAGACTTCTCACACTGGTGCGGCAAAGTTCTCTTGTGTCCAGACATCTTCCTTAGTATCAAAGGTTTCATCGTCGTCATCAGGGATGGGGAGTAGATCGGGAATGGGAAGAACGGGTGATGCTTCTTCGTCGATAACTTCTTCGATGGTTGCTTTCGGATAAACGATAGGGGTTTCGATAACTGGTGTTTTCCTAAGTTTGGATTGTTTCCAGGTTCGATCGATGGGTTCTTGTCGAAATAGAAGTGGAAGGTCGTTCTTCTTCCTTTCTTTGTCGACTTCTTCTTCAACTTGATTACTCTTCTCTGTTCGAGAGAGGACGAGGGTTTCGGCTGCCCAGTCAATAACCGGGTTCATAGCCCGTAGCCAGGGAATTCCAAGGAGGATTTGGTCCCTTCTACTGAGGCGTGTCACGTTGAACTTTCCAATCATGGTTCGTTCATCGATTTTGATAGTAAGGACACAGTATCAGCGTATAGCTCCGCTTTTGGAGTAGCTTCCATCGGCGGTAGTAACCCTAAAGGGTTTACTGAGGGTGTGGGTTCAGATCTTGTGCTTCTTGATGAAGTCTGCTGAGATAAAAGTTCCGGCTGCTCCGGAATCGACAACTGCGGTGGTTTCAACGGTTTTCAGACGTGTTTTCAAAATTAGGGAAAGGGGAACCCGAAGTTCTTTTCGTTCACCAACTTTTCATACAAGTCTTATGGGTACATCGAGAGATACTGACGTTGATCCAGTCTCCCATATCAAAAATCCTCATTGAGACGACAGACTTCCGCTTCTTCTTCTTCTTCTTCTTCTTCACTGCTTTATACTTCTTTGCGGCGTATCGGGGTTTTCCCTTTCTTCTTTTCAGGACAGTTCTTGAAAAGATGTCCGGTCTTGTGACAGGTGAAACATTTTCTGGTCCAGAAATGCTCAGCGCGTTCTTCTTCAGAAAGCCGATCAATTACCATGGCGTTGGGATCCTTAGATGGTACGTATCGGTTAGATTCGAAGTTCTTCTTCTTCTGTGGTTGGTGACGTGCTCTGATAGCGTTCAGATGAAAGCGTGAGTTGTCAAGATTGATGCAGGTGGTAAGGATGACTTTGAAGTCGTCAGAGACATCGCCCGTGCCATAGAGGCAAGCGAGCAGCCCTGGATGTAATCCATCTAAGAAGAATTGCTTCTTCGCAACATCACCTTGAATTCCTGCCCTTCGTGTGAGCATCAAGAATTCCAAGATATAATCTTGGAGTTCGGTTCCTTGTTTCAGACTGCGAAGCTTGGCTAATGCGGTTCCCGAGGGATCAAGCGGTTTAAACGCGCTCTTGAAGTCGGCGAGGAATTCGGCCCATGTACCGTATCCTTTGATGAGGCCTACAGTAGTCTTGTTGTTGGGATCTTGCGCTTGTCTGAGGAAGTCTTCCTTCCAGTAGCGCGTGTTTCCTTCATTCATGAAGGAAGTTACAAAAATAATTTTCTGTTTGTCGTCAACATAGATCTTCTCATTGATGTCGAGATAAGACATGCACAACATCAAAAATCCTTCGGATTTATCTCTATCCCCGTCAAAGACTGGGGGAGATCCGATCTTGATTTCAACAGGTTTCGAGGAAGACATTGGGGGGTTCAAAGGTGGTAGGGGTGGTACAGCACCTAAGTTCAAAGCGCCAAAAATTGGTGTTAATGACGTCAGCTTGTTTCAGCTTCTAGGGACCTGGGGTTCTATCTGTCGTGATGACCAGGGTTTGTTCTTTCTGAGCTACAGCGCGTGATGGCGATGTATTCGTGGAAGACTTTAATCTTTTGTTACGAACTAGGATGGTTCTGATGTATGGCTACTCAGTAAGAGTAATCGGCCAAGGTCGGTTCAAGGCTTCGGCATATACCGAAGTTCAATGTTTCACTAAGACAAGACAAGGAGAGTGTCCTTGGCTTGAATCGAGTTTCTGATGACTTAAAATTGGAGGTCTTAAGTGAAGGAAGTTCCAGGTAAAACCTAGTAAGATTAAAGTAAAGAACTACATAGTACAAAGCGAGTTTATATAGTGAAAGGTAACTGCTTTAGGGCCGGTACAACAGAGTCAGAATGAGTCAGAGATAAGAGCGAGTCAGAGATAAGAGCGAGTCAGAGATAAGAGCGAGTCAGAGATAAGAGCGAGTCAGAGATAAGAGTGAGTCAGAGATAACAAGAATAGATCACCTAGCGACGGCATGATAGCGATCGTGGTGTAATACAACTGGTAATAAGAGAAGCGATCATGACGTAATACAACTGGCGATAAGAGAAGCGATCATGACGTAATACAAAGTCAGAAAAGGAAAATGAATAGGGGCGTACTTGACTGTAACACATGGCACAACTCGCACCATCATCCACTATGACTTCCACCATGGAGCACACCACTTCCTGTGAAACACGCCATAGGCACACTACTTTCTCGCACAACATGCAGTATTCCCACGTGCGCGCTTTCTCGCACTTAAGCGCACTGCATCACGCATCATCTCGGAGCATCCATCCATTGTCCGACCAGTCCCTCGGTATGTCCCTTTCATTATCTGACCATATTTGGCATATTACACTTCCTATTTCGTCATGGACCCTTACTTTACATCACTTTACCTCATTTACATACTTAGAGCGCTCCCTATTCGGCTCCAAGCCCTGGGAGAGCGCTTAGGTAGAACTTACATACTCTCATGTTCATTTTACACCCCACTTTTCCAGCTTAGCTTCCTACCACTCAGTATCTTCTACCACCATGTACTTGGCAGTTAGTACCATGCAATGCATGTATCCTTCATTGTCTTGAGGCCCTAGCATCAGTCTATAGCTAGTGGCACTATCAATATCCGTCTAGATCCGTTCTTTTCCTCTTATCAGTCTCAGTATCCATCTTCTACACTTGTGCACCGCTTGCACTACTTTCCCGCACTTTGCACACTTTCGCACTTTGCTTTCCCACACGCGCCTTCAGCGCATTTCTCGCGCTTTCACCACCATTCACCAGGGTTGATCAGCATCATTCTATGGATCCTTGCTTTCCTTGCTTCCCCTTTGGGGTCGAACATTCTTGCATTCTGCGAGTATAGCAGCTAGGCAGAGCTGAGACTCACTTATACTGGCTGAGCACTTTTCTTATATGTGCCTGCCAGGTTGTGATACCCACATCTGGATGCCAGTATCCTCTTCACCATGGCTGCATTTCTGTATTGGTACTGGGGCTGCTCAAACTCTGTATCGGTACTAGGGCTGCTCAAACTTGGACCAACAACTCAGATGAGTAAGCATGATGATCATTAAACTTCCACTGCCAGTGCAACTGCCAACAAGCGCTTAAGTGTACCTCTGTCAGAACATATTATATCAATGATATTAGAATGTATTTTGATCATCGCCAGCTATCGATGTCTCACGACAGGTTGTCTTTCATTCCTTTCCCCAAAGACTATGGTAAGCATGATCCTTCACATTTGAATCTTCCCATCTAATTTATGTATTCAAAGGGACATCTGATTCAGGGGAGATCGTGCAGCTCATCCAGGCAGCACACAGCTACACAATATTGGCTTTCCAAGCCAGGGTATGTCAATCTGTTTGACTTGCTGAAAATTTTGCTTTCCACACCGCACAGAGTTCGAGAAGCCCAAAATGCCAAAGCTCATGCTTGAGTAGCTTTGTGAGTCCATCCCATGCAACTGTACTGTTTGCGCTTACATTTCTTTTAGCAATAGGGCAAGGTAGGAACTCATTTATGTCATGGATGACATTCTCTCAATGGATCTACAGGAAGAAGAAAAAACTTGCCGAAGAGCAACCTCACACATCCACTGTCATTGAATGTACACCATCAGTAGGGCAATTACTTGGACAACTCGCTTGATCAAGATGTTGCTGCCATCGGATCACCCCAATCAGACAACAGCTACGGTCAGTTTGATCATGATGACAGTGTGCTCAGCATGGACAATGATCTGCCATGTGCCTGTCATGGTCATACTCCAACACTGCAAACACTCGAAATTCTTGTTGGAAAATGGCAGAAGGACTGGGGGTCAGAAAATACTACGTGGAATGAGGTATTCGATACTGAACTTGCATGCTCACATGCAAAGGGAGAATGGGCCACCGCTATATTCCTTGATGAAGTTGCACAATGGGCTACAGATGGGAGGACTCTACTGGAAAGTATTCGGGACATCATGTACACACACTGCCCATATTGCAGGGAGTGCCTTAAGTATGATAGCATCTTACTGTATGACTTACTGGTTTCCATCATTTCAGAGGTAAAATTCTTCGAGGTCAAACTAGATATATGTAACTAGTTTTTCATTAATGTACAAGCCCTTTGAGTGCCTGAGCAAATGCAAATGTGCCATGAACCTATAGCCTACAGACATTGAACGTATAGCAAACGTATAGCAAATGTATAGAAAGGATAGTGAACGGATAGTGAACAGATAGCGAACATGTATCTTTGGATGTCTGGCATTGTGAATAATGCCCTATTATGACATTTTGAACAAGCAGGGTGCTTCAATGGTAAGAACTTGACATACATACACGAGCCGAAGCTGAAAGAAAGTGTTATGAGTGTTGTAGAACATTTACAACTACGGCGGTGATTCAAATGGTTGTTCAACTGCACGAAATTGGATGTCACCCTGACACTACTAGCTAGTACTGCAATCAGACAATACACAGTGATCATCTGGGTGCTACACAACACAGTCACCTTATCACAGCAGGAGTAAGGTAGAAAGCATTTATTCAGTCTACTACATGCTACGGCTTGCAATCAAAACTAGATAATCCTATTTAAAGTTGGCTCATGGTCTCTGTCAAGTCCTCAACCTGCGACCACAGGTCATACGAGTCTGAGCTCACAAATGAGCCCACAGATGATGTAGGTGAAGGATGGTTGGAGGATGGCCAGAAAGGGCCACCTGGCAGTGGAACTGCCCGAACCCTGCCTTTGTCATATTTGACCGTATATGCAGTCAGTGCTTGCTGAAATGACGGGTAACGTTTCTGAACATTACCACTAACAAAATTTGTTCGTTCAGCAACGTCGGCCCTAACGACAACATCAACAATTAGCCAACAAGCCAACAGGTACCTGGGCACTTACCAGCAATAGGAACACACCAACTTCCTGGCCAATTGTTATTGCCCAGAATCCCTCAGGTGTCTCACCAGCTCGTGGAGGACAGATTTCGCTAGGCTTTGGAACTGCTGTGACTTGGCAGGGCATCTGGGTGGCTGTTTGCGAAGCCTGAGGCTGAGGGTGGGATGGTGTGGCAGTAGAAGGTCGATAGCTCGGGCGATGCAAACGAGTGGTGGTCGAAGGGAGAATGGATACTGGTTTTTTGGCAGGCGTTGATGTGGACAGTGTGATGGACTCTTTGGTTGTCTCTTTGGTTGTCTTACAGGTCCAAGTGACAGTAGTGATTTAAAGTCCGGTCTGTTCCAGTCTTTTTACCATATTTGGGAGGCAACCGGACCAGACCGGTCTTTTTATTCCCACGATATCAAAAGACCGGACTGGACTGATAAAGACCGGTATTTTCGGTCTTTTGCGGTCCTACAACCGGTTTTAAACCGGTTACAACCGAGACCGGTCCGGTGGCAGTGTACTACTCACTCCTGCAATTCCAACGGTGCTTTATTTGTATTAAACGGTTAAGATTTGAGTGAGATATGAGCATTTTACCAAACTCCACCCCACAAGTGAGTCAAATATGAAATGTCAAAAAAAAAAGTTGTTATAACTTATAAGGCTTAGGTGTCTCAATGCTAACTGTAGCCCTAGTATAGACGAGTATATAGCTGGTCTTGCCTTGTCAATTGATTATTATTTGATCTACATAAAAGCTAAGATATAAGATATCCCATTAATTTGCAGCTTTTTCTTGTGGGTCTCGTAACTTTGTCGGGTCTTGACCGTTTTACATGATCGGACCACCGTTGAAATCGCGCTGACGAGTACTACATGTACATAGCAACCGGTGTAGAGACTCGCGTTTCTCCAGGCTCATATGGGCCAAATTCACGCTTTTTCACGACGCCCTCGATATCCATGCAACGCGCCTTCTAAATCCGAAACGTGCCTCGAATGCGACATATGCACTTTCGCGCTAGCGCGTTTCTACCCATACACACTTTCGCATATCGAGTATCCACATTCCTGCAGTCGCGCATCTGTAATAACGCGCTGTGTCGCATTTCGTCTTGGTCGCGTTTCATGTTCTGTCGCGTTTCGCTGTTTCGTCGTGTTTCGTCTTGGTCGATGTTTCGCGTTTCGTCGTGTTCTGTCGCGTTTCGCCTCTGTCGCAGTTTCGCCTTTGTCGCATTTCACGCTGTCGCGTTTTTCGCATGTTGCGCCTCGCCTTCTCTCATCCTCGCATTGACGAACCCTCGCTACTGCCTGCTCGCACCTTCCCAGGTTACGCACATATGCGCCTTGGCGCATACCAGCGCGTTTGAGCGCAGTTACATCAGACTTCATCGCACTTCCCTAGGATCCTGTCGCCCGTCCTCCGCATGTCCTGTCCTAGTCCTCCAAGGTCCATTGGTGCGTGCTCTTTTCACTAGAACTCATATGGCGTCACACAGGCACTTGTACTTATCACTATGTTACATTATGGACCCTGACTTACCTCATCACCTACCTTAGTGCTCCCTACTCGGTTCCGAGGCCTGGGAACTCGCTTAGCATACTTACACGTCAGCATGTTCATTTTTCTGGGACTCACTCCCGCTCGACTACCATCAAAAAGTGTATAGTTGAAGTTTCTAGCAGAATACACTTGTTTCCCTCTAATTGGCGCTTTGACACCTTTAAGTGTCTATTTCTACATCTATCAAAGCCCTGATTCTCCCATTTGATTGTCGCCTCTACTCGAAGCACTCCGCTGTGATTGCATGAAGAGCGCCTTGGTATTGAAGCACGCTTTTCCGCACTTTCCGCCTTATCAGCGCGTTTAGGCGCTTTTAGCTAGTGCTCTTCGCTTTTGGGTACATTACTTGCCTTAGTGTCCCATCTAGGCTTGGAGACCGAACTGCTGATTATAGATCCCCCTCACCTTTCACTAGAGGAATCTTTCTCAGTCGCAATCCCCTTGGGACGACTTTCCACTCGTATCCAGAGGAGCACTTGAGAGCCCACTTCCCACTCTTCCCCCTAGCATGCAGCTATCATTCCTCGCCCTCACCGGTTTCCCAAAAGACCGGTCTTAACCGGTTCTGGACCGGTCCTTTGATTTTTTACAAACTTTGGGCAACTAGGACCGGACTGATCTTGCAACTGGAAAAGACTGCAACCGGTCCTGCTTAGGACCGGTTGCGGTCCAGTCCGGTTGCCGGTATTTTTGCGGTCCTGCAACTGGACTTTAAAACACTAAGTGACAGTGTCAAATGATGAATCTATTATTGAGCGTGAACATGTTAGTTTTTGAATGAGTATAACACCCACCTGATAGTGTCATCCCTTGCAGCAAATTGCGCATGTCCTGGATATGGTCACCCTGGGTAGGGTGGCTACTAGATGGTGTTGACATGGTAGGAGCGATCTCAGGAAAGACGTGGTCAGGGTGCTACAGATTATGAGTCACGTGGATAATAGATAAGACTTGACCCTACAGCCGTACAAATGTCTGAATGGCACGGAAAGGTGGAGTACACCAGCAAGTCCGCACAAACCTCTCTCTGTGATCCATTCAGCACATCGGGACATCAAGGGACAAGAATGGATTGCCAGTCAACTGTGCATCTAAAGTGCTCAAGCACACACAGTTGGTTCAGCAAGTGGCAAGTTCCAATGAGCGACGGCAAGCGCGTCTACAAGGTATTTAATGTTAATTTAAATACTTGAAAAAAACCCTCACCTCTTGTAAAGCTATGAGTTTGGATGAGTGTCGTGCTCTTGAAGCACTGAAAGAGGACACTAATACTACCATTGAGGACTGGGAGGCAAACTGCGATGATATGAGCTTTGGTGATGTCTGGGATGGGACTGAGCCGCTCGCTACCAGTCATGCTGGTGGCGAGTTCACTGACCTTGCAAGAGAGGTTTTAGGGGATTTCTGGAAAATGTGAGTGTTAGTAAGTGTTGACCACTGATGTGACATACCTTTGTGAGCAGTAACAATCGTGTCCAATGTGTGGATAACCACACTCGCCACGATTGTGTCCTCCGCAGGAACCAGGCATTCACAGAGCAGATGCCTGTGATGACCGATGCCTACCTTGCCTGGAGCCTCACAAAATTCAAGGAGGAGTTCAAGAGTTTTTTTGAGAGATTGCAGAATGAAGACCTGGAAAGGAACTCGGCTCAGGACTGTGGTGAATGGTCAATCAGCATGATTGACGTGTTCTGTGAGTGATCTGTTGTCATTTGCTTACTTTTAATATCAATAATGGCATGCTCATTGTAGATGCTGAGAAAGTGACTATTCAAATCTTACCAACAGACGCCACCATCAGCTCTGCACTGGTGCATCAAGGTGTGATGCCTTGTTCGCCTATATCACCAACTGTAGGCATAACCACAGAAGCACTTGAATTATATCATGTAGTGCATCTCAGGAGTCCTCACTTGTCCATCCAGGCCTTTGTGAAAACTGTGTGCAATTTGCGAGGGGTAACTGTTTTAATTTCTCTAGTTATTGTGCTGATGATGTGCAGGTGGAATTTCATAGACATCTATCCCGTCAGTTTTCTATTGCATTCGACTTATTCCTTCAAATTCGACACTCCATTGCAGCCCTCATAGCCAAATCGCTTCAATGCAACACACCCGACTGGCGCTGTGGTGACACAAGATGGCTAGCCTCGGGGAAACTAGCCAAATAAATGTGAGTCTATGCTCTGCCTAGCTGCTACACTTGTAAGCAAGAATGTTCGACCCTAAAGGGGACTACTACTGAGAACGGCTATGAATCTATAGGAAGTAAAGATGCAGGAATGTAGATAGGGGTAGACCAGACGCTCGGGAACAGGTTTGAAGGTATCCGAAGCATGGGAACGGCCGAAGCGGATGGAAATAGCACAAGAACTCGGCCGATGCAAAGCGGACAAGTAAGGAAAGTGATAGGGAGTGACTAGGTTTCAGGGTTAGTGTTAGTATACATCCTGTTAGGATAGGGTTAGTATACATCCTTTAGGGTTAGTTAGGGTTAGTATTTCCGAGTCTGAGAGGATTTAGCTAGTATAAGGTTTCAGTAATGTTAAAGTAGTCACTACAGGTTCTTTATACTAGCTAAATCCTCTCGGACTCGGAAGGGACAGGAATAGTGGAAATATGTAAGAACATGTAATAAGGCTGAAACCCTTGTTACAACACGAGGCAAGTAAAAACACGCACCAGTGGAGTTTGGATGGACATGGAATTGACACAGGGCTTTCCTAAAATGGTTTCTGAGCAGTCCAAAGGCACGGGAACTCGGCCGATGGTTATCCAAATGCGCGGGAATGGTCCGGATGTGTGGGAATAAGTTCGGGTATGCGGGAACGGCCGATGCGGCTGTGCAAAACATCGGACATGAATGGATATGAGGTAGGTGCAAGGGATTTGTGGTAGGGAGTGTTATTGCATATCACTGACCATCCAAAGGCATGCAGGGCGCAGGAATGCATCGGACTGTGGTTGGGTTGGCCGATGAAGGTGCGGGAAATGCGACCAATGCCTCAGCCGAAGGTTTTGGCCTAAATTGGCAATGGTAGAGAAGTGGTGAAGGATGTATGGAAAGTAGTTCCTGCATAGTTTGACCTCTATATGAAAAAGGGCTTCTGCAAGGCTAGCCCAAGCTTGAACACCACAGCGCCTTAAACATGCATGTCCTGCATGTACATATGAACTCAAGGATGAAGAGGAACTGACTTTCAGGCTGCTATATGCCATGGATGGGAACGATTCCTTAAAACAAGTCCTCCGGAGATCTCTGGGTCACGATGCTGATGACTGTGTCGCTCCCTCATCTGAAGTGCCTACAGGCCAACAATTGACAAGTGATTGTTACCTACCTCGCGCATTTGTAGATCAGTATTCTCAGGACTTGGCACAAACTGCTACTGCAGGTGATGAGGAGGATGCAGCCGCCGAAAACACTTGCGCTGGACGGTGGAAAAACATGGATGACACCAAGACGAAGAAGGCTTGGGGGATATATGACGAAACAGGTGTATTCATGGCTGTCTGCCGTTACAGGTTTTCTCTACTTATTGCAGACATGGTACAAAGTGGTGAGCTGTAAGTACTATATCTTGTTCTCGATCATTGCACTGACAAGGGTCTAAATAGCGCAAAGTACCCGTTGGCTGTTGTGTCGAAGTTGATGGACGTATTTGGGACAAATTTGGGTGGTGGGTATGATATTGGTTGTCAGTTCAAAACAACACTCGACCAGAGCTCCCTTGGACCACTTGCACGCTCGCTTCAACACACCTGCCTGGTCAGTGCCTTCTATGGACATGCCCACAGGTGCTTGTGCCAGTTGTTTTCGCTTACAACGTACATCAAGGGTCTAGGCCTTGAGGATCTCGAAACATGTGAAAGGACATTCTCAAAATCAAATTCTCTGGCATCCACACTATGCTATGCAAGCGTGTTCCATTGGCAACAAGCCATCGACTCCTATTTCAAGCACACTGATGACTTCGAGATCTATGCTCATCTTTGTAAGCATAGCTAATACCTTGATCCAACGTTAGCTGACATAATCATGGTGTTAGCAATTTTTTGCACGGGAACTATAAACAAGCACTGGACATCTTGAATGATGGTAACGCAACTCTACCAAGGCTCATGCAAGATCTAGGACTCACGGATGAGAGTATTTTTGAGCGTTGGATAGAAGAGGAAAAGGTCTATCTTCAAGGTCTAACGTGAGAGCCTGAAAACAAAACTCTGCAGATGGAGTACTGGCAAAGGCTGGTAAATTTAACTGCAAGTGAGTGAGTGTGGCTCCCAAGGTATATCAGGATTCTGTTCACTAACACTTCATTCACTCAGAGAGGCTCTCAAAGCTGCAATGGCAGCCTTCCAGGTGTATTCTCATGAAGACATTACATTGTATGACATCCAGATGCAACATACACGCAAGGCCGAAACCACACGGTGTCATGCTGTCAAGGACCACGAGAGGAATTCGAAACTCATTCAAGCACTCAAGTGTAAACTCAAGATCATGATGTGCTGGACTCCTGCAGATGCAGATTGGCAGAGGGTAGGGAGGCTCGTTGCTCACAGGAAGTACCAGCGTGCACTGGATCGACTCGAAAGTTTGGTTGTAGCACGCATATTTGAACTATCAAAGATGAACCGGGCAGGTACAGGTGAGTTTGTATAGGTGATGTCTTGCTTGCAACTGCTGATTCTAATGTTACCATAGGCTACAAACTACGTAAACACATCGCCAAGGCATTACAGACATGCTCTGTTGCCATCAAAACTGCCCTCAACACATACAATACCATTGCAGAAGCAATGCACCCTCCCCACCAAACACTGAAGTGGGAAGAGGTCATGGAGTATGCGTTTCTCGCCGACTTTGACCTCCTATGCGACACACGTGCGGACATCTCTGAACGGCCTTGGTCATCGGCTGCTACTCGCAGTGCAATGGACCTTGAACTTCAAGATGTGTCGGGCATGGGAAGAAATTCAGCGCTTGAATGTGGAGGTATGGCGTCTAGTGACTTACATCCGAGATGAAGACAAGTATTTGCGGACGTACGAGGATCAGTTGAAGGTCACCAGTCCAGCCATTGCCCATCAAATTGCCATACATCAAAATGCTCGAGGATGATTCAATTCGCACCACCTGAGGCAGCTCCATTAGATATCAAAGCTTCCTGGTTTCAGCGGGACAATAGTCCCCAGTATAAGTACTAATACAAGTCCCGGGGAAAGCTGCAGCACACCGAACGCGCAGGTCCCATCACGACTGCTTGCCGAACACATACCTTTTAATAGACCATCTACAGTAGACCCAGATACCCCGGATGGACCTTGATGATGAGGAGCAGGCAGAGGAGGTGGAAGAGGAAGCATCAAAGAGCCTGCAAGACAGTCCTCTGTGTCACCGATGATTTCTCGTGACTCGACCTTCTTGACCATGAGGCTTATGAGGAGTAGATAGCTTAGTTTACACGTTCATATGACTGATTTACATATCACAATCATTAGTTTTGCGCTGATCATTGAAACATGATGTCAATCCATCCACACCATCATGAGATACGCGAGTTCATCGTGTGACACAGTGAGCACAAAGGTTCAGTTATTAATAGCTGGCGCGGAGAACACGTCACAGCATTGCCAACATGCCAGCGGTAGTGTCCTACATAGTACATACTACCTACTAGCAGTACAGTAAAGTCGCTCTTTATTCAAACAATATTGAAGGAGGCCGTAGAATGCTGTAACCCCCTTGTTTTATAGGTGCGATACCCATGTGTTATCACCTATAATTACTGTCGTTATGTGGGAGTCACAGGTGCCTTAAATGAAAAAAACCGAGTAAGTCGTCCAAATTCGGGAGTGACAACGTCACGTGCATGGAGAGCAAGCGGAGTTTTAAAAATGGTCGACCATTTGAAGCCATTTGACCCTTGCCGATATCGCACACCAAGCGCGAGGATAAGCTCATGGGCCCTGGTGGGGTATGCAGCGTTCTTGGCGACCATGCCGGTGAGGTAGGGCCAAGGCTCTGCTCTGAGATCGCTTTGTGAATGGATGGATGCTATGCTACTACAAGAGGTGTGCGTGTGTGTAGGCTGTCTGACTAAGCTATGGAGAGTCTAAATCTCTGGACTGCTGCCTTGGGGTCCACCGGGAAATTTATGTCCATCAAGCCGTATGATTGTTATGTTTTCCATTGGAGACTCCTTCAATATGATCAGTGTTACATAAAAGTGTTTTTGCAGGGGTGAAAATGCGACTAGCGCTCAAGGTCTCTGACCAATCATCTGGCACCTCAGGCCTCATGTTCTGGGGCTCAACGTTAGCGCTCAACTATCGATCACACTGTCTTAATAACCTACGTTCTCCCGCTTTCGCAGTACCAGCTTCCTTCCACAGCTAACGACGCAAATAACATCCCTACATCGGCATCCAGCAAATATCACCCTAAGCCTTCTGGTCTCCCAGACGACCATAGTACTGCCGAGGGCGAGGTCAGCAAGCCTGCGTTCCACCCCCATCCGTCCCTGCGACAGCAACGATGACACCCACACCAGACGACGGCCGGTTCTCAGACGTGTCCAACCTCGTGTCTAGCCAGAAATGGCTGCCGGCCCTACCCCCATGTACAGAGAGGAGCCCCGAGGGGAGCATGATGCGAGTCCTGATGTTATGTGGGCCCTGGGAGCGGCAGTGGCAGTGGAGATGAGAGCTGGGAGCATGCTTCTCAGATTTATATACGTAATTTTTATTTTGACATTTCTTTCATGTGCATTGAGGATATTGCCTGGATCTCGTATTTTATCAACACCTATATTACACACTACTGGAGCATTGTAAACGGGATGTGGGTAGCTACAACTGCCTGTGTAGAACTATCTCCGCGACGAGTCATGAAACACGCAGTGACGATGCACAACCGTAGCATCAGATTTAGTGTCCATACGTATAAAAGTTTGAGATCAATGCGGGCATAGTGGGGAATCGAGGGAATAGAAGTGCTAGCACAATGATCTAACTGCGAACGGGAGCATCGCCACCAGTACCCCGGTATGATGACTGGACGGGCTCCAAGTCCCATCGCGGAGGCATCCTCAGGCTGCCATTAGACCAGCAGGAGAGGTGGCAGAGGAATGCCATGAACCAATGCACGTCCGGGAGTGAATCGGTGTAAGAGACTATGTCATGCGACACAGGCTCTGCTGTTTGCGGACGTCGGGTGTCACGGACTTTCTTGTGCACGGAGGCAACAGTGGCACCCTGTAGAGTGCTAATCAACTAAAAGGGAAGCAGTAAGAAGATCCACCTTACCTCCGTACCGCGCTCAGCTGCGACATCGATGGCTCGTGGCTGGGCTGGGCTGCGTATCGACCGACGGAAAGGAAGGTGTCGCTGCAGGAACTGCGCGACCCTGTGAAGGTGGTGGCAAACGTTAGAGGATCTCGGCGGAAGTTCATCATCTGGTGCGATTGTCTCCTGCTGGAGGAATGTTTAGGGATAGTGAAAAAAGACGACATCTGCTCACCTGTTGGAGCTCCTTCTCAGAAGCTGTCCATATGCGAACGCATTTGTCGTTACAGCAAGTGGCGATGAGCTGGCTGTCCTCGGAAAAAGCCACACCCCGGACGCCATCAGGGTGCTTGAGTGGCTTACCGATGGGTTCGAGTGTGGTCAGGTCAAAGAACCGCGTAGTCTTGTCCCATGAAGTGGTGGCTAATGTGGTGCCATCGGGAGCAATGGCTAGTGAGTAAAAGGGTTCCGTGTGCGCTTCAAACTTTTTGATGATGTCTCCAGTGCTAGCATCTGATATTCGGATGTCATTGCGATCTCCACTGACGAGACGAAGACCATCTGGAGTGAATGCGACTCGCCATGCCCGCTGTTCTATTTTTAGTCGTTCTTCTCCCGTTGCTGCGCTCCAAACGATGATGTGTTGGTCGGTTCCTGCTACTAATTCGCTACCATCCGGGGAGTACAACACCGAGTTAGCTCCACTGCCCGCTGGGAGTGGCCCGAGGATTATTTTGCCCGTCTCCCTCTTCCACACGCAAATTGTATCGTCCCTTGATGCACTTGCAAATGTCTCGCTGTCCGGTGCAAATGCGACATCTGAAACCAGATTTTTACGGCCTTCGAATGAGACCGGCACTCTTTTGAGGATGTTTGCGGCAACTTCCCACACTAGGATGCTTCCGTTCTCTCCTCCACTCACAATCCAGTGCCCATCGGGGGACGCTGCGACCGTGCAGACTTCGCTATCGTGATCAAACAAGGGCTCCCCCACTTGCTTTCCCGTGTCCAAATCCCATACCCGAATGCTCTTGTCTTTAGAGCAAGTGATGACAAGACGGGTGACAGGAATGAAAGTTACGTCCATTACCACAGATTTATGGCCATGGAGGGTGGTCATCATTGAGCCCGGTTTTGCCAATATAATGCTCGACGAGGATCCGTCTCTGAAAGGGAACGTTAGAAGGAGCATCACGGGGGGAGCAGATACTTACATGGGCTATAGTGGATCGTGGTCTTGTTGCCGAACCTTCTGCCCTCGTCATTAAATCTATGTCTGCTTTGCTGTGCAGCTGTAAACATCGGACAGGTTTCATTACCAACAGCCTCAGTCTGTGCCTGCAATCGAATGCACTCTCATCCGAATCATTGCCTCACTACAGACGCATGGTTTTCATTGGAGTGGTGGGCGCAGTGACCTATGGCCAATCGACAGCGTGGATAAGATTCGGTACTCGCTTCACGACCTCCTGTCGGACTGTATCCGTTGGGCTACCGATGTCACATTGAGCGGAATTTCGATTTCAATCGATTCACTAACCCGATATAGATGCACTGGTGGGCTACCCGCCTGACCTTCAACTCATACCGTATTTATCGACACATACACGACTGCTTTCCATTTCCGGCGAGGCGGAGCTGGCTAAACGTACCCCGAGGTTGTACGTTCAGGTCGTTTCAAAGGTACGAGAAGCAGGTGTGGGCAATGACTTTGACACGGATCATCATTGGGTTGAGACGCTTATCATATGATAGTGCCCGGATGCTCTGTCGTCTTACCATTTCACGCCAGGATGGTATCAATGATAGCAAGGAGGCAGGGGACATGATCGAAAAGGCGAAAACTAGGCTGGATGAGAATGGCAAGGAAAGTTCCATTGGCTGAAGGCGTATATCACACAACACTGACAATAATAGGTGGGTGTTCCTTCTGATATTTCGATATTCGATGACTGAAATATTATGCTATATCAGAACAGGACCCCTACACGCGACAGGCTCGTCTAGGTCGCACCCTCGCTGCCTACTTGAAATCTGTCGCGACCTACCCTACACTTTCTGCGTATCATCAGCTCGCGATCGCATTTTCTTTACCTGGAAGTTCGCGAAATGTGGACGAGGCGCGCGCAGCTGTTGAAGACGATGCTGATAAGATTCGACATTGGCATCTTCTCAGTTTGTTACTTAGTGCTAACGGCGAGTAGGAGAAGGCGGCTGGTGTTTTGGAAGTGGGTGTAGACCTAGATGAGCGCAATCCAAGAAGCAAAAGTCAAAAACTCTGAAAATCCTGCTTTTTGGGTACAGGTGCGCGTATCGTATGTCTTCTACCAGCACATCCACTAACCATGACACAGCTTGGGCTATCCTACATGGCACTAGATCGTAATAGAGAAATCCTAGAAGCTTTCAAAAGCCCTGTCCATATATCACTGCATCTGTACACTTGTGTCGCATCCACCTTTCCACGAAGTCTTCGACTGACGCAATTGACTCGGATAAGGTTGATCTAGTCGCCGGGATTCTCGGCCACGTCACACGAGGACCTGGCTGGGACGTTCCTGAGGCCTGGTACTACTTGACTAAGGCATACGGGCTACAGCACTGCAAGGACAAGGAACGGGAAAGTCTAGCGACAGCTTTGGCGTTGAGTGATCGCAGGAGTAGTAATGATATCGGGCGGGCTGTGGGTTGGTGTTTGTGATTTGTACATGTGGTCAAGGTTCGGGGTTTGATTTATATAACGTCCCACTCAGATATCTACCTACTCCTGACTCTGCACGACAATCATATAGATGATGGTCTTTTGCATTACTGTTCAATCACAGATTTTATCAACCATTTATTACTTGGCTTTTGGTCCTGGATCAGAAGGTTTTTTTTTCGAGTGCGTTCTTCCTCGAGCGCTAGGGTTGATTAGGATTTTCTCTCCAAGGTGCAGACCGATGCATGTTCCAGAGTCTGATATCCGATCTGTTGCGGCTGTATCTGAGCAAACCATTGTGACGTTCAACCGAAACACTACTATCTCCAGCTGCCGAGCAGGCAAAGAGGTTCGCAGAATTCATTCTCATATCCTAGTCTTGCTCGCGATGGGCCCCCAGCTTGCATATACAATGAAGGCATGATTGTAAATGTCGGCCTTAATGCACCCCAAGTGGGCGCCATTACATAGTATTCACACAACTCATAGTTACATACATAGATACAGCGAGACGCAGCACGTACTGTCTACCATAGGGGCACGCCCCAGCGGACAATAAACAATGACAGAAAAAAGATTGTAAATTCGAAGGGGTCTTGAAAGTACGAATATCTTCAACAGATTGCAATTTGCTGGTGAGGATTTCATGTTTCAAAACTGATCTTCATCATAGGAGTCAATAGGACTCGGAGTGCTAATCTCTCCCGCGAGGTTCACCGCCATATTCGTGATGGCTACCTGCCCCCACACTCTTGAATATAATGATTTTACCAGCCCATCTTACCACGTCGCACAATGCGTGGACCTTCCTGTAGCCAGCATCTGGTGAGTTGTTGTCAAAATGGACCAGTGTTCCAATTTCAACCATGTCCTCTTCGTTAAACCTGGGCTTTATGAGCTCTCCGGCCTCAAACGCGCATGCTCCTCTGGAGTCTATGACCACTTTTCCAGCCGGTTTGTATTACCACAGGTTACCAACCCAGAAGAAAGATTGAAGGTATGAGATGAATCCTGGTAAATAAGCGCTATAGCTAGAGGTGAAAGTCGACGGGCCATGCTACTAGTGCCCAATACCACTGCACTACGCAGGAGGTACAAAATCCTGAAGATTAATTTGTTGAACAGGCCGGAAATCCGGCAATCTGCACATGCTAATAATATTACTCGAGCTCCCGGAGTAGCGTGCGTCCATGATCTATCTGAAGTACCGAGTGAAATGTGTGTATGCATATCACAGATGTGTGGAGGAAACATGAAGTGCGCTATCGTGATGAATCTGTCAGCGAAGATTGTTCCTGATGAGGGCTTTGACAGCCTCACGGGATGTATGATAGAGACCAAGACCAGGGCGGAGATGGACCTCAGGTAGCGTGGTGACGCATGCATGCTTAGTAGACTCCGGAATATTGAGCTTTCTGAGCATATCCAGGTTTGCAAGCCACCAATCCCCAGGATTTCCGGAATCTTCCAATTTGGTGACAACCACTACGATCGGCACTCTGTTGCCCACCGCCGACTTGAACCTGTTAAAATTGTGCCCGTGTGATTTTTTCAGGCTGCTTCTCACTCCTGGCATACAGTATACCAGAAGGTGCGGGTCTATTGTCTTCAAGTATTTCTTGAGCCGCCTTTTCGCTATCAGGGCCGAAAAAAAGCCCCAAAACCCTTCTTCAAGACCAACTGTATCGTGTAGTTGACAATATTGCTGTTCCCCAATATCACAGGGCCCATACGTTTCTTCTGCCGTTGTGCAACCATTTAAGTCGTCCGAGGTAAGAGCGCTGGCTTTGGGGTAAAGCATGTTGATGAGCGAGCTTTTCCCCACCCCAGAATGCCCAATGATGACCACGTTCCTCGACATCTGAATCTGACAATGTATCAACATCATGAATATCCATGACAGGTAGAAATGCAGTACTTTTACAGGTATCGATCAGGTTGTAGACTCCAAGAGTCCACGACTCGCTGCCAGCGGAAGGTATATTCAATGACGAGAGGGGACCTTGCGGTGTGGTGTCCTTTTGGAGACGAAACTATAATATTGCAGCATGTTACGGAGGCCCAATTAGTACACACTCGCCGCCGCAGTGTGGTGACAACGAGGCTGATGGGCCGTACTTCGGCTACCACTTAAAGCCTGCTCAGCCTGCTCCGGGTCGAGTCTAGAAGCTATTCATGGCAGTGAAACTCACCTCATGGCACCAAGCAGGTCCGAGCTTGAATCAGGAAACGGAGAAGAGTCGTTTTGGAAGGATTTCTCATTACGTTTGCGACTTCGCATGATGTTGATAACATTGATACGTTGATACAATAATGTTTGTTTGTCGGGCCCTCTCAAAACAATATACACTGTCCAGCCAGATCTTCAACTCACATGCGAACAAGCTCACCGCGTTGCAGAACAACTTGGACTGCAGGGGTAAACACGCGTTGCAGCCTCACCCCAAATTCTTGAAATCAGATTGGCTCTGCACGATGGTACCTAGTAATAATTAATTTCTCCAAATGTCGCGTGTCTATAGTACATGGATTGAGTGTAGTGAGTAGGCACAAACAAGGTATATCAGTCGTGTCCGAGGCAGATCTACCCATACAAGCAGCAATCAGCATCGTACACAAAACTCGATAATATCACTGGTGGGCGCACCGACCCTCGTGAGCTCTATCAGCCGCGTGCTCAGCAGTATCACAATGACAGCCGCTCAAGCACGGAATCTAGCATCCGCAAACCCCATCGTCCTGTGCAGCCCCGTCACGCCTCACATCGATCGTTCCTGGCATGCCATCTTCTTCACCGCGCTTCCCAAAACTTAGACCAGCTTCCGGTGCCACAGGTGCCCACAGTTCTGGGGTCTCAAGAATCCGCGCCACCAGCTCCTCGAATACCTCGCGTACCCCTATGGCTGTCTTTGCAGAGGCCTCGACAAAGAGGGCATTCTGACGAGAGGCAAAGGTGGCACCTTCGTTGGTGGAGACCTGTCGAGAGTTTTCCTGGAATGGTGTTAACAGTTGATAGGAAACAAGAAGATGTAGAGTGTAAGTGACGAAAAACAGGTTCGCGAGATGTTGGTGATAGTAATGCAGATGCAGTGCGGACAGGTCGATGAAAAGGACTGAGGTCCAGAAAATAACAAGACGTAAAGAGATGATGAGGGGAACAGCAAGTACCTTATCAACCTTATTTCCAACAATAATCTTTGGCACTGTGATTGAGACATAGGTGTCGATTTCTGAAAACCATTTCGGAAGCGCTTCGAATGTCTCGCGGTTTGCTACATCATACACTGTACCACAGCATTATAAGGCCTCCGAAGCTTCATCTCGTAAAAGTGAGCGAAAACGCACCAAGTATGATCCCTTGAGCACCACGGTAGTACGAAGATGTAATCGTACGGAATCGTTCTTGGCCGGCTGTATCCTGCAGAACAGACATCATCATCCCATAGATACAGGGGAAAGAAATAAAACGCACCCATATACTGAGCTTCACCTTCCGTCCGTTGAGCTCCATCTTGTGCACCTATACCAACTAGGGTTAGCACACGACTTTATTCTCCAGTTGGAGAAAGCACAGAATGACAAACGAACACGGAAATCAACGCCTATCGTTGCGCTCGCTTCGTCCTCGGGGAGCCATTGCTCATCCGAGAAGCGCAGGAGCAAACTACTTTTCCCAACTGAGGCATTTCCGATTAGCAGAAGCTTGACATTTACGGGTGGGTTAGTGGTGCTAGCACTGGTAGGGGATCTCTTCATGAGGTCGGTTGGAGGCATGTATGTAATTGGGTCGTTGAGGAGAACAGGTCAGCAGATGGTTGGCAGAACAATACAAGTATCTCGAGCGGCGATGAATTAGGCGTGGATAGCTACTGGGGGGCAACAAGCCTCGTTTGCATCATGCGTCCACTCAAAGAAAGACTTCTCGGCTAACTCCTCGGCGCCTCGAGTTTCATCGAATGATTAACATGTCGACTACTACGAAAGCAGCTCATCACATTACACTACAAAAACATGGGCAACAAGAGTTTCGAGAGCTACAACAGTCACTAATAGAGGAATAAATGATTCATTCGTGAACTATGTACCTACGCCAAGTTCGTGGCCAGCAAAATCAGCTCCATCGGAAGGAACATAATGCATCTTTCGAGATGTATGGTGCTGCAGTAGTAACCAGACCAATTTTTTCGTTGGAAGTCTACTGGTAAATGAAGTTGTATCTGCAGGCAACATTCATAAGCATGGGATTCGTCTAGTGTAGCTCGGATGGGCGGTTACCTTGACAGTAGGTGCGGGATCGCAGAAAGCTGGGGACCATATCTGGGATTATACGACGTTACCAATATGAAACATGCACCCTCAAGTTTATTGAAATTATCAAGACGAACCGTGCGGCGTTATCATACAGCTCAAACAGGGGTATGGCGAGAAGTTTCATGTTTTTCGGAACAGCAAGGACCTCTAGTGAAGATACAAGTTGAATAAAAAAGTATGACAGGAACGTCTGACGTACTCCGCTCAGGCATCTGGACTAGGTAGAGTTTCTTGCACTCCTTTGGCTTCGTGATGTGTGCTGGCACGAATGGGTACTACGAGCATGTCAGCATCGCATTCGCTACAAAGAACATAAACGCACCATAAACGTCTCAAAATTGGGCCGCCACCATTGCGCAAGACAATCGCCAATCTCCCACTCGTTGTCGACACCATGGGACGCGTTGAACTGCTTAGACTCTACTGGCGGCGCAAGTCGCTCGTCGAGGCGCCGTTTGAGTCCGTCAATATCGTCCTCGCCCGGTTTGAGGTAGTCACCCGGGCTATCCACATGATTAACCGACTATAACGAAAGCGCCATCAAATATGGAAACGCACAGCTTGAAGAACGCGTTTGCAATTTGGAGCATTAGGATATGCGGATGTCCATGGTCATGCACAACAAGAATTCCTTCGACAGTGCGGCGCATACCGAAGTCCTCATAGTTGTTCTGGAGACGCTGCAGGCGCGCAGACACGGAAGGGTCCTCCTCGGGCTGTGCCTCTTTTGTGCTGGTGTTCGCAATTTAGAATTGACCGACGCGAAACACCACAACTCACCTAAAGGTAAAGTTCGATAGCGGGTACCTGCGTTAAGTTTCATTAGATGACTGCCACAATTTGCAGGAGAAAATACACATGCAGGGCGATGGTGTTGGACATGGTTGTCGAACGTTTGAGCTTTACCAGCACCAGCAGTCGTACACTAGGCGTGACTAAATCACCCTTATGTTGTCACAGTCACAACTTGCTTCAAGCTTAAGTTCGAACTAAGTTTTGGCTAAATTTGAATACTGCTCGATTTCCTGTCACTGGTTCATTGGGCTAAAGTAAATCAAATCAATATAGTTTCTAGACGTTGTCTAATGCTATCTTCAGTCTTTATGGTGACCACTTTGTCCGTCATTAGCTTCTTCCAACTTGTCTGTGTATCATCCGCTCCGAAGAGGAGGCAAAAGTGGGTACGGCCTTTTTCCACGAGTCCCTTCTCGTCATCACTTGTCCATCCATAATCGACAACCCCGAGGGCCAATTTGGATGGACGCCAAGGCGTGTTGTTGCTGGAAACAATGGACACATGATTTATTGTTACCTTGGAGGGCAGTCCCTTTGGCAAGAGTGTACATGCATGGTAACCATCCTGCAAGAAAGGTATTTCATCCCCGAACGTTGCTCCATGTAACTCGACCATCAGGAGCTTCACTCTCAACCGCCTGTCAATGATGATCATGTCTTGGTCCTCCTCGCAATCTGTAGTGTTCATGACTGGGGTTATAGGATTCGTCCAAATATTGAGCGCTATATCCCTGTGCCGACGGTGGCAAGAACACGTATTTGGTGGATGCTATGCCAGCCCAGGCAAGTATGTCGCACTCCTGGCTTCTTGCCAGGAGCACTTCCATCAATCTACCAAATGCTTCGTCTCCTATTCCATACTCCACGTGCATATGCACGTCGAGAAGTGCCAGCAGTGAGTAGGCGCCATCTTCTACTTGTCGTGAAGTCCGGCGAGATGCCCACATGAGCTTCTCACGCACTCTTTCTGTTCCTGCCCAGTAACATCGGATGTCTTGCACCGGAATTCCGGTGCCAGTGGAAAGCGCGGCCAGCAACCTCTGGTCAGCTTTATCGTTGTCGGCTCGTATATTGTGGATCGGGCTCCACGTTCGCCCATAAAATTTGACCCTGACTGGGGCGAGAAGTTCTTGCAAAGTCCAAATCTGTAAAAAACCAAGAGTCGCCCAGGAAGTTGTCCAATGTGGACGACTCCGCAAGGTGTACAATGCAGACATGCGCATTGCGGTACCACCTGAACATCCGAGGTATGGCTTTATCGAGCTCTTCTGGAGGGGGATTGGACCTATCAATACAGCATGTGTCTGCCCAGGCAAAGCCACATCCGTACTCTGCTGCCCTCTGACAGAAGTTAGCCAATTTGTGACGACTCGAGAGGCTTCCTGAGCTTTGTGCCACCCGATGACATCTCCTGACAGCGTCACCTCTCCTTCTCGGCACCATCTGTGGGACAGAACGGCGTATTTGACTATGCCTTTCACAATGTTTCTGATCACTTCGTCCCTTCTCTGATTCGGGTAGAATGTGTGTTGCTCTATATCTCTCTCCGTCACGGCCTTGATAGACGGCATGTATAGCTCCTCCACCCATTGTTGTTCTACGACTTCCATCTTTGATATCGCGATTAGTCGATGCGGGATGCTTTCCCGCAGGTGCTCTTGGAATATGCGGCAGACCTCTTCGATAGCCATTCATGTAGCTTATCAAGATGAATAGATGTATCGAGATTGTGAACTGTCGACAGGTTTAACAAGCTTTTCAAATGAATGTGGGCAGGTGGAAGAAGTCACATAGGAACGAAGGGATCAGATATATATACTGATGTGACTGCTGGGAACTCGTTTCGCCGTTCGTGCGTGACAAGGTATGATGCTACTTGGTCTAAAGGTTGTAAAAGAGTCCATGCGGTGTAAGCTGTGTACGAAAAGAGGCCATCGGCAGCCGCATCCGCAGTGAAAAGCTATGTAAGAGCAGCCTAATGACTCATGTCACCTGGGATAGAGATATGTATGTTACAATGCGAGTGAGCGGATATAAGGCTAAAGCCACACTGTCGTAACTTGTCGGTATACCTCCCGCTTGGTACGAATTGTCACAATTTTTTGCGTCTCAACCTTTTGCCATCCCCCATACGCACTATCAATACTAGATCCGAGTACGAAGAAAAGGTAGTCACTTGTGGGTTTGGAGTTTCCCGATACCACCACGCTTTCCAGATTCATCAGCTTGGTAGTTCACGATAGCGACCGCCCACTGCGAGAATGGTAAAAAGGTAACGTCACACCGGGCTGTGACGTCATAAAAGCTCGCAGAGTCGGAGATGAGGCGGATAACTTGAGTTTTTTTTCCGTGTTCCTCCTGGCTGTCGTGGTGCGGGTTGCTGTAGCATCATTTCCACCAGAATGACTTCAAGCTCCAAACCTCTCTTCGTCATCGTAAAAAAAGGGTCACCAAGCTTGGAGGGACGATCCATTATATAGCGATCTGGTAAAAGTATGTTGGCGGATGCTTCGTCAAAAGCACAGTACGCCAGAGGAGAGCGAGGGGTGCTGGCTTGGAATGGGGAATGAGGACCAGCCCACGCCAATATCTGCCATTCACGACAGGCCTGCATGATGGCTTCCATCAGGCGGCGGAACGCCCGATCTCCTTCTCCATAGGCCACACTAAGGCTGATGTTAAGAATTCCAATCAAGGAATAAGCGACGTCTTCTATCCTTGTTGTTCTCCTCTTGGATGCCCAGATCATCTTCTCGCGAACATCGACTAACCCCGGACTGAAATACAGTAAATTCTGGCGGGATATTCCCGTCACCTGAGAAAGAGCCTGTAACATGGAATGGTCTTCCTTGTCATTGCGCGAACGGCCGAGTTCCTCCCAACTGCTGCCGTAGAACTTGATCCGTGGAGGGGCAAGAAGCTCCTGAAGTGTCCAACCGCGTTGGAACCATACTTCCTCCGGAAAGTCCGAGATGGATGAAGAGTCTGCAAGAAAAACTATACATATCTCTGCGTTGCGGTACCACTTGAACATGGCCCTGATGGCCTCATCGAGCTCCGCACTACTTCTTTTGTCGATACAGCAAGTGTCTGACCAAGCGAGGCGACAGCCGTACTCCCTTGCTTTCTGGCAAAATTTACGGAGTTTGATAAACCCAGGCCTTGTAGATTGATGGTTCCTTTCCACGGACATCTCCTGGAATGTTGGTTCCCCAACGCTGAGCCATCTATGAGAAAGGGCTGCATATCTCAGATTCTGCCTGACCACGTCAGGAAGTTTGTCTTTGGAAACAAGGTCCTTGCAGGCCCTGATCAATTCCGGACGGAACAGATCCACCAGAGTCTCGCGATCAATAAGGGTCATGGTTTCATAGTCGTCAGAAATGTATATCAGATGACTTGGCATCTCGTTAAAGACGAGCTCCGCCGTGACAGTCATTATGTCTGCCTCGGTAGGAGCTCCGTCCTAAAAAAACCAAAAGGCAGGACCTTGAACGAAATGCCCGTGATTTCAGTCGACAGCTAACCTGATCAATCTCGTTGCATGAAATTTCATCGATTTCATTCTGGACATCAGACTCCGCGTTCTCGGCAACATTGTTGGCCGGTGCAGCGGCCCCGTGTCCGATGGGCGTAGCAAACATTATTTGTTGTACTTCAAGTTTCCAAGGAATGCACTTGACTCTGGAGTCTGGACTAGTCTGGAGCATGGTGTTGGTTGATTAGCTAAACATGAACTACGCAACAACTTTTCATTGTATGGACTCACGATCGATATCGATGATCTCTGGATGACCTCGTTGGATTTGAAAGAACTTCGTGTGTGACCTCGTGACATTCACGGCGCAGCCTGTCACGGTCAGTTCGAGCTTCGTTTGATTCAAACTCGGATCTTGCCTCCAAACCCCATTCTTTTCATTACTGCATGTGCCGCTCGTTCCTATTGAAACAACTGATCACTCATTGTAAACCAAACGGATATAGTGTCTAGACATTGTCGGATGTTGTTACTCTTTCGTGATGACTGTCATCAACTTTTGCCACCTGACCTGCATGTAGTACGGTGAGAGTTCGAAGGTATCATAGAATGGAGATGACCTTTCTCCAAAAGCTTCATCATTCTGATGCATTCATCCATAATCGACAACTCCGATCGGGGATCAGGTTGAACACATGATTCAATTCCCCGCAATAATGACTCGGGTTGTCCCTTTAGGTGCGTACACTGTAGCTTGCTGGAACGCCTTCTTGGGCCTCGGCTTGCTGTCATGCATCGAACTTCGGCTTCTACCGCCCCAGAACATGTGTCTGTACCACGTCTCTGTGCTTGGGCTCACAATAGTCTCCCCATTGAAAGAGGAATGATTGATGATGATCAGTGGCGTGCCATCTGACTGGGATCACATGTAATAGAAGATACAACTCGGTTCGCTTCCTTCTATTCAGTTTCCTAGGAGGGAACGTGCCCGTCCTGCAACCTTAAAGGTCATCTGTGTATGGTAGTGAGTGCATGCACTACCGTAGCAGTCAAGCTCCTGGTGATGGGACGTACAACCGATCTGTCAGGTGCTCTGCTTTGTACATAATGTTCAATTATTTCTGAGTCAGGTGCTGCTGGTCACCACACCCTGATTACTTACTAGTTAGTTAGTTACCAGCCTAGGTAGGCGTAGGTACCCCTAGGAACCGGCGCCAAGGAGTCGGTGATAACGGAACATTCCGGAAATGTCTAGAGTCTCATTATGGAAACTGAGGCGGGGACTGCCAGTCATGCCGTCATTCAGTCTCGACTTAGACTGCTCCATTATACGTATTGAAATAATAAAATATTCACAAATTTTACACAAGTCGAAGTCGCTTCATCCTGAACGATACAACCGTGACTCACGACGACAGAGCTCGAGCTCATCGATATCTTTCGCAGTCCGTACGCTCATGCCCCTTATGATTAATGATATTGGTAACGACAGATCAACTTCTTCGCGAAGCCTTCGAGACTCGGATGACTTAGGACCTGACTCCGAAGAGCATGCGAATGACGCAACAAAGCACGAAATTCTACCCATGATTTCACCACCGCAAGATGATTCCCCTTTGCACAGAGCTGGGTAAGTTTCAATAACAACATAATACGTTATAATGTGGTCGAAAAACGGTCACCTGCCCATCGTGCTTCTATGTGCATTCAATCTCCTAACTTTTCAAATTCAATTGCAGACTACTTCAACCCAGGAGCTATGTTTCATTTATGTCAGTCACGCCCCACTCTCAAGACGACATCCGCGCAAGCACCGTCAGGCTCTCCAATATGGTCTTCTCTGCTTCCAGGGGCTCACCCTCCCCCGTGATGCAGAACGTGCCCCTGGCCGCGGCAGGACACGTTACACGTTCGTCTTTTCCCTTGACCCACGGTCGAAATCAAGCCCAAGCACAACGGCTACCTTCCTCATCTGAGCTTACGGGAGAGAACATCCCTTCACGCGATTCATTCATATTTCCATCTGGTTATAATCTAGTCACGCACGTTGGACCAGGGTCACTCCCAAATATTCCGTTATCCACATCTTTCGCGCCCTCCTCACAATATACAAAAGGGAGCTCACACTTCTCAGCCAAGAGCTCTGATCTCTCAGCCTCGACTTCCACTCTAGACGACTCCAAAACTGTCCACCATCTGTCGTCTGGCATGGTAACTCCTCGCGGGAGAGACATGTCTTATTCTACTGTTGTACCTTCAGCACTCTCGGTTTTGCTCTCCAGACATGCAGACGGAGCGCTCTCACGCTCGCCAATTTCAACACCAACGCAAAAAATTGACAGGCCGCAGCGCTTCAATTCATTAGCAGACCCAGAGCAGGCTATTTCCACGATTAACCATGATTCTGCGGATCGCACCCTTCTGGCAACTAGCAACGTGCGCCCACACGTTTTACGTTTTATTTCTTCTCCGGCCACAGAAACTAGCCCCTTGCTTCCTCCTCCAAATGGTTCTGTGTCTGCCATTAATGGTCATGCCTCAGCACCTTCGAAACGATCAATGTCCTCGACACGTTTGTCAAGCCTCATGCATGGAATTATAGGCGAAACACATAATATTGACCCCAAAGAACTCGCGTGTACCGTGTTGAGATGCTTGCCTGCTGTGCTCTTGGGCACGTTGCTCAATATTCTGGATGGAGTTTCATGTAAGTCGTTCTGATGAATATTGCCTTTGTTGCTTCATTTCTTGCGATCTGATGGCCTTGGCGGCTATTGCCTGACCTCCTAATACATAATATGAACTATATTTGTGTTGTCTGACATTTTCCTGTTCCCGTTCATCTCCGATTACCGTGGATCAGCTGCTAACTATGTCGTTGCAGATGGAATGATTATTTTCCCTGCATCTGGTGTCTTTGCTGGATTAGGTGGTATGGGGGTGTCGATGTTTTTTGTCTCGTACGTCGTCTATTATTGAAACAACCATTGCTTCTGATCAAAATTTCCTATATTCGGCATTGGTCGGCAAACAGCACAGTGGTGGCGCAACTTGTGTATTGCCTTGGAGGGAGCAGCTTTATGGGTGCTAATGGCAGTATGATGATCGAAGTTGTGGTACGTGCGTTTCATTTACATTTGAATTGGTTTCCATCTATTTCCCTTGCATTCGCACGTTTCGACCTTGCTTGTGCCTGCTTGTTACCTATCACTATTATGGTTTACTTCTTTGATCGCTTCCGCTACCCCGGATTTGCACACCCTCGAACTTTCTCTGATAGTTTCCTTTTCGATGGTAGCCCTTCTTTCACATCCTCGCGTCCACTATAGCACGTGATATCGGAGACTCGTATCCGAAAGAGATCATTGCCACGACGATTGCGGCGTTTGCGCTTTCGTCTGTGCTCACTGGTAAGTCGCAATCTAGGTTTAGTTGTCAGGCGTTCAGTCCCATGTGATTTGCGTAGGGCTGTCCTTTTTTCTCCTTGGCTATCTACGTTTGGGCGTGCTCATTGGGTTCTTCCCGCGGCATATTCTTGTTGGGTAAGCCGTTTGCTGACTTGGCAGAACTTGGCACTGACGTCCCGCACAGATGTATTGGAGGGGTTGGCGTCTTCCTGATTCTTACAGGGTATGTTCTAAGTCAGTCATCGTGATGAACCATATCAAACAACTTTCAACGTGAACAGCCTCACAGTAAGCACACGTCTCCCGTCCGATGCACTCGATCCGCCGACGCTGGAGACCCTCCGGTACTTCATCTTCAATTCACACGCCCTTGCGCAATGGATCCCTCCCCTTGTCCTGGCGGTGTTTCTGAGGTTCATCACAATGCGATGGAAACATCAGCTTGTGTTCCCTGTCTGTACGTCCAAAGATTACTGACCTTAGCATTTGTTTGCTCACTTCATGCACAAACGTCTCAGATTTCATGATTGTGCCGGTTGTATTTTATGTGGTTGTTGCAGCTGCACGGCTTGATCTTGGTGCATTGAGGAGGGACGGTTGGCTTTTTGATATGGCTGAGGGAACTGGTGGCGGGGAGGACAAGTGGTATGGATTTTATTCCTATCTCGGTGAGGAAGTTTCCATCGGTTCAAGGGCTCATTCCATATTAACGCGAGCAGATCTTGGATTGATTCGGTTTACGCCCTTATGGACGACACTGCCGATACAATTTGCGCTGCACGTGTTCCATCATTCATGCTGTTGGCCTCGCTAATGGTTCGTCTTAGGTTGTTTTTCAATATCTTGCACCCACCTTTAAACGTTCCTGCGTTATGTACGTCCCGTCTTAATCTGGATGCCTGATGAACAGAGAGTCAACATATTTGCAGCGGTGTCTCTTGATGTAGACATTGATACTAACAAGGAGCTTTTGGGACATGGGTACTCCAATTTACTTGCTGGGTTTCTAGGCACGGTGTAAGCATATTTTTCTCCAACGCTCGCTAGCAATTGCTCACACATTGCAGACCAAACTATCTTGTATACGTGAATACCTTACTGTGAGGCAAACTCCCCTTCGCCGTGGTATAAGATAGCTCACTTGCTGATTCATCAGGTTTTACCGCGTGGGCGGCGGGACGCGTATTGCCAGCCTCTTGCTTGCAGTCGCTACGTTTATCCTGCTAGTGATAGGGACGGGACCCATAGCGTACATTCGTATGTGGCATAATTTCCATAGCCTCACTTTTCTGACAATTTGAATAGCCGTCATGGTCGTCAGCGCCCTAATCCTCGTGCTCGGCATTGATCTCGTCAAGGAGGCGTTGTGGGATACACGACACCGGGTTAGCAGGTCAGCTTTTACACATTGATGTGGTATGCAGCAGCTCACAAACACGTTTTAGGATGGAGTATATCACAATAGTCAGCATTATGGTTACGATGACGGCCTGGGACTTTGTCATTGGTGTTTTATTTGGCATTGTCGTCAGCTGTGAGTCTGTCGCATTTTCAGAGTAGACTGTGTTCATGGTTTTGGATAGGTTTCTTCTTTGTGGTACAGAATTCGCAGAGAAGAAGCATACGCGCATGCTATACTGGAGAGTCGGCAATTTCCACGGTCAGGCGGCCTGTTGCTCACAGGGCGTACATTCGAGAAGTGTCGAAGCAAACGAGGGTGCTTCGTCTTCAGGGCAAGTGAAATTTCTCTCGCGCTGTAGCATTATTTAATTGTTGCATCTAGGATTCCTCTTCTTTGGCACCATCGCACATGTTGAAGAGACTTTGAGAAACATCGTTGAAGACGCTACCTGGCAACGGAATCCGGTCCGCTTCGTCGTCGTCGACTTGTCCCTTGTGGTAGGGGTGGACATGTCTGCTGCAGAAGCCTTCGTGCGTGTGCAGCGCTTGCTTGATGCAAAAGGCGTGGTGTTGGTGTTTTGCGGTGTTACTGCCGACAGCCTCTGCGGCAAAGCGCTGAGCAGCGTGGGAATCCTCCAAGAGCCATCCGTAGAGGTCTTTGAAACGTTGAATGATGCGATGGAATGTGAGTTTTTATCTCTTTATGTTGTAAATTGATTGTCAATGTTGTTTGCAGGGACCGAAAATGCGTATCTGCGAGCGTGGTTTAGATCTCAGAAGTCATGGACAACTCCAATAACGCTTCCTGGCCGCCGAGATACCAGCCTTTCCTTTGATGACGCTTTGACGGGATCTCCGAGGCAAATGCAACTTCGTGATGTTGGAGAGCGCACGATCGCTGGTGGTCAGTTTACCGTCTTACCTAACAGAACCAATCTCATCGTCCAGCAGAATTTCTCGACAAGGATTCAGAGAATTCGTCTGAGCCATACAATACTCTGCTCAATGCGTTTTCGTCATATCGCGACGTAGACCAGAACACGTTCAAACAGATCGCCCCGTATTTTGAGCGATTCACATTCCCGGACGGTTTTGTCCTATGGGAGAATAATGATACCCCCGATGGCCTGTATATCATCGAGTCAGGTATCTTGCGGGCATCATACAAGTTTGCAGAGCACAGCCCCATCATCGAGGAGTCAATGGTCTCGGGCACTCTTGCAGGCGAGCTTTCTGCTTTGTCGGGCATGCCGCGGAATGCACGAGTGGTTGTAGAGCAGCAGGCGGTATTGTGGAAGCTCTCTCTGGAAAATATGCGTCGATTGGAGGCAGAACATCCTCATCTTGCACAGATTTTCGTGCAACTTGTACTCAAAGGTAAGTGGCAGCGTAAATCCTCATTCATAGTATAAGCTTACCCTGCTTATTTCAGCTGCAAAAGTCGATACCGACATTCTTCTTGCTGCCTTGGCAACAAGATAAAGATTGGGATATATAAACCGGATGTAAAACGTATAAAACATGTCTCACAGCCCACAGATATGTAAAGCAAATACATGAATACAAATATGTATACTTATCGAAGAAGCGCCACTTCTCGTCCTTGTATTTCTCTCAGGACTTCGTGGAACCGCAGCGACCACCACCCGCGTTCTTCCCTTTCCTGCTGCTCCGCATCCCCTGCTTGCCCTAGTTCGACACCATGTAACTGCATGGAAGGACTTTTAGGAAATGGCAAGCCTGATGCGAGGATGGATAAGACTGATTGACTGATCTCGGATTCTTTCGACGCGTGAGCCAGGTGGCTCTTCGCGGATGGCGAAGATAACGACTTCAGGGTGTGCTGACAACATTGTCTCAGTGGTACCAACCATTCCTTCAGAATGGCGCACTGCATAGACGCCTCCGATACAGAAGATCGAGAAGTGCCGCGCGACAACGACACGGTCAAGACCTGTCCTTTTGAATTCGCATGTCCTCTCTCGAGCTCCTCGGCAGTTAGTGAAACTAAATCTAGTGAAATGGATGATCTTCTATCTGATGAGATCACATAAGTGCTAGCTCTGCGAATGTCTGTCTTTCGAAGTTCTTACCTGTCTCGTCCGTCACAGAAAGGATTCTGGAGAGACCAAAGTCGTCAAGTATGCGCAAATTTGCAGAAGTGCGCTGGGAATCATCGCGATGATTAGTGGCGGAGGTCATCATGATCAAGTCTGTGAAAACGAATAACTGAACGTCAACGGCCGGAGACTCGACGCGAAGCAAAGGGCTATTTCTGGGCCCCGCTTGTGCCTCAGATCGGAAGTCGAATGATGATGGAGCAGTACGAAAGGATTGTAGCGACGCTGCCGTCGAGGCCGTAGACTGTACTGACCCATTGCGCCCACGCCAACCTTTCAGCGCATTTGAGAGTCTTTCGTTGTGTCGCGGACGCGAATCAGGAGATGGGCTTCTCAGTGGTTCTGAAAAACCGTGGACGTTGGTGGAAGGGCGTGTAACTGGTAAATCATCGTCATTCTCCACTCTTGCACATGCAACAGGACCGTGCATCAGCAGACGCCTGTCACGGCAAGGAAGTTGGGAGGGAACATCTGCTATACGTGAGAACATATCTTTCACAAACTCGTACTCGTCCTCCCGATCTTTGACCTCGCTGAGAACACGGATCGTGAGTTTAGCAGACTGAAGAACAGACAGTGTTGATAGATAGTCGGGATGCGACTTTGGGGTTGCGTGACAGAGCCGCTAGAAGATCTGATTTTAGTCATGAGAAGTCGACAGATACACCAACTCACCTGAAAAAAGTCAGGATATTGGGAGAGCCTCTGAACGGGTTCGACCAAATATTTCTCCAATGACCATCCCTGGCAGGCGGAGGAGCGCTCTTGTAGCTTGATAAAATCTCCGATGTCACTTTTCTCTTGGGTGACAAGATGTTCGATCCTGGTTGCGACAAACTCTAGCTTGACCAGGTAAGGCTGATATATTTCAAGCTTTGCCATGAAAGGTCGAAGAACTTCCCCGACGCATTGCAGGTCGGAGTTGTGCACATCCCGAAGAGCGGTGAGACTGGCGGATAATTTTGTGTGGAGGTGTACGATGTCTTCTAACCAGTCAAACAGCCTCGAGACGTCTTCTGGAACGCCAGAAACCCAGACCTTCGTACTTCGTACACGTAGAGGAAGGATGAAAAGCTGTACCATGTTCTGCAGGTTTATTACGAAAGTTGCCTCCGAGTCCGCTAGTTTCCAAATAATCTCTTGTCGTCGTACCTCTACCTCACCGAATTGTTCCAAAATATGCCGACGAAAGTCTTCCCAAGACACGTGGATATCCGCAGAAGAACATCGATGATCCCGACGTGCGTTTGTCCGATCCAAATGCAAGAATTCGTGGGCGACTGATGACATCGATGCAGCAGAGACAGATGATTCAGATGATGCATAGGACAAGTCACTTTGTATGGGCTGAGCGTTCATGGAGCGTTCGAACTCCTGCGTTGCCAGTCTATTGAGGAGCGAATCAGTATGTACGCCATCATCTTCATACTCGAATTGCCATGTATTTCCGGCGATGGATGACATGTCGCTGTCGGCATGCGTGAGGCAGGGTTCATCAGAGGCGGAGCCAGAAAATGACGTTGGAAGTCCAAACGCCTGACGTTCACGCACTGCAGCCTCGTCTGAAGTGACCATCATGCGCGTGAGCTCTGACGAGTATCGTTGACCACCAATGTCAATGTTAGGCGTATTCTCCGGTGATGGATGCGATGTCCGTGAGTTTAAGTAGGTGGACTGAACAGAACGATGTGGAGAGAGCAGGGGATGCCCTGAAGACGGCCTTTCAACTGATAACCCCGAGTTCCTCGCTGGTACAGTCACTTTTGTTAGCCTCAAAGCTCATTGCTATGTAAAATCACCTACCATTTCGCTCATCAAAACGCCATCGGTTACTTGCTTGGTTGTCTTTGGAGGCCCTGTCTGCCTTGGGGTGAGAATGAGAATGTCCATCCCTAGGGGTAGACGGTCGGAGGCCTTCATCATTTTCGTCGTCAAAAGAATACTCTGAGCCAGAATCACTCTCGTTTTTGCTCGATTCATCCCAGGAAGATGAGTTCTGGATATGGATGGAATCGCTAGAACCACCAATAGCGAGCCCTTCCTCGCCAAAGTACTCGCTCTCTTCGCTTCGAGTTGGCTGATCTTGAGAAACAGGATTCAGTCCATCGACTAGCCCAAGGAGTTCTCTTTTTCGTCGGTCACAAGATTCGTCACCATCGGCCATCGTTTCCGAAGCTGGATAACTTGATCCGGCACTGCTCAGGGAATATCGATCCGAAATTGTGGAGTCGCCTCGTTCCCCGCCTTGATCCGCACGGTCAGAGAAGAGACTCACGTCGTCCTGGATGCTGCCATCGTTATTGCTAGCGCTCCCGCCTTCACTGGTGGTTGAATGTATCGACTGAGCCGAGTTGTCAGCAAACATGCCTCGAAGTTTTGCTCCATAGTCCGCGAATCCAAACCCGAGGCCAAATCGCTCTCTTTTCTTCTCGGGTGCCTTACTAGAAGTCGAGAGGCGCCCCTGCGCGAACGAAAGCTGCTTTGGGAACATGACAGGGGTATCGTCGCTCTCTGAACTGGAAGATGGGAAGACAAAATTATAGTCAGCAGCCAGTTTCGGTCCTCGGAGACTTGAGCTGGTTCGTGGTTCCACGTCAGTCAGGCTGTCTTTGGAACTCTCTCGTGGAGTGTGTCGTAGCAGTGGTGGCGCCACACGTCGAGGAATATTTGATCGATATTTTTTTGGTTGGGGAGTTGCCAATGAGCTGGTTGACGGTGCCGAGTTGTGCGGTGCACCAGGGTCTGTGCGAGCGCGAGCTCTTTCCGTTCTTCTGCCAGGGCCGATGTTGGTCGTGATGGAAGGTTGACGAGGTGGTTGATTTTTCTGTTTATGGGGGAGAGGCGGCCTTGGCGAGAAGCCCTCCATAGGAGAAAGCCGGTCCTGTTTTCCGCTGCGCACCAAGTTGGCGGGTCGATGTGCCTCAAAAGGTCGATCGCCGGAAGGTCCATCAGATGGAATCATTATAGGAGTGTGGGGTTGAGCTTTTAAAATGGGCTTCGGCTTCTGTCTCAAAGCACTGCGTGAGGGCCGTGGAGGACCTTCTGACTGAGCAACTGGGAGTTGGTGACTTGCATCTCTCGAATATGATGAAGGACTCGAAGTAGAGGGAAGTTGAGGTGTCCTTGCGAGCTTGGGCGGGGGGTTTGCATAATACTGACCAGTGTTAGATCGGTGATCCAATTGCGGATTCTCATTGGGCGATGAAGACGGAATTCCCAGTTGTGACGACGGCCTTGTCATGCGATCGATCGTGTCCTTTAGAGAAGGTAGCAGGTGCGCCTCCATAAGCCCCAGATCTCCTACTTGACTTCTACGTTTAGACCTGAAATTGGTAGAGTAATCGACATGGAGAGAGTGCGAATCGGAAGCGGAAGCAAGAGAGGACTGCGAGGGTAGCGGCGGAGTGCTTGAGGTATATGGTTGAGGAGGACGCGATTCGTGAGCACGGCTTCGGTTTGCATTGTAAGGCACGCCCGCTGCAGCTGCATAGTGCGACGGAGGAAGAAAGCGATGCGCAGGGGAAGTTGGGGTAAGGTTTGGAGCAGGAGCAGGAGAGCGGGAGGCATGGCGCTTCGACCATGGGTGCGACATCAACGTTGAAACTCGAAGTGGTGAATACAGAATGCCAAAGCTGGTACTAAAAATTAACGCGTCTTGCCAGTCACGTGAAATTGACTTTGAAGGATAAAGAGATGACATATATATGAGACTGCAATAACTAGGATCTAGGGAAAAGACAAAGTATTTATCAACATCCAACAATTGCTAACTGTACGATTATACAAGCTTGATGCAGGAATCTTCAAAACCTCTGGCTCGGAATTGGAAGTAGAGGCTAGTTAATTCTAACTTTCATCCAGTTCACAACCTCTTCCCCCCATTCTTCTCCTTGACCGGAACATAAAGCCCAGTTAGGGCTGATATGATTGTGGCCTTTGCTAATGATCATCTGGGGAGCCTCTCCACGCCGCTTCTCGATATCTGGTATTATCTCCTCCCACGATAGCATCAGCCAGTCAGGCTCTCGCTCTGCCCTGACAAGGAGAATATCAGGGTGGTCCTTAATCTGTTCATCGGATAGAGCATTCCATAGAGCCCTCGGCTCCCTCTCCCTCTGTTGCTCCTGAGAACCGAAGTATTGTGTTGCGGGGACTTCGGGTCTAAATCTCTTCTTCTCGTCAACGATGAACCAACTGCCAGCAGACCAGATGACGCCTTTAAACCGAGGATTTACGGTACTCGACACCGGTGGATAAAGGCTCAACACTTTCGTGTGCACGTCACCCGCTGAGTGGCCCATGATAAATATAGCATCTACGTCTGGCGCGGGTATCGAGGGTACGCCAATGACGTCGACATTGGCGCAAACCCAATTGACTGCATCACGAGTGTCTTCGGATGAAGCCGGGAACTTGACCTCCGGGACAAGTCTGTAGTCCGGAATGACGGTGATGAAGCCATGCTGCGCAAAGAAAGATCCAAGCGCGCGATATCCCATAGAATATGGTTCGGGAAATTCTTTGGATCCAGTGTTGTATCCACCTCCATAGACGAAGAATAGGATTGGTGTCTTCCCACTCTTGGTAAGAGTCGAGTTTAGCGGGTAATAGACGTCAAGCTGCGGGTGATGTATAGGAGGTTACGAGCACGTCATGAGGTTCGATTCGTCACAAACCTCATTTCTGGTGTGGCGCTTGTCATCGTATACAAAAGTCTTGCGTTCTATCTTCTCTATCTCCGCCTTTCTTTCATCTAGAATAGGTACGAACGCTGCTGTAGCTGAAAAGCAAGTCGGCTGTGAAGGAAGCTATGATATAAGAGGTGGAAGACGCACTTTTGAAGTTGATGGCCGCAACACCAGTTTCTACAAACTTGGAGATTATGTCCATAGTAAGGATCCCAACGACGAGGACAGGACCGAGAGTAAAGATATTATAGTTCGTGGAATGTGAATATTTATATCTGGCCATCCACGCTAGTGACAGATCAACGCTAAGGCATTGACGAGGCTGGACACGTTTCACCCTAGCAAACTGGAAATGAGAAAGCTGAACTAATGGAATTTCAAGTTCGTGCTACCAATAGGGAGTGCACGTGGACTCTAATTGAAATGTCAACCAAGTGACGATTCCGCTTGCCTAAATACCGCGAGACCTTAGCGCAAAACTGATTCAAGCAGATTAGTTTGATTATGCATCCAACTCCGACACCGGCCACCACATAAAACCGCTCATGTGACCTACGCTAACGCTGGAGCCGCCCAGTTGGGCCACCTTCACGACTCACTTCCCCGACTTGTCTGTTTCGGGCCAATTCCTTATCAATCCTCAAAGCTTATCTCAACGGAGCGCTTCGGAGATATTTCATCAGGACTGCGGAGGGCCATCTACACCGCTGCGCAGTGCAGGAGTAGAACTGCGGTGCAGGAAGGTCATCGGAGACTGACTCGGAGGCTGAGCATGCCCGAATGGAAGAACTCGACACTTCGAAGGTCGGAGTGATGCATAAATCCGACACCTGTCCTCAGAGGCGGGGTTCTTGGAGTCCGAGGCTTGCGTATCTTGGTCCCGTTTATCTAAACTTACGCACAAATGAAGACACCTTCTTCAATCGCGGGTTCATCCAGCCAAAGTAACCTTTTATTGAGTCAGATTCTAGTCGTACGTTTATTGAGGCGACGTAAGAACATGTTCGATCTCATGATTCTCATCACAGTGTACACACTATTTGGGCATTACTGCCGCGATGTTGCTACTGTAATACTCATATCGTGCCGTATTTTGTAGAGGCGACAAGGACCCTGGCAGGCGAACTAGTGTTATCAGATTGGAACGTGTTTGGGGTGATCGCGTCCCCCATTTTTGAAGTACATTCCACACAGGGTTATATCACCCACTATACTAGTGGTATGTGGTACGCGCATATCAGATTCACCGCATCTTCAAGTCATTCCTGCAGCTTGGCCTTGATGCCAAGCATGAATACTAGTCGACTGGCTGGGTACGGCGACAATGAGAAATCATGAATCACGAGGTTTCCACGTGCCCATTGGGGCCTTGTCTTGCTTGTCACTTAGGCTCCACCTATTAAGACCTTCCCAAGCTGCAAGACATCTCCATCGCCTGCTCAACGACTCCTCGGCTATTCTATCACAGGTAATACATGCTTCCGAGAGCAGTGATGTTCCAAATCTCGAAGTACAAGGTTCGTGGCGATGACGACACAGCAATTATTCACGAGGACGGTAGATATGCCCCGCAGTCTCAGAGTGGCTGCACACGAAAATAGATACGTGTCAGACAGCGGGAACAATCGAAAGTGAACGGACCAGGCTTATGGGTCTCTGCTCAGTTAGAGCGCGGCACTTCGAACCCGGATGCAGTTCTGAAATTGCTTTGATGGAAATGGGGACAAGGGGAAAGTTCATGGAGATTTGGCGGATGGTAAACTTACAATAATCAAGGCTCCGTGGAGCACATGGACATTCGGACATGAATTCCACACTATACCAGTGCGTTCAAGACCTTCGAGACTTCGGTTCCGCAAATGAGGTAGAGTCGATCACGAGGAGATCTGTGGATGATCCGCTGGATTGCATGGATAACACTTGAAGGACCAGCGCATAATGGACGTAGCTTAGATAGATGGGATGGAAGGAGTACTTACGAGAGGAGCCTTGTGCATAACGACATAATGTTACGTCGCTAGACCTTTTATGCGACGGAGCACGCAATTTGGTTAGTAAAGCGAGGTAAAGACCAAGATGGTCAGTAGATATAAATCGTGTCCATGTTCCTTACATAGGTGTGTTTACAAGTAAAATGTGACAGTTTGGATCATGGCTCACTGAGTCGTATTTGGAAATCTTGGTGAGATGAAAACACCCTTCAGTATGTTACGATGTATCTATCCCCGTAACTTTTGTCTACGAAGAGACTCGAAGGTTCTGGGTCTAAATTAAGGTCATGGGACGCTGTGCCCTGTATAATGGGGTAGCTCACCGAAATGTCCAGAACTGGATCCGAGCAGAGGCATACTGGTAATGCATAGCAAGGGACGGTTGAAGCTTCGAACATACAGATCGCCGTATGAAAAGCTGCGGAACTTCTTCATTGGTGGTTCTATAGCGCTCTGGGACGTGGGGTTAGGATGAAAGTAATTGTAGTACTGTCACGGTCATTGGACGGGTGCGCTCCACACACACTAAGAATTTTTGGATGTGCAGAAAACAGATTAGTGGGAGATGCAGAGATGCATAATATGAATGTGCCGTTCTGTCACCATTCGGCCCCGGTTCGAAGAAGGATTCTCAGGATCTGAGTTCAGAGGCACGAAGTAGTGCAGACGAACGGCGGAGTCGAGTCTTGAGGATGAAAGTGGAGAACCGGACGGAAAACGAACGAAACGAGCAAGTGAAAAACTAGATACTTAATCGGGATGACGGTCATGGAGGCCTCGTGTAGTCAGTAGTAACAGGTAGTAATAAGGGTTCACTCAACCGCCAACGCGGTTTGTAGTGGTAATAAGAGTGCGAAAATGTAGCCATGGACGTCTTGATGGGAGTCGCCAATGATTGTCATGATCGAAATATTATCGTGGCACATAGTCGAAAGGCATGTTCCTTGATGGTAATTTGCACTAAATTCTGTGTAGTGATCAAACGATATAATCGTGGTTTGAAGTGACTGCGGTGTTGAAGTAGGTGAAGGGGTAAACGAACTTGAGCTCAAGGAGGACCGGGTGGACATGACCGACTTGGCAGGGCTGCGGCAGAGTCAGCGCCCGGTAACCCGGGTGGTGGTGGCCGACATGCCGAGATTCTGATTGATCGAACTAAAAAGGAAATTCGTTATATAATCGTGTAAAATGGATGATCCGCATTTGACATCAATGGGATTCAAGCTAAATAGGCGTCAGACTTACCCGATAGTCACCCGATAGTACCCTCTCTTCCTCCACATCGCACGACTTACACCACATCACTACTTCACCATCCATAATATCTATCTCTTTCAGTTGTAGGCCACCCCCATCTGTAGTTCAAACAAATTCCAACTTCTACCTTACTCTTCGTAGCCATGGCCACTACATCCCAACCTATCGCTTTCCAGTCTCCTAATCATCCTGATTTCAACATGGCATCTGGTTCATTCACTGGTAACAACAGTGCCAGGTCTTATTTTATTGGCTCACCAATATCCTGGCGTGCTGGCTCATTTGGAAGCCGTTTCTACCCTGGTTGTTCCCCTGGTCAACTTCTCGGTCCATTGGAGTCAGTTCATACTTCACTTACCGTGTAAAGGTGCTGACTTCGTTTATGTAGTCCTAACGAATTCAAGTGTGCCAAGTTGTCGTCTTCTATCGACAGCGACCGTGGTTCAATTCTGAACGCTCTCGGCGCCCTCGACAAGGAAGACGAATTAGTAAGTCGTGTCGTTCCGAAGTAGTTTGTGCCAGTCTCATGGTTGCACCACCCTCTTAGTGTCGCAACTACACATGCTGTGGTCTACAGTTAGATGATCTACATGCTCTGCTACAGCATTTCGAGGAGATCCACGTTGTCGTGCTTGACCCGTTTGGTCACCCTCAATTCCCAGTCGTCCCTTCTCTACCCCAGTCTGATCGCAACGCGACTGCGTCTTACATTTCAGACTTTCAACAGCACTCTCAATCTTACAACCAAGGTGGTTTCGACCCTGATGATATGGAACTCGATGTTGATCATGGCAGTCCAAACGCGCCAACGCCCCCTGATACTCCCCTCAGCACACCGCTGTCGTCATACCCTACTCATTCGTTTAACCACTTTGGACATTCGAAACCTGCCTCCCCGCATCTTCCCGTGTCCGCATTCGATACGACAACTGTGCTGCCTTCCCGCTCCGTTCACGGCTCAGCATTCCCACCGCCTCGAAACGGTCTTCCAAATGCGGCAAATGCCCCAGATGCATTTAATGCTTACGCGGGCTACTCTGACTACTCATCCTCAATGCCTGGCACTGTTCCTTCCCCAAACGGCAGCGACGATGTTCACGCACCTGTCACACCTGTCAGTGAGCCGGGCAGTCCCTACGGCTGTCTTCCTCCAGCTGTGGTATTCTCCACGTGTAATACCCCTGTCACCACTCCTACAGCCTCTCGCATGCCATCTCCAGCAAGTGCCTCGTGCCACCCGGCGCCCTCCGCGGCGTCTCATTCCTCGGCGTCCTCGGATTCCCCCGCTTCTGCCAAAGGTTTTACGTCACAGCAAGCCAATCAGCGTGCCAGTACTACACTCTCCCGCCCTGCGTCATCATTACTATTATCGAAACCCTTCCGCTGCCCGAAGCCAAATTGCAATAAGAGCTACAAGCAAGCTAATGGGCTCAAATATCATATGACTCATGGCAGCTGCAACTTTGCGCCACCCAAAGACCTCGAGCAAGTACAAGCACTATTGGCTAGTAAGCGGTCTGCCCGCGAGGCTGCTGGAGACGATCAGGGGATTACAGAGGGTGACATGCGCGAAGTCGAACGTGAGGCAGAGCGCAGACTCCGGCCCTTTGCTTGTGGTGTCAGTGATTGCCAACGCCGATACAAGAACATGAACGGTTTGCGGTATCACTACCAGCATTCGGGTGACCATGGTGCAATTGGCTTGGCTCTCCTTGCCAGTGGACAGCACGAATGTCTACAACATGCCCATGGACGGAGTAGCAATGCAAGCTCACGGCATTCAACACCGGCGACTAGCGGAACCTCGACGCCAGTAAGCGGACACATGACATCGACGTATGCCCAGCAATATCAGCAACAGATGTTTTACTCGTCCGCACAGCAGCAGTACTTGCGCCAGCAGCAGGCTCTACAAGCACAGATGCAGATCAGCTATCCTGCTGTCTCGGGTGAAGCCGTCCCTATCATGGTTGCGCAACAATGAAGATATACCCTCGTTCAAAGTACAACATCCGAAAGGATGAAGCTTATTCGAACATAGATTGCATGTGATTTATAGACTATCTACTGGCTGTCGGATACCCCTCCTCACTTTCTGGCGACCTCCGTCTCCTTCACTATCTCGATCCATGGCGCAAAAGTAAAAATTATACGTATTGGTCGACTATTGTTTATATTCCGTCTTTGGTGTTCTTCAGTCTACTTATTTCCCTTCTATGTGTTTCTCCTTTTACCGACTTATACCATATCCCAGTCGACGGCTATTGTTTCTAAGAATCGTTTATTTTGCTTTCCTTTGCGTCTGGCGCGTCTGGCACGACATGCTACTTTCTCCCTGCTTCTTTGGTTTATTTCCTGTGTCCCCCACCTCATAGTTTCATATTCATAGTTTCATATGATAGCAGTTTTCATATGTTCTCTAAAAGCCGGGATTGTGTACTATTATGCAGGCTGGCATCTCTTGGATCTTGATATTTGTCCATTTCTCCTACACGTACTGCGTATACTTAAACACTATCTATCTACACAAATAGTATGACAACCTATTTTGCGTGCAGTTGTTGATTAAGTGCGAGCTTCGGAGATGGTCAACGATCTTCTTGACTGAAACGTGCACGTGGCGTGTTGATCGGGATCACGATGATCGATCTGACTAACAACTTTGCCTCCCCGCTCTTTGTATAGGCTTCCAAAGGTAGTCCGGGGCAAGCTGAATCCTCCGGATTAGCGCGTGTAGGGCCGTGACGTCGCAGCCGCGGCGATAACTATCATATAGCCTAGGAAATTACTACACGCACGAAAAGCATCTCGAATGTAAGAGAATGGAGTCTCGTATCACGGCGGTGCGCAGCACCAATCCCCGCAGTCGGTGACTACTATAAACACAGGCTCTCGGTCGAGAACAAGTTAATGTGTTACTGTTGACAGCTCTCATATAGCCTAGGCACGAAAAGCATCTTGAATGTAAAAGAATGGAGGGCTAGGGAATCTCACTGGCATATATATCGCGGCGGTGCGCAGCACCAATCCCCGCAGTCGGTGAGTACTATAAATAAATATAAAAGCTCTCGGTCGAGAACAAATTAATATGTTATTGCTTGGCTATGAAGCGGCCCCGAGTGGATACCTTTGATGGAATTATCCAGTGTGGTCATGGAGAAGGATCCATGACTGTCTTCCTGTTGGAAAAACTTGTTCGAGGCAAGTTTCGAACCTGCACTATCCAGAAGACGAACAGATTTTGAATCTGTTGCGCTAGCTTCGCTTGGATAAGACGGACCTCCAAGGCAAGTGAATGTACAACAGAAAAATCTTAGTAGGCAGGTTTCCGTCACTAAATCTTTCTCGTCCAACAGATTAGAATGATTAATCTCAAGATGATCTATCCATTACGATCGAGTATCGTGCTTACAGAATGATAATGACCCCTTATCAGCAAGTCTCGAACTACTATCTGTGGGGATAACTTGGCTCTATATGACACGTCCGCGTCAGGATGGGGAATGGAATATTATATTATTAGAATGAAACAGACCTTATTATAAAGGGGCTTCGATCTGCCACGCTGCACGGCGCTCATATTATAAATATTGACTTTCAATATTCAATCAAGTCTTTTGATCAGAGTCGGTGATAGTAGCACAGCCTCAACCTCGCGTGGCACTCTCGTGGCCTCGTTGTGCCCAAGGCACGGGTGCTCGTGTCAGAAAACAAAGATGTAACAGGATGTAACTGAGATGTGCCAACTGCAACGTTGTTTGATGAACAAAAATATGCAAGACCTTCCATTCTTAAGGTTATACATAGTGTGGGAGTCGGGGATAGACTCGTGGCCTTACAATCAGACTCCAAACAACAAATTTGAAACGTTCATTCCATTCCTGCTTATCTTACGGGCTCAAGTCGAGTACCCAATCATGATGGTATCGACGCGAATTACTTCCGCGGTATCAAACACTTCGTGTTTACAGTACATTGTAGATAGACATGATTGTCTTTATATGCAAATGGTATACAAGTCACAAACCGCCCAAACAAGTAAAATGTACAATGATGCTGCCACATGTTCATGCCACAACCTTACAAGCGGATGCTATTGCATCCCGTAACATCTTCAAGCTCGATGAGTCGCTCTCAGCTGCTATGGTGCTGATAGGCTTGTAAGTCACATAGCCCCAGTCCGCATCGAGTACGACATATCCACTGTCGCCATCCACCACAAGCTCTCGCAAATTGGTGAGCTCAGTCGCCCATCGTTGCCAGATGCTTGACCATAGCCTGGCATCGAATGATGGGCTTGCTACATAGCTTGCGCATGATCGCAATTCCAGGTGACGCAAGCCACTTTTTTGGCGGAGAACAAACTCTTCGACACCTTCAGGAGAGGGCGTCTGATCAAACACAATATTTTCGAGCACGAGCGATTCGAGTGATGGATAATGGAACGAAGAGAGCTGTGTTGCTAGGCTGTGGTATGGACCCTGAGGGCTGCGCAGCTCAAGTGATTTGAGCGTGGCGTTAGAAAGGGGCAGCAGTGCGCCAAGTGATCCATTGACGTCCTTTGAACCCGACCAGGCACTGATATCGGCGTTCGGCACGACAGATAATGAAAGATGGGACAGGGGTGAGTTCGTAAGGGCAGAGACGAAGTCATAACGTGAGGGAGGCATCATGACCACATTGTTGAGAGAAAGGGATGACATGCGAGATTTCTTCATGGCGTGGTATATAGCATGTGTAACCGTGAGCTGCCGATTCGTGAACCAAAAAGCGCTCTCGCGGATTTCCTTCCCAGAGTGGGAGATAAATGATGGCCAAAAACTTGCAGTGACGCATTCAAGTCTGGGAAGTGTATCGATTGAGCAGAAAGCCTCAGTCAAGGTTTCTTCAAGCTCATCGACTTCAAGCATATCCTCGACTTCTGTAAGAACGTGCAAAAATTAGCTCCTATGCGTAGACAAGGGAAAATGGAACTCGCCAATGGTTTCCGGAGGGAATTGGAAACACTCATCATCACGAGAATCATAGACGACCTCCCGAACATAGGGAGCAAGGTTGGGAGCAGCGATGATCTGCTGGAAGTTTTGTGCGCTCTGGATGCTATTTTTGACGTGAAGTTTGCTGAATGCGATGGGGGTGACGAGATCTCGATACGCCTGGCTTAAGCAGCGTAATTGGAGAAGATCGGTCAAGGAGGAGACATTCTCAACGATAGCGTTGATGATTTCGATGGGCAGGTTTCGCATTATGATAGAGAGGGGACAGAGTTTGGTCTGAATGAAAAAGAACTGCGTGCGTGGTTCCATTTTATATCTCCCATGTGAGCTTGGTATTCGTTTCCCCGTGTACACAGGAATGTGCCCAGTAAACCGAAATAATCTACATCGGCACTAGTCCCACGTACGTACCGAATTGAACAAGGTCTTGAAATGGTTGCGGAACAAAAGCATACTCGACAAATGTGGTCACTGCCAAAGATAGAACTTCTTTTGCTCACAAATCTCGGGGAACTATTCTTGGACCTCGCAAAGTAGTACACAACATCACTCGAATTGCGCAAAGTTTTCAACCCAATATATCGTGGGAAAAGTATTGGAGTGGGCATTTTGGCCTCGGTTTCACCCGAAAAAAATCATCTTGCCCAAGGTTGTCCACTACGATGTAGGCGCACCCGAGTACTGGCAGTTATCTGAAGGTATGCCGTTATCCGATGATCGTAAGTTTCTATGTATAACGCTCTGCCCTCTAAATGGTACTGTTGTACTGAGCCTTATCTTTTTTCGATGCGGCATCAATGCATCATATTTGTTTGATGCAGTTGTTCAGATCATTTTCGATGGTGTATCCACACTCGATGACTACCATCGTGATATGTTTGAACCTCTTGTTAGCTGATGTGACATAACCTTGTGAGGTGAGGTGGCCCAGGTTCGCCTGGCCGAATCAGCGACCCTGCCCAGAACACCTGCCAGAACGTTCAACAATGAACGCCGTGCTTCAAGTAAAGTTTCAAGTTAACTTTCACATCACATCACATCTAGCGCCCAGGCCCCAGTGGCATCACCTGCCAGTCAAATCATCTTTAATAAAACCCTCTTCCAGTCAGACACCACGATACCACACGTAAGACATTCCAATTCGGTCGAGCCTCACACCACAACTCCCAGCTCCATCGGACTCTCTCGTCATTCGTGCTGCGGCTCGTTCCTTCTAGAGTCGGATGAATATTCCGAAGCCGAATTTCTGGAGAGAAGAAACTGCGGAATAGAACGACCTCCGCAGTGCTCGTGGTGTGTAGCTCTCCACAGACTGAAGATAGTGGGTTATTTTTTACCCCGGGCAAGTGGTCATGATAAGTGCAATTGGAATTTGACTATGTTCCGTGCCCGAGGGGTCGCGCTCTATCCATTTTCATTACTAGTTGATGTGTTGCATCAAGATACTCACGCTGCAATTGGGATTACTTAATCATAACGAGAAGCGGGTGAAAGAAGGAGAGAATATTATCTATTTATATACATTGCAGTTTGCAGTTTGCGCGCTCTGAGACCCAGTGAAAACCTACACGAGGCAGATCGAGGGATGTCAAGGTGCGATCAGACCTTGTTGGATGACACACTTTCTGTATATATGCCTCGATAACATTCGAGGAATATCGAGGCAGGTAGAGTAATTCTAGTAGGGTTTTTTTGGCCTCAGAAATCAAAGAGTCACGTTATCGCATAGTACTAGTTTTACAGCAGCGAGAACAGGCAGAATTCAATTATACATTTAAGACTCTGGCCCATATGCATCAGCTGGCCAGCTGGTGTTGGGTATTACGAATTGTATTGGACTTGCCAAGTTTGAATGTTATGTAAATAATTGCAGTGAAAGGTCCCCGGTCCCCGCCCAATTGCCTGGTGGTCGGATATCTGCTTGCGCCCTCGAGTATGGGTATATTATTACCCCCCTACCGCATCTTTCCTCAGTTCTCTACCTCCCTGCAGCCTCCTCTCACGTAGGACAGCCTAAGTCACTGAACCAATCATACTCAACATCAAGCGCGTCGGCATATCCACGCTGATTACCCATCACATTGCAATCCATGATATCAACTATAGGCAATTATCACTATCATACAAAAACTATGCGCGACCGCAACCAAAATATTCCAAACCAAAATAAAACTAGCGCATGATTACCTGGCATCTCGAGCAGGATACGGATATATTCTATCCAGAGTCTGGATATCACCACCATCTAGCCGTGCGTATCCAATCGTGTATATGGATATTACGATATTCGGAATATTAAGATGTCCCCACTCACGCTCACAGCTTCCACCAGCATCCAAATACACCGCAGTCATCCTCTGGGTCGTCAGGGATTGGCTCAGGTGAGGGTGATGGTTGGTCCTCGCTTTGGCATGCAACTGGGACTTTGTAACCCTACGAAATAATTGTACGTCAGCACAGATAATGGCAACTCAGCGAAAGGAACTTACATCCTCCCTAACACCTCCACCCCATGGCGTACGCCCCTTAACATTGGCGTCCATACCCAACCCGCGCTCGGAAAAGCCTATCCAGATATCACAGAAGTTCTCTCCACCCGTAAGTACCTGATCAGCCTGCACGATCGCATCACGAGCATCAAAGAACGATGGGCTACATGGCTGCAGCTTCATTCCGTTCAACACGAGCTGTACCAATAGCGAGTTACCGTGCTTCGGGACGAAAGGCTTGTCGGTACGGTAGAAAGCAGCGTAGTCGGCGAAGTTAGCGTCATGTGGGGGAGGGAACAAGTTATCCGTGAACCCGTGCTTGGCGATCAGCCTTTGCTCGACGACCCATAGGATCTGCGCCCAGACCTCTCCGATTGCGTGCACGCCCCAGTACCCGGGCTTGTCGAGGGTCTTGTACGTGCTTGGGTTCACCGATTTGTCAAGACTGTACGGGAAGTTCCGAATACCACCTGCGCGATTGGCAGCCCATGCGCCCATGGGGTAGTCCTGGTAAGTGGCAGTACTGCGAATGGTCGTGGCGAGGAAGTCTGTAAGCGGTGAGTTTGTTTAGTTGTTAGGCGTCCAATTGACATTGAAGACTTACCACCCCAGCCCTCTCCCATACCACCAGCCTCACCCCAGCCAAGACATCCACTGTTCTTGGGGCCACCCGTCAAGCGCGTACTGAGACCATGGGAAAGCTCATGGATAACGATACCAGCTTCCATGTCACCATCGCGGTAGGGGTTAGCAGTGTTCCAAAGGTACATTCGGCATCGGCTGGTTCACGAAGCATAAATATTGATCAGACCAAGGCAGGAAAATAACAACCCACCCATTCTGGCCATCGGGAGGCGTCATGAAATTGGCATTGTTGAACCCACTGCCGTCCTGTGCATTCGTAATCACAGCGTCCGATTCCTCACCGCCGCGCCCAAAGTTGTACTGCTGGAAGTTCCCAGCCTCTTCGGTGAAGCCGTACCTGTCACAGTCCGTCACATGGGAAAATAAGACATAAACGCGAGTAAAACGCACCGGTAGGTCAAGTCGTGGAACAAGTTGCTCGTGTAGAAGAGTTGCGTCACCGTTGCATCGATGTGGGCACGTGCATCAGCCATGTTCTCCTCTGTGTTGTCCTTCGGGCTCGGGGAGTAGGTGTAGTCGTAGTGGACAGCTGGGAGCTGGTTCGCGTCACCTAACAGACAGGCATCACAAAAACGAAAACTAGAACAAGCTGCGCAAGCACTCACCACCCACGGACGTTCCCTCTGGGCGGCGGTTAGATATCCATGAGTTCCGCCCGTCCCAGTTCTCATGTGCAAAGACGTTGTTTCCCCACGTGGTGTTTGTCGTGCGCCAGAACTCGCCTGCCGTTCCGCATAAGGTCTACACGAAAAGGTCAACTAAAGTATGACTAACCTTGCGCACGAAGTACAGCCTTCTCATCTTCACCAACGCTAGGGTCTACACCCCACGGCAGGGCGTGCCACCCTGCCGGACTTGCGAACTTGTCACCCAGCTCAGAGGAGAGGACACGACCGTAAGAGAGGGGGAGGAAATCTGCAGGTGCTAGGAGGCGTGAGTTCGGGTTTGGATCGCGATGGGGACGCAGCAAAACTTACCATCTGCCTCCCTCATCGCCTTCCTTTCCACAGCCTCAACAGGGTCGTTGGTACCCCACGGGAAGACGTTGTAATATGCTATAGGGAAGGCAGGAATGGCAGGGCCGCTAGACCACTTGGTGGCCTTGCTCTTGCGAAGATCTGCCACAGCCTTGCCCTTCCTGAAGCGGCCACCAACCTTCTTGGTGGAGCAAGAGGGAGCGCTGGAATCTGCAGGGACGAATGAGGCAAGGGGAGGGAGCTGAGCATCCTCGGAGTAAAGAGGCATGGGACTGTCACTGGCCCAGTCCACGACGGACACAATACGGTGGGGAAGAGATGCAGAGACTGTGGCCTCATACCAGTTGTTCTCCATCTCGACTTCGAACTGTGTGATGGTCAATATTGGGTGAGAAGGCTGGAGAATGAGTACTAACGCGATGTACGAGCTCGAGATGCACGGTGCCGTCTTCAGAGGGTACCTGGACCCAGACGACGGAGGTCTTGACCTCGCCAATGGCTCCGGGTGCACCGGTGATGGTGAGTTGCTCACCCTCGTTAGGGAGGAAGCCCGACATGTGAGCCATAGTCATGCTCGCCAAATAGTCATCGAAACGGGCATGGATGTCCTCTGTGAGAGCGGGGGATGGGGCGGCTGCAAGAAGGAAAGTAAGAAGTGCACGAGGTGCATCTTGTGGACTTGGGACATGGTCATCAATGGAGGGGGTTGGGATGGAGTGGATATTAGGGAGGGCAGCGCAGTTGGAAGAGTGGATGTGCTCTAGCTCTTGGTGTGTACCGTCAAGGTGTATCTGGCCTGACCGGGGGGAACGAGCGGAGTCGAGCTGTGCACAGTATTCTGCGTGGGGGTGTGCGCCACGGGTGTGTGATGCCGGAGTCGGGCCGGGGTAAAACTACACGGTGAGTGTTAGCGCTTGACGCGTCACCAACTTTAATACGTATACGCACCGAGTTGCCGTAACTCAAGACAACGCCGTCTTTGATGTTCAAATTCACATTTCCGTCGGCCACCTGGACACCTTGAATGACCTGGCGTGCATAAATGTGGGTGACTCCGGTAGTACGATCTGTGTAACTATCACTGCGGATGATGTACCTCACACCGTCGTCGTGGTCTACGATAGAGTCAAGGAATGTCTTGGCTACCTCGTAAGGATCTACCCGCACTCTGTCTTGAGTAGAGAATAGTGCAGCGGGCACAGGCTGGTGAGCACTACTATCGAAGCGGGCATGAGGAAGAACAGGGCCAAATGAAAGAGACTTGCGACGCTGCGGTTCTGGAATTGCAGCAGCGAGGCCGAGGAGGGCAAAGGTTACTGTTGTCAGTCCGCGCATGGCAAAGCTGACTTGGTTTCACTTTCCATTCCGTTTCACCATCGGGTTTATATCAACTTGGTCTACGTAAGCGCGGTGAATCCCGGTTGCGGCGGCTGTACATGTAATCTTCCAATTATGGCGAGTCAAGATAAGTCGCCTCGAGGAGACGGAAATGGGGTTGTTGGGCTGGCAAGGCTTGAATCATACCAAGCCAGCATGCTCGATCAAGTTGGTCCTCCTCTTGTGCATTAATGAGATCCGGCGTGCGAATTCACACCTGGGGCCTCCAATCCCGTCGTTTTTCTATGACACAAACAGCTTAGGCTTATCATTCCGAGTCTCCGAGTCTCTGCCTAGGAAACTATCTTATTCCCACACCCAACCCACGCGTCTATCGCTCATCATGCTCCACAGTGCTCAATTGTATAGCCACCCGTGCTTCTGGACGAGAGCAGCTAGCCTTCTTGTTATCGCGTGCCATCCTAGTTGTCCTTCTCGTAAGCTCATGGCGCCCCTGGGCCTGATTGATGTTCGATAGCGACGAAGCCGTAGTGGCATGCGTCTGTCTATAGCTTAGACCGCGGGCTCAGCGGGATATGCATCACATTGTATGTTCTATCATATCATCTCTTTCTTTCTCCTATCCACCAATGTACGACGGAAAGGGCTTGTTTATTCTTGAGCATCCGTGCTGAACACCGTTACGGCAGGTCGAGCGAGTCCTATCAACCACCTAATTGCAAGTTCCCATCCACTCCAGTGAGTGTCCTTGATCGCCCATTTAGGAATAACGAATTGTGATGCGACAATTCCATTGGAAATCACGCCTTAAATCACGACATCACACAGCACTTGGTGTCAGACACGATGTATTTATTGACCAGACTATAGCACCCCTTCACTATCTCTCTCACGTATCTATTGTACGCACAACCCCTGTTGCGAAAGCAACTTCAGCACTCATATTCAAGAGGCACCGAGGAAAACCATGCTCACCTCTTACTTTTACGTGCAGAACGCACCGCTGGTCGTCGCTTCGCAGCAAGTGGAACAACTGCAGCCTGCAACATATACGAACTCGTCTGTCGATGCACATTCATAGATGAACGCGTTCCCGCTGTTAACACTCGCGTCCTGTGAGCACCCATAACCACCTGCAAGTAATCGTAAGTACGCCATTAAATATCCGCACATCCGAAACACATGGTTATATGGCAAGAGTACTCACCTGGGGTGTCACAAGACTGGCCGATGGGGTTGTACGCGGTGGCTACGCCAGCCATTACCGCAACAGACACAATCATAGAAGTGAGTGAGATGAATTTCATGTTTGTAGTGAGGAGAGTGCTAAGGCTTGATAATGATTTATCTTCTGTTGAGTTGGTGGAAATATAACACATTCCTCTCGCTTTTATACTGCAGCCCCCAGCATGCCTCAGACAACGACGCATCCCTACATTTACGTAGGATGGGCTACGACAGGTTACCTTGCACGGCATTCCTATCAAAACAGTAATACCGATAGACGCACCATTCAACTGCCGAGCTGCATACGGGGCTAGAGGATTGATCTTGAAATGCTGCGTACCCCTCCGCATGACATATCCGAGGCGATGGATACGGAGAGATCATTCAAAGCAGTGATCTTGTCATGATACAATAATATATGTGTATGTCCGTTCTTTTGTTTTGTGAGCGATATTTCGGTCTTTAGACTGTGCGCCGTCTGATGAACGTCAGAAGGATACGGGTGTCCTTGCCTCCAATTCGGAATAGGGTGCAAATATGGAGTCGACTCTTGAACCTCAGTCGACACTGATGATGTGGCCGAACTGACCCTTCTGTCGCATGAACAGGTTTTACTCGATCAAATGTGTTTCAGACAAGGCATGTGATACAATTAACCTCTTACACCACAACGCGTCCTGTACAGCCACCGGATGGCTTGCCAAAAATTGCTTAGGGGACGGATCATATTTCACGAGGATTGGAAATTCCGAACACTGCACAGACGTGGCACTGAGGTCTCTGAAAGTGATCGAGTGATGCGATCATCATGTGCCAGCTGGGTTTGTTCGTAACGCGGGGAGACTCTATTGAAACTAGGGCCGGGCAGGCCCGCCAGGCACCTTGCTTGATAGATTGCAAATCGTTGCATATTACAAGTACAGACTATAGTAGTTACATTCTCAGGAAGGGATCGCTTTTTCCGTGTGGCATTTTTGATCAGTAGGGTTACAATCTCTAAGTCATCCCGACCAATGTCCAGAATTTTATTGGATTTTCCAGTCATGGACGAGGATACAGCATCATGGCCGATGCTAATCGGTTCGCCGATGAAATGAAGTGAATATAAGCATCAAAGACTTCCTCTTCGTCTCTATCGCAATGATCAGTTTATCGAACCAACAGATGCCAACGCGATGGATGGAGCGGTAGTTGAAGTTCACTTCACGATCAAACATTATTATCTGCAACGTACCTTCGACTCTTACCAAGGCGACATCCAGCAAATCAATATCCTCAACCTGGTAAGCCACTTGAAGAGAATGTTTACAAACAGAAGACTGCTCGAGAAGGACCACCGACTTCGTCTGCTATTTTTGAGACGAGATCCCCTTCTGCAGGTCCTTCGACGAAGAAAGCACGAGTAGATCTTCCCGTCACGAGCGAGAAGGGAAAAGAAGTCGATACTGCAGAGAAACCGTGGATGGTCGAGAGATGGAGGCAGGAGTCTTCGTCTAATTTCTAATCTTCACAATGTATCATTATTCAGTACAAATCAAATGTGATACGTCGCATACGAGACGCGAAAGACGCGTACAAAATATGCAAGAGGCGCAAGTAAATACACACCGCGTTCAAACTTGTGTCGCTACTCAAGCTGAACTCTGTCATTGGCACCGTTATTAGATATCGGAACTGGGAGACGAGCCATTGGGATGTGGAATGCAGGGTAGTATTTAGCCTCAAGGATCAGCAGCGCGTTGAATGCCTCCAAGCCGCCGATCATCAGAAGTGCGTGGAAGTTACGCTCTTGGAAACGTGCACCTACTGCGCCGAGATCAATATCTGGGAGGGTACAGTTTGAGTGCTCTTGGAAACGTGCAGCTACTGTGTCGAGGTCAACGTCTGGGAGGGTACGATTTGTGCTCTTGGCAACATGCAGCTACTGCGCCAAGGTCAATGTCTGGGAGGGTACGGTTTGTGCCGAGCTCAGAACCGCCACGGGAGGTCCGTGCATCGACACCGAGCCAGGAAAGTTCGTGGATGTTGTATCAAGTAGACCGCGGACACAATAGCGTACTGCAGCTCGGGTGGTCGCATTCATGCCACCAGCAGGGGAGGGGCACAAGTCTGCTGCACTAAAGAGGTATTACTAAACCAAACCGGTTTTCTCCGATGAGTTGGAAGTAAAATAGCCGATATCCTCCATTATTTCTTTATTTGGTGCTGTACTTATGTAACTTTCATACGCAAGCAAGGGGATGGTTCAATATTCAATATAACGTTCAATGCCCACGGGGGTTGGGCATGTCATTCAGCTTCCAGTCATGTGCATGCCATGAACCCCTCCATGATGTCCATCAGCATGCTGCAGTGCGGCATGGCGGGGATCTTAAGAGATACATTCTGTAGTCGCATTCACTTAGTTACTGATTAGTAACTGTCTGGAGGGAATAAGTTGGATCTAGTTCAATTGATATCGAGTGCGCAGGCATGATGAAAGATATGGATGAAGGCCACATATATAAGTTCACTATACGAGTTGTACTACTCAGAACAAATGCGTCTGTCGGCAAGTTAGGTTCCCACATAGGCCATAGGAAGCACATTCTCGCGCATCTCGACGACGACGTTAGTGATGAGAACTTTTTTGCGTTCGACAAAGCCCTCCTCCACTAACGTGGGAGTCGGGGATTCCCCAGTGCCGCGATACGGATACCTGTCACACCAACACAGCCCACTTTTAAAAGTTTCCTGTATATAAATATATAAATTCTTTCTCTCCCAGTTCCCTGACTCGGAATTGGCGTCGACTTCCAATACCGATGCAGTGCTGACTACATGTTATCAGGTCGCTTTCCAACAGTACTATGGCCATGGAGCACGAACAGCCTTCAGGCGTAACAATTGCTGATTTGTTGCTGATTGCAACCGCCCGCAATTGACGAGTCCTGACACAAGCCGATGCTCGTTCTAGGGTCAAAAAAGTTTTCCTCTTCGGCGGTACCAATGTTTGTTTGTGCTCCACTTGAGCCAAGGTATGCTCACGTCCAGCCCGGCACCGATTACTCCACGAGGTTTGAAAAGAAAACACGCAAATATAGAAGCAAGGATGGCACCGAGTGACCGAGCATGATATTCGTTCTACACTGAATCTATACGATGGTATGTAACATCACATTTCGGAAGCACACTGCCTCAACTGCAAGTATACCTATCCTACTGGACAGAAAGGAGATTGCCTTCACGCACAAGCACCGGGACATGGTGATGGAGCCATATCAAGAATACCTCCTCATCGTCCGCTGGAACGAACGCGAATGGGCCTGTATATTTGTGAATCACCTCTAAGCAATACATGGCAATTTTGAAGTTTCCTTCGTGAGATGGCGTTGGACATATTTCATCACCGTCGCCAGATAGTTGGTTTTTTCCCATGACATCACCTGTCAAACATTCATCCAGTGGTCTGTTCCTTCTGAGGAGTTCACATCGAAGACAGATTCAAGTGAGGACCCAGATGAAGGATTCAGCATCATGATAGTACATTTGCTCGACCTTGCCTGCGATCGCTTTTAGCACGAGAATGTGTAACGACATGAAGGGTATCGTTCCTGTGCGCTCGAAGCCTCTGGGACCATCTCGTTTAGTGGATGATAAGTCAAAGTCATCGAGGACGCTGATAAATAAATCACCTAAGCGATATCCCATGAGATTGCTGGGGCTGGTCGTACGCCCCTCTTCCAGAGGGCACGATGGCCTGTAGGAGTAGTGGACGGATGATAAAAAGCACGAGAAAGCAATAACACTCACACATCACAATTTGCCACCATGCGGCAAGGAATTCGTCCCCGATCAGCGTCGTGATCGAGAGAAGCTTTCTAAACGATGATGTTTAGCAGGACACAACTGCGCCGTGCAGCTTCTCCAAGTCCTAGTGCCTTTTTGATTTTCGTCATAGATGTTCCTTCGAACTCGTGGATCCAGGTGGAGTGGCCTTCCACCTCCGTGCTGTTACGCAAGCACCGAGTGCTAATATATTCGCTAACAACGGAACCAACTGCTTGTGGGACAATTACACGTTGCAGAAACATGCATACGTATCGGCAACTTCGAAGCCCTTAGTCCTCCATCCAATTCTTTCTTCCTCGGCGGCGGTCAGCAAGACGCAGACTACAAGGCTTTGCGACAGTTGGGTGGGTGGATTGCGAGGAGAGTGCCAAAGCTGGAAGGCATCGACTAGGAGGTTGGTGATGCTTGGGGTAAAGAGCTCCTGTTTGATGTCACAAGACGAAATGCACGGATGGTGGCTGATGACATGATCGAGGTGAAGCTTGAAGCTTTGAAGTGTCAGATCTTCAGACACGAGGAGCACCTCAAACTGATTGGTTGAGTTAAGAAAGAGAATATATTCGAAGAAGCGAACGATTGATTCCAACAGAAAGAATTCGAATGAACGCTGGGAAGGAGAACGAGCATGAAATGATCATAATCGTGGAGTCGGAGACTGGGTGCGCACGCACCGCTACGATCAGATTAGGCGTTTGAGGACGGGTTTGGACCGGCGATCATCGATCATCTATTGCGCTTATCATTTCAAACTCCGCGTGAAAGTAGATACTTGGCAATTAATATATCGATACAATAAATATTGATGATGGACTCACTACAGGTCTGTCCTCGCGCAGCGATCTTGCGCAATACTTAACCCACTCCCTTACAGATACTTCGGAAAGTTCCGCTCTTGGAGCTAAGCAAGATCCAACTCAGCCAGCACACGACATGGCAACACAATCTACGCCATCCCTAATGAAGCTTGAAGCTTTGGAGCGCTAGGATATATGATATTGTTCATAAATGTTAATGATGACAGGTGATTCGTTTTCGTGCTTGGCGGACGCCGCGTGGTGCGTCTTAGCCTTTAGGTCGTGCTGGCAGCCTGGATATCGCTCACCGGTCACCAGTCAGCCTGGATCTGTATTGCAGTTCTCGCACGTATATGCAAAGGATGTCCTTGTGGATCCAGATGGCTATTAAGCACCTTGGGCTTCTCCCAAAGTCACCAAGATCTCTTCGTGCCGCGCTTCCGCTTCTTCTTTCGGTACAAAACAGAGAAGATCGGTCCACTTTATAGATGTCCTTCCGTGAGACCGTCTGACTGGCTGAACGGCCGGGGATTCAAGCCCTTTGATGCTTGCAAAGAACATGCAAATACCAGGGTTCTCATCCGTTCTTTGACCAGCCGCATGGTACGTCCTTCTCTGCGTGCTAAAATTCCACTATCGTAGGCTCGGAATTTGATTTTCCTCACCGTAAACTCTCAACTCTTGATCCTACAATGGATTTACTGGTCATTTGACCGGCGTGCTATCTACGCATCTTCTCCTCGGCGTGTCTCTTCTCTTTAGTTTGACTGCGATAAGAGATACGCCTGCTGAATCGGGTTGAATACCTGGCCAAGCAAACAGCACAAGTCCCTGTGCAGATGGTGCTCGAGCTCTTCCTACACAGCTGGCAGGTCGGCTTGGGATTGGAAATATTTGCTCAGAATCCCCCGAGCACAAGAGATATTTTCCCTTATCATTCAAGACCCATGCGAATCTGCTCCCGAAGCACTTTAAGAGGGATACAAGCTTGAGTCTTAAGGATTTGAAGTTTCATTCCTGACATCTGTTGCTGTTGTTTTTTTTTTGCTTCAGAGTGGGGTCGTAGACCCTATGTTGGACATTGTTGCTGTTTTGATACCAGCGGTGGTCATGGTCGACTTTCAAGATGAGCGGTACAGCTCAACCGATCTCGAGAAGAGTGATATCAAGGTTCAAGGTAAGTTGATACAGCACCTCTCCTTCCAATGCTTATCTTAGTTTATAACAGAGGTCCTCAAGAACATCGCTGACTTTGACGATCCGAACATAGATCGTGACGGTGCTATCGTCGGAGCCCTTGGTGAACTTCAGTTGTAAATCTTAGTCATAGTGCACAATCTCATGATTTCTGTAGAGGATGATTCGGCATATCCAGAGGTCCGAAGTGCGGTAGCCAACACGGATGACCCGTCTATCCCTTGCAACTCGTCCCGCGCTTGGGTCATAGGTATGTTGATTTTTTCCGTTGAAAGAAATGTTCGATGCTGATGAGCATGACCGGCAGGCCTCTCATGGGCCATCTTGATCGCGGGCCTGAATCAGTTCTTTTTCTTTCGTTACCCATCTGTGTCTATCTCGAATATCGCAGCACAATTGCTTGCTTTTCCTGTGGGTCGCGCCTCGGCAAAGGTAAGTCGGTAACTGCCAGTTGAGTCCGAGATGTTTTTGATTTTTTTTTGATTTTTTTTTTGCAATCATTCACAACGAACCGCATTCGGACTGAATAGGTCATGCCGAATGTCCGTGTCTTCGGTGTTAAGTTGAATCCTGGACCATTTTCAATTAAAGAACATGTCTTGATTACTATCATGGCCACCGTGGGTGGAACTTGTGCGTGCTTCGATCATGTTATTTCCGCTTTACGATTAAATAAGAGTGTCCAGCTGCCTATGCTGTACGTCTCTCAGCTGTGAACTTGCCAGGAAGTACTTACATGATGTCGCCTCTAGACTGATATCATTGCGGTCCAACGAGTCTATTATGGACAAATATACAGTTTTGTTTGTGAGTCCCTGAACATGTATTGTGAATCTCACTCACGGAATGTGCGATTTCCCCTATTCATTGTGGTTTCGTTTTCTTGGCACCCTCACAAAATATCACATCCCCTTCTGTCTTGACGATCTGCTTGGTTTTCTGACTTTGTTGCTGATCGTTCTCACATGCATCATCACGAATGGGGTATCTGTCACCCATGATCCCTTTTCGATCAACATGCTTGCGTGGGTAGACCAATGGATGGTGGTTATGTCCACTCAGCTCATTGGTTTTTCAATTGGTGGTATCTTGCGGCGATTTCTCGTGCAACCTCCCTCAATGAGTACGAATTTAGTTTCCTCCCCACCTTCAATCCGTAACTCACACCTCGGCACAGTATGGCCCTCCAACCTCGTGACGTGTGCTCTCTTCAACACCCTCCATTCGCAGACATATGCAGGTATAGGTACCCGCGGAGGAATTTCACGTGAACGCTTCTTCTATTATGCATGGATATGTGGTGTCCTATGGTACTTTATACCTGGGTACCTCTTCCAGGGCCTGTCTTACTTCTCATGGGTATGCTGGATTGTACCAGACAACATCGTGGTCAATCAGATGTTTGGATATGTGAGTGGATTGGGAATGAGCATGGTCACGTTCGACTGGTCTCAGATTACTTACATTGGTAGGTTTTTAGCATGTCGTCATGAATTGTGTTTTAACTATTAACCCAGGTAGTCCGCTTGGTAAGTCATCAGACATTCTTTGTCGAGGAGAGACTCAAGTTATGATCCACTACTTTCTACAAAGCCACACCATGTACGCCGAAAGGACTTCCCATCAGTTCGGACCTGATTATTTCTTTGCATAGGGTGGGCCGAGGCAAATATTGCAGTGGGCTTCATATTCTTTTTCTGTAGGCATTCTTTCTCCGCAGTGTCATTTTCTTTGCTAAAAGGTATCTAGGGCTCGTTGTCCCTGCACTGTACTACACCAACACCTGGGACAGCAAATACATGCCGTATGAGTCATTTTATTGTGTCCCCAGCGCACCTTGATAACATCGTCTACCGCTATTAGAGTTTCCTCGAGGACATCGTACGACCACACTGGCGCCTCATACGATATTACCCGTATCATCAATTCGGATGCCTCTCTTAACTTGACAGCATATGAGGAATATAGCCCTCTGTTCCTCTCGTGCGCTATTTTCGCCATCTATTTCTTGTATTGCACCTTATGTATCCTGATCCAGGACGACTTTCGCTTTGTCCTACGGCCTGTCATTCGCCTCTATCACAGCATCGCTCACGCATGCATTCCTGTTCTTCCGGAAACAAATATGGATTCAGAGCAGACGCTCAATGCACGAGCAGCCTGACATCCACGCCAGGCTCATGTCCAAGTACAAACAAGTGCCAGAATGGTGGTACATGATGGTTTTTCGTGTGTCATACCTTCGAAAGTTTCCGATCACCCCACTGATCAGTATGCAGTGACCATGTTCGTAATTGGTGTAATTTCCATTGAGCTGTGGCACACTGAGTTCCCAGTTTGGGCTTTCGTCCTCTCCTTGGCTATCGGTGATTCACTTGTGTCAAATATTATGATGATTGAATGACTGATCGGCTTCCACAGCATTCTTTTACGTCATCCCCATCGGGATGATCCAGGCCATCACCAACCAACAAGTTGGACTGAAGTGCGTGAAGGTCAATGATGGTAAATACGCTCTTCTGACGAAGCTAACAACAATAGCGTTATTACTGAACTAGTCGTTGGATATGCCCTTCCTGGCAGGTGAGTCGCGGGGTCGCCGTGCCTTTGACAACCCAGCTAATAAATCGCATCAGACCCATTGCAATGATGATGGTAAGAATGTTATATTTACGACATCGTGAAGAAAAGTAAAACACTATCTGCTCAGTTCAAGACATGGGGATACATCACCATGACCCAAGGTTAGCCTTCCCACTTCGTCAATTCACCCACGTCTCTAACTGGAAGGTCTGCAGCTCTCACCTTTACTTCCGACTTCAAGCTTGGTCACTACATGAAGATTCCTCCACGGTCCATGTTCTGGGGTTAATAGTTTCCATCTTCATATCATCGCACACCTCACTGAATGTCGTACAGGTCAAGTCGTAGCTGCTGCCATCGCAGGAACTGTACAGCTCGGTGTGCAAGCATGGATGTTTTCCAATATTCCAGACATGTGCAGTGCCCATCAGAAAGACGGATTCATCTGCCCCAGCACAGAAGTCTTCGGAACCGCTAGCTTTATCTGGGGTGTAATTGGTCCACAGAGACAGCTCTCGTCAGGCCAGGTCTATCACGGTGCGCGCTTCTTGAGCACGTTAAGTTTATATGGACCTAAGGATTCTGCATGAAGCGCTTATATATTTCTTCCTCATCGGCGCGATCTGCCCGGTCATCGCATGGTTGATTTCGTTAAAGTGGCCAAATAGCTTCATTCGCTATGTCAAGTGTGTCTTCTCTTATCCGCCAAGGAACACTTCTCACGAGGACATACGAGTGCAGCTTTCCCGTTATCTTCACCGGTATAGGGGGCATTCCCCCAGCCACTCCGCTGAACTACGTCCCATGGGCAATTGTTGGATTCATTTTCCAATATGTTATCCGGCGTAGATATTTCTCTTGGTGGACGAAGTACAATTGTAAGAGGTCCCCCTGGTCTCGTGTTACTTTTCGCCGAAACAGACCATTTACCAGATGTCCTTTCGGCTGCCATGGACTCTGGTGTGGGCATATCCATCATCTTGATCTTCTTCTGCCTCCAATATCCCCAAAACGGCACAATTGGACTGAACACTGTCCAGTCGTGGTGGGGCAATACTGTTTATTCGAACACGGCTGATGGAAAGTCTTTGCCGCTCTTGACGTTGCCAGAAGGTTCTACTTTCGGGTGAGTTGCTATGTTCTTTGTATCTTTCAGCGATGGTCTTACGGGCGAGTTACAGTCCGACGACGTGGTAATTATTAGTATGACGACGTGACATGTATACGTTCTTGACGAACTGAATGATTTTATCTTGACGCAAAGGGTTGGAATAATCACTGGTCTGTGTGCGTAGTGATCCGCGCAATCCTAAGTTTTCTTAGCGTCAACATAACATGATTTCATTCCTCTAAGAGAATCATTCTCTTTCCAAGTTGACGTTCTTGCCATGTTTCCCTTCTCGAATAGAATTTTTGTATAACCGGCAGTTCAGTAAGTCTCGTGTATCTATAACCACCACCTCCCAAAGTGACCGAACCATGATACCAGATGTAAGAATGTCCGAGTCATGAATAATCTACGCGCCGAACTGATACTTCCGATCGAAGGCGTTACGTGTCTCATCGATGCGGAAAAAAATACGCAGATACATCTCCTCCTCGTGCACTTAAGCTTTGACACTCCGTATCATTTTCTGTTCCTTCATTTCAATGACCTTTGTACAGCTGCACTTAACACGTGCCGAACGCAATGTTACGGTAGCGGGAATAATGTCATACAGATTAAGGAAAAGTTAAGCATCGGTATTGAAATTCCCTCCAGGATATGTAACTCACTGCGCGCTTCCGTGTCAGGCTTGCTCCTATCTCCGTCTCTGGACCGTTGAAGGGACGTACAAAAGCCGTTCAAGACTCGCCGCACTGATCTTCGCTCACAAACAACTCTATACCGCACTTTCAAGAGTATGATGTTGGCGAGACATTCGAGCGCTAGAAGAAGAGGAAAAGACGACAGTAAACGTGACATACAGACATCTCTTACCAATTATAATTCATGGTAGAAAACGTCCGAAGGTGAACGGAACAAAGTCTTGTTGATATGTAAGATCACATTTGGAGGCACGCTGCCCAAGTATACCCACCCTACAAGATATTGCCTTGAAGCACATTCTTGGGCACATGGTTCTGGAGCCATGTGTTGAATACTACTTCATCATCCGCTGGAACAGACGCGAATGGGCCTGTATACCTGTGAATCACCGCCAAGCACTGCATTGCAACGTCGAAGTTCTTTTGGTGCGATGACGTTGGATGCATGCTACGCAGCCTTCCCAAAAAGCCCATTTTTTCTTTATAGCATCCCATGGCATCCACTGTCAGCCATTCATCGAGTGGTCTGTTCTTCCTGAGAAGCTTGCCATTTTCATACCGAAGACAGACCCAGGTGAGGACCCAGATGAACGATTCAGCATCATGATAGTACACGTGCTCGACTTGGCCTGCAATGGATTCTGGCACGAGAAGGTGTAACGACACAAAGGGTACCGTTCCTGCGCGCTCGAAGCCTTTGGGAGCATCTTTAATAGAGGACAAAAATCGTTTGATCGACGACAAGTCGAAGTCGTTGAGGACGCTGATGAATCGACCACCTAAGCGGTATCCCATGAGATTGCTGGGGCTAACATTGCGGTGATGCATGCCCCTCTTCCAGAGGGCGCGATGGCCTGTTGGAGTAGTGAGTGCGTGATAAACAACAAGAAAAGGACAGGATACTTACATTTGACAACTTCCCACCATGCGAAGAGGAGCTCGTCACCGCTCAGCGTCGTGACCGGGTCAAGCTTTCTGAACACGATGATGTATAGGGTGCGGCTCCCCATGTCACCGATTCCTAGTGCCTTTCTGATTATTGCCGTGGATATTCCTTCAAACTTGTGGAACCAGACTATCTCTGGAACGTGACCCAACACATCCGGATCTTCTTGCGCAATCTTATAGACCTCTTCGAGGATCTCAGGTTTGCTCTGGGGTGCCTCTTCTACAGCGGAGCCAACTGCATGTGAGGTGGACTTGAGGTCAGCGGGCAAGCCAGAGTTGCGGGGAGGTGTGATTGTCGCTGGTGTAGTTGCGTCAGCATTAGTCTTGGCCATGATGAGGCCTTCCTAGGAAGATAGAAAAGAAAGGTGAACTTTGGGAACAAGTAGATGAGATCTGAACTCGCTTTTTAAGCTAGCGTAGCACTGTTGTCGGACATTTTGAGTCCAGGTCCACAAGGATTGATAGTTGAACGAGTTCTAATACGTGGTAGTCAGTTGTTTAATTCATCAAATTGATCCGCGTAGCAAGTGAATAAACCCTAATTTTAAACTCTACACACTGATTGTGAAGGACCAAGCCTGACGGAGAAGGTGTGACATGCATCTACTCAGGCCTTGACCAATCTCCCCGCTCGGTGCCAAGACAGATGTTCTTCAGTTTCCCCTTCCTTCCCCCAAATACCTCCTTCTCCTTGCACCCATCCCCCCACACCCTCAATCCACCGATGAGACGGGCGATCCAGACAACATCCATCAAAAAAAAAACTCCACAACGGCGTCCAAAAACGCTGCCACCACACAACATCTTTCCTCTCGCTAAGCACGTGTTCATAGAACAACATCTGCCCCCCAGGTTTCAGCACCTCCGTGACCAATCCAGAGATGGTGGATTGCGGCGAGGGGATGGAGCAGATAGTGAGGACAGATATGAGCGTATCTACAGGCGGGTGTGCGCAGGAAGATAGGAAAGGATGGTAGAGATGTTTTCAGCGCCGCAGGGGAGGATGAGGAGCGTTCCAGCATCTTCACTGTACCCAGCAGCAGAGGCAGTACGGCGCAGCTCTGCATGCATATGCACGTTAGGCTCCACAGCTACGTATTTCGTAACACGCGAATGGTCCAGGTAGTTGACGGTGTGGCCGTGTCCTGTCTTTCGCATGAACAGATTGTTATTTCGGTGGAGGAAGGGACACACCTGCACCAAGGTCCAGCACAACACCATAGGCATGCGGAGTGATGAGCCCTTTTTTGACGCCCTTTCCGGCTTCGTCGACGCTATTACCATAGAGGTCCCATACACAGGACATGAAAATGCGGGAGATTTCAAGTGGTTGGAAGAGTAGGGAGGGAACATGCCAGATTGCGAGAATCGTGGGCCTGAAGCAGCCGACAAGGCAAAGACGTAGATCTGTGAACGGTCCGAAGGCTGCATCGAGACGCATCTCAACTGTCGCGAGCAGTAAAGTACTTGATGGTGCAGTTAACGGGAACGGAAGGATGTGCATGGCTAGCACGGATATTTATATTTTATGCCAATTATTAGTGCTAGATTGGTGGGCGTGGTATAGTGTTTGCCGTGACGTGGGGCTCGCCTGCGCGCACTGATCACGCGGTACTTCGTCTCTTGGACCAGTTGCATATCTTCCATTGGAGGCATGAAACAAGGGCGACTTGAAGACGTGCAAGCCTGCAATTAATATTGGGTTAGTATGTTCGAGATTCAAGGTTTGAGACGAAGGATTCCGATGGCCACTCGGATGATGTGAATGTCACAGTCACATCTTTAAAGTTTAGCCTCCCTGCCAATCAATCTGCACAAGGTTCTTTATCGAACGACGGTCACTGACCTCATGACTAGGACTAGCGAACGGTACTTTTCTACGACGAGACACCATCCTTACACCTTCCAAGACTCCGGCTTCTTGCGCTTGTACCCGAAGCTTTCACAGCATATACCTAAAAAGCAATGATGCCATTTTGCGATGCGTAAACTTTGACGCCAGCTGAAGTCGACGGGACATTCGAGCGCTACTTGCAAGAGAAAGACAATGGTAAAACGTAATATACAGACATCTTTTAGGGTGGAAAACGTCCGAAGGTGAACGGAACACTTGTGGATACGTAACTTAGATTACATTTGGAGGCACGCTGCCCAAGTAGTATACCTACCCTACGAGATATTGCCTTGAAGCACATTCTTGGGCACATGGTTCTGGAGCCATGTGTTAAATACTACGTCATCGTCCGCTGGAACAGACGCGAATGGGCCTGTATATCCGTGAATCACCGCCAAGCACTGCATTGCAACGTCGAAGTTCTTTGGTGCGATGACGTTGGATGCATGCTACGTAGCCTTCCCAAAAAGCCCATTTTTTTCTCATAACATCCCATGGCACCCACTGTTAGCCATTCATCGAGTGGTCTGTTCTTCCTGAGAAGCTTGCCATTTTCATACCGAAGACAGATCCAGGTGAGGACCCAGATGAACGATTCAGCATCATGATAGTACACGTGCTCGACTTGGCCTGCAATGGCTTCTGGCACAAGAAGGTGCAATGACATGAAGGGTACTGTTCCTGTGCGCTCGAAGCCTTTGGGAGCGTCTTTAATAGAGGACAAAAATCGTTTGATCGACGACAAGTCGAAGTCGTTGAGGACGCTGATGAATCGACCACCTAAGCGATATCCCATGAGATTGCTGGGGCTAACATCGCGGGTGATGCACGCCCCTCTTCCAGAGGGCGCGATGGCCTGTTGGAGTAGTGAGTGTGTGATAAACAACAAGAAAAGGACAGGAGACTTACACTTCACGACTTCCCACCATGCGAGGAGGAGCTCGTCACCGCTCAGCGTCGTGATCGGGTCAAGCTTTCTGAACACGATGATGTATAAGGCGCGGCTCCCTGTGTCGTCGATTCCTAGTGCCTTTCGGATTATTGCCGTGGATGTTCCTTCGAACTTGTGGAACCAGACCATCTCTGGAACGTGACCCAACACATCCGGATCTTCCTGCGCAATCTTATAGACCTCTTCAAGGATCTCGGGCTCGCTCTGGCGTGCCTCTTCTGGCCAAAGAGCTTGGCAACCAATTCGGTGGATTCGTTAAGAAAATGGGACCGCCGCGGCAGAGCCGATAGCACTTTGCTCTTCACTGGAAAAACAGTGGTTGCACGTCCGCGTAGACCGAAATGAGTCATGCGCTTCTTAGACTTCAAATCCAATATAAGGTCGACGCGCTTCTTCTTATCCTGACCTTCTTTATCTCGGTTGCCCTTGTCCTTGTCCTCACACTCGACGATAATTTCGCCCTCATATCCAGGTTCAGGTTCAAATAACGGATGAAGGCCCCATTGCTTGTATCCCATGCGCTGCATGATGAAGAGCAAGACAACAAAGCGTGGAAGGTCCTGAACGAAGTTGATGCCAGCGCATTGAATCGTGTGGTGACGATCGAACCACCAGAGGTAAATGATGTCGTCTGGAATGAGCGATCAGTTTGATGATAGGACAACAACGTTGCACCCACTTACTGTTAACGATAAAGGAAATGACATGCTGGCGCGCAGTATGAGCCGCGAACATCTCCCGCAACATATAAACCATTCTGGACGACAGGATGATGTTTCCTCGGCTCCTCCTTCTTCTTCTCGTCCTCGTCATCGTCCTCCTCATCATCATCCTGCTCCTGCCTGGGTTGCCCCTCTTCGTCCTGCTTGGATCGTTTGATGTTGGGCAGCTCATTGGAGCCTAAATGATCAGAGCCGCGTTTGCTGCTTCTGAGTCGCTCGGATATATTTTGTACTGCGTCGCAAGTGTCAAAGGAAGTAACGGAGATACATGGTGGGCAGCTTACGCTCGTTCGACTTCTTGTAGGAGGTCTCAGCAGGACCAGTGGCAGGTGTTGAGTCTGTTGGGTGAGCAGACGCGCTCGTCTCCTTCATATAATCCATATACAGGACAGCAGGAACCACGTAGTCCTTATTGTAAGTGGACGGTGGATGAGACAGACGCTTCTTCGGGCGTTTGAACTCAAATGTCGTTCGAACTTGTATCCATTGGAAGTTCTCATGGTCTTTGGTGGGCTTCTTGCACGCAGACTGGTAAACGTTTGTGGATTTTCCCTCCGGCATGATATCCGCAGCACTCTTGTAAGAAACGACAACGACATCAGGCTTGCGGCTGGACTTCTTACCCTGATGTTCTTGGTGTATGAACGATGGATCATTCACATGAAAGAGGACATTTGTTTCGTCGTCGTCTTGGAAAGCTGGTATTCCAGGCACATTCACCTTCCTCAGTCCACGAAGTGCATAGTTGGCAGCTTGGACGAAATCAGTGTAAGAGGGAGTTTCGCTCTCGATGATACAGCTTGATAATGGCGTTAGTCTTATTTCACACTCTTTGAAGCACTAGCTTACAATTTAGTCAAGTGTTGCTTGATATTCTGCGCTACGCCTGGCCCATTGCAGAGGTGTAGGACAGCCTCCAGAGAAGTATCGAATAGGGTCGACTTCTGACTGGAAGGAAGGGATTGGGAAGGATCTGTACACATTTCAAGGAGCTGCTGCAGCATTTCGTCTGCCCCAGATTGCTGGTAGTTCTTGACATCGCGCCCGATCCATGGACGGACATCACTGACACTGCGTGAATAATGTAGTTCAGTATGTATAATAGTGGCGGGAACGGAAGATCTGACGCACTTAACGCCCAGAGTATCGATATATTCGCTGACAACAGCGGATCCAACTGCGTGTGGGGTGGACTTGAGGTCGGCGGGCAAGCCAGAGTTGCGGGGAGGCGTGTTTGTCACTGATGCAGTGGCGCCAGCATTATCGGCCATGATGAGGCCTTCCTAGGAAGATAGAAAAGAAAGGTGAACTTTAGGAACAAGGTGACGAGATCTGAACTCGCTTTTTAAGCTAGCGCAGCACTGTTGTGGGACATTTCGAGTCAAGGTCCACAAGTACTGATAGTTGAATTCAAAGAAGTTGATGCAGCTGAGCCAAATTATCGGTTGATTTTGTGGCGCAGTGACAACAGAATCACCATCAACACGCGCCAGCATCATGTGATCATCAGTCTTGAATGCTTAGTCTGGCAGCAATTGTATACATCTTCTCTGTCAATACGGCAGAAAATCTGATGTATCGCTGTTTTACCTTTGGCCCATCTATTGGGTACGATCTCTTTCTCAATGAACATTTTCTAAGGGTTTTTTTGACGCTCCGCAGGAGTCCGTACTTCGCACAAGAAGCCTTCGCAGAAGAACTTTTCTACTGATCAGAAATTAGTAGAATCCGCAAAGGAGTGGCTTGTGGGCGTTGAAGAACTTAATAGGCCGCCTGCAGCTGATGGCCCAGCACTCAGCTGTCAGCTTCGCGGCCGCCTTCCGCTCCGGTTTTGATTTACATATTCCAAACTTCCATTTCACCAACCTTTTGGAGGACGAGTCACTTATAGTCATCCCCTAACCACGCGAATAATCAGGGAATCTGATTCCGATGGTGCTATCACACGTCCCCGAACAACCGGAGCCGCTGCGATCTTTCTCTGTGGTTGAGGAGGTCCCAGGAAGCCTCAAAACCACTCATTCTCAAATTATGGACCGTTGCTGTTGCCTTTGGCATACTAATCAGGTGCGATTTCCTTTGCAATAGGCCTTTTTATTGATGTTCCACACGTCGTACAAGGACGAAAGTTGCGCACATGTGTATTCCACTGATCTAAGTCCGCAAATGAGTGGCGTGTGGGCGCCAATAGATAGACCGATAGCCCAGCTATCAACGTTTCAACTTGCGGCGGCCCTTCACCCCCATTTTGATTTACAAATTTTCAACTTCCATATCGCCAACCTTTTGGACAACGAGTCACTTAACACGCGAGTAGTCAAGGAATCTGATTCTGATAGTCCTCTCAGACGTCTGTCTACCTCCGAACAATCGGGCTCTACGATCTTTCTCTGGAATGGAAGTCGTAGAGAAGGACCCCGGCTGCTTCCTGGTATCTCCCCAAGGAGTAGAATCAGGTAGAATCGCTCATTCTACGCTCCTCAAGCCTCGGTGAGTCAAGGTTGCGCCTCGGAGATCAAGGGTCTAATACGATAGCACCAAGAATTCTTGAAATGCAGATCTCGGGCGCAATGTATAGGATGGCCAATGTTTGTACGGCCCAAGTGTGCAGACATTCGATAATTATGAACCGACGATGTTACCTATCTACCAACTAGGCTCGTGAATGATATGCAGATGCTGAGTGGAGCGATCTGCAGAGAAGAGGTGAGGTTCGAAATGGTATAGAATCTGTGAGTGCGATACTATGTAGTCATGCAATACAGGCATTGGAGGGCTGAAACTACTGCAGTTCATTGTTCACAATGCGCGAATTTTATTCAGCGAGGGAATCGTCGATACAGTTAACAACACCGGAGACACCTTGACGGCAGGACTTAACCGGATTAAATTCCGCCATGAAGCCACTATTCCTCCGGATTCTATCTGTGCACGATGAATGGGGGTCAGAGTGGCGGTGAGTACGACTTTATTTTGACGCTCCGACAGAACAGTCGAAGGAACGGACTCGCCGTGGCCATGCTGATCAACGTTTGACTTGAACGTTAACGTCGATTCGTCATTGAAGTCACTACTCTTTTTGACATACCTCTATAGGTGCGCTGCAGGTGCCTTCGTGCCCATCAACGCTTTATCAATGTTTCTAGTATCATACCTACCATTGTGTCAACATTTCAAGGGCGGCCTCTTCTTGTATTGAGCACGTACTACTTCACCTCTTTTTCAATCTCCAGTAACGTCAGAGATTGGACAAAGAAGCGAAGCAGTGGTGGGCCGATGCGCAAGCAAGTGATGGCCTTCTTTTTCGCGTCAGTCCACAAACACTTTCTACATTAGCGTTCTGCTGAAATCTTAATCTTTTGAGTTTTAGAATCTTCGTGCGATCTAGCTTGATTGGCGTACATGCTGGTCAAGCAAGATAACAATACCAGGGGAAAATGTAGTTCGACCTTGATTTGACGCTGGAATCTGTATCTTCTTTCATTTGAGGGTCAAATCAAGGATGATCAATGAATACTTATACTGTCCTCAAAGATCGTATCTCCGTACTAGCACTTAGATTGGTGAACAAGGATCTTGATGCAGCTCATCGAGTACGAAGTCTCGAGAGACCTTGATAAGAATTCCGAGCAAAACTAGATGAGCAGGTGACTGCGGTTGCCAGGAACCAAATTACTTTCGTCAAGCCGTTATTTACATGCTTCCAGGGTGTCGGCTATCGGTCTCTCTCTGTTGAACGGCAACTCTTTGACTGACCTGTCCTATTTTGCCTAGGTTTTGGACTGCATTGGTAGTAGACGTATCTATACAGCGGTTAATATATACTGCAGATAATCTACTCAGCAAAGTGGCTCTGCGTCCTCTCAAACAGTACTTCAATCTTTGACGGCCCTCGGAAAAACATTGATGATTGATGCACTGCAGATTAGATTATTGTGGATGTATTCATTGCCGTTATGGTTGACTGGGACCAAACGGTATCAAGAGATGTGAAGTCAGTGAATAAAACATACCGCAACGCGTATTGAACGGCAGCATTGAATATCGATCGAACGCGTACGTGATAAGATAAACCCTATGGAGGAGTGACATGTATCTACTCACGCCTTAACGAATCTCCCAACTCGGTGCCAAAACAGATGTTCTTCAGTTTCCCCTTCCTTCCCCCAAATACCTCCTTCTCCTTGCACCCATCCCCCCACATCCTCAATCCACCGATGAGACGGGCGATCCAGGCGACATCCGTCAAAAATGATACTCCACAACGGCGTCCACAAACGCTGCCACCACATAACATCCTTCCTCTCGCTAAGCACATGTTCATAAAACAACATCTGCCCCCCAGGTTTCAGCACCTCCGTGACCAATCCAGAGATGGTGGATTGCGGCGAGGGGATGGAGCAGATAGTGAGGACAGATATGAGCGTATCTACAGGCGGGTGTGGCGCAGGAAGATAGGAAAGGATGGTAGAGATGTTTTCAGCACCGCAGGGGAGAATGAGGAGCGTTCCAGCATCTTCACTGTACCCAGCAGCAGAGGCAGTACGGCGCAGCTCTGCATGCATATGCACGTTAGGCTCCACAGCTACGTATTTCGTAACACGCGAATGGTCCAGGTAGTTGACAGTATGGCCGTGTCCTGTCTTTCGCATGAACAGATCATCATTTCGGTGGAGGGGGAGACACACCTGCACCGAGGTCTAGCACAACACCATAGGCGTGCGGAGTGACGAGGCCTTTTTTGACGCCCTTTCCGGCTTGGTCAACGCCATTACCATAGAGGTCCCATACACGGGACATGAAAATGCGGGAGATTTCAAGTGGTCGGAAGAGTAGCATGGGAACATGCCAGATTGCGAGAATCGTGGGCCAGAAGCCGCCGACAAGGCAAAGACGTAGATCTGTGAACGGTCCGAAGGCTGCATCGAGACGCATCTCAACTGTCGCGCGCAGCAAGTACTTGACGGTGCAGATAACGGGAACGGAAGGATGTACACGGCTAGCACAGATATTTATATTTTATGCCAATTATTAGCACTGGATTGAGAATCCAAATCAGCATGAAACCTGTTTAGCATTGTGATGAGAAGACGCATGTAGGTGTGGTATAGTATTTGCCGTGACGTGCGGCTCGCCGGCGTGCACTGATCACACGGTCTTTCAACGTGATGAATTTCTTGGACCAGTCCCATATCTGCTATTGGAGGCATGAAGCAAGGGCGACTTGAAGACGTGCAAGCCTGCAATTGGGTTCTGCTGGAGGTTCAGAACGTTCAAGGTTTGAACTTTGGGATAAATACCGGATTATCACGCAGTCACATGTCACACTTGGACTCGGCTCAAATTATCAATTTTGCGGTGGTGGGCACTCGGCAATGCCAATCAATCTGCACAAGATTCTTTATCGAACGATGCATACATCTAACAAGTATGACAGCCAAAACAACATGCAAAACACGTCCTGTCCTGCACCTGTCGGATTGACCTCCCAACAAGCGAGTGAGTGGCAAGCTAGACTGCGTTGAGTGTATTATATAACACCCAACAGTTCACGGTAATCCTCGTCCCGGCGCCTCTTTCTCCTACATTCAGGACTACTGCTGCGCCTGGCTCATCTTTACCCTGGAAATGAACGGTGAGTGTTATAAACATCTGAGTAGTATGGCTATCTCAAGTGGTGCCTTTGGGGCTTGTACACTGGGATCTTGGATGTTACCTCGCTGGGATATTCGCGTATACTGGTCCCTTGGACAAGGTTCTTCCCTTCAATTCTACCCAGGAGAGGCGGGGTCATTCTTCAGGAAAGGTAGTGTGCACGTCACTTCGTACTGGTCGGTGACCGCATCGAAGCCCTTCCAGTCCTGGTGACAGCGACGAGGGCGAATTTGCCAGGCTCAGTCTCAGATAACGGTGTTTCGAGCACCCAGTCAGGAGATTCTGCTATACATCTTCATGAGGTTTTGGAAATTGAAATCTTGTAGTGGAAACAAGCACACCTCGTGACTACCGGTGGAGTTACTCAGGCTGAAATTGATGCTCCACTATCAGCCCTGCAGGGCTTGGATGTCGATTTGTGTTGTATAATCAAGAACTTGAACACTTCCCAGGAATGACGAGCTTTCGGGTCGACAGAAATTGATGCGTTATGTTGCCTCACCATTTCTCCTTCAAGTTGTTGTTTTACGTTGGGGTCGGTGAATTCCGTTCGTGGCGTTTGAGTTGTTGCTAGTACGTACTCACCTGTTTATTACAATTACTGCTGAAGTTTCACGCATACGAAGAAGTGACGAATCACTGGTTTTCTTCGACCTACTGTAGCAGAGACTGGTAGGTTCGCGGTGATGAACTCAACTCTGACTGCTGCATCGATTATTATTATTAGGTGCTGGTGCGTCCTCCCCTAACTTGAAGTACCTCCATCACATTTTTAGTATTAGATTTCATTATCATCTAGCGAGTGATACTACTACCGCCGGTCAGCTCACTGGATGATAACGAATGTGATAATGATGATCTGGGCCCGTCACACGATCTGTCGCTAGTGACATTGTGCCCAAAGTGCACCTATGGCGCTGGATCCTGGATCCATTCGATTATGCTACATGCGCACTAGTTGTGTGGTTCCTTGAGCTCTGAGTATGACCAGTCTAAGTGCATCTTTAGAGGACTTACGTCACTGATTACGGGTATCAATGAACTTTTTTTTATCGTATTGAGCTTGATTAGCTAGTGTATGTAGTCCAAGCTGATAAGTTTAGAGCTAGGGTCTACGACCCCAAAGGACCATAGATTGTATTTATTTATTTAAAAAAGGAAGCTCAAGCTTTCAAATTTTCAACTATAACCCTACTGGTGACTATTTGAATACCTTTACATAAAGTATTGGCCTTGGGACATTTTGTGCCTACACCGCCGATATCACTACATATAACGGCTATGTAGCGGGTGCCCGTCACTATAGCTCCCACGATTTCGGGTTTTTGCTGATGGGCCGACGAATTCATTCCAAGACATCATGTTATCCTTTTGACCATTTTTCATAAGGTACCTAGGCTTTCTGTGTATGTGGACCGTCTGATCAAGCTTCAAGGCCCGTTTATAAGTAGTTTTTTCTGCCGCAGTCGATGTGCGTGAGAGGAATAACGCCGTCACTGTCCTCCATGACCGATCCGATAACATATATTCTGTGAATCTTTGCCAGTCAGGTCTGTCTGCGCAGGCGGCCCTGAGGTTGCCGTTGTAGCAGATAAGTCAAGGAAACACGTAAGTTACAGAGGGCCCTCCTATGTCACATACTTAAGTATATATGATAGTCAGTCTTCAAGCTTCATGATTTGCATCTAAGCTATTTTATCTGATGGTAGCATTATTCTACGCGTCTCGAATGAGTGGTGAGTTGAGAATTGTCAGTATTTTGTAATCTTATGTTTATCATCGCTGGATAGTCGTGGCGCTGGTATTTCATAGTGTTGCCATCCTCTGTACCATCTTCAGGCTCGCTTACAGAGGCTGGATGCATCACTCGTGGTGGGAGGATGCATGGGCGGCATTTGCACTAATCGGAGACGGTAATTTTTTCCTTCTACATTGCCTTGATCAGCAAGCTGACCGCATCCCCCTACTTAGCTGTTTGCCTGGCATGTATCTGGCTCGACAGCCCAAGCATAACTTGTGAGTACCCGACTTTGCACTCTAATACTGATTGCATGTTCATATCAATTCAAGTCTGGATCCTCATGGTGGCTTTCACCTCTGTCCAATGGTGCGCATCACGATTCGCACAGTAACATTTAGATTTACGACTCACTGGTATAGGGCTGCACGCATGAGCGTTATTTTCTCCATCATCCGCATCACCAACCACTCAAACTTCAAGATACACAGACAGATCACCTATTTTATTGCAGTTTCCTTCGCGTGCATGTGGGTCGCGCTCCTCGCTCATAGGATCACCTTGTGTGCATTCTACTCCTGCCTCGTGGGCAAGTCGGTGGCGCTCTCGCTTCTTATCAGTCAGTACTTCTATACTTTGTGCTTTCTTGCGCTGTTAACGTATGCATGATATGGACCTCAAATAACATTTGGGTTTTGCAGCAGATGTCATCGCAGATATTTCTCTTGTCGCTGCACCACTATATCTCTGGAGAAATGTAGGGCTTTCGCGGAGCACAAGATACTGGTTCTATCCGCTTTCAGCGCATCACTTTCTAAACACAGCCACCACGATCCCCCACTCTATAATCGTCCTTAAGGCCCACAAAATAAATGCGATTATGATCATCGTCACACACGTCAAGGTAAGTGCTAAGCAGGCTTCCGTGCTCGTATCGCCCTGCAATATCTGATGGAATCAGACCGCACTCAGTCTCGTCATCTGCGACCTCCTGGTTATCGCTACCGCTATATATCACGTATTCTGGAAGGAAACATTTGATCCTCGACCAGTCATGTGGGGTCTTCACGAGTGTCATTGTAGTACAGATGCCCTGTACCACGAACACCGGGACATCACTCACATTACTAGAAGAGGGGGGTATAGAGACCAAGACGATGAAGGCGAAGATGGAAGACGCAAGGGTAGTGTATATTGAAGAGGGCGCTGGTACTTAGTACGGCCAGAAACTTGTACGTAGGATCGATGGTGAGGAAAGTTGTAAAACATGATGGCAGCCCGCAGTACGGTACTCTTCGGCTAGTGACGTGCAGGGCCGAACCTTCGAATGCCCAGGGCCTCAGGCTGGCCTGCTATTTGACTAGGCCCAAGCCACGGGCCTGAGCGCTGAGCCCTGGCTTGGAGGTACCGGTAGCAAATTATTGAAAGGTAAAAACTTTAATAGGTTCGACAGGTCAGCCGCTAACGCGCACGGCCGGCTTACTAAGAAAGGAGCGGCATTAAATAACTTGGCTAAACGACTCACTGACTATAAACGATTTCAAATTTTATGTAAGTGCTTAACCGTTTCTAGACTCTGAATTGCAGCTTGCAACTGTTACTGTTGACCGGGAGGTTTATTGTCACAGGTAGCGGTAATACAGTAGTTTTCCTAGACCTAATTCTATCCTCCAAATCACTCCGGAACACTGAATAAATATCACAACGAAACTCCAAAGAAATACCACGACGAAACTAATAAAATCTATATGCTCCTGTAAGTGACAGTACCGTGGTTGATCATTTGGATGGTTTCCTGTGCTAAACACCCTCCGCCAGTCAACACATCTCCACCAGTCAACGCATTGCCACCAGCCTGGAAATAAATAGATGTCATGGCTGTTCCCTCGTCGGACCTGGCCACAAGCTTAGCGTGATATTCGCGAATGCTGAGGACCAGACGCGGGTCCCAGCACAAACATCTGTAATACCTGGGCAATTTGGAGAATAGCGGAATAAAGGATACTTCCCACAGATGATGACTGTAGAAATGATGAGCGGACAGACACAGATAGGCTCAGTTACAGGTTGGCGCACTGTGACATTTGTAGACATTGAGCCTAGGGTGAAGCAGGCTCCAATAGCAAAGCTAACACATGCGGAACTTCAGCAAACAAGATAATAACATCCAAACCACCAAACTCACGCTACGAAGTAAAATGTGTGACTTTTGGTTAACACCGTAAAATAGTTCCTAATGGTCGACCCTGTCGGATATTGTCGCAGCTCACGGTAGTGTTTTATGACGATCCAGACTGCAAGAATGAAGGCGAGGATCTCCCATATAAAGGTGGATATCATATTCTCGAAACCCAGATCTATTTGGTATATGTAATTTTCGAAAGCACACACATGGTAGCCCAAAAGGATGTATTCATCTGTTATTTGTCCATGAGTCTTATGTGCTGGAAGGTTTCATAAATGATTAAAGCTTACCCACTGAAACACCAGTGTTTGCCATCACTGTGATAACGCCGGAGGCGATCGTGGAAGCCAGCAAGACTACAACGAGAAAAACGAGCATCTTTTTGGATCGTTGATACATGGCATATATCCGAATCATCATGATAACTTGCATGATATTTCAATCAAGTCAGTAGTAAGGTACCACAGGTGAGCTCACCACCCAGCATAGCATTGACGACAACATGCGTCTATGTCCATATGAAGTAAGTGTTAAGGCCTGAAAACCCAGGTTACGGATGTACATTGATGCACTTGATGCTTCGAATGAACTTACAGCTGTTGCAGTCGTTATGTTCAACGTAACAAGGCGGCTGAAAATATCACTCACTCCTGTGTAGGAGTACAGTTAGTGATCGAATAGGAATGGCAACCATCGGTGCAGAACACCCACTACGTCTGTCATCGAGACTGGGAGACTTGCTACATACCACTGGTTAGAAGAAATTAACAGTGTATATCATGGAGGGATACATACCTAGCATGTCGATCCTAATTGTAAGATATGCCTTATCAGTACAGTGCAGTGTCGACAAGTTGTTAGCCTTGCAAACTTACACAGAATATAGTATTCCAATGTAGCGCACCTAGCATAGGTTGAAATCGACTTAGTACGACATGTCAACTGCATCCATAACATAACGTACACAGATATAAATAACAGTCATGAAGGACCAGCATTGCATCTATTCCGAGTCAACCGTATTATCCAGTTTGCTTCTGATATAGGGCCTCGCTTACCCAGACCAGTTCGAACTGTTATAACATTCTCAGTGAGATGGCTACGCCGATGAAATCAACTTACCTCTTGTCCGAATGTTAATGCTTGAATACCATACATATATTAATGATTCCCTCGGAAAGTATTATTTCGCTCACCCCAATCGTATACCACCGCGGCAGAACATACAACTGCAAAACAAGTCAGTGATAATGAGACGTCACCAATTTCATCCCAATTGCTCTCTACGAACCTGTAAAATAGCTTCTAAAACGAGTAGCACTGATAAACGGTAACATAGCGGGATCATTCGAGACTATGGTCATATCTGGATGGGGCGTATGGAGTTTGTGCAGACATACCACCATCCAGCGCTTTTATAGCGTCTGCATATCGGTTTCCTTGAGTGAGAATCTTGATTGATCACAGCAACTATTGTCAATGAAATAATTTGAACAGGGAAGCAGTTCCATGATCAGAAGCCCTCGATCGAAGCAGAGTGCTTAGTGCTTGATTGAGGGATTTTGGATTTAAATGAAACGTGCGAAATATTTGAAGGCGCTGAAATTAGTTGGTACAGCAAGTGATGTTCCAAATCCAATGCTGTTCGGCAGTTCTGTATCAGTTTCATCGGTGGTAATCTAATCATTAACGTAACGTAGACAAACTGCTGCCAGAGCCTCATTAGAGAGCAGACTGACCGGCAACATCAAAAGGTATTTAGATTCAGACAGCTAGGAACAGCTGAGTCGATGGCATCTTCGACGCGCTGTATATTGATCATTATTCTGTTGCATTATCCAATCATAACGTAGCAACGTACCATAGTTTAATTTTCGCAAGACTATGCTTAGGGGGAAATTCATCAAGATTGGATCAAAAAAGCACCTTCGAAAGTAAGGTTATACACAGTAGACGTGCACACCCAATGTACAGTGGGCGTCTACCAACTGGACGCTAACAATACCTACAACTCCTTGGTGGAATTCGTCAAAGGTGTTCCAACTGCTAGCTCTCGACTGGCCTGATGTGCGGATCATGCGGAGCTTCATCATACAGCCACACTGCTGTTAATGGGATGCAGGCCTACGGCATGAGCTCTTTCTTCATGCTCTGATGATCAAGAAAAAATTACTTGCCTGAATAGTGTTATGTGTTGTACTGTTCAAATATATTACTTGAGCCCATGAGACAATGATGTAAGGAGACGGAAATGAACTACACCGGCGTCTCAAGAGCAGAGATAAGAACAGGCAGTGTGCTCAATCATCAACGCCCAGCCTATTAATACTAACAAGGATATCTCCGGTAGTCACCCACATCTGGAACTTGACACAAGACAGTGAGCTGCCTACCCGTCAATTATTGCATGGTGTTGATTTTTTAGTCAAAAACCTTGCGCCATCCGATGATAACGCAGTGACGTACCAGAAGGTCTTTCCTTAGGCGAAGTCATCTTGATGCGGATACTACTACTTCAAGAGAAAGGACAAGGGCAAAATATTCCGCCCACTGCTCATCTGCTGTCATCACACCAGGTCCGAGAACCAGGCATCCAGGGGACATTTTGACCGTGGCAGCAATGCCTTCAGCTGCGCGTGAAGCCAAAATGGTACATAGCAAGCTTGAAGTTGATGTAAATCGAGGGATGGGAGAGCATCGAACGCGGTGCGCATGTTCGACCCTACATAGCGAGCTTCGGCCCAGTGCCACTCCAGCACGCGTAAATTGGGGAGTGATAGAGCATTGAATAAACTAGACATTTGTCTCATGTTCCCAGGGTCATAAGCCACGCGTATATTGGAGAATGCCAGAGCAGAGAACGGCATAGGTAAATGTGTTAGGTTCCCAGCAACGCGTAAGGATCGAAGTTTGATGTGCATGAATGATTCGATTACTTGCATATACAGGGTGACGCCTGCACGAATCGTTAACGAGGAGCAGTTGAGACGAAGTAAGTGTGGTGCTGTCTTAGAGGGTGAGCACTAGAAATGTCCACCTCAGACTGCACATAGTAGACGACAGTTTCGGAATAGATTGTGCAATTCACAGCATTTTAGGGTGATTGTACGCGCATATGGTCAGCTCCTGCAATGCTGGAAGGTAGTGGAACACAATGTCAGATTTGTCGGCGTCGGAGGAAATACACTGGATAGAGAGAGACGAGAATTGATTGATGTAAGGCTAAATAAACCGTCCAAATCTGTCGCTGTACCCAACAACGGCACGATGTTGTTGTAGCGTAGAATCTTCAAAATTCCAATTTCTGGGTTGATTTTCTGGATGATCCAAATGGCATAAGTAGCACATATGTGCTGACATATGTGTGGACGTTGCGCGTATAACTCACCCTGTTTATTCTGTCTGAATCATAATATTGCTCTAGATATTTGATCGCAACCTTATGCGTTGATCAATTGATCGGAGTAAGCCAGCGCATGGTCAACGAGTCTAACACATAGACTGACGATGGTCGATTCAGAAATACCATCCACATTGTACTTGCATTTCCAGACATTGCCAAATGCACTTCCGTGGACGTGATCCAGAGTTGTTCAAGTGATAAAGGGTGTTAAATCGTCTGGAAGGTCCTCCGCCCTACACAGCAAATTCAGCAAAGCAGATACTGTGTGCGACACCAACAATGTGACCATACCGCGGCCTATATCTTGGTTCCTCATGTTTACCCAATTAGCAACTTGTGACTGCCGAACGGTCATATTCAGTTGATACCCAGACCCTACCGTCAGTGAATGGATGATTCCTTGATATTAAAAATAGATAAAAACCTCCCTCTATCGTCAGAGGATGGGTATGGCTAGTTGTTGCTAGGGGAATGGAGAGGAATGGAGGGACTTGCATGAAACTTGAGGGTAGAAAGTATGTGAAGGATGTAAATCGAGATTTTCAGGGTGAATTTGTGTATACGGAGTGTGTCCGAGGGTGAAAACGACTTGTCTGTTCACTCCAGCGACGAGCGCGTTGACTGAATTCCGTGGGAACAAAATCATTTCAAATTTTATGCAGCACAGTGGCTGGCCGCTGACCAGCTCAACACTCCCTCGGCCCCCCTCTAAACCAAAGACTTCGGCCAACCCGCAGACAAGAACATACGCCGATGGCTGTCCACCTTCTTTCCTCGCCTTCCTTGCAAGCCTCTCCAAGAAAATCTCAGCGAATAAGAAGCCAAGGATTTTGGCACTGTAGAAGACTTGCACAGAAACTCTATGGCTCACTCACTCGGCGTCGAGCCAGCTCCATGCAACTTATTCGAAAACCTGCGCGATGGACTTATCTTCTCCAAGTATTTCACAGGATCTCGCCTGGTGGCGCCGTGTTTCGACAGTGTGCAAGCTGCCCCACTCCCTACGATGCTTGACGAAGAAGAACAGGAAGATATCAGGGTCACTCCCAATGAAAGCACTCTTTCTCACTTCAAGCAAGCGGAGAACACAAACTTTGTGGTGAGCTCACGAATCAGAATAGGATGCACTTCTTGGCCATCCAGGACGCTGATATCATCGATGCCTTAAAGACGCTCGTTCTGGCAACTGTCGAGTCATTTATTCACAACGCACATCTTTGTGATTCGATTCACTTCTTTACAGGCTGGATATTACGACTTGTAGCGCTTTCCTCAAGACCGGCAAATCAGACGTGTCCACACCGTGACGGGCCAACGCAACCGCACAAAAAGGTAAGCTTGGTGTACATTCCATCTGATCATTCAAGGATCCAACCATCACTACGAGTCACTGGTCTCGATCTTCATATTCTGGTCTCGATCTTTAAGACACGACGACATTGGACATCGTTTCTCCTTCGTTTTCCGCTACTTGGCCTCGCAAACTTCAAACTTCCGAGCCTACGCTTGGGAGTTTTTTGTCTTTCGAACCTAACCTTCGATATGTACACCACATAAAACTGTGTCCTACATCCCTCCCAGGCTGAAAAAGAACGGAAAAGTAAGTCTCAGTTTGTTTATTTTTAGAGATGTCAGTTCATATCTGCGTGCTGATCCATCGAGCTGAATTGAATGTATACATAAACCATGGTGATACATTCTACGTAGTACCTTCATATCCCTGTATTTTACTATATGGCGATGTGATATATTATCGTAAATCACTGAGAAATTTTTGAGGATTGAGTTTCAGAATCACAGATTTGAAAGCTGAACTTGTACAGCCCAGCGGACCAGTCCTACCTGTCACGTCAACCTCCTCCGTGTATCAGCTGGTAGGTGAGATTTCTTGTCACAGGTGGCGTAATAAAGCATGAGTGGTTTTCCCAGAAAACCTAAATCTATTCTCCAAATCACTCCGGAACGCTAATAAATACCACAACAAAACTAATAAAATATACATGCTCCCTGTACAGTACTGTGGTTGATCATATAGTTTCCTGTGTTAGACATCCACCCGTCAACACATCTCTGCCATTCAACGCATCGCCACCAGCCTGGAAATGAATGGACGTCATGACTGTTCCCTCGTCGGACATGACCAAGAGGTTAGCATGATATTCACGAATGCTGAGGATCAGACGCGGCCCTAGTATAAACATCTGCAAGACCTGGGCGATTTGGAGGACAGCGCTATAAAGGGCATTTCCCACAGACAATGAGTACTGCAGAAATGATGATAAGCGGATAGACACAGATGCTCAGTCGCAGGTTGGCGCACCATGATATTTGAAGACAGTGTGCCTAGGCTCAAGCAAGCTACAGCAGCTAAGCTAATACATGCGGAACTTCAGCGAAACAAGATAATAGCATCCAAACCATCAAACTCACGCTACGAAGTAAAATGCGTGACTTTTAGTTAACACCATAAAACAGTCCCTAACGGTCGGTCCCGTCGAAGATTGTCGGAGCTCACGCAAATGTTTAATGACAACCCAGACTGCAAGAACGAAGGCGACGATCTCCCATATAGCGGTGGATATGAAACGCTCCAAGCCCAGATCCATCTGGTCTGTGTTATTGTTGATAAGACACACGTGGTAGCCAGAAATGATGAATTCCTCTGGTATTTGTTCATGAGTCTTGTGTGCTTGAGGGTTTCATCGATGATTACAACTTACCCGCTAAAATACCGATGTTTACCATTACCGTCATAACGCCGGAAGCGACCGTGGAAGCCAGCAAGGTTACAACAAGAAAGACAAGCATCTTTTTTGATTGTTGATACATGGCACGTATCCGAATCGTCATGATGACTTTGATATTTCAGTCAAGTCAGTATCAGTAAGGTACCGCAGGTGAGCTCACCGCCCAGCATAGCATTGACGACGACAGGCGTCCATGTCCATATGAAGTAAAAGATAAGGCCTGAAACCCGAATTTACTGATGTGCATTGTTGCTTTAAATGAACTTACCGCTGTTGCAGTCGTTATGTTCAAGAATCAACATAATAAGGCGGCTGAAAATATCACTCACTCCTGTGTGGAAGTGCAGTTAATAGATGAATGGGAATGGCAGCGTCGGTACGGAATACGCACTACGTCTGTTATCGAGACTGGAAGATACCCTACATGCCGTCAGTCAGAATAAACAAGCAGTGTATTTGGGGATACATGCATAGTATGATGATCCTAATTGTGAGATATGACTTATTAGTACAGTCCAATGACACCTTGTTAGCCCCGAAAACTTACACAGAATAGAATATTCCAATGTAGCGCACCTGGCATATGTTGGAGTTGACTCAGTACAACATGTCAACTGCGTTAATAACATAACATACACAAACATAGAGAATGGTCATGAAGGACCAGTGTTGCATCTGCCCCAAGTCAACTGCATTGCTATCCAATTTGCTTCTGATGTAGAACCTTGCCTACCCAGATCAGTTCGAACTGTTAAAATATTCTTAGTGAGACGGCTGCGCCGATGACATCGGCTTACCTCTTGTCCGAACGTTAATGCTTGAATATCGTATAAATATTAATGATACCATCGGAAAGTATTATTTCGCTCACCCCAATCGTATACCATCACGGCAGAAGATACAACTGCAAAACCAGTCAGTGATTCTTCATCCCATTTGCTCTCTACTGACCTGCAAAATAGCTAACAAGACTAGCATTACCGACAAACGGTAAGAAAGCGGGACCATCTGTGACTATGGTCATGATGGGGCGTATGGAGTTTGTGCAGACATAGCACCATCCAGCGCTTTTATAGCGGACAGTCCGAGTCTGGATATCGGTTCCTTGAGTGAGAATCTTAATTGATCGTAGCAACTATTGTCGACGAAACAGTTAGAACAGGGAGGCAGCGTCGTGATCAGAAGCCCTTGTTCGAGGCAAAGTGCTTGATTGGGCTTTACATAAACGTGCGAAATATTTGGGGCTGAACGGTATGATATCACTTGCGCCCATGAGACGATGATGTAAGGAGACGGACCACACTCACATGGACACAGGCATCCCACGCGAGTCTCCAGGCGTCTCTTTTTTCTCTCCCACTAGTACTTGCAAGCGATTCTATGTTTCAAACCTTTTTCCCCTCACATCTACCTCACACGCAATCATCAAAAGGTTGCATTCCATATATACGACAACGATTGGACTTCACCGGTTCAATTTCTCACATGCACCTCAAACAGCGATAAACTGTAATGAAATTGCGCCGTGACGTTGAATCCATTAGTACTCACACTAGTACTTGTGTGATTCGTAGGCTAACTCGTTGGATTCCAAGTTTGATTGTTTAACTGCTGAAGAAACTTTCAATCAGGGCACTTTCTGAATGTATTCAAGGAGCAAGGGTCCCGATAAAACTTCGACTCCCCCGTATTACGCCATCCTCGTTGTAGGTGATCTTAACTACAATGTGATATGCGATTCTTATAACATTGTCTTAAAAACTGCCTACAACGAGGTGTTATGAGGTTCTGCCAGCGATGAATAGAACTGAGCGCCGGCCTCGATAAGCACTGCAAGCTTACCTTGTAGACCTAGCTTCAGTAGAAAGTGCGACTCTCCTTCTAACTGCAAGTGTCAAAGGAACGGGTACATCACAAATATACCCGCAAGCGAGTACCAACAACGTCAACATCCTCGAGACCGATCAACAGCTCAGATACATTGTAAGTTTAACTTCAATTCATAAAACATCTTGCATACATCTAATTCACTTGAGAATATCCAAGATCGCCTTTAACACCTTCCTTCATATCAACAAGAGCCTGAAGCATCTTCTTCCCTCTGTCATTCAACCGATCACGGAAGCGGTCCTCCGTCATCCACAACAGTCCATGCTGGAGGACATTTTTCGCTCTTGTCGATCCACCACGTGTGTCGCCCATGCATCCATGAAGCGTCGCGCGGCGCTGTTTCGAGTTGTATGCTCCGCAGTGTAATATATTGTTATTATAGAACACCGACTCGCCAGCTTGATATTTAAGCTTGGTGAGACACACTTAGCGAGGAAATAAACTTTCGTGAACTGACGTTGCAAGGTGGCTTGAATCGCTCCCGGCATGTCTAAAGGGTTCGCAGGTGGTGCTTGTGTCATTGACTGAGCTCTCTGAAGCTCCGTTCTCGGCAGTTTATGGGTCTTCGGGACGAGGTAGAGACACGAGTCCTCGTACAAAGCGCTGTTCACGATTCAGATAAATCATCGACGAGTCGACGTTGGAGAGTACTCGCGTATTCCATTGGACCTAGAAGTCATTTAGAGCGAACGGATCATCAACCGCGAGCACTCACTCCATGCGTCCAGAGTCCAAGAGCAATAACCTCTTCCTCAGCGGTCGCGTTTTCTCGTACATCATCACGATGCCATCGAAGCGCAAAATCGTGTTCTAATGGGTTGATTAGCAGGTTAAAAAGCTCTGCGAAACACATCAACGCCAAACAAATTATCAGGCAAGCAACACACATACCCATCTGCAGTTCATCTTGATTGCATTGCAACAACTCCTTCGCAACATTAATAAGCGCATCCGAGGTGTACCACTCTGCAAATGCGGGCTCCTCAAGGTCAGGATGCATGAGGTGTTGAACGCCCCATGAATCTGGATTGCTATCGTCGAAAGGAGGGAACTGTCTTCCGACGGTGCGCCGGTGGGGCCATGATCCGGTTCTGGTCTTAGCTATAGCATGCTCGCAGGCCTCTTTGAGGGCCTCGAACATCTCTGGAGGAATGAGATTTGGGACGATGATGTACCCTTGTTCGTCGTATAAAGCTTTGTTGATGGCTGCAGTCATGGTGAGACGAGGGAATGCTTAATGGAAACTAACATTCATGTTCAAGATGAGATAACTACTTATTTGTGACTGTCAGAGGTGTTCACATGGTTCTATTGAAGAGCCAATATTTGTCAGATTTGAAAAGGTCGTCGAGTCGCGGCTCGTACGGAGCGGTCGTGCCGCCTGCCGGAAGTTCTTCTGACTACGGATCCCCGTTCCCACGCTAGTTTTGTCGACTCTCTACTTTTATCTGCAAGACTTGATCTGATTACCTTAATCATTCCCCATCCAAATTTTACTCCTTGCCATTCATGCAGGGCTTGTACCACATACTATGATACTGTAACCGTCTTGTAGCATCTTGTGTGTTGAGCTTGATGTCCCACACCGGTCCAACGCCTTCACCTACCAGGTCTTTCACGTGTGTGCATGTATTTGATGCCTGACCAAGTCCCCGTGTTTCCTTCCCATCCTGTCTTTTGAAAAGTGCGTATTCCTTCGCTGTTCTGCGGACCGCATATCGTTTAATGGCCGAACTTGGCGCTCTATGTGTCACCGTGGTCAGTGATGATCCTGTGTAGTTTTTCTTTTCCTTTCTGAATTGCCCGCACCTGTCATCATAGAGGCAGTTCACCAACTTCCTGCAAACTTTGTCCCGAAGAAGTATACCCTTCCATAATCTGTCAGTTCCCTTCTGTCGTACTTCTAGCTCCGGGTTGGGTGCTGCACCTAATTTGCATATTGTCTCCCCTTTGTCAGACGTACATTGCCCTCTGTCTTCCGTTAGTGCGTCGTCTATATTTAAGATTTCCTTGGTGACCCAGCCCTCATAGCGATCCATGAACTAGAACATATTCTGAACCAAAAATCAAACCATACTATCCCGAACCATGAACCAGATCATAGCATGATCTTTCAACCGGACGTAGCCCTCTAATCTGACCCACATCAGTCATTCTCATGTGCTTCGCTAGCTCCACGTGAGCCAGCAAGTTTTGATGTCCTGGGACCTGCATGAAACTTTCGTGTGTTGCCTTTCTGTCTGGTTGAGTTTTCGTAGGTGGCTTTTCTGTCTGATTTTGCGGCGAGCTGTGTTACACTTCTGCGTCATCTTCGTTCGTCGTGTTTGGACAGGCAATTTGTATTTACTTATACAATGATTTTGGTAATACAGCAGCGGCGCAGCATTCCGAGTCATAGGCTCCCTGTTACCCTCCGCTCCCGAAAACAAGGTAAGTGCATTACCTCACTTACAACAGGGGTCAAGACCTCCAGCACCGCCCGGTAGGGAATTTTCTACTCGTATGTAAGGTTAAGCGCTTTGCCATCGCGTGGTTGATGACGCCCACTACGCCCAACCTTCAGTCTCCCTCCGCTTACCACACCTAATTTCCAACCTGCGCCCTCCCGCGGCACGTGTCAGGCCTAACCGCAACCGCACGAAACCTGGCGTCGCTTCTACGCCTTGAAACCTCACCGGCCCCCCATGCCAGAGTAGAGATCCTCCACCAGTTCCTGCTGGAGTAGGGGACCCCGGGGTAGGAGCCGAGTAGGAGCCGAGTAGCACCGCAGTTTAGCGAGCCATTCAGTGTCCTTCAAGCTTCGTCGTAGCGTAGTGCTCTTCACCACTTCTTGCTTTGCTCGCGACATGCAAGCACACAGTCGCGGATACACCGCTCGACTGCTTTCGCCCAGTCACCAGGAAAATGTCGGAGTGCTTATTCTACTGAGTAAGACGCATAAGATGGAAGGTGATTTAAGAAAAATCTGATCACAACAACCACAAAATTATGGAGACGCAATAAATTTTATTTCCAAACATGTATTTATGTTCTAAGCTGGTGCAACTTCGACAAAAGATCTTGAAACAGACAACACGCCGCAGTTATCATTGCCGTTCGAGTTGCCATTTGAATTTTGTTGGACTGTTGTCCTGTAATATTTGCAATGGACTCTTTTTTTATCTGGAAAGCGATGCTCGCGTGTGTGGCACAGGATGGCGGTAGTACCAGCGCTCGTGATTTGGAATACCTGGCGGTGATAATGCCGATAAGATACAAGCAGTACAGCCCCCTATACCTGCAGGCTTCGGAGATGCGGTTGAAGCCGGAAAAATTGATGCTGAATAACTCTGTGATGGCGTTGTCAGCGGCATACACAATGTAAGGACAACACGTTTGATCCCGCGGAACCAATCCCGCCGGCATAATATTTATAGGATAAGTTGGGCGGAGGGAAGGTGGGCTTTGGCGGAGAAGGACAGTGGTGGCCGTACAGGGGTACGGGCGCTAAAAGCGCGCCTTCAACGACTGGAGACATACGAGGGCAGCAAAAGTGACAGACGAGTGGAATTAGTGCGATGGAGGGCATTAAAACTTGACTTGAGGATGGGTATCCTGGACAAGTAAAGTGATGGGTAATGAACAATCCGAGTTGTAGGTCCAGGTAACGCCTCGTCGTTGCTGTTCACGTTGGCGTTGGCGAGCGCCAGAAAGTTGCGCCACTGCTGTTTGTATTACTTGAGTGAGACAGATAAATTTGGAGCTCGAGGGTGACGAGGTTTCCGAAGGTCTTGTCATTACGTACGTTCTTACATGACGCTGCACGTCAGTAGGTATCCCTGTGCTCGCTGGGAGCTTTGGGGCCGAAGTACTTCAGAAAAGCTTGGTAAATTACAGGGCGCTCATCACTCCAGTGGCGCAGCATTTTCCTACTAATACCCTTCTGGAAGGATTTCAAAATTGTAAGACTGGAATGGAGACTGCACAAATATTTCCGAGGTGACTTAAATCGCCACATCATGCTGCAGGATGACTATCCATAGCCTCAAATAACAAAAAAGACCAGTTAAGGAAATAGAGTAATTCCTCTTATGAAATCTAAATCTACCTTAACGGTCAGAATTGACACTTTGTATCTGTTTGGGCCACTAACGCCAGCTATCCGCTGACTCCAGGACCCTCTTTTCCAGTTTGATTTCCGCTGTGTCCCGAGTGGACCTATCTTCTTTGACGTGCACTTGCTAGACCCGTTGCACGCCTAATTTCGCCACATCACTAACGCTGATATTTGAAATCGCCGGCCCATCTGCACGTTCGTGTCTTCCGAAGCACCAAACGGCATATCCTGGCATGTTATGTAGCTCAACGCCTGAGTTGGTCCCCACAAGAGAATTTCGTTGTTGACCGTGCTGCGGATTGTGTGAGGACACTTTTTCTTTCGTTTCTAGGGAAATCACGCAAACGCTTATACACGATAGCATCAGGCGCGCATGGTCGTCAGTACAGTAATGCACGGGTAACGAATCCCGGATGCTAACCTTTTCAATCGACTGGGATAACGCGAATTGAATATGCACGGGCAATTTAAGCATAGTGCTTGCGGGTAAAGACAGAAAATTCTCATGATCAATGGTATGTGCTAAACTACTATGAGCAGATACTGCCAAAAGACCTCCATACAGAACTGTTGAACGACAGATACAGTGATCCCGTGATACCAGACAGAAATACCTGTGTAAAATGAACACAATGAATTTCCATCATTGAGTAGTTCTTGATCGATCGCGCTCGAGGATGGCGTCGATAAAGAGCCACTGTCAATAAATCTGAAGATCCGGGATGATCGCAGACTATGCAGTACTCTTAATAGGGGACTTTGGAGCTTAAGCATGACCCGTGGTAGTCGCTGCCGTGGTTCAAATTTCAAACCTCTCTCAATAAGTTAGTCTCCCCCTAGTCAGACCGTATAGAAGGAAGACAACCGTTCCAATATGAACGGTCCGGAATCCCAGAGTGCCGCATCAGTAAAATCACCGATTCCTTTTCCAGCCCTGTGCCTTCAGATTTCGTCGCGACAAGTCTAGACCAGCTTATTTCTTGCTTTTGGTGCTTTACTCCCTGAAGGCAAATTACAGCTGTTACCAAGAATAATGAGATTCATTATTTTTTTTGGAGGCACGGAATTCCAAAACGGATTAGGCAATATGTCTTATTCTTGTCGTTTATCGTGATAACAACATATTCTAGCCATGGTCAATCGTAAAACCAGTGCTGATCTCAAAGAATGTGCGCTATACCTCTGGAACACAGGCTGGGAAATCCGGCCTGTCTTAGCTTTTTTTGCCTTCGCACCCTTGGATTTGCTGTTTGGAGCTTGTACCTGGTCACCTTCGTCTTCACCTGTTGAAGGAACATCGGCCTTTCGCTTACGACCTATCTGGGGCCTGTTGGCAGCCTTCGTCGGCCGTGGATTGTCGACTACAAGCTCCTCCGAGTCATTGGGTGCAAACTCGTTGATAAATGTAAAATTCATGGCAGCTCATATCTTGGATAAGTACTATGTCAACTCATAGCACCAACGTAGCAGACACTCACAAGGTTCCGAAGCAGTTTGCAGACTATCGGAGAGGAGCTGATCGTGTTCATCCTCGGACTCCAGCATGACAATACTATCTTCGGAAGGTGTTTGCGACATGCCTCGTGCATAAGATATCTAGATGATGGTAGTTTTGCGATAGGGAGACTAGATACATCTGAAATAGGCGGTTTTCCAAATTCGGACGTGCATGAAAAAAAAATGACGAATTTCATTATTGTTGAAGGCGAACAAGATTAAAATGCCAAATGAGGTAAAATACTACGATGTAAATACTAAATACAATCGAGAATTTAGGTCGTGCGATTTCAATTTGAGGCGTGATGGTCGGCATATTTGTTAATGTAGTCATATAGGTTTGCGGTGAAATGTGACGTAGACGGGAACCAAGTGAACGGCGCCGTAGATTAACTCAACGTGCCAGTGGATGTTGGAGATGAAAGAGAAAAAGGTAAGTACTCGAGCAACACCCACGTCCCTGGTGAAATGTCTTCTGATATTTTTAGATTCACATCAGCGCATACTGCGTTGTCACGCATAACTGACAGGTATATGCAAAATTCTCCGAGATCACAAATATAATGCTAGGCCCTGGCAGTCACCGGCTGCGGTGAAGCACATGCTGCAGAGTTTCCTTTATTGGACAATGGTTTACCGGACATAACCAAAGACTGATCGGAGGGACAACTTGAAGTCCTAATCATCTAGTGGGCGTAGAGCTTGAAGCAACAGAATCCAAAAGAAATAACCGTATCGGAATGCTTACAGCATTCACGGGGAAAACTTGAACGGATTCCACCCAATGGTAATCAAATAGTCATCTCATGATAGTTAGTTTCCGGCTATGAATGATCGTAGCTCTACAGGAGCCCCCAGTGATTTGAGTGGTGCAGCTCTCGGCGTGACTTAGCCATTTTGCTACTAGTGCATTATTCTGCGGTGCTACTCCACGATCGTGAGTCCTAACTTTACAGTATATAAGCTCGGGCCTCCGAGTAGATTTGCACTTAGTATCTTCGAGTCCTACCCTCATTTCGTTTTAAAGTCTAGAGTCCTAGACATTTCGCACAATGGCACCCATCGCAGTCGCCCCCACCACAAACACTGAATTCGTTAAAAATCTCAAGGCATCCGTTGTCTCTCCACTTGAACCCGATACTCTTCATGATGTTATCGCTCAAGCTGCCGACCACTATCCGTTGCACGAGCTTGGTTTTATAACCTCCTCGGCACACGACTCCTCCATTCAGACAAAGACCTTCAGCACGTTCAACCAATATGTTCGCAACCTTGCGCGTGCCATGCTACAGTGGGGCAGACCCACAGGCTCAGTCGTCGTCGTGTACCTGACGGAACACGAAGACAATATGGCTGCAGTATGGGCGTGTCTATTGGCTGGCTATGTGCCCTGCTTGCAGCCTGCACTTAGCGCACAACAGGCGCACAAGGAAGGCCATGTTGCCCACATCAAGAACTTATTTGGGTCTGCTATTTGGCTGACCAACGAGATTGAGGCTGAGCAGATCAGCACCATCTCTGGTCTGGAGGTTCACCTGCTCTCGGAATTAAAATCATCGGCGGAGAAATTTACCGTCTCAGCTGACTGGGTTGGGTACGAGGCTAAGCCAGACGACGAGGCAATCCTGTTCCTGACCTCAGGGTCAACTGGATTCTCGAAGGCGGTCGTGCACACGCACCGTACGATCCTTGCTGCATGTCGTGCCAAGGGCCAAAGCTACGGCCTGACTTCCGAATCTCGAGTCTTGAACTGTAAGACGCATGTGGTTTAAACTTTTAGTCTTTAATTGACGATCATGACATTCAGGGGTCGGATTTGATCACGTCGCGGGATCGTTGGAAATGCACATCACACCTTTGTTATATGGTGCTTCGCAACTCCACGTGCACGCATCTGCTATTCTTGCTGATCCACTTCGGCTGCTCCGTCTGATCGATGAGAAGGCATGTCAAAACCCAACTATAGCTTAATTTGTCTCTTACTATCAATATTCTATTTTAGTCCATCGAATTGGCATTCGCCCCGAACTTCCTGCTCTCCAAGCTAACTCGTGATCTGGAGAAGCGCACCGACCTCTTTGGATGTTTCGACCTATCCTCAATCAAGCGGATCAACAGCGGAGGTGAAGCTCTTGTTTCCAAGACCGCGAAAGCGTTCGCTGCCATGATGAAAAAGTTTAGCAAAAACTCCGTGTCCTTTGCGATATCCCCTGGGTTTGGAATGTCCGAAACTTGGTAAGGCTGATTGTGCCACATGGGTACAGATATCTGATGGGGTTTTTTTTTAGCGCCGGATGCATTTACAACCCTGTGGATGTCCTCGCAACCGAGCCTGCTCACGAGTTCGTTGATCTCGGACGTCCCATTAATGGTTGCGAGATGCGCATCGTTAACCCCGCAGATGGCGTCACCCTGCGCCCTGACGGGGAGAATGGCGAACTGCAGGTTCGCGGACCAATGGTCTTTGTACGCTACTACAACAACATCGAGGCCACGTCCTCCAGCTTTGTTGAAGGCGGCTGGTACCGCACCGGCGACGTTGGCATCATCGAGAATGGTGTCATGCGCCTGAGCGGTCGTATCAAGGATACCCTCATCGTCCATGGTGTCTCATATGGTATCCCTGAGCTTGAAACCTACCTGCAAACCGTTGACGGGGTCACACACTCATTCCTCGGTGCTGTTCCCTACCGCGCTCCCGGCCAGGAGACCGAAAGTTTCATTATTTTCTACGCGCCAACTTTCGACCTCGATGGAGCAGATGCCTCTGCCAAGCTCTTCGCCACGCATCGGGCCCTGCGGGATATCTCTGTGAAGATGATTACCCTGCCACCTCAGATCATCATACCCATCCCTGTGAACCAGATGGAGAAGACCACTCTCGGTAAACTGTCTCGTGCCCATCTGATCAGTCTCTTCAAGCAAGGCCAGCTTTCGAAGCACATCACGCGCGCTGAAGAGCTTCTCAGTCAGGCACGAAGCGTTTCCTTCGTCGCCCCGTCCACCGAGACGGAGAAGGCGCTCGCCAAAATATTTGCAGGTATCTTCAACCTCGCGGACAGCGAGGTGTCGGCGAGCGACAACTTCTTCGAGATCGGCGGTAATTCCATTGATGCTATCCGGTGAGTATATCTGTTTCCGCCTTTAAACGACTTTCACTGACATAAACTTCAGCCTCAAGCGCGAAGGAGAGGAACACTTCGGCCTGCCTGATATCTCCGCCATTCAAATCCTCAAGCACCCCGTTCTCTCGAGCCTGGCGAACTACATCAACTCCTTGCTCTCCAAGGGCACTCAGACTGAGGAGTATGACCCCATCGTTCCTCTCCAACTCAGTGGAAATAAAACACCGATTTTCTTCGTCCATCCTGGTATCGGAGAGGTTCTCATTTTCGTCAATCTCGCCAAATACTTCCATAATGAGCGTCCCTTCTATGCTTTCCGTGCTCGTGGCTTCGATGCTGGCCATCCCTATTTCACCTCCATGGATGAGATGGTTACCTGTTATGCCGCAGCAGTCAAGAAGACTCAGGCGACGGGACCATACGCCATTGCAGGCTACAGTTACGGTGGTGTTGTTGCTTTTGAAGTTGCAAAGCGGCTCGAGGCCATGGGCGATGAAGTGAAGTTCATTGGTCTCATCAACATCCCTCCTCATATCGCCCCTCGCATGAACGAGATTGATTGGACGTCCGGCATGCTCCACTTGTCGTCCTTCCTTGGTCTCCTGTCGAAACATGATGCTGATGATCTGGCTCCTCCCCTGAGACCGCTCACGAAGCAGGAACAGCTCGAGTTTGTGTGGAAGATGGCGCCTCCTGAACGAATTGTCGAGCTCCAGCTGACGCTCGAGAAGCTTGATAAATGGGTGGACCTAGCTGGGTCCCTCATCGATTGCGGACTAGACTACAACCCATCAGGCTCAGTTTGTAAATCAGTTCACTTTCTGACTTCAGAACCGCTTGCTCACATACCTACTCCTCAGCCGCACTCGACGTTTTCTATGCCATTCCATTTGCCGGAACAAAGATTGATTGGCTCAACAACCAGCTCAAGCCATGGTCTGGCTTCAGCCGTGGCGAGGCATTATATACTGATGTGCCTGGGGAACACCACACGCTCATGGACCTTGAGCACGTCCCGCAGTTCCAGAAGATCTTCCGCAGCCGTCTCGAAGCTCGTGGGGTGTAGAGGTTTAAACAGAGGGGTATATTCCAATTAGATCTTTTCTTGAGTCGATTATTGTACTATACTGAGGATTCCCGGCTCCCATGGATAGTGGGGGGAAAACACGTCTCTCTGTATACTGTTATTGTAGTTTCTCTTGTTTGTACTAATGCTCCCCTGTGATATGATTAGACCTTCTGAATAACTTGGACATCGGGTTCGACATCAACGCTAAGCAAAACTATCAGGCAAGTATAACACATACCCATCTGCTCATCTTCATCACATTGCAGCAACTTCGAAACATCGATGAGCACATCGGAAGTGTACAACGGACTTCCCAAGGTCGGGATGCATGATGCGTTGAACGCCGCATGAATCTGGGTTGCTATCGTCGAAAGAAGGGAACTGTCCTCTGACGGTGCGCCGGTGGGGCCATGATCCAGTTTTGGTCTTGGCTATAGCCTGAGCGTGGTCTCAAGCATTTTGAGGGCTTCGAACATCTCTGGAAGAATGAGATTTGGGGCGATGATAGTATACGCGCGGTATAACTGTATACCCGTGTTCGTCATAGGTAGGTGGTGATAGTATAACTGGATGAAGGCTTGATGGGAACTAGTGTGCATGTTCAAATTTCATTTCACCCACTGTCTTTGGTCATGTGGATGCAGGTGGATGCAGAGAAAAACTACTGGCTCTTATTCGCGACAGAGGTGTTCATATGCCCCAGTTGAAGAATCAGTATTTGGTCCAGGAGGCGAATAAGAGTGACCCGAATTACGATATAGCCGCCCATCCTCACAACTTGCTCGAGGCAGCAACGAGGCTCGCAAAGTCGGTCATCAAAATTGGTGACTTTGCTTGTCTGCAACTGTACGACCATCGACTGAAATTCTGAATCTGATCCACATTCTTTGGCCGTTCGGCACTCGCGAGGCTGCTAATTAGGTAAACATGGGAAACGATGATATGAGGTATGGTCGCTCTGTCGGTGCCGCACGGAGTATCCGCTTTACTGATCTTGCCGTGTACTAGTAGGGTAGAGGACTTGCCAGACGATTTAACACCCTTTATTACTCGAACAACTCAGGACCATGTCAGCGGAGGTGCATTTGGCGATGTCTGGAAATGCAATTACAATGCAGATGGTGTCTCGGCTGTGGTCAGTCAAAGTTTTACTTGTTTACCATGCGCTGGCCTACTACGCCGACCAATTTATCAACACATAAGGTTGCGATCAAGGCCTTCAGATATCCAGAGCAATACTATGATTCAGACAGAATAAACAGGGTAAGTGATACACGCGAGGACATGTTAGCACACGCTACTAGTACTTATGCCATTTGGATCATCCAGAAAATCAGCCGAGAAATTGGCATTTTGAAGATTCTACGCCATGACAACATCGCACCATTGTTGGGCACAGCGACAGGATTTGGACGGCGGCCAGAGTTGCGCAGCTTAGTAACTCCGTGGATTCCTAACGGCACGTTGAATGCCTACCTGGCATCTAATCACCGTAAGGGTCTGACAGTGCTAAATCGTTCACGCATGGTAAGTAGAATTTTTATCATATCGTGTCAAGCATCAAGATTAACTCGAAGTTGGAAGCTAGAGGATGTCGGCGCTGGACTGTGTTACTGTCAGTTTCATCCATTTTCTCAAGATGTTCTGGTAACCTACCTTGGGGTGCAGTGCACTCGGTGCATATCGTGCACGGGGATATAACAGGGGTGAGCCCGGAGCTACTGAGGCATTCTTGAAAACCAATGAACCTGTAGGCGAATATACTGATTGACGAGGGAGGCCATGCGAGGCTAATCGATTTTGGTCTCTCCACTATTGTCCGACCTCTTCTCGGCCAGTCACACTTAGCTGCGACATCTATACACCCAGGTGCAATCCGCTATGCAGCACCAGAACTTGTTCTATCAGATGAGGTCTGTGACCTACCTTTGAAAAAAGCTGATATATATTCTTTTGGTTGTGTGATGCTTCAAGTGAGTTGGTTGGTCCCGAAACGTTCGCATGAGGACTCATTGAGCAAGATTCTCTCGGGTCGGCAACCTTGGTCTGAGATCAAGTCTGAAAAGCACATCATTGTTATGCTGTCTCAAGGTCGTAGCCCGCAGCGCCCCAGCGGCCACCCTGCAATGACGGACGCAGATTGGGGCACCATTCAAAAATGTATGCAATCCGAACCCGAACTTCGACCATCAGCAGATGAAGTACTCGACTTTGTCATGCGTAGATTTTCCTCATCAGGTCAGCCTGCAAAGCTCGTGGTGCCTTGTTGGCCATCCATTTACATGAGCTTCAAGATTCTTTTAGCTCACCTGATGATTCTCCCGATGATGCGCAGGGTGGCTTCCCTGGTGCTTCCCTGTACGATGATTCCGATGACTCTGACATTACAGAACACTCGCCCAACAGTCTACCACCCCACCCTAATCAGGGGTTGACGAATGTAATCATAGAGCCCCGAGCTTGGAGATCTTCGTAAGTCCAGATATGCACAAATTCACAAGTTTGAATATTCATTTTTCCAAGTTCTTGTTCGTCACTCCCGAGTCTTGGCAGCACCGGTCCCGTAACGGTGTTCGGCACTGCTTGTTCATCACTCGACACTGGTTCTTGGCCATCACTCCCGAGTCTCGGCACTGGTCCTGTAACAGCGTTTGACGCTGATTCTCGTAAGTTACTACACAGGCGTCGAGGTGAATATGTTTTACCATTAGGAACAGTTCAATCGACCAGCATCGCGGGACATGAACAAGGACAACTGCCGCCGCCACTTCCACAGGCATCGTCAAGCAACCACGGAGTACGTGCCCTGCTTAAGCCGCATCCCTACTTACTGATCAGAAGTAGCAGACCCGCCCACGAAAAAGAAGTGTTGTCATCTTCGGCGAGAGCGGCTCAGGGAAAAGTTCGGTCATCAATGCAATAACGCAAACCCAGCTTGCGGGGACATCTAGTGATGCGACGGGTTGTACTTTCAGTTATCAATGCTACCCAGTCGAAATCTCTGGCCAGAGATATGTCCTGTTCGACACCGCAGGTCTTAATGATGGGAGTACTGGCGCAGTGCCGGCCGCGAAGGTGGAAAAGGAGTTGAAGAGGCTGCTACGTGGTCTCATGAGCCCTGGGTCGGATGGCATCGGCCTTCTGGTATACTGCGTGCGCAGCACGAGAGCCCGTCAGGCCCTCATTCGCAACTACAATCTTTTCTACTCTGTGATCTGCCGGAAGAAGGTCCCGATCGTCGTTGTCGTCACAGGGTTGGAGAACGAGACCGATATGCAAGGTTGGTGGTATGCCAATGCCAAGGAGTTCAAGAGTCGTGGCATGTATTTCCAAGACCATGCATGCGTCACGACGCTTCACAAACACGCAGGCATCTCAGACGTCTTCAATTGTCGTATCGCAGAGTCTCGCGGAATCGTGCACAACCTTGTCGTCAATAACTGCTCGGAATGGGCGGTCGACAACACCTGGTTCAAGCAGTCTTTTGCAGATGTGCGATACGTGATGAGGCATAATTGGAATAGCAAAAGGTCTTCCCCATCTACCCTCATCGTCTGTGGCTCGTCACCAAAGGAAGAGGAAGACCTTGTGCTGCTTTCGGTGGGGAGACATACCGGGTTCGCCTCGTTCCTCCACCAGAATCGACTTCGAGCGCAGGAGGGAGGCATGAAGGAGATCTTCTCATATATTATGCTCGCGCTGACACACTCTCTGTGGCTCGCCAGACGTTCCGCGAGTTCTACACAGCGTACCGCGGGTAACATGGTGCCGGTCGTCGTCGTGGTCAAAGGACTGAATGATAGACAATCCGCCCGTCAATGGGTTGAGCGACATATCATGCACCACGGCGCTGGTCTTTTATTTTCGACATTTTCTCCAGCTGGAGACCTCGGAGATAATTCTTTAAGGCGACAGGCGGAGCAGAACTTGCAGGATCTTATTAGACAGTCCTGTCTCATCCGAGGCGTGGTGAAAGGCGGGGGCATGTTCAAAAGATTCGCGAGATTCAAATTGTTGGGTTAGCTGTGATTCCACGAGTTCTTGTATCCCAGGAGGAGAAATCTGTTGTGTCCAAGTCATGCTCGAGCTATGGACAATGTCTGTATTTGAATTCACCTGGCTAGTTGCCATGTTGACTTCTTTGTGTGTATTACGACTAGATGCAGAGGGGCACGTCGTGAGAGAAGGTTATTTGATTTCGTCGGTTCGCAGTGAACGCGCTGCTGAAGTCGTTCGGATATGTACAGTGAGTGGCCAAGCTCCGTGCACACAAATTTATCTTGAAAGACTCACCTCACTCTCATGCAAGTCCCTCCATCCCCCTGCAGGTAACTACTAGCTATACCGATTACACCAATACTGTATGCAATCACCCTACTCATCTATTACAGCTGTTTGCATATATGATGGCAGTCGCTAGACTCGTAACCGGTACCTAACCAGTCTGACTATGCGTCAATTTTCCGTGGTAGTATACGCCAGACTGGTCACGAGCCTAGGCAGTCGCGTCGTTTTTTAAGTGCAGATCCTCTTCGTCGAAACTGCCATCTAGGTCCTCCTCAAGCATGAGAGCCAGATGGTTATGTGCTGATTTTTGCGGCATTGCAATACATAGGAGTTTAAACGTTTAAGCTTATGTAGTACTATCACCAAAAAATTCTAAGTCTTAAGTTTCCTAATTGAACGAAAAAAAAACGATGCGACTGCCATCATAGCAACGGCCCTCCGGGCATTCCAGGACCCTTTCCATTTATCGTTCTCGATGCATTGTCTCGTGCGGTCCATTATTTCATCTGCATAACCATATATCGGACTGACTAGTATTGCTATCGACTGTGCGTCCACTTTTTCCCAAATCTTTATACCTGCAACACTCGTCTTGTCATGGGTCCTCATATTCTCCTGGTACTCAATCCAATTGTACTCAATCCAATTCCTACGCGCGGGCCGCCGGTCACATCGTCCTCCTCCAAGTCCTCGAATCCGTCTTCTACGGCGCAAACATAAGTGACATCCTCACACACTTCACATACCCAATCCTCAACATCATCACCTGGCTCCCATACGGCGTCACCCACCACACAGTTCGCCAAAGCCTTTGGCTAATGAAAAAGTTTTCGTTTCGGAGCGGTCGCGCCGCTTCTGCCGCGGCAAAATAGCTACGCTCCTTTGAAGACTCGGAATCAATGTCATCTTCGACGGCTCACACCTGGGACACAGTCAGAAAAGTTCTATGGGTAGATGCAATACATGTATTGCATATGAAATGTATTGATTTCGAATATGTCCCCCAATTTGAACAGCATTTGCCGCGGACTCTTATTCGGCTGTGTCTCAGGTGTCATACGGAGCGGTAGCGCCGCGCCTGCCGCGGCGTGATGCGGCATTTTCAGCCGTGTCAAAATAGCTATTTGTGCTCTTTTCTAGTCTTCTGACTACGGGAGACTAATAACCGGACCTCGTAGAGAGAGCTTTGCTTTCTCGTGTTATTTTTCAGGTTCAGCCTGCAGAACCTAGACCATTTCCCGCTTTCCGATGGTTTCTTTGGAATGATTCGAAGACTGCTCACTCTCGTCGTTGTTCTTAGGAAGCCCCCAAATACCCTCAAAGTTTCTTATGCTGTTTCACTTTGATGATGATTGGAACCTGGTGAGCAGTATTTTTGACTTATTTTGAGCCCGTCCAATCGATTTATCTTAGTACTGTACGTATCTATCACCCGATGGACCTCAACATCTCGACTTGGGCTACCCTGTGCATGGCTGCAAGACGCGCATCGTCGACCCCGACAGCAAGACGGTCCACAGGGAGGGAGAGCATGAGCTACAAGTGCACGGTACTATAATATTCATTCACTGCTACAATGATGTGGAGGCCACGTCCTGTAGCTTTGTCGTTGGTACCGCGGCATCAGTAATGTTGGCACTATTCAGAACAGTCCGGTGTTATGAGTCTCACCGTGATCGTTCACGTGTTCACGATCTATTCCAGAGCTGAAGAGGCACTTTGCAGACTGTCGAGAGTATCACGCACTGCTTCTCCACTGCCGCTCCTGATTGTTCACCCGAGCAGGGGATTGAGGGGCTCGTTATTTTTACTCTTCAACTTTCGACGTCCACGGAGAGGAGATATCTCCATAGGGCCGTTTGCCACGCATGTGCTCTCCGTGATATCTCTGTGAAACTGATCACGCTTCCTCAATTTCACCGTTCCCATCAGGTGGAGATGACCACACGCTCTTGAGTTCGCCTTGTAAGCCTTTTCAAACAGGGTGAACTTGTTTGGCACATATCTCGCTGAGGAGCTTCTGAGCGAGGCAGTACCTCTATTGATGTCATCATTGCAGAATTTTTGATCGTGAATGCTTCTCATCAGAGTCAAGCGCGAAGGCGAATAACACTTTAGTTTGTTTGAGATGCTCACTATCGGCAGTAGGTATAATTGGGAGGATGCAGAGCGTAGTTGGCTGTTTCCGTGTTCGCTTAAGAGCACGCCCTCACAAAAAGCGGCTTCAGCGCACGCAGCCTGAGCCTTTGCCTTGTTGTAGGTATCGCAGATTGCGCAGACCTCGATCACGTGTAGTGAAAATTCGGGCTGTGGTGCAAGTTAAAGGGGATATGTATGTGTATATACATGTAGACATATGCCGTGCGGTGCTACCGCCTCTGAGTCGCAGCAGCCTCGGTTTACCTCACCGCATTATTACCATTTGGTTGGTTAGCGGAGAATCTCGGGTGGTCGTGTACGCTCCTGATTTGTCGAGCTGTTGATGAAGACTTGGGTTTCGGCTTGAGCTCTTCGGGCTCGTTGACCGGCGTGATGAAATTCAATGCTATTTCGATTGCAAGAGTGGCAACAGCTGCAGCGCTGATTTTGCTCCTGGAATAGATGAGGTCAGTTACATAAGAACGAGTGCATCATGATCCTGCTTCCTCGGTGGATTTAAACTTGTGTAAACATTACTGTGTCAGGCTGAGGTATGATTGGTTATTGCTGGCGCTGAGGGCTGTGGTTACCATTGTTGAATGGGGGCCCCAGGTTGGCTGCGGTGTTGCTGCGGGAATGTGTCAAATACCCTGGCATGCAACCTCGCTGATTTATGAGTAAGCGATAGAAGAGAGTTGTTTGTGACTCAGTGGAGCAGCTCCGTGGTCCCAGCCAACTCAATCTTGACCAGAGGTAGTGTTGATGAAACTTAAGAACGAGCAACAAGAATTACAACACTACGTACTGTCTCGTCTTTGATGAAGGCTGAAGCGCTGATGTCGAAGCTATGTATAATGTGATAGCCGAGCACTGGAGTTGAAGATAAACATGGAGTTGCGGCTGTGCTACTTACCTTGACTTTTGGCTGTCACGGTGACACAACTCCTACAACAAAAAGACCAACCCGCCACGTAATTTTCACGCTCGCTCGCTCGTTTCTGTTTCACGACGATGGACAACTATTCAAACTACGTCTCAAGTTCTCCTCCCTATTCTTCACCGTATTCCAACGATGTTCATCAAGACGCTCGCCGAATATCTCGTACTCCCAGTCCAACTCCCAGTGAGATACAGGCCCTCAATCAGAGGGGATTCTTCAATTGGAAGTCCATATTCGACAAAAAGAAGATGTGGTCAAAAAAACGGATCAGTGCGTCTTCATCTCCCTACAATTTCAACCATTGGTTTAACGACGAGCAGTTATTTATATTGCTCTAACCCTCGGCATCGTTGTGGGCGCCCTCTTCATATTCTATCATGACCAAATAGTACGTGCAATCCAACCAGCAGCCACTTGGATGCACAAGTATGTCACTTCCAGTCCCGTCATACCCCAGCACTCACTTTTCTTTCAGCTTCAAGTTTGGATGGATAATCCCTATAGCGATTTTCTTTGTGATATCGTTCCCTCCGGTATGCAAATCAAACCCTTCATCTCATATCACACTAACGTGCTTCCAATCAGCTCTTCGGCCACGAGATACTGGCTATCGTGTGTGGTCTCGTATGGGGCGTGTGGGTTGGTTTCGGCATAGTAGCAGCTGGCACTTTCATCGGTGAAATAGGAAACTTTTAGTACGTCTTACTTCCTATTGTGTTTTGCTCATTCCTTACCGTTTCCTTCAGTGCCTTCAGGTACCTCTGTACATCTCGCGGTGAGAAGATAGAGAAAGGCAGTGTCATTTACTCGTCTTTGGGAAGGGTCGTCCGTGAGGGCGGTTTCAAGATTGCGTTGATTGCCCGTTACAGCGCCATCCCGCCTCACTGTGTGTTTCTTCCATTTTCTCATACAATCTTTGCCTTATGTGTCTAGTCACCACTGGATTATTTGCAGTATGCGGCATGAACATCTTTATTTTCATGCTGGCAGCAGCCCTCTCTATGCCAAAGCAGTTCATAACTGTGTACATTGGAACTTTATTGGAAACTAGTGCTACCTGTAAGTTCTTAACCGTATGTACGACCGTATCCTCATTTCTTCCTTCAGCGTCCGCCTCTACGAAGAACACGATCATCAGCGATGTCATTGGTGTCATCACCGTCCTGATCACCATCGCTGCCATGTGGTATATCACCAGAGAAATAAATCGTGTCAAACCACAAATCGTCTATGAGCGCCGCAAAGCACGGTCAGTATAATTCTTGTCCCTACTCATCAGAATCTTATTATTTCCTCAGTCAAGCGAAATTAGACGCCGAGAGTGAATCACTGTATCAAAACGGCGGTGCAGACACCTCCGCAGTATTCAACACCTCAGACACCACTCTCCCCCTTAACTCCTTCTCAGACGCCCCCTACGACGCCCCCTACCAGCAATGGGACAGTGAAGGCCGCGCCATAGGCTACGCACCAGACCCACGCATACATGCGCCCCAACCTAAGAAACCGGAAAACCCAAACCCATTCCCAGGTGACACAACCCCCACATTAGGAACCAAGCCTCTCCGCCAAGAAAGCACGGACACTATTGGATGGGAGTTGCAGGCTAACGCCGCGCAGGGCCAGAGTTATAGGTTAAGCGCGATAGCAGCTGAGCCTCTGCGGAACCCGTATGAGGATGAGGGTGAGATGGATGCTGAGGAGGTTGTTGGTGGAGGGTATCCGCCTCCGTCTATTGCTGGACGGCCGTCGTCGTCTGGTGTTGGACGGTCACCTTCATCTGGTATTGCTGGTGTTGCTGCGTATGCACCGCCCCCTGGGCCTCCGCCTCCACCGCCGGGTGCTGGGTATACGTTCAGTGCGCCGGGGCATAGTTTTTCGGGGGCGAGTTCGCCGCCTCTGCCTAGTACGACAAGGCAGTAGGTTGTTGAGTGCTTGTGACATCTTTATCCTGTGCCTTTACCCCTGGTTATTGTCAACCCTTCACCCATCTGGCTATCACAGCCTCCGTCACTCGCGTGTTCTACTTTTCTTTCATTCCCATCACTATTTTATTACTCGATTTGTGTTCTTATGAGCCCATGTGCATTGCGCGTGATCCACACGTACATAACGATAACTTAGTATAGGTTAGAGTACAATTGGAGTATGTATAGTTTATTTTGATACGTTAAGGTTGGATATCCTATACCCATAAGCTTGGAAGCACCCGAGAACTTTTCGAACGTTGGACACGATTTTTGGGTCTGCTGGTTTCCTACACTTGTGCCAACAGGAGCCTCATAAATCCGACACTTGCATGGGTTTGTATAACCACTACCAGAACCAGCCGGTTCAGTCGTCAAATCGTCCGACTCTAGTCTGACAAGTTCCACGTCCCCAGCTAGATCGAGCCATCAACAACCATGGACAATGATATTGGACACGAAGATCATGAGTTCCCCAAGGTCGTATCAGCAGCTGCTATTTAGGATTCAGGAATATGCAGTCAGATACTGAACCCCATCATAGGAGTTGTTGATATGGAAGACCCGCTGCGGCTCCGGTTAGGCGCTCAGGCTTTTTTTTGTGATCTGGGCGCTGGATGAGGCTGAGTATTGGGCGCCGAGACATTCATTCCAGTATGCAGTGCCTCGAACGTCACGTTTATTTGGAATAGTTGATGGGTACCTGACAGTCTCCATTGGTGGATACGTTCGTGTTCCCATAAGCTTTTCTTGATGCTTGCTCCAGGCTATTGGATGTGGATTTGTCGAGGGTGTATGAGTTGGTTTTGGTCGCAGTGGTATTTTGTGCGGGACAACTCTTGATAAGTACGACATACATACTGACATTGTAACATCGTATCGCGCTCTAATGTCAGTGGCGTTCTTACCGCAAAGTAGCTCAAGCTGCTTCAAGTTAGACTCGCTGGACTGTCAAGACAAGTCTTTCCAGTTCATAATTGCGTGCGTCGGAACTTTGTTGGAAGTAGGACGGGTAAAATGCACAATCTAAAGATGCAACGAGCAGCAGCTAACAAAATTATGTTCTTTACATGCACCCACCAGGAATTTTTACTTTGGCAACTTCTGCAGAACTGCAGCAGAAGTGAGTGCATTCCAATGTTTCTCCGCATCAGGAGATTGCCTGCATGCTCTGCCACACTGGGTCGCCTATAAGTGCCTAAGTCTTTCCGAAGATGATTGATTGGGCGCGAGTGTGGAAGTCGGATGTACGCTACCTTTGGGATATCGTCGTCGTCGTCAGAGTTGCAGCTGGCGTAAACAATTTTAGTTGAATCCTAGGTCGACTCGGCATGTGTTTCATACAACAACAAAAAGACTGCCCTGACTCGGAAGAAGCCTGAAGAAGGTTGGAACTTGGCTGAAGGCCTAGATTCATAGGCAAGAATCGGACGGTGTATTTACTATTTAGCGCCAAATGGGCAAAAATGAACAAGGAAAACACAAATCTGGGCCTCAAATAGGCAACTTTTTGGCTGAACATCATAGGGAGCTTCCGGTGGTGGGCACCATGATTGGCATCTAGACTCTGAACCATATTGTTCCAGTATGCAGCGCCTCGAGGCGTCTGAGCTGTATGGGCATGCGTTAATACGCATTACCCTGCACGAGAGTATATTAGCTCTTCCTGCACTCAAGCTAACACTACTATCAACATCATATTTTCCTCTTGAGTCATCTGCTGCAGTTCGATTTGATCGACATATCTACCATTATGAATCTCAAGAGACGTGGAGAAGAGTCTCAAAGCGAACCTGTGTCAGGCAATGTGGCTTTCAAAGCGGTTCGTTACGACTCAACCAAACTTCTAGCACTCATTCACTGAATATATGTTCCAGGATGATGGGGTTCCAAATATTGTGATATTTGGAATGACGGGCTCAGGAAAGAGCTCCATTATCAACATACTCTTAGAACGAGAAGAAGCACCCGCGTCAAACGATGCAATGGGTTGCACAGCCACGACCGACAATTACGATTTCTCAATCGACGAGAGGAAGTATAGAATATGGGATACTCCTGGGCTTAACGAAGGCTCCGAGGGACTCGTCCCTGCAAAAGTGGCCCTCAAAAACCTGAAGTCTTTCGTCAAAGAACTCATGCGCGACACAAATCGTACTCCTCTTTTCATCCTTTGCATCGAAGGATCGCAGGACGTGAAAGCCCAGCTGCGCCATTACGATAGTCTCAAATCTACCATTGGCGCTGCTCCATTTTCCATCGTAGTCACGGGTATGGACAGGTGCTCGTCAAGCCCTTGGAGCAAGTGGTGGGGCGAGCACCGGAATGTCCTGCAATCGTTCGGTGTGGCTAGCGTAGACCATGCATGCGTTTGTACGCTGTTGGATGGTGATGAGCCAGCCGGGTCTCGGGAAGAGCTCATCGACCTCATCAGGAGAGCTACTCTCCGCCCATCTATGCCTGCAGGAATCCAGCGCGATAATGAGGAAATCCATGTACGCCGCGACACAGACCCACTTATCCCCAGAGGGCAACCCAGCTCAAGTCTTAGCGAAGGAGGGTCTGAACAGACATTCTTCGACTGGAAAGGGCTTTTTATCTGGAATCGACCATGGACAAGGCGCAGAATAGGTGCGCATTCAATAGCTGTCCTACAGGTCACAGTCTGATGGAATGAATCGTATTGCCCCAGTAACTTGCGTTTACCTGGTCGCCATCATTGTCTTGGTTTCCCTTTTTGTGTTCTTCCATCATCAGATAGTGCGCGCTTTGCAGCCTGCAGTGGAGCGGATTCATGAGTGGGTCTACTTTGGGTTGAAGCATGCTGATTGCCTGATACTAATTTACGGATCTACGTCAATAGCTTAAAATTCGGATGGCTCATCCCAATTGCGATGTTCTTTGTGATGTCATTCCCTCCGGTGAGTCACATGAGGTTCTTCATGCTGAATTGCCTCGTTGACCGTAATTTGCGTTCTCAGTTGTTTGGTCACGAAATATTGGCCATCCTCTGCGGGGTTGTTTGGGGCGCTAAGGTTGGCTTCGCCATCACCGCAGCCGGCACTTTCATAGGTGAAGTCGCCAACTTCTAGTGAGTTTTATTCAGTACTTTCTATGAAAAGCTTTGAACGTTTCTCTCAAGTACTTTCAAACATTTTTGCCAAGCTCGCGGAGATAAGTTGCAGAGAGACAGCATCACATATGCCGCTCTGTGCAAGGTGGTTCGTGAACGCGGTTTCAAAATCGCGTTAGTCGCGCGCTACAGCGCTGTTCCAGGGCATTGTAAGTTTCTATTATACGCATACGTCATTCGTTAATATTCGCTATTTCCAGTGACAACAGCCATATTCGCAGTGTGCGGAATGGAAATCTTTACGTTCATGCTGGCAGCTGTGCTCTCTCTTCCGAAACAATTCGTTACTGTCTACATGGGTGTGATGCTTGAAAGCGACCCAAACTGTGAGTCATTAATGGTTTTGGTCCGTTATGTTGCGCCTGCTCACATACTTTACAGCACCTGGTGCTTCCACTAGCAGGATTATTGGTGATGTCATTGGTGCTATCACACTTCTGGTGACTGTCGTTGCAATGTGGTATATCAACAAGGAAGTGAGCAAAGTGAAGCCACGAGTCATACAGGAGCGTCAAAAGTCCCGGTCAGTGCCTCATCATATAAAGAGGCGCTTGACCACTTACGACTTCACCTTGCAGATACCATGAAGACGACGCCTCGCGAGAGGATTCCTCCGCCCTCGACGATATGTCCGATGATGCTCATGACGACATGTCGTGTGAAACCCTCAATAATGAAAGTCATCCTGAAGATGCACGCGGCCATGCGGGCTCCATCCGTACCCCTACGCTTCCATACATGCCGGATACCGAAGAAGGTCAAAGATATAGGTTAAACGCCCTCCCTGATGATCCGTTTCACGGTCCTGTCGACGCCACGATTGGTTCTGAGACCATGACATTAAGTGTCACGCGAGCATCGTCCCGGTCTTCTGCGGCTCGGACTGGAGGGCCGTCTGCCGGGCAATACTACACTGCTGCACAATCGATTAAGCGGGCGCTTCCGTTGACGATTTCCCCAACACACGCTGTTATACAGCAATCAGCCTTAGCGATCACGTTTCTGATATTCTATTTCAAATGTGGAGTGTGTGGCCACCGCGTGTGTGTATGTACTTACTACAAGTTTACTAGCTCAATTTTCATTCATAAGTTACTGTCTGATGACGTCGCCGCAACATGGTAGTGTTTCTGAGTCACAAATTTTGTATTGAATTTCGAAGGAAGATGTGTTATGCGAGAGCAGGTTCCCGAGGCTTCACTCACGGGAACTGCCATTGTTGGCGTTATAGCTTTATACGCACAAAGACTTCTGATGCACCTCTGATGGATTTGGTTGAACTAGTAGTTTCTCTCCCGGAACCCGAGGCTTCTGCACCCCCGGTACCAGACGGTCGGTACCTTGCTCTCCACCGTGACTGTACGTAAGTATCAGTCTTAGTTAGAAAGTTAATAGAGACAGTCCCAGAGAGTACCAGTAGTGGCAGACAACCGTCAAATGACACTGCCGCAATAGTGCCAAGATCATGATAATGATACGGGTCGGTGCGCAGCCTCGTCTAAACTTTTCCGAGTCAGCGCTTATGCCGCATGGCCCACGTCAAGACGTTTACTTAAATATGACACACTCCGCCGTGCCTTGGAGAGCACAGCGATATTTCTCTTGCACTCGCTCGCCCACAAGAGACGGTCTGAGACGGTCCACGGTTGACTCGACGGCCGTTTATCTTGAAGAATCTGTCTCGCCCCTACACAAACCTGGCTGTTCGTGTGGACGACTTCCAACCTTTGGGTCACCTTCCCACTAGGCGATTGAGTGATTCCTGTAAAATTTCCTGACCGGCATAGTTCAATGGTACGGCGTGCGTCTTTCTGACTGACGGGAGATGTCATAATCTCTTTGATACAGATCCCCAATGAAGCTGTCGGAGTGACACCTTACGTTCCCCAGTTCTTCTGGCGGTTCTGGCTGTCTGATGCGTGAGTCGTTCGTTCATGACCTATGACCTCCAGTTTGTCGCTGACAGGAGATACATATACAGTAACCCATCGAAACACACCCTCGACGATCACCGCGTTCATGCGTATGACGTCTTCAACAACGAGCTCACTGAAACGCGTCGTGTTCCCGAGCAAGTTCAGACGATCTTTCATAACTTTGATATCCCATCTTTGGGTGAAGGTTGCCGGTCTGTCTTGCATACCGCGGAGAAGGCCTTCACCCGTCTGGAAAATGAAGTGGAGCGGATCCTCAGTGAAATGATATCAAAGATCCGCTCTTCACACTCTGGGGAATCACGACCGGACACGAGGCTCGAGCTGCCGATTTCGAGACATTCTCGAGATGCATTGCTCCGGTACTTTGTATTCTTACGGTATCGAAACAGTGACAAGTACACGGAGACGGTTGCCAGCTTGACGACACGTGTCATTACTGGCAGTGGTGCGGTCGTTAACGCTGGACATGCATGGCATCGGGTCCGTAGACGTGCTACGTTGGGAAGTTTCCATGCCTTTCTGCAGAGCGAGAACACCGACAAGAAGGTGTTCCGTCACTTTGAGGGTCTTGACTGTTGGAGGTTCTGCGATGCCGAGATCTGTATAGGTCTGGCGTCCGAAGGTCAGCAGTTTGTGCTCCCTGACTCATGCTTTGCCAGCCTCGACGAGGAGTTTGCTGGTGATCCGTGAGTCTAAGAAATCATCATATATCGGGTCGTGTTGAACACATGGCTTCAATAGCTCATCAGCTCATCTACTATTCCCGATTATGCCTACTATCGCTCTCTACGTGCTCGGCACCCAACGCGAGGAGCCTCGGTCGCATGGTTCAAGCGTACGGGACCAAGTGATGGGAGCTGCCGCTGCTTGGATTGACGTTGGCATCGAGTCACCGGCCGATGTGCACCTTCGTAACGCATCTCTTCTTCAGCAACACCCAGCCCGGTTATACTTCTCTTCCCTCACTTCTGTCACCCAAGCTATCGCGCATTACGACAGCTTCCGTTGGGTGTCTGAGCACTTGGACTACTCGCGACTGAAACAACGTGCTAGGCAAAAGGCAACGCTAGAGCAGTTAACGAAGACTCTGGTCGTGAAAGGCAGCGTGTTACTTGTCGACCTCACAGACGAGGTTGAAAAAGTAGGCAACGCACCTGTATCTGGCGGTTCCTTCGCCGACGTTTGGAAAGGAATCTGGACGAATTCCCACAATGGGACACAACCAGTAAGAAACATTTGGTCGTCTTCCCGATTCAGTATCTTAGTAGTTGGTTGACAGGTCGCGCTCAAATACCTTCGCCAGTACATGCACATGACAGACGAAATAAAGGAAAAGCTGATGCTGGTGCGTGTACATCTCCAAATCAGTTTGCTCATATGTGCTTAATGAAGGACCACAGCGGCTTAAATCAGAGGTCGTTGCCTGGCACCGCCTGCGTCACTCAAATATCGCACAGCTCTATGGCGTTGCTCAGTCTCCTAACTCCATAGCCATGGTTTCCCCTTGGTGCGACAATGGTACATTGACGCGTTATCTGGAAACAAATCCCGAAGCAGATCGATTTGCATTGGTAAGTCAGGATTTAGATGGCTGACACGCTTATCCACTTACACGAGATGCAACAGATCCAGCAAATAGCTTCGGCAGTCAGCTATTTGCACAACTGCCAGCCAGTCGTTATCCACCGCGACCTCAAAGGCGTAAGTTTGTCTCCATTCATGCTTTTCCGACTCGAAATTTACGCTTTGGATTCCAGTCCAATATACTTATCGGGGACGATGGTCAAGCTCTCTTGACAGACTTTGGTTTGTCAAACGTTATGGAAGAGGTCCTTGAATCCGAGCCCAGCATGCGGAACAGTCGTTTTGCAACATCGCTCTTCGCTGGTTCAACTCGTTGGATGGCACCTGAACTCATTGAAGCGCTCACCAATGATGATGATGCTCAACCGCCTCCAATCTCCACTAGCAGCGATGTATACGCTTTTGCATGCGTTTGTCTCGAGGTTGGCTCGTCCATTTGTCTGTTTGTTTCTGTTCGTTGACAGTGTTTTGCAGGTCGCAACCGGTTCTCTTCCTTTCTCACATAGGAGCAACGATACTGCAGTCATCTTCGACATCATGAGGGGCGTGAAGCCCTCCCGCGGATGCGCTCCCATGAACCTGCGGCTTCCGGAGAAGGAGGTGGACCACTTCCGGAAACTCCTTGATAGGTGTTGGAGCCCAGCACCGTTCTTGCGACCCACCATGACCCAAATCAAACAAGAGCTAGCAGGCTATCTCGGGTTGTTGCATGTAGACCATTACGCCGAATCATAACGACATGCATGATACAATATGACTTAATTATTTGCATACATTATATATCAGCACATGTACAACATACCACACGTATTATTCACAGCTGGAAGTTCAGAATAACAACGCAACATATCACTCACCCTTGTACCACTATTGTACACTATACAATCCCGATGTTTTTCTTGTCCTCGTCTCACTTTTCATAAAATCCCTCATAATTCCACCCCTCCTCGGACTCACCCTCTCTCATCCAACCAAGCGTGCGCGCAGTAAGCATAGCCACGCGAAGGAACAGCGTTCCATCCAACTCTGCAAGTCCCAGGTTGCGCTCAGCATCTTCGAGTTTGCTGTTATCTGTGGCTACGCTCGCTTGTTTGCGGGTGGCGAACCACCCCTGTCCTCGCAAACCATACAACGATGAAAAATGCGCGAGTGCCCGCTGTATCTTGCACAAATGTTCGTTAGGATGCACGATCGTAGTCTGTATTATAGACAGCCAGGGATTTGGCGTCCGCGCTTCAGGAGAATTCTCGTCGGGCAGTGTGTGTTCGAAAGGTGAAGGCTGTGGACCCGGAATGACGTCCACACCACTAGAAGGTAGAAGCTCCGATGTGTCACTATAAAACTTGGCGATATCGAGGGTGGGACGCCCCCGTGACAGGTAGCGCGCCAAGCTCACTGTGAAGTAGGAACGCAGCAGCAATGCTTGGGCACGAGGATTTTGATAGAGCGAAGTTACGAGGGACGGGAGGAAAAGGGTGGAAGTGACAAGATGCATCAAGAAGAAATCGGCGTGGAACTTGTCCTTCTTCACAGACGCACCCCCTACGCCATAAATTATCGAGTTGAGCCAAGCAAGTTCCTCCACTGCTTTGGCGACGTCCTCCTTATGCGCTACATCGAAGTCCCACATTTCAGCGTACGCTCGAAGTTCCTCGTCGTGAGATGAGACGGTTGTGGTAAACATGTCTACCTCGTCCATCGTTTTGATGTGCTCAAATCGTTCATCCTTAGCGACGAGTGCGAGAATTGAGAGGGCATGCATGGTTCCAGATTTCATAGGAGAACTGAAATACGAAGGTGGAAGAAGTGCATGCACCTTCGCAGGGTGTACAGCAGTCATAGCCAGACCTTTCTGCAGGTAAGAACCAGCACAATCCATGACGTAAAGGTAGCTTTACCTTCCGCTGACATGCCTAGTAATCCAAACTCTGCACCATAGCCGGTGTGGATCAGGGGGTGGAGCAATCCACCAATGAAGCGAGTCAGCATCTCCGGGTGACCGTCTCCCTCTGGACGTAATTCTGCTAGGTAATTTGCAGAAGGAGCAAATATATATTCCCCAAAGGTGCGAGCAAACCCTTTCTTCCCGAGTTCATGGGCAAAAAAATCCGAGTAGGCTGAATAAAAGCTTGGAAAAGTTCAGTAATTAACAAACATTGCCGTTGAACATCACCTACCGTTCATCGCCAAGGTGCTCATTAAAATTATGGCGTGTGATACGGCTTGGTGAGTCAAACGCAGGTCGCTGATACACGCAATGAGTTTCATAAGCAGAAAAGATGATCTTGGCGCTTGCGCCCATCGCCCAGATTGCGAGAAGGTGATGAGCCGCATGACTTCGAGACAAGGTTAGAGCTCAACACACATATACGCTTGAAACGGAGCACACTTATGGAACCCCTTGTAATTGAAGAATATATGCCACCTCGAGTGATTGTCCTCCAAGACTTTCAGAAGCATCTTGGTGCTTTCTGCGTCGATGCCTGGCCAGCGCTGGGGGCATATGGGAGCTAAAGGCGGTTGTGGGGTCTGGAACAAAGGGGGCAACACATTATGCTTCGACTCAGACTTGGAAGGGAACGAAAACGCTTCTGCTGCCTCAGGAGAATATTGCGCTAGGCCGTGAGCATGCATATGTCCAACTGGGTGCTGAAAAGGTTCATCACCAGGTCGGTTGAATGGCCTGTAAGCGGTAGTGTCGAGTTCAGAGGACATCGTAGTTGGTGCTGGAAGGGGAATAGGGGCTCTAGTTGAGGTCATCGACGACTCATCGCGCCGTTTTTGACTTACGTGACCAATGACCCCGAAGTGGTGTACCCTTCTAAGAGGACTGCCAGAGAACCATTGGGACCTGGTCAAGTCCGTGTCACCCAGATCTCTGACCTTCTATCCAAAAGGCATTTGCATGTCATTTCAAGACAGATATCAGGGATTCTGTATGTTATACAAGGAATAATTGCATGTGTATATTATCAGCTGAGATGGGAGTCAAACAAGAAGAAACTGGTCACTTCACGTATTTTGGATACATGCCCCCATCGCCTATGCATTCATCTTGGCTTCAAGCTCATCTCTCTCCGAAGCCACTCTCTCAAACTCCTGGTAATCCCAGGCACCTGTGTTCGATTCGCCATCCCTCACCCATCCCAAAGCAGCACCCGTCAACCAAGCTACGCGCAAGAATATGCTCCCATCAAGGAACTCCCACTCCGGCGCCTCGAGCGCTTTGCACTCGCCCTCTGCGAGTTCAAGGCCACCAGGCAACAATGGTGTGTCAGGACAACTGATCGCTGGACTTGAGGACAGTGCCTCCGACATGAAACCGGCCTCACGGTGTCCGTACAGTATGGCAAAGTGCGCAAGCGCACGCTGGCACTTGCAAAGATGCTCATTCGGGTGTACGATCGTGTTCTGTAGAAGAGGGTACCATACATTCGGCGTCACCGTATGCGGACTGTCCCTGCCGAGTATTGCACATGATGCTGGCTGGGGAAGAATGCCTGGGAGCGTCGTTGCGTACTTGAAGTGTGCTGGGGAAGGGAGGGGCGCAAGTGGTGCGGCAAAAAACTTGCGCAGAGGGAGAGCAGGGCGTCCACGTACAAGCCACCAGGTGATACTCACGAGGAAGTGTGCACGTAGAAGGAGAGACTGGCTTCGGTATGAAAGGTGTGCACAAAGAGACGGGAGGAAGAGGCATGAAGTGACGATATGCATGGTGAAGAAATCTGCACGATACTCCTCGCTCTCACCGTCCCAGCTACCGACACCGTACATCAAAGTGCTTGCCCATACGAGCTCCTCGAGGTGGCGATTGAAATCTTCCTGGCTGTTGATCTCGCATGTCCACATCTCTGCGTAAGAGTTGATGAGTTCACCGTGCGACACGAGCATGGCCTCGAATTCATGCTTTTCCAGGATACGCGTCCAGAAACGGCTATCGGCAAGCATCTGCGAGAGGATCGTGAGTGCGTGCACGTGCGATTTTGGCTTGTACTGAGAGTCCGGGTTTCCGGGAAAAAGCAAACGAGAGACGAGGACGGTCGCTCGTGCAGGATGCACGCTCGCCTGGGAGAGCCCTTCAGCCAGCATGCCAGGAAGTCCGAATTCTGCGCCATAGCCGGTGTGAATAAGGGGGTGGATAAGAATTTCCACGAAGCGGTTGAGCATTTCAGGCTGCTGCTTTCCCGATGCGAGAGAATTGTTGATGTTGTACTCTGAAGAGAAAATGTACTTTTCAAGGATGCTTGAGATGGTAGCGCCGGGGGCGAGAACTACTTTGTGGAAATAGTCCAGGTATGCATTATAATAACTAGGTCGCATTTGTAAGTTATTTCGATTGGGATGTAGGAGGTATTCAGCCTTACTTTTCATCCCCGAGGTAGTCATGAAAGTTGTCATCTGAGATTACTACACGGTCAGGTGCCTGGAAAGCATCGCGCATATGGTCGAGGTGAGTGTCCTCATATGCAGCTGTGATCAAAGGGCCAGATGCGCCAAGGGCCCAAATGGCTAACAAGTGGTGGGCTGCATGGCTGAATGAAGTGTCAGGATTATTCTGCAATGTCATTTTGTAAGCGCATACTTGTGAAAACTGTAGTAGTTGAAGAAGACATGGCTGCGCTCGTGGTTATCTTTGAGCGTCTTGAGCAGTGCAGCAGTTGGCCCTGGACCGGCATTTGGTAGACGGGCTGGTGCAAGGACTGATGGAGGGGGCGCGGGAGCAGGAAAGAGGCGTGCCAGAACCTCAGCAGGGGATGGTGCAACAGGGATTGGATTGGCAGGAGGAATTGTGTTGACCATGATGAAATTGAGGATGAATGCTGAAGAGAAAAGACTCTAGCCTCTGGTATTTATGTGAGACCGCAATCAGGGACCCCGCGGTGACAGTGCATGATCGATAGGCTCTAGAAACGCTAGTGGTGAATCAGGCAGTGACGCCGGCGATAACGGACACAGCCTATCAGCACTAAGTAGCACAGACTAGCACTTAGTCTGCAGCTTGTTGACTACGACAGCGACCGCCGCGTGACACGTCTCCCACGCGACAGTCAGCAACATCTCTGCCAATGGACCTCCAAGGACGTCCGACCCAACTTGAACATGAGTGAGCCGAACGGCGCCGTGCTTGACTTCAAGTGCGACCAACGACTCATAGTACTCTCCAAGTTACGGTACGTTTTTAAGAGTCTAGAATATTTGCGCAACGTGACTGATGCGGCAGAGATGAGGTTTGAAGCAGCACCATGAAGGAGCTTACGAACTTGAAGAGGCTGAGCCGGAACGTGTCGTGAACGTTATGCCGCCTTGATTTTATACACCATGAACATTGTGTTGACGACTCGGCGGCATAATAAGACGTGGAGGAGGCCCAAGGCGGCAGGTTGAACAAATGACACGCTAGCGCAATAGGCGGTTGCGACAATCGTACTAAATACTGTGGCTATGCCCAAGTTATTCTCGTCAACGCTGCGGTAGGCTTGAGCCGCTTAACTATAGTCTACACTGCACGTTGTTCGACCTTTTAAGAGTTTCATCAGAAAGATTCAGGAAGCCTTTTCCGGCCGCGCACGTGGGTGTAATGACTATGGCAACGGTCTGGACTCTGAAACCTCTCTGCCTTTGCCAGATTCCAGAAGCTTTGCTGCAAATCATGCGCAAGTTTTCAGGCTGCCGCTTGCCAGACGCGAGAGAATCGTTGATATTAGTATGCTCTGAAGAGAAAAAATATTTTTGAAGAGTGCTTGAGATGGCCAGGTAATAAATTCATAACGATACATGCATTGGCATACAGTAATCCTGTGCTTCGTCGTAATGTAGAGAGAAGTCAACATGCCGAATAAATACAGATGCTTGTCCATGGCTCGTTGATATGAAATAAATGATAAAGTATATGATATCCTCCCGGGAAATAAGAGCTCGTCCACTCACAGCCAACACAACAACTTGAATTTCAAGAATCTTTTGAGCATGCCCCCGCCTTTCACCACGCGTCGGATGAGACAGGATTGCTTGATAAGATCCTGCAAGTCCTGCTCCGCCCGTCGCCTTAAAGAATTGTCTCCGAAATCTCCAGCTGGAGAAAATGTCGAGAATAAAAGACCAGCGCCGTGGTGCATGATATGTCGCTCAACCCATTGACGAGCGGATTTTCTATCATTCAGTCCTTTGACCACGACGACGACCGGCACCATGTTACCGCGGTATGCCGTGTAGAACTCGCGGAACGTTTGGCGAGCCACCGAGAGCGTGTCAGCGTGAGCATAATATATGAGAAGATCTCCTTCGTGCCCCCCTCCTGCGCTCGAAGTCGACTCTGGCGGAGGAACGGGGCAAACCCGGTATGTCTCCCCACCGAAGCGCACAAGGTCTTCCTCTTCCTTTGGCGACGAGCCACATATGATGAGGGTGGATGGGGAAGACCTTTCGCTATTCCAGTTATGCCTCATCACGTATCGCGCATCTGCAAAAGACTGCTTGAACCAGGTGTTGTCGACCGCCCATTCCGAGCAGTTATTGACGACAAGGTTGCGCACGATTCCGCGAGACTCTGCGATACGACAATTGAAGACGTCTGAGATGCCTGCGTGTTTGTGAAGCGTCGTGACGCAAGCATGGTCTTGGAAATACATGCCACGACTCTTGAACTCCTTGGCATTTGCATACCACCAACCCTGCATATCGGTCTCGTTCTCCAACCCTGTGACGACAACGACGATCGGGACCTTCTTCCGACAGATCACAGAGTAGAAAAGATTGTAGTTGCGAATGAGGGCCTGACGGGCTCTCGTGCTGCGCACGCAGTATACCAGAAGGCCGATGCCATCCGACCCAGGGCTCATGAGACCACGTAGCAGCCTCTTCAACTCCTTTTCCGCCTTCGCCGCCGGCACTGCGCCAGTACTCCCCTCATTAAGACCTGCGGTGTCGAACAGGACATATCTCTGGCCAGAGATTTCGACTGGGTAGCATTGATAACTGAAAGTACAACCCGTCGCATCACTAGATGTCTCCGCAAGCTGGGTTTGCGTTATTGCATTGATGACTGAACTTTTCCCTGAGCCACTCTCGCCGAAGATGACGACATTTCTTTTTCGTGGGCGGGTCTGCTACTTCTGATCAGTAAGTGAGGATGCGGCTTAAGCAGGGCACGTACTTCGTGGTTGCTAGACGATACCTTTGGAGGTGGTGGTGGTGGTGGTGGTGGTGGTGAGCCGCTTTCATCGGAGACGACAACACTTCTTCCCTGTGGCCAGGTCTGTCACTTTATCAGTAAGATTTCTTCAAGGTGATGCGTAAGATGTGGGGCACATACTCCGTGATAGCTCGATGACGCATTAGGAGGCAGTGGCGGTGGTGATTGTCTCCGTTCAGGTTCGGTGATACCGGTTGATCTAGGGTTGTGCACAGCTTGATAATGAGCCCCATTGCGCTGGTCATGGTGCCGTGAGCTCGAAGAGCCCAAGTCGACTTCTGGCGATGAAGCGCATCCGCGTAGACCGTTGTTTAACATGATGTCTGATATAAGATCAGTATAAGTCAGGTTTATGGAGAGACGAGTGTAGGCGTGAAGGTAAGATATGACGGCGAGGTAGCGACTGATATGATAGCGAGGTAAGGACTGATATTATAGCGAGATACAGACCGATATGATAGCGATGTTAGAAAAGGAATTGATTGAGGTTTGCATGCAGGCTTGTTATTATGAACCCAGGGCTTTGAACCCGCTATGGGCCTTGGATCCTGGATCCTGAACATGCTTGTGCATGTCGCATGGGTCCGCCTTGTCTGGAAGAATAGTATGGCTCCATAACGCACGTTCACCGTCGGGACAATGAGCCTTTTTCGTGAGTCAACCCGCCAGGTGCACTGCCTTAGATCGTCAACAAATCGTCACTGCAGCCTCAGCGAATGCACAAAACAGCATGCATGCCTGCGACATGTCTTCATGTTAGTTCATCCAAAAGAGCCTATGCGATAAATTTAGTCGACGAAAAAGATTCCTCGCGGTCCAGGTGTAGTCCACGAGGCTTTGCAACGAGCTGGAAATTCAAATTCAGTCAACAACGTGTAATCTGAAGAATTTCGACGGATCTAAGTACATCATGAAAAGCAACCTTCTGAGGATCTGGATCAGCCTAACAGTGCTTGCTTTCTGACACAGCAGTCTCTAGCCACCGGAAGGACTTTCGACGCAGTGAGTGAAGCATGTTTGAAGCAGTACTTAGTGACGTAGGTCGAGCACACTGGCACAGGCACGAACTTCTGAATTTGAATTTGAACGCCAGCGCTGTTCGCAGTGCACGTGACTCGTGTAAAAAAGAAACCTGGCTACTTGCCACTGTGCCAATGATTACGAGTTTAACCTGAGCTCATTGCAGCTGTGCAGTACTAGTTAGCGTATCTGCAGGTATGTACGTCGGTCTAGCATATTCTCCCACTGACAGATTAATTATTCCTTCAACACCTGTACGCAAGACTTTCTGTACTCATGTTTCTCATGGCGCTCTGTGGCAAGCGCCTGTATCGCTTACCTCCCACGCTGTGTTGTTAGAAGTAACGACTACGTCTAGGGAGACTAATCCTGTACCGCCTCTCGCAAACCACAGCACACGCGGTAACGTTGCTCACGTTACCCCACGCACAACTTACCTCTCCCTTACTTAATGTCCACATGTCCCCCACCCAACTCCGAATAATCTGTGTCATATCTGCTGTGTAATGCTGCCACCTTCCTCTTCACCACTGCCGATGACGTTGATGACGGTGATGTTGTTATCAAGGCTCTTAAAACTCGAACTCAGCATCCTTAAGCTTGTCCTTAGCTTTATCACGATGTCCTAGCACATAAGAAGGATGTATTCACTGATTCCCTTGTTAGATTCTACATTGTCTATGTCGAATTGATCTACTCTTGAGGTTTTTTGTCGTCGTTGTCCGAGCCCGTTCGGAATTCCATTTCTACACCTCGCGCTGAAGCTGTCGTCGGCCAACAGCATGATGTTCTGTTGATAATCAATTTGCACGTATGTATGATTGCCCAGTTCTCACATTTTTCCTGCTACAGGTGTCGTTCATCAAACTGATGACTCAAGTGTACAGCAGCTCTCAGCGCATACGTCTCTTCAAGCCTTCGCTCTCTCGCCACATGCGAGCTTATCCCCGCTCGAGCAAGGGGTCGTGCTCTTTGACTTGGACGTTCCGGTTCGTTGTGTGTCGTGATTTATGACTGTGCTACCTTTCACGCTACTTACCAGGTTTCGTCCTCGTGCCAATCCTGTTGTCTCGTACTCTCGTTGTTACGTCACTATCTCATAGGACTTCGTAGGGCTCCCGGTTCCTACCGTGGACCGCTTTTCATACGATGTCGATTGCGATATGTTTCCACAGTGCTCACAAGAAGCGTGGTGGACCCGTCTGGGTTACAGATGGACTTCAATTCCTGTTCATAGGCCGAACTTTCGCAGATCAGCTGTTTGCTCACGACTTCTGAGACCGTCGCCGCTGAGCCTATATACAGCTAGACGAACAGAAATCGGGCTATGGTTACACTGAGAGTTAGCTTACAGAGACTTAAATGTAGGAGGGAGATATTGGTGCGAACGCGCGCAATTTTCTAATGGTCGGAATGATATTTCAGAATTCTTTCGCACGTTTGCAAGTGTAGTGATCAGCATTAGGAAGGATTGATATACTATGTAGACGTTACAACATGTACAAGATAACCAGGGGTATGTAAGTACTTAATCCGATGGGTATTCAATAGCATACGACGTGCAATAAGTTACTAATATTTGTCTTGACTAGAGTCAATTCTTTGAAGAAGCTGCACTGCATCCTCCTTGCGCAGCTCGCAACGCTTCGTGAGCATCTGTAGCATCTTCTGACGACTCCTCCCCAAGGTCTTGGCTGTGAGCAAAAGCTCCGGCAGCAACCTGCACATCCGCCCAAACCAGCTACTCGTGTCGATCGAGTATGGCTCAGCTCTTCCGAGTACCCTAAGCATATTGTGCACTTTCCTCCTGGATTCGAAGTATTTGTTTTCGTGTGCGTTTTGATGGCCCTTAATGGCGGTGATGCAAACATGCGTAGCAGGGACAACGCCCGACTTTTCGACATGGACCTTGTTACGTGTCCACCAGTCATCCATGTTCACTTCGGTCTCAAGGTTGGTAACGACCAGAGCAAGGGGCACCTTTTTTTGGCACAAGAACTCGTAGAATAGCCTGTAGTTCTGTTGCATAGTGCGTGACACTCTGCCACCCTTGATGCAAAAGATTAAGCCATGGACCCCGCCTTGGTTCTTGAGTGAAACGATGAGCTCGTGTGCCTTCACAAGGGCATTTAGATAGCTCGCGCTATCCATTGTAGGGCTGTCCAAGCCCACCTGGATGATTTTTGACTTAGAATGCCAGCCTCAGTGTGAAAATGCGTCTGCTTACTGTATCGAATAGATTGACATTAAGCTGGGGGTCAGATAACCTGATTGGATACTCGGTTGATTCGAGATTGCAGGATTGTACGCCGGAAGAGGACTTGGCGACTTGTTCACCAGCAATGAGGTTTATCAGCGAGCTCTTCCCTACACCCATTTCACCGAAGACGATGAAGTTCTGTGGATGAGCAAATGTTGTTGGAGCGGAATCGTTGGTGTAGTTGGGTATGCGTGTCATAGAGTATAGTCACTGTAATAGATGCGAAGATTGAGGGTGAGTACAGCGACAACTCTAGGATACATACATAATTTGATATCGAACTAAATAGCCATCCTCTCAGGCGTACTGCATGAAACAGCATGCCTGGAATACGTTCTCCAGTTAGCTCATTCGAAGAGAGTAGGAATAGGCAATGTGATTCACCTGCCGAACAGTAAGATTCCAGTGGACCACTCTGGCAGGTGGCATGCGGTAGTGGTCCTGATCACTGGCACATCACAGCCGCTATAATGCAGTAGTGCTTTATCTATTACCTAATAGCGGAACCTCCTTTTCCGCGTATCCTGTGCAAAACACATGCTAGAGCGTCCGACCCCTCGAATTTGCTGCGTGTCCGCCTCGAGGCAAGATGTCGATTTTTACCCCTCTCGGGAGACACGTGGTTCGTTTTTCTACTTATTAGGCTTCGCGCACTGCGAGCTTGCTCACAACAGCCTCTGAAGCAGCGTAAACATCTTAGGGCTTGGTTTACATGCGTTGATTCTCGGTACCTTCTCTTATACCCAGTTGGGCCTCTGGTACCCATCATTCGCCCCTCCATTTGCCTCCTGTGTCCTTCGTGTTCTTCACCGTAGTGAGTTACAGTTGGTTCTAGTCGGTGATCGGCCCAAGCCCCATTCCATCTGCGAGAACATGGTTCCAAGTCTGGAGGGTGACCATCCACCACGCCTGCTCCAAACTTTATGATCGTCATGCTCAGGGATCTCTGTCCCAAATAGGGTTCAGAGAATTTGAGTTGGATCTTTTCGAATCTTCGTCTCTCCGATGAACCTTCGACTGTTGTTTTGGGACGAAAAGATCGAATGTGAAGGCACCGTATTACAGGTTAGGTTGTGTCTGAGCAATTAGCTCGGACTAAACATTGATGGATTGAGCTACCGGGTGGCAGGGCAAGCAAACAGCGATTTGGCATCCGAAATTCAGGAATTAACCAGTCGTGTAAATTAACGAATGTGGTAGTAGGTGGGAGGGAATAAAAGAACGTATATGACGAACTACTACGATAACTAGTATGATAAGTAAATGAAGGTAGGAATTCGCATTGTTCGACTTCAAAGAGAAAGAGTAAGTATGTAGAGTCCAGACGTCTCGCTTAGTTCGGCACCCTGCTCATGGAAGTGTAGAGGACAGAAGAGAAAGAGAAAAGAGCAAGACGGCAACGAACAAATACATAAACAGTGCATACCTGGCCAAGATCCGCCTCCCATTACGACTTGTGTCTGTGGTCGGGCCTATGACGCAGACTACAATTCTGAGTAAAAGCACCCAAGAGAGGATAATACAGCGTCAACTGTATCCTGAGCTACACCTTTGTTCACAAAGGTTGCCCGTTCCTTCTGAAAATACTCCGACGCCCCACGCACCTCCTCCACGAGCCACTTCTCCACGACCCGCTCCTCTAGTGGAAAATTCAGCTTCGTCGCTGTCACGAGGGCTGGTATTGCGTCGATATAGTCGTCATCGTTCTCATAAATGTGGGCGCGCCACGTTTCCTTGATCAGTCGCCTGAGTGGCCTCGCCTGGGCAGGGTTAAGAGCGAAATTCTTGCCTGTAGGATCGAGGCGCCCAATGATTGCAGGAAGGTAGAATCCGAGAAACCAACTCTCCCTTCTACTGATTTCGTCAACTAGTTCAATACACCGCTTTAGATGGCCATGAAGGGTCTGATGGGTCTGACGTTGACACCACTCGTCGGTCTTTGTCAGGGAAAAGATAAGGCTGATGTAACGACGGTCTCGATCCTCGTGGAAAGAGGCGTCGGAATGAATTGCCTGGTATGGATTTGGACATACGGCAGTCAAAAGAGCGCGAGAAAGCGAATCCAAGAGATTTGCGTCGACACCCTGTGGCATCAAGTCATCTGTGATAGCAGCGAGTTCCCCTCGAGTATCAGACACAAGTCTCAGCGCGGCGTGCCGGACTCGGGAAGGTTTGTCATTGCCCATACAACGGATGAGCGCATTGATAAAGGAAGGTTGCTTGGCAGAGCTCCATAGTCCCTGCACGGCGCTCAGTGCAAGCAAAATATCACCTTCCGTTGCGTGGTCGTCCTTTGCTCTATCCGCCAGGTAATCAACGAGCCAGTCGAATTCTTCACAGCGGGGCTCATGCCCGTTACTGTGACGCCACCGTAGATCACCATTCCAAATCAGTTCCTCGCTATCCGGAAGTGAAAGACTATGGTCCAGTCCGTGGACGACCAATGTTCTCAGAGCGGTGCGTACAGTGGCCTGATGTCTAGTGTCGTATTCTTGTGTCATCTGACGGTAGGCGTCACTGCCAGCCATGAATGCATCGCGAATGAACCGACTCCTGCCTCCCCAACAATCCCAACCAAATTTGGTAAGAAAGCTTGGATCGATTTTCACCGACTGGCTGCAAAGATGGGCCATGGCCTTCCCATACTTCACATACAACGCTTCCTCTTTACAACGTGCCCTGAAGTTATCACGTAGGCGCTTGTATATTGCTGAAGCGTCAAGCTCCGGTGACCACTCTGCAAGAGGCACCACCGCAGCCGCAGCCTCGACATATTCCGGGTTCGTTGATGTCTCGATTATCCAGCGTATGGCAGATGTTTTATCGGATATGTTAGGAGGCGAAGTCGCTCCTGTGAAGATTTTCCTAATAGCTCCAGCTGGCTTTGAGCCCGGTGTCCAGAAAGGACTGTGAGGACACCACACTGAGACAACCGTAGTCCACAAGTAGAAGACAACACCAGAAGCTGTGCCGCAGATCATGAAACCGGATATCATGACTCGCTCGGTCCACGTCTTGATGCATAGCGAGACGCTGAAAAGCAGTAGCGCAATCTGTAGGAACACAAGGAATGCCTGCAAGAGAGTCCGCAGATGAAATTGCTCTAGCCCATCCAGCTTCATCTGCCTTTGTATGCAGCGCTCCTCCAAAGACCCCCTTCCCCGGGCTGCCTTGTACGAGTTAAGCCATTGCTTTCCCAAGACAGCCCCCGACGCGGCCAAGACGCTAAACACGAGGCTGGTATAGGCGAAAGTCTGCATACAGACGGTCAAGGAGGAATAACCCTCAGACAGGGAAAGAGTGCTGATGTCATGTACGGAATTTGGGTTGGCAGTAATTTGGATCAACTTTAGCAGGAGGACATTCGTAGTGACTCCAGGGTTAGGCTGCATGCCGCCGATGAATGAAGAGTTGACAGCTGAGAGTAGACCAGCCTAATTCGCCGTGTTAGATTAGCGTTGAAATACATAGAAATGAACGCACAAAAGTCAAGATAACGCCCATATCATCATTCGCCCGCTCTAAGAAGTCGTTGTCATACTCGTCCGAAGCTTTCTTGTATGTCGCCCAGAACTTCGAATTAGCGGTATCTTGGCCGTGTTCTTCCGCAATAGTAGACCCTGGAGAGACATTGAGGGTGGTATTAGATCTTTGAAACAATTTAATCAGACGTCAAGTGTAACATGCTGATCAGTTGGTACTCACATCTCCTTAGCAAGGTCCTCCTCAGTGGACACGACATTTTCTTCGCTCGCGACATCCGGCCTGATCACATCCCAGCAACTCCATAAGCATTAATATCGACTCAGCCTAGCTGGCTACTTACTCGTTGGGAAGGAGGTCGGGTACAGGATCGGGAGGGGGAAACACATTTTGCATGTTTGGGGGTTATGTTTCAGTCTATGGACGGTGCGGTGAAAAATATTCCATAGCGGATAGTTACTTATAGTTGGGTTAACTGTAAATAGTACGGTACCTGCAGGGACGATTAAGATGTTAGTTGATATGCTTATAAGAGGCTAGCGTCAGCGTGTGCTTCACAAAAACTTATCTATAACAGCAAGGACTCCGAGTCTGCGCCGTTGCACTACGCATTAGGTAGTACGGACCTCCAAGGACGTCCGACCCATTATAAGTGAGCCGAACAGCGTGCAGTCAAGACTGACCCCAAATGCCTCGTTTTCTCGCCAGTTTACCAAGAACTATATATTACGGTCACGGTACCGTAACGTTTTTAAGAGGCTAAAACACACGTGCAATAAGATTAACGGGCTTGAAACAGCACTGGGAAGCAGCTTACTTTTCAAGAGGCATGGAGGGCGCAAATCTAGCTGTCCCAGAGTTCTTATGGAATGATTCACATTAGTGACATTACCCCAGGAAATCCCCGGTAACTCCCGGTAACTTGCGTTTGCCTTGTAGGCGCATCATCGTCTTCGGTTCCCTTTTTGTGTTCGCTAAGTCGCTTTCCAGCTCGCACGTTCATGAGTGGGTCCATTTCGGGTTGAAGCATGTTGTTGCCAATTGCTTGATGGTAATTTACGGACTACGCCGATAGCTCAAAATTCGGATGGCTTATCCGGACTAGTCCTAATTGTGATGCTCTTTGTGATATAATCTCCTCCGGTGAGTGTACATGAGGCTCCTCATGCTCGTTGACCGTAATTTGCGCTCTCAGTTGTTTCGTCACGAGATATTGGCCATCCTTTGCGGGCTTCGCCATCGCCGCAGCTGGCGCTTTCATAGGTGAAGTCGCCAATCTCTAGTGAGTTTTATCCAGTACATTTTATGATGAACTTTGAACGTATTTCTCAAGTACTTTCAAATATGTTTGCCAAGCTCGTGGAGATAAGTTGCAAAAGACAGTGTCATGTATGCCGCTCTGTGCAAGGTGGTCCGTGAACGTGGTTTCAAAGTCGCGTCGCTACAGTCACTGCTGTAACCTGTTCCAGAGCGTTGTAAGTTTCTATTATACGCACACATCATTCGTTAATATTCGCTATTTTCAGTGACAACACTCATATCCTCAGCCGTGCGGAACTGGAATCTATGCGTTCATGCTGACAGCTGTGCTATCTCTTCCGAAACAATTCGTGACTGTCCATATTGGTGTGGGTGTGATGCTTGAAAGTGACGCGAACTGTGAGTCATCACCTGTTATGTTGTACGCTCACATACTTTGCAGCATCTGGCGCTTTCACTAGCAGGATTATTGGTGACGTAGTTGCTATCACACTTCTGGTGGCTGTTGTTGCAATGTGGTATACCAACAAGGCAGTGAGCAAAGTGAAGCCAAAAGTCATGCAGGAGCGTCGAAAGTCCCGGTCAGTGCCTCATCATACTAGTTGGCAACAGTCTACCGCCAGGCCGCATGCAAGCAAAGGTCGTCACGCAGTAATACTGGTGCAGACACAGTTAATACAGTCCTATTCTCTGACAAATTTCTGCAGAATGCGTAATGGAGGCGCCCATCCCTTTTACTATGTTTGATTCTCTATTATGTAATGAGGAACGAGTGAAAAAATAGAGTTAGGTCTTTGCGCAAGCGTCGGGAGCAGTACGCACCTTGTCTTCGTACTGCGACGACGTTTCCTCTCGTATCAGTCGTCCCCAACGACATTGCTGGCCTCCTTTCTTTTCCTCTTCATTCTCCAAAACACACACTCCCGTTATTCCAGATTTCATCTCCCGTCCAAGCTTAGAATCCTCCCTTCAGAACTTCTGCAAAGCGCATTCCGACTTCTCCCGAATTTGATGGAGCGAATCCCTGCTGATCCTGCGCTGGAGGCGCAACCCAACTTCGAATCGGTAGCGTACCGGGGTTGGCTCAATGCCCTGATGGATGGAGGCGAAACCAGGGAGGTGCCATTGCCCAGATGACAGAGGGCTGGAGGCTAGAGCGTCAAGAGCGTATTGACCGTTGGCAGCAACAAGTGGAAGATGATGCACGCGAGGCACAAGAACGCGCAGATCATGAGAGGGCAGAGAAGGAAGCTGAGGAGCAGGAAGAGCAGCGCGAAGCCGAGAAGAAGAAGCCCAAGATAAACGACTTCGATGCTGAAACCCCCGTGGCAGACGTCATCATCCCCCGTCCATCTCAATACGCCATCCAGAAGATAAAGAACATGGAGTACGTAGAGCTCTGGTACTTTAGTCCAGACGGCTGTCGCAAAGCGGCCATCACCTCTAGATCCACCTCTGATGCAGATGACGCCTTCGGCTTTGCGAAAGTCGAGGGTATTGTCGCACTCAAAATGATAGCATCCTTCAAGGCTTCCCACAAGGCCCTACATGACCATGACTTATCCTGGCGCCAATTTGACTTGGCAAAGACTAGCTTCCTCATCCACATCGAGAAGAACGGATGGCCGGAGAAGCACCAGCAAGCGTTAGCCCTCTTCTTCACGCTCATCACCAATCATGAACACTGGATGCGTCCACAGGGAGAAAAGACCCTACTTCGCTATGCAGGGTTCGTCCGTCGTGAGTGGCATGATCGGCTCGCTCAAAACCAAGGCTTCAACATCGGCATCTTCAACAATGCCTTGTACAACACCTTATCAGACGACGTCTGGGAAACCGAGCGCGACGAAAGCTTGAGAATGGTACGTCCGTTCCTAAACCTCTAATTCATTGACACAAACTAACATACATTCCCCTCAACCCATCCACCTTCACCCGAATGTACTGCTTCCTCTGCCGTCTTTGCTTTCGCTTCCCCCCCCCCCCCGCTACCCTCATCCACTTAAAATTCTGCTCGCTGACCATACGCCTCACCATCATCGCCTTCGCTTGCCCCACCTCCTGCTTATGTCGCCCCTGCTTTCGCTACCATTAATTTTGCTACCTTTCCCTCCTCCCCCCCGCTGCCCACTCCTTGCTAACGGCGTCATCGCGCTTCCAATCACTTTTGCTTCCGCACCCGCTCGCACAAACCACACTACCCCTTCCTCGCACCACTGCGCACTCTCACGCAGCTGCAGAACGTGCTTCCCACACCCAACACCCATTCACGCCAACGGGGACGGGAGGTCAGCGAGAGTCGGGCAAGCGCACAGACCCATCCTCTCCCACGGGAAGTGGTCGCTACCACCCATATCGTTCTTCCGACCAAGCACCAAAGAAGCCCCACAAGGGTCAACAGTCTTTTCAAGCGGGCGCAGGTCAATCGGGCCACTCGGCCTGCGCCCTCTGCCTTGGTCGTTTCTGCCACCCCATCCACAAGTGCTCTTCCGAGTTCCTCTGGGACAAACGATCCAAGACCCGCTGTCGTCGCAATGCAGAAGGTCACCTGGTCAACCCCGAAGGCCTCGAGTTGTGTTACAACTGGCAGAGACCAAAAGGTTATTCCAGCACCGCTCGCTCCCACGTGCACGAATGCTCGGGATGCGGAGCAAAAGATCACGGAGCTCAAGAATGTCCTCAAGGCGAGAACATCTAGAGCACTCACTCCTTATCAGCCCGAAGCATGGCTACACTTCCTCCAAGCTTCAAACCTTATACATAAGTACGCACATATTCCTAACGGTCTTCGATTTGGCTTCATGGGCAGCGTTCCTTCAATATCTCAGACCTACACTCCTTCTAATAGTCCTTCTTTACATACACATCGAGATGCTTTCGAAACCATTTTATATCGTGAATATTCCACCGGTCGTTACATTGGTCCATTATCGAAATCAGATACAGAAGAACTCATTGGCCCCTTTCAGACGGCTCCGCTTTCCATGGTCCCCAAGCCAGGGAAACCTGGAAAGTTCAGGCTTGTTCAGAACCTTTCATTCCCTCTACGCCCTTCCCCTACTATATCATCCATTAATTCTTCCATTGACTCCAATTTATATCCGTGTACATGGGGTACTGCCTCGACCATTTGTCTCCTCATCTGGTCCTTACCCCCAGGCTCGCAGGCTGCAGTCCGTGACGTGGCAGAGGCCTATCGCACAGTCCCTCTCCATCCATCCCAATGGCCGGGATTGGTCGTCAGAACGGGTGACGACAGCTTCGCTATCGATTCAAGCTTTTGCTTCGGTTTCTCAGCCTCCGCGGGAACCTATGGTGAAGTTGCTGACGCAGGCTCTGACATATTCAGATCTCAAGGTATCGGACCATTATCCAAGTGGGTGGATGATCATTTATTTATTCGCATACTCCGAGAGCATCTTGAGAGCTACAACAAGCTTCGCAAATCTCGCGCAGCCATCATCGCGAGAAACGGGGGACTACTCATGGATGGAGGACGAAAATGGTACCGAGGATCAACCATGCCTGATGACACCGTTGAGGAATTCGACGAAGATATGTCATTCCCCATTCTTGATTTATCAGCAACCACCCCCGCGTTCACCAGAGGACCTGCTCTTCACTTACTGCTTCGACGGCATCAACCGCTTATCCAAAATCCTGGGAATACCTTGGGAACTGGCAAAGGACATACTCTTCTCATCATGTGCCCCCTTCATTGGTTTCCTTTGGGACATCGCCACACGTTCTGTCTCGATTCCGCAGAAGAAGAAAGAGAAGTACATTGCAGCAATCCAGGAATGGGAAACCCGAACCTCACACACCCTGCAAGAAGTTCAAGAGCTGTACGGAAAGCTCTTGCACGCCTCTCTGGTCCTACCTGCAGGACGTGCTTACCTCGTCTCCCTGGAAACCATGCTTGCCATATTCCACGACCGTCCTTTCATGCCGCGTACCGCTCCCAAACTTACAAGCGAAGACCTCCGCTGGTGGAAAGCCAGCCTCAGGCAACCCGTCGTCTCGCGTCCAATCCCAGGGCCCATCGAAGTCATTGAACCCTTGGCTTACTCAGACACTAGTTCGGGTACTGGGATCGCGATTTGGATCAGCGGCAGGTGGAGGGCGTGGCGTCTCCTCCCAGGCTGGAAAGCCGAAAATCGAGACATCGGCTGGGCAGAGGCCGTCGGCATGGAGTTCCTCATCATTACGCTCCTCGATCAATGCCCAGAGGGCAGTTGCATCAAGGTTTTCAGTGACAACAGGGGCATCGTTGAGGGATGGTGGAAAGGGCGGAGCCGCAATAGAGCTACCAACAACGTCTTCAAGCGGATACATGAACTCACCGCATCCTCGAAATGCACATTCCTCACCCGTTACGTGCCCAGTGCCCACAACCCAGCAGACGGTCCTTCCAGGGGCATCTACCCTCCATCAAATTTGCTGCTTCCCCCAATACGCATCCCCAAAGCCCTTCAGCCCTTCGTCGCAGACTTCAACGGTCCCAAAGTCACTCCTGGACATAATGGGCCCCATGAGACCACCCAAGCGCACCCACTCGCTGATATCCACTCCCGCTCGCGAGATTCACACAACAATCTCAACGACGAGTTCCGTCGTCAAGGAGAAGAGATCTTCGAAGCGTCAAAAGCGTGAGTCGTCAAACACCTTGTTACAGCCCCCCCCCATTTAAACAGACAAACGAAAGTTATCGCTGCTTACCCTAGTAACCTGACCCCCCGAGAATCTGTGCTGCGCCCTCACTGCGCAGCAAAGGATTGAATTCGACTCTGGCTCCCAGCTGAAGAAAGCTCGTCTCCTCCCACCCACCCCAGCGCTGACGTTCAACGTATACAAGACGTCATGATTCACGCCTGGGCAAGCAGCACGAGGGAAGCGTATGGCAGTGGCATACTCGCCTTCCATGTTTACTGCGACTCTAAGACCATCGACGACAACCTTCGCGCTCCCGCATCATCCGAACTTATTTCAGCCTTCATTTCAGACCTAGCGGGCTCATACTCAGGGAAAACCATATCCAGCTATATTCACGGCATACGAGCATGGCACATCTTACATGGGAAGTCCTGGTCCCTAGACGACAACAAGATTGACACCATGCTCAAGGCTGCCAAAAACTTAACGCCCTCGTCATCAAAGCGGAAGAAACGGCCCCCATACACAGTAGCCTTCATCAGCAGCATCTTGGAGAACTTGGATCCCAACGACCCACTCGACGCCGCGGTAGGTAGTTGCCTTACAACGGCATTCTATTCTATCGCTAGGGCCGGGGAATTCACAGTTCGAAATCTATCAGCCTTTGACGCATCCATCCACGTCAAACGGTCGGACATCCGCAGGGACGCAGATCGCAATGGCCTTAGGGTCACCGTCTTTCATCTACCTCGCACCAAGACATCGCAAGTCGGGGAGGATGTCTTCTGGGCAACACAGAATGGCCCTACTGACCCAGAAGCGGCGCTAAACAACCACTTCCGGGTCAATGATCCCCCCCTCGACATCGCCCTGTTCTCTTACAGATTTGGTAACAGCCATCACCTGCTAACGAAGACGAAATTCATTGCACGACTCGCGCAAGCCACCAAGAAAGCCGGACAGGATCCATTGCAGGGTCACACCATCAGAATCGGGGCAACTCTCGAGTACCTCCTCCTCAATGTGTCCTTCGACGTTGTCAAGACCATGGGGAGATGGGCCAGCGATGCCTTTCAGCTATACCTTAGAAACCATGCTCAAATACTCGCGCCTTATCTGCAAGCAACCCCAGCAATACAGGACGAGTTCCTGCGTCATACGATGCCCCGCATTCGATAACAATTCTCTCGCGTGAGTACTCATCCTCCTCCTAATCCTATGGGTATCATCGGCTCGCTCGACGCGTCGTTGGACTCCTACAAACTTGGGTATTGCAGCTCACCTTCCTTCACACAGGCATGCAGCTCGGGACCGGGAGGCGCTGCGCGCCTTCGCCCAAACTGCTCAGGACTTTCTCCCTCAATAGTAGACACCATGTCAGCGTAGCGCAGGATAGTAACAATATTAAATTGAGTGTTGATCATCAGACTGCGCCTCAGCGACTCGCAAAGACCGTTTACTCCGTTGATGGATGTTTTTGCAAGGACCATGATGGGAGGTGTCGACGTCCTTGGTAGTGTTTATGCAAGTCTTAGCACTGACTGGACGGATTGCCTCCTGAATCAGTCAATGTAGAATTTCACCCATGGTGCACCTCTGTTAGAGCCAGTTCGGTAACCCAAGGTAAGGTGAGTTTGCCACCTTGAAACGATTATATAATGTTGGCATGGTGGTCCCGGTTTGAAGCCCGATGACAGAGCTTGAACTTCCCTTTGACATGTCTGCATGCATACCTCGGTATACGACTAAAGATCTACGAGATCAGAACGACATCTGGGCTAGTGTCGTGTCTATAGTGTTATCTGCTCAAGTCCACATTCTTTCTATGGCTCAGCAATCATCTCATGCAGACAGGGCGGTCTGGACTGACACAGAGACTGATCAGCTTGTCCAATACCTGTACGACAATCGGGAGAAGGTCGCTGACACCGGTAACTTCAAAGATGTAACATACAATGGTGCTGCAGAGGCTATTGCTGCACACCTGCAGCAGGGTCCACAGAAGACTGGAACTGATGTGCAAGACGAAATGGGGAGCAGTAAGTCATATACCAATATATCGCTTAGATATAGACTGATTAGATATTGTATAGTTAAAACAGATCTATAACGCTATTCAGAAGTATCGCCAGACGTCTGGTGTCCACTGGGATAATGTCAGAGGAGCCAATATCATGAGCGAGGGTGCAACCATGGTATGGAACGAATATATTACAAAGAAGGTATGTCCGGTTCACAGTGTCATCTACATTTTGTACTGGTAGCTTACTGTTTTATATCTAGGGAAATTCGCACATGCGCCCTTTTCGTGTATCGGGATGGAGATACTTTGAGCAAATGGATGATATCATACCAAAAAACAGTGGCGCGCGAGGGCGTACCGGGTACCAACCGCATACAGCTCCCCCTCCCTTAAGCTCAAGCTCCAGCGCTAGCATACCAGCAGCTGAAAATCATACCATGGGCGCCACCATTGCTACTTCTAGTGTCAGTGCCGCTCCTGCTGGTCCCAGCGCCACCCCTGCAGTAGTTGCCCCTACTTCTATTCCTACTTCTCGACGTCCCGCCTCTATTGACAGCAATAACACCCTTTCCACATCCTTAGTATCTCGGCCTAGCTCCAAACGCTCTCACTCTGACATGGTTCAAGAGTTGACTACCTCACTTCCTTCTACCTCGGTTTCTATGCGAGACGAAGACCCTCAGATGCCGCTGCCTCCCTCTAAGCCAGGCTCTCTCAAAAGAGCAAAGACAACATCAGGCCGTGCACAGACTCGGAGCGGTGCCACTGGGGGTAGTGGTACAGCGGATGTCAAGATGTCGAAGACCACCACTGCCGTAGCTGTGATGGGGTTCCAGAGCTCCGTTAACCGCCTAACGGATGTGATTTCTGAGCGCATGGTCTATCCTGAGGATCGGGTGATGGACCAGCGCTCAAGGGCCATGCAGATGTTGCAGGTTGATGATGCTGACTTGCCATTCGCGGAGCGGCTTATGATGCAACAAGTTTTTGCTATGGACCCTGCAGCTACTGACATATATACACAAACCACTGACAAGGAGATGCGCCATGCTTTCATTATCTCAACGGCCCAGCGGTTGGGAATCCAACCTATGATACTGCCTCCTGGGTCCAATTCTTAGCGGTACAATTGTCTTACTAGTTGCATGAATAAATGAATGAATTGTATGTGCTACTACATCTCGTTGTCGCTGTCATCAAAGGAATCGTCTGACGAACCCCGCTGCTGCAAAATGCCTTGATAATCCTCCCACATGCAGCGCGCGATACGTTCACGCGCTTCCTTCATGCTTCCATCCTCTTCAAACTCCTCCTCGTCTTGAGGGATCCCTTGGTGCTCAGGGTTATCATAATCGAAGTGTTCATCGTCATCCGCGTACTCTCCTTCATCAGGTTTGTGGGCGCATATAAAGTTGTGAATCGCGCATAACGCGGCAGGTATACATGCCTGGATGGTCATAGGATACTCAGGTGACAGTAAGAGAATGCGAAAACTGGCGTTTTAACACGCCAAAGATGCGCTCGATCACATTTCGAGCAGATGCGTGTCGCAAATTGAATAACTCTTCTTTATTGACTGGTCTGCAAACATAGAATAGATATTAGGAAGCTTCAAGTAAAAAGAAATAAAACATACCTGGTATTAGCACGCCCCCACTCAGCTAGATGATACCGGACACTGCGGTAGGGCACTAAGAGCTCGTGACACAAAGGGAACCCCGCATCTGCCAGAAAATACTTGCTGGGAGGGATATACAAGCCACCTGAACGAGCCTCATCATAAAGGCGTGCATCTGTAACGGATCCCTCCCAGCCAGTGAGAGTGTAAGAGAATGTGAGGTCGAAGTCGCAGGCGAAGAGACAATTTTGCGAAAGGAATCCTTTACGATTCCGATATGCAGGACGATCAAATGATGGGGGGTGAGCGTGGATGTGACTACCGTCAATCGCGCCAACAGTGTCCTTAAAATAGGGCCAGAGCTTAGGGTCATTACGGATCTTGTGTGGGGCGTGGTAGGTGTCGTCAGGAGAGCGTACATGATTGGTGTAGAATGGGGGAGATGCGAAAATGGTCAACATCTTGCGGAAATATCTACAATTAAGTGTGAGCTCGTTAGTATCATATATAACAATAACAATTGACTTACTTTGAGATGGTATCATTATACCGTTGAAAGCGCTCACCAACATGGCAGACGGTCAGTCCCGTAACACACGTGTATAGGAAGATGGCGAGTTGTTCTTCGAGGGAAACATAGCGCGAATTTGCATGACCCAAGGTGTGAAGTTCCGCTATAAGCGAGTGAAATACATCTGTGTGCATCCCAAGTTCACAGCGCATACGCTCTGGGTGGCCCAAAATGAGCTCCATGACCCACCCTTGACCTGAGAGGGCCGATGTGTGATATGGCTCGGGTATAGAGTCTTCTAGCAAGGACTCTGTAGCAGTAAGAAGGACACTGACAACCAGTGCAATATGTTGGAGAATTCGTGCGTGATCTCGCTTGGATGCCCGACCGCCTGGCGGCTGAGCAGCCTGAGCCAGAGTCAGCTGTTGGATTAATGGGTTGATGGCATCCATCAATACAGTGAGCAATGGTCTGATAGATCATCGATAACGAGTCTAGTACTACTGATATTCAATTGAGACTCAGTCATCGGCATCTACAACGCCGACATTATATAATCGTTTCAAGGTGGCAAACTCACCTTACCTTGGGTTACCGAACTGGCTCTTTACATGCTCGGTCTCTGCTACTTGTGATTTCAGACACCGCACATGAAACACCACAAGATCTACGACGAGCCCGACAATTGAAAAATAATGGTTATTGCAGGTGGACTGTGTTCTTCTCCAGACTTGATGAAAATTGGTCTACTGTGTCAAGAGTCAAGGAAGAATTATTAAAACGTGCGTGTGAATGTCGAAGATAGTGATTCGTAGATACTTCGCTGATTCATGCAGGGGACTTGATTGGGCATGACTCAGCTTCATGCATGTATGCACCAGCATCAGTAAATCACAAATTTCTCCACAGAATGTACACAAATCATGTTCCCACGACAGTGAGCCACAGAGTCCACAGTTCCGCCAAAGTCACAGCCAACAGTGGCTGCAAAGTATACATTGTCTCCAGTTACTCACAGTTCTACAGTATAATTCAAGAATTTATCAACTAATATAGGTAGTAGTTACATAGTACTTTTCTCTAGGTCTATACGACTCAGTTTCGTACGATATGACTTGGCTTCAAATTGAATGATCAAACTTAAACAGCCGCAGTGAAGATAGTTTAAGATCTGAGTGAGACGCATATGTTCATTCACGCCTGAGAGGACATACAACAAATAACACTGCATAGCGAAATATTCATGCAACAACAGCATATACATAAGTTGAGTATCATAATAATGTGAAGAGGGAGCGCTCGGATCAATCAAGCTGGACAGTGAGGTGACGACCACGTTCAGTATCTTCTACTGGGATAATCAACCTCCTGCATCAAGTTTCATATCGTTAGCTTACCAGTTTGTAGGCGGCCATCGCGTGTTTGAGTCGGATGAGGAAAATGACTCCATCCATTCTTCTTAAATGCGATTCGCATGCACCCTAATCCAACATCCGCGTCCTCCAGTCGTTTTTCTGCTTCTTCAGCTTGATATCGGAGTAAGTTTGCCAACACTTCGTTCTCGCGTATTATACAGTCCGCCAGTGTCTTTTGCGCTAGATAAACTTGCCGCTTAGCTCTTACAAGGTCCAACACCAGGTTGGCCTCAGAGTCGGTTGGATCCTGTATGGACTGTTAAAATGTAAGGTACATCGAAAAAGCGAATTTCAAGATCGACATCACCAAGGAATTGACAGAATGAAGAACATTGTATATGTCATATGCACCCGATGGTCCTTCGCGATGATGTAAACGGGAGATCTGCTCGTCCATCCCTGATGCACGTGCTGATAGAGATCGCAGTTTGGTTATGTTCATGGTAGTATTGTTTAAGTCAGTATCGGAAAATGCCGAAATATCGATCAGAAGGTTAATGATGACTGTCGTATGTCTCACCCTTACCCTTATGCCTCAATGTCCATCGTGCGGAAAAAATTCTGAAGGACCACACATCTGTCGCTCGCCATATGAGCCAGCCCCGGTCTGGCTGCAACACGTGGCTAGAAGATATCATCAAGCTTAATTCCCTCATTCCACCCTTGGACCCAGTGAATATCGAGCACGACATTTCTCATGAACCAGAACTCGGAGGCGAGGCAATGGTAGTTGACTTTGGTGATGATGGCGGTGAATTCGGTGATGAAGAGAATATCATGGGAGGTGGAATTATGGATGAGGGCGGTGAATCAGGTGATGGGCCTAGAGCCACTCAACTAGGCTGGTATGGTCCACGATGGAAAAACTTCCTTGAGGTTACGATGAGCGAGTGCCGCGCCCAACACGCGATAGAGAACCCATTCCCCAAACTAGCGAAAGATTTGACAGGTTCCATCAACGAGATACTCATGGCTTCGCTCGTCGAATGGCTCGAGGGTGGTCAACAAGTCGAAGAGGGTAGGTCTTTTTTGCTGTCGAGATATTTTACTGACGTGTCTACCAGGTATTTGGCCTGATCGCAAGCATGATATGGCAAAACTGGTGTGTGCATTCATTGGCACGCATCTGATATCTAACGTGCTGTTATGTTAGCTGTATGAGGATTTATCAACGTGGCGCTCGGACCTCAAGAAGACCATTGCCAGTATTGTGCCCTCCATGTACGACCTCATACCTCCATCTCATGTCCCACCCCAACAACGTGCTGCCTGGGTTGAAAGAAGCTGCCACGGAGTTGCTCAAAGACGCTATTTTCTTACGCAACGGTTGTAGATGAAAATGGGAAAACCGAAAACGCCTCTCATCCTGTGCTCCACGAGGCTTCTATCTCTTTCTTCTATACAGGGTCTTACCGTGTTGCTCGCAGGAGACCTGAGGTCTTCCAGAAGTCTTTACCGCTAGAGTGCTTGGCACTGGTTTGCACCGCGGTATTTTTTCATCCTTCCATGTCCTACTAACAACACACTGACCACATGTTTGATAGGTTAATTGTGTCCTAGATGGCTTTGCTAAGAACGGCAGCGGAAAATCATTTCCGAAGTTCACCACAAAGGAATACTCTTCTTTGTATACTGCTATGCTCACTAACCTGGAATCGATCATGCGTGACCCTTACCATGGACCGAAATTAGCGCGGCAACTTCGTTCCTGGGCTGCAGCTGGATGGCAAGGAGTTTTTGCTTTCGAAGTATTGCATGCTGATGAAGTTCTCACAGGGCAGAGTCCTACAAAGTCGACGGCAATGTGAATGACGCTTCGAGACATTCTCATTTGAAAATCATCCTTGATTGACGTCTTTCTATTCTTGACATTATTGCCCCGCATTGATTCTATCTCGAGCGTCGTTTAGTGTAGTATGCATCTGATTGAATGCTATTATTGATTTTGTCGATTTTTTGCTTGTGTGTACATGTGTGAACAGTCGAGCAGCTAGCAGCAGCGGCACAATTATATTTTATTGGTACAAGAGCCCTTCTCTGGGTGTCTGTGAGTTATCTGTACAGAGATCTACAGAGTGAAGTAGTACTGTAGTGAGCTGTATAGAAGGGACCAAGCTGTCGGCCTGTCACACTGTACAGTTCTGTACAGTTCTGTACAGAACCGAGTGATTTACTGATGAGCGGTCTGTCTGTCCTCGCAACGACGGAGGCCAATCTCACCTAGCCAGATCAAATGAAGAGATACAGCATTCCTTCACATCGTGTGTAGTGCCACGTCTTTGCCTGCTATGACATTTACATTTTAGTGGAGGACCGACGTCAGAGTTTGTAGCCATGTACAGAGACACGTATAATAGCCCGCAGTGACTCAGGGCTAAATTGGGTTTTGCCGATTATTGGCGTGGTTGGGGTATCCAGGTACTGCAGTGTGCGTTGCGAAAATAAAGTACACCTAAGGAGCACTCTCCTTTGGAATTTAGATCTCCTAAACTAGCAGGCTGCTGATCTCCCGGTATCCAGTTTCGCGTTCTCCCGTGCTTGATAAGACTCCGAATTTCTTTAGTATCCAAGTGACCCCTGAGCCTAACTGCAGGGATCGATCATACATCACCAATGTTCTTTCCGCCAAAAGGATGTCGGGACAGATCAAATTAAAACTGAGGTCTGCTGGCAATGTGCTGGCAACGCAGACATCGTCTGTTTGAAGGAGTATTTGAGGTGGACAGGTTCTGCACACAACATTAGGGATATGAAAGCAACCTGTCATCTTACTGTACCCTTCAAAATTATTGTTTAAACCTCATATCACATCTCACAAATAATGCGTCTCTCCTTCGTCCTTGCCGTTGTTGCTGCTTTCAAGTTGGCAGTGCCTGTGGCTGGCAGTGATGATATTACATGCCCCGTCAGCTGCGAAAACATATATTGCTGCTCTGGCTGGGAATGCCAGGAAGTATCAGAAGTCGAGCCATTTTTTGTGAGTGAGCAGTTTTCATGTAACCCCGTGGCTCACCGACGTGGTCACCTAGGTCCAATTTATGTGTGTCATGACGACTGGAATACCACACTCGTTCTAGAAAGAAGAGAAGAACTTAGTCTTAGTTGAAAAGACTCAACTGCCGTAGACACATGCATACCTAGAAACGAGAGAAGAACTATGTATCGTTATGTACATGTAGGCAGACGTAAAATAGTAGGTATGCTCACCTCAGTCTCAGTTGGAAAGACTTGGGGGAAACTATATCATGCGGAGAGACTATTAAAACGAGTTGAGATAAAAAATGAAAGGAAAACCTGTATCGATAAGTGATTCTGTATGTAAAATAGAAACGTACAATGGCCCGGGACATATCATGTTTGTGACATGCGAGTCAGTGACCCACTGAGCTACAGTGAGTCGTGTTTCTACTTCTGGACGGTATCCAGCTTCGCGTTCTCTCATGCTTGATGAGACTCCGAATTTCTTTAATATCCAAGTGACCCCTGAGCCTAACTCCGGGGATCGATTATACATCACCAGTGTTCTTCCGCCAAAGGGATATCGGGGACAGACTAAATTAAAACTGAGGTCTGCTGGCAATGTGCTGGCAACGCAGACATAATCTGTCTGAAGGAGTATTTCAGGTGGACAGGTTCTGCACACAACATTATTCAGGATATAAAAGAAAGCTGTCATCTTACCGTGCCCTTTAAATTATTTTTTAAATCCATATCACATCCCACAAATAATGCGTCTCTCCTTCGTCCTTGCCGTTGTTGCTGCTTTCAAGTTGGCAGTGCCTGTGGCTGGCAGTGATGACATTGCATGCCCCGTCAACTGCGAAAACATAGCTTGCTGCTCTGGCTGGGAATGCCAGGAAGTATCAGAAGTCGAGCCCTTTTTTGTGAGTATGGGCAGTGTTCATGTAACGCCGTGGCTCACCGACGTGGTCACCTAGGTCCAATTTATGTGTGTTATGACGACTGGAATACCGCACTCGGCGCTCTAGAAAGAAGAGAAGAACTCAGTCTTAGTTGAAAAGACTCAACTACGACACATGCATACCTAGAAACGAGAGCAGAGCTATGTATCGTTAGGTATATGTAGGCGGACGTGAAATAGTAGGTATGCTCACCTCGGTCTCAGTTGGAAAGATTTGGGGGAAACTATATCATGCGGAGAGACTGTTGAGATAGAGAGTGAGAGGAAAACATGTATCTATAAGTGATTGTGTATGTAAAATAGAAACGTACAATGGACGTATCATGTTTGTGACATGCGAGTCAGTACTGAGCGCAGTACTGAGCTACAGATATTTCTACTTCAAGTTTCGCATTGGTGCAATGTGGTTGACGACACGACATGTAAGTAGTTCGTTGCTGTGTGCTTGGCCATCACGGTGAACAAATTTCACCATGGAAGACCTTAAACGAGAGGAATATCTCGAACACTTGACTCCATGAAATACCAATACGACTGAAGTACTTACGACACGTTCAAGCTTTTGTCTTTCGTCTCGTTGCAAGCTCGCAGAGCATAATTTATACACATCGACACAATAAAGTTCTAAAGTAGTGGGGTAATCACACGGGCATTGATGAAGTGGATACCATCCTCAGGTGGAGTATCTTGTTTTCCGCCAAAAATGAAAACGGAGACAAGATCTCATACGTTGCGGTGTATTCTATCTTCCACTGACAAAACCTTTTTCTCGGCTCTAAAGCATGATGAGTAGCGTTTGGGATATCAACAATGAGCAAGCAGAAGCCATGGTGGTGAGTATAGCTAGGAGCGATCGAAGGTCCAGACATGGGAAAGTGCGGGAAAGAGTGCAATGCGCACGGTGCACGCAAACTCACACGATTAAATGCTTCCGTGGGATCAACCGGCGTTCACGTGCTATGTTATGAAAGAGGCGAGGCGCTCAGCGCTCATGACTCCACCTTACAGCTACCATGATATCAATGCAGACGACGCCTTGAGCTCGTGAGTGGATTCCAAGCCGCCCTCGACGATATGTCCGATGATGCTCGTGACAACATGTCATGTGCTGAGGCCCTCGAAAATGAAAGTCATCCTGAAGATGCACGCCGCCCTGCGGGCTCCATGCTGCCTTCCGTACCCCTACGCTTCTTTGCAGGATACAGCAGAAGGTCAAAGTTAAAGCTTTAAAGGTTAAACACCCTCCCTGATATGATCCGTTCCACGGCCCTCTCGATGCCACGATTGGTTCTGAGACCATCATGCTGGCATCATCTCGGTCTTCTGCGGCTCGGACTGGAGGGCCGTCTGCCGTGCAATACTACACCACTGCACAATCGATTAAGCAGGCGTTCCGTTGACGACTTCCCCAACACACGCTGTTGTAGAGCAATAAGCCTTGGCGAGCATGTTTCTGATATACTCTTTCAAGTGTGGAGCGCGTGGCCACCGTGTGTACTATTATGCATGATTTACTACAAGTTTACTAGCTCAATTTTCGTTCATAACTGCCTGATGACGCTGCCACAACCTAATGGTGTTTCCGAATCGCAACGTTCATCTGATTGTGTATTCAATTTTGAGGGAGATGTGTTATGCGAGAGAAGGTGGGTCGACTTCACCCACAGGAATTAATAGCTATGTGTGCACTGGGAACTTCCGAGGACTTCTGATTGAACTTGGTTTTTCTCCATCATCTTGGAACCCAAGTAATGATGGGCTTCCGCAACCCGGGTACCAGCCGGTATCTGTACGTATTATTAGTTAGAAAGTAAACGGTGTCTCTCTCTCAGAGTACTGGCACTGTACCAGTATGTAGTGGCAAGGAGTAGGCACGGACAACCGTCGAATGGCACCACTGAAGGTGCCAAGATCATCAATATTTCAATGCTCTAACTTTGGAAATTATATGTGTCCCTCGGCGATGGTCCGGAGGAGTCCCGGTATGTACAAAGTGTAAACCAATTGATCTTGCAGCTGACCAAAACTATATTGATGGTCAATCGGTCCGTTGTTTTAGCTCCAGTAATTCCAATAACATCAAATTCTCTCTCAGGATGTCTTCTTCGAATGATCCGAAGTCAGGCTCGTGATCACAAACAAGTAGTAATACTCGCGCGATCGATCGTCATTCCTGTCTGTGTTTCTGCCACACTATCACACTGCTCAGAACCTTTTATAGCAAGGCAATCGGACTCTCCACCCAAGCCCACTTACCTCCCATTCCAACATTAAATTGTCATGCCTCAAGCTAACAAGTGAGCGGCATGTCTCGTTTCAAGGTCTTTCGTGGTTAACTTTTCATCGAAGACCTCAGGAATTCGAGACGCTGCAGTTGCACGCTGGTCAGATCCCTGATCCTACCACCAATGCTCGCGCAGTTCCTATTTACGCCTCCACGAGCTTCGTCTTTAACGACTCTAACGTTCGTCACTTTGTACAAGGGTTTGATTTAGGGGCTTATCATAACTTCAGCATGGCGCAGACCTTTTTGGCCTGAAGTCAGTTTCCTCGAGCATGACAAGCGAATTGAAATTAATGGAACATCATGCAGGGCTTTTGGACACATTTATTCTCGTATTGGGAACCCCACTGTCGTACGTGATTCTTTCGTCGATACTCCTCTACAACCAAGTACTTCCTATCCATGTAGGATGTGTTCGAGAGTCGAATGGCTGCCCTTGAAGGTGGTGCTGCGGCTGTCGCAACGTCCTCCGGTCAATCTGCACAATTCCTTGCGATTTCTACGATAGCCAGTGCAGGTGACAACATCGTTTCCACGTAAGGCCTAGTCTTTCAGGTCCAGAACCCCGACTAACGTCTTGGCAACAGATCATATCTCTATGGAGGGGTAAGTGTATCATTTTGGGAATGCACGGGTTGTTTTAACTGACGAGGTCGCCTGAAGACATACAACCAGTTCAAAGGTTCGTTTTTCAGTGCCTTACCAGTATCATGACCCATGCAGTGTGCAGTAACCTTTAAAAAGTTTGGTATCGGCGTGAAGTTCGTGAATGGCGATGATCCAGCACTTTTCGCAGCAGCAATCGACGAGAACACGAAGGCAATTTACGTCGAGAGCATTGGCAACCCGAAGTACAACGTTGCGCCAATTCCTGAGCTGGCCAAAGTGCGCATACTAATCACTGCCAATGGACCGCTACTCATGCAAACTCAACAGGTTGCACATGATCATGGCATTCCCTTAATCGTGGACAACACGTTTGGAATGGGAGGATACCTCATCAGACCCATCGATTTGGGCGCAGACATTGTTTGTGAGCACATCAATCACGTAGGTGATCTGCAGCTGATCTGTATGGTCATCAGTGCACAGTGCAACCAAGTGGATTGGAGGTCATGGAACGACGATCGCAGGTGTTGTCATCGACTCGGGTGCGTTTACTTCATGATCGCTTTCCATCTGCATATCTCATTTTTCTGTCAGGAAAATTCGACTGGACACGCTCCGGCAAGTTCCCGTCGTTCACTTCCCCCTCCGAGGGATATCATGGCATGGTCTTTAGCGAAACATTTGGTGCTGTCGCTTTCGCTATCAAGCTTCGCGTCGAGCTCCTCCGTGATTTGGGTCCTGCCTTGAACCCATTCGCTGCGTTCTTGCTCATTCAAGGTATTGAGACGCTTAGCTTGAGGGCTCAGAGGCACTCCGAAAATACTTTGGCGCTTGCTCAGTAAGTTGTCATACGCTGATCCATGCGCAAATTTTTATTATTCTTAGGTGGCTGTCGAAACACGAGAAAGTCGCATGGGTCTCCTATCTTGGCCTAGAGAGTCACCCCTATCACCAGAGGGCGAAGAAGCTTCTCCGCCCAAACGCCTTCGGTGGTGTCCTCAGCTTCGGCGTCAAGGGCGATGTTAGTGTGGCAAGCACGGTTGTCGACAGCCTGAAATTAGCTAGTAATCTTGCAAACGTCGGTGATGCCAAGACCCTTGTCATCCACCCTGCGACAACGACGCACCAACAGCTCAGTGATGAGGAGCAGCTGTCTTCGGGAGTTACGCATGATCTGATCCGGGTGCGTGACGTTTCTGATGGGAGATGTTTTCTGACTGATTCTTCCCGCAGGTGTCCGTCGGTATTGAACATATCAATGATATCGTTGCGGACTTTGAGCAGGCTTTGAGACATGCACCTTGATTTTCAAGGAGGATATGGTACTATTCCCTCCATAGTAGTAAATGGACCTATGTAATTGGACACGGTCACCAAAAGTTAAATGCACTGGTTTTCTGAATTGCTTTGAAAACCGAATTTCCCTGTCCTGATCACTGATTAGTTACAGGATCTTACCGACTCTCACGTCTGCCAACTTGAAATTAATGGAAGGAGATGGTGATGAGCGCTCAAAATCATGCTATTCTTGGCATATTTATGAGCTTTTCCTTTATGCAACTCTGCAAGCGGATCAGGCGAGTTGAATTTTGTGGAATGAGGACAGCTTGAGTACTGGTAGTACTGTTCGGGTAGATGCTGTGTCACACGTGTGACGTAAATTATGTTGGTGACTGGTGAGGTCCCCACAGTACTAGCACTGAGCTTGTTTCACTGGTATAGAAGATGCCGGCCTTTGCCACGGCCAGAATCGCTGCCACTCTCCGACCCACTTGCTACATCTCTAAGCTTGAAAGCGAACCACTTAGTATCTTTAGGCTTGCGTTGAATACGACACTCCATAACGACTTCACAACACGGGGACCGTTTTCATGGCTGATTTTGAATTTGGTGACCGGCCAATCAGATATAGCTACGGTGCGCCACCATCATAAGTCCAAGGACTTCACGATAAGCTCACCATTTCTGTCACTGCGTGAATACAGACGCCGTGCCAGGTATGCATTCAAATGTAGAACTCGTACATTCGCGCATCAGCGCGATGTGCATAATATTTGTTGTGTCTCTGTTCGGTGCGTCACTGGTATTCTCACGAGTAGCACTCTCTCCGAGTCTCGCGATACTAGTGACTGTTTATTAGCTTCATCATTTCCTTTGCTCTCGAAGCGCGTCACGTTTCTTCATATACCTCGCATCGTTTTTTTTATTGGAAAACATTTTGGAACAGGTGAGCGGTCACTCAGCTTGGATTCTCAGCTTCTGACATTTCGAACATCACCAGGTGTCATCCTGTCCACAGCGTTCGTTCATCTCCTCCAAGAATCCTTCGAGGCTCTGAGGAACCCAACTCTACGCTCTCGCTCGAAGATAGGGGATTTTACTGGTCTCATTGTGTACGTCACCCTCTTCTCGCGTCCTCTTTGTAACAAATACAATCCGTTCTATAGACTCACCTCGCTTTTGTCCATATTCTTGATTGAATGTGCGTGTCCTGTGTCGCTACAAATGCGAGCCCTACTGATCGGCCGTCAGATGCATCCACCTCATACGTAGACCGGCTCCAGTCATACAGTTCACCGATTCCATCTCCAGAATCGACTACCCCGATAACTACGTCACCGCCTATCTCCGCGGCACTTACCTGTCGCGATGATACGCCTAAGCCAATAGAAAGCCGTGCTTCCCAATCTGAGCGCACGCATCTCGTACATTCTCATTCCTCACCAAGCCCTCGACGTACCCGATCGTTCTCGTATGGGTCTACAAGTCAGCCGCATAGGCACGATTCCTACTTTTTCGAGGGACACCATAGACACGAATCTAGGTGCTCCCATGATACGCACCATGAACGCGGATTCAAGCTATCGTCATCATATGGCCCAGAAGAATTCCAACAGGGTATCGTAACTGGCATTGTAAACGTGCGTGACCGGGAGCTGCATGCTGAGCATGGGCATTTACACACGCTCGATTCCGAAATGGAAGAAGTTCAAGTTGGAAAGAAGAGGCAGATTGTTGGCATTCTCGTGAGCATTACGTTTGCTCAAAACCCTCGTGGACTAATTCACTTTCTAGGTGTTGCAATTAGGCATTATGATACATTCCGTCATCATAGGTCTAACATTAGCCATCACTCAGGGCTCCGAGTTCAGTGCGTAGTTCTATTTGCTTGGCTCAATCGATATCGAGTACAAATTCTATTACAGCGTCACTCCTCGTGGCAATTATTTTTCACCAGCTTTTTGAGGGATTATCGCTCGGCATTCGGATAGCATCTCTTCCTTCGTCGGACAATGGAGGCATTAAATATATGGCCATTTTACGGTCTACTCTTATCATGCTTTTTGCAGTTACTAACCCTGCAGGCATCGTAATCGGTCTCCTGGCATTCAAGCGGGGTCATGACGTCGGTACGCATCACTGCGATATTTTATATTCTTAATTACCCTGACGCAGCCTTACCTCCCGACAGTGGAAATGCTCCTCATTCAAGGAATCATGTCCGCAATTTCCGCAGGGATGTTGATGTATGCCGCATGTGTCGAGATGCTTGCAGGGGACTTCGTAATGGACCCGAATCTGTGGCGCAGCGAGCTTTGGAAGCAGGCGCTTGCGTTGGTGAGCTTGGGCGCGGGAGTGGTCGCCATGGCACTCGTGGGGATGTGATGAGCTTTACTAGTACTGGCAATCGACCGCAGTCGAAAACATCTTGGTTGGTAACCTCCTGTTACTCCCTCCATCACTACTTTGACTTCTTGGATCACTTGGTTGTATTTATTGTTGGCATGATTGAACGTTGAACACTGACATGGACTGTCTGAGCTTGGTTTCTTGGGGAAATTTGCATGAATGTGATCGGACAAACTTCGGTGCTTGCCGTTCACTCGTATAGCTGCGTGCTGGTGCAGGGCCGTCATCAGTAAACCGATCCGCCGGCGTTGACGCCGTTGAGTCGTCGCTTTGTAGCTGCTTTTCATTAAAAACAATAATAATAAGCTGAAGGTCCTATCTATTCTTAATATTGATACATCCCTTCGTCAACGTCACGGTCGTCGTAATCAATTGGTGACTGTATTGACTCGGCATGGTCGTGGTTCCGATAGTTCTAATATGGTGCATGTCAATATGTTTTTGGGATATGACTACCGAGCAACTTGTCGATTTGGTTGGTTCGTATTGATGTTGAAAGTGGGTTTACTTGTGAAGATTTAATTACGAGAGATACTGATGCTCTCATTTGCCCGAGGGTAGTTGTAGGATGGAACGTGCTTCTAATCTTGGATGTCTTCGTGTGTGCAATGAGCATTTGGACGCTCAAACGGATAAAACAAATAGGTAGCGGCCCGGGGCCCTGCATGACTGAGACAGAATCAGGAGGTCATAACAACACAGCATGACGTGGAGGACGCAATAGCGTTCAATGCCGGCAGTATTTCGTGCTTGATACTACATGTAGATAGCAAGGCAATCGCTGCACCCAAACCCACTTACCTCCCATTCCAACATCAATTTGTGATGGCTCAAGCTAACAAGTGAGCGGCATGTCTCGTTTGAAGGTCTTTCATGGTTTAAGGTAAACTTTTGGTCGAAGACCCCAGGAATTCGAGACGCTGCAGTTGCACGCTGGTCAGATTCCCGATCCTACCACCAATGCTCGCGCAGTTCCTATTTATGCCTCCACGAGCTTCGTCTTTAAAGACTTTAAAGTTCGTCACTTTGTACAAAGATTTGATTTAGGGGCTTATCATAACTTCAGCATGGCGCAGACCTTTGCAGCCTGAAGTCAGTTTCATTGAGGATGACAAGTGAATTGAAATTAATGGGCATCATGCAGGGCTGCTGGACACATTTATTCTCGTATTGGGAACCCCACCGTCGTACGTGATTCTTTCATCGCTCTACAGCCAAATACTTCCTATCCATGTAGGATGTGTTCGAGAATCGAATGGCTGCCCTTGAAGGTGGCGCTGCGGCTGTCGCAACGTCCTCCGGTCAATCTGCACAATTCCTTGCAATTGCCACGATAGCCAGTGCAGGTGACAACATCGTTTCAACGTAAGGCCTAGTCTTTCAGGTACAGAACCCAGATTAATGTCTTGGCAACAGATCATATCTCTATGGAGGGGTAAGTGTATCATTTTGGGAATGCACGGGTCGTTTTAACTGACGAGGTCGCCTGAAGACATACAACCAGTTCAAAGGTTCGTTTTTCAACGTCTTACAAGTATCATGACCCATGCGGTGTGCAGTAACCTTCAAAAAGTTTGGTATCGGCGTGAAGTTCGTGAATGGCGATGATCCGGCGCTTTTCGCAGCAGCAATCGATGAGAACACGAAGGCAATCTACGTCGAAAGCATTGGTAACCCGAAGTACAACGTTGCGCCAATTCCTGAGCTGGCGAAAGTGCGCATACTAATTACTGCCAATGGACCGCTACTCATGTAAACTCGACAGGTTGCACATGATCATGGCATCCCTTTAATCGTGGACAACACTTTTGGAATGGGAGGATACCTCGTCAGACCCATCGATTTGGGCGCAGACATTGTTTGTGAGCACATCCGTCACGCAGGTGATCCGCAACCAATCTGTATGGTCATCAGTGCACAGCGCAACCAAGTGGATTGGAGGTCATGGAACGACGATCGCAGGTGTTGTCATCGACTCGGGTGCTTTTACTTCTCAACCCCTTTCCATCTGCATATCTCATTTTTTCTGTCAGGAAAATTCGACTGGACACGCTCCGGCAAGTTCCCGTCGTTCACTTCCCCCTCCGAGGCATATCATGGCATTGTCTTTAGCGAAACATTTGGTGCTGTCGCTTTCGCTATCAAGCTTCGCGTTGAGCTCCTCCGTGATTTGGGTCCAGCCTTGAATCCATTCGCTGCGTTCTTGCTCATTCAAGGTATTGAGACGCTTAGCTTGAGGGCTCAGAGGCACTCCGAAAATACTTTGGCGCTTGCTCAGTAAGTTGTTATGCACTGATCCATGGGAAAAATAAATATTGTTCTTAGGTGGCTGTCAACACATGAGAAGGTCGCATGGGTCTCCTACCTTGGCCTAGAGAGTCACCCCTATCACCAGAGGGCGAAGAAGCTTCTCCGCCCAAACGCCTTCGGTGGTGTCCTCAGCTTCGGCGTCAAGGGCGATGTCAGTGCGGCAAGCACGGTTGTCGACAGCCTGAAACTGGCTAGTCATCTTGCAAACGTTGGTGATGCTAAGACCCTTGTCATCCACCCTGCGACGACGACGCACTCACAGCTCAGTGATGAGGAGCAGCTGTCTACGGGGGTAACGCATGATCTGATCCGGGTTCGTGATGTTTCTGATGGAGATGTTTTCTGACTGATTGTTTGATCAGGTGTCCGTGGGGATTGAACACATCAATGACATCATCGCGGACTTTGAGCAGGCTTTGAACACATCGATGATAGCATCGCGGACTTTGAGCAGGCTTTGAGGCATGCACCTTGATTTTCACGGAGGAAATGGATATGTACATTGGTACTATTTCCTCCGTAGTAGCAAATGGACCTATGTAATTGGATACGGTCGCCAAAAGTTAAATGCATTGATTTTCTGAATTGCCCACTCAAGGATTGTCCTGATCACTGATGAGTTCGCCGTCTGCCAAATTAATGGGAAGAGATGGTGATAAGCGCTAAAAAAAATGCTATTCTTGCCATCTTTATGAGCTTTCCTTTGTGCAGCTCTGCAAGCGGAGCTCACGCGAGTTGAATTTTGTGGAATTATCAGGTCTGCTTGAGTGCTGATCGATTATCAGTACTGTTCGGGTAAATGCCGTGTCACACGTATGTCGTAAATTATGTTGGTGACTGGTGAGGTCCCCAAGTGACTGAAGCCTTGAAGTGGTATACTAGGAGATGACGGCCTTTGCCACAACCAGTATCGCTGCCACTCTGCGACCCACTTATTACATCCCTAAGCTTGAAAGCGACCCACTTACCATCTCTAGGCTTGCGTTGAACACAACACTCCATAACGACTTCATAACACGGGGACCGTTTTCATGGCTGATTTTTAATTTGGTGACCGACCAATCGGATAGTGATACTACGGTGCGCCACCATCACAAATCCAAGCACTTCATCATAAACTCACTATTTCTGTCACTGCGTAAATACAGACGCCGTGCCAGGCGTGCATTCAAATGTAGCACTCGTACGTTCGCACATCAGCGCGATGTGCATAATATTTGTTGTGTCTCTGTTCGGTGCGTCACTGGTATTCTCATGAGTAGCATTCTCCGAGTCTCGCGATACTAGTGACTGTTTATTAGCATCATCATTTCCTTTGCTCTCGAAGCGCCTCACGTTTCTTCAAATACCTCACATCGTTTGTTTATTAGGGAACAGGTGAGCGGTCACTCAATTTGGAATCTCAGCTTCTGACATTTCGAACATTATCAGGTGTTATCCTGTCCACAGCGTTCGTTCATCTCCTCTAAGAATCCTTCGAGGCTCTGAGGAACCTAATTCTACTGTAAACAACATGGTATGACAACATTGACACATGACTGGGTTACATGGTATGTGTGCGACATTCAAGTTGAATCCATGCCTTTGCTTCCTGTGGAGCAACAGAGAAACTGATCACGACAGGCAAATGCATGCCCGCAAATGAAGGATTCAGATTCACATTACCTTGAGGAACCTGGTCGGATGGTAGCATCGACGGTACAACGAGCCAGCCTCTCCAACACCTCTGTCATCATCGATCGTTTTTTCGGGTCTTCGTCCATAAGTTGCCACGAAATTTCGAGGAGGGTATCGCGATCCGTGGATGGGCGACACTTGTCGCACAGGGCCTCTAATGTCTTTCCACAGGACCACAAGTCCGCACGGATCGCACTGTAGAAGCCATTACCAGCGGCTACCTCGGGGGCGATATATTCGGGAGTGCCCACGACGCCACGGAACCTATGTTCGACACCCTTGACTCGCAAGGACCTGTTGAAGTCGATGACAGTCAGACGGCCGCCGTTGACGGGGATCAAGATGTTATTCGGCTTCAGATCCATGTGCGCCACGCCGTGTTGGTGCATGAAGTCGACCGCTTCGAACAGCTGTTTAGCGACAGACCACGGGTGTGCACTGGGTTTTGTTAGCGACGTGAGCCAGCCGCCAGCCACCGGCATCGATATGACGTTGCCGCCGCGCACAGGCCAGATTCGTACTCCAGAGATGGTATGATTTGCAGGGGAATCGATTCCTGTGAGGTATTGCAAGATTTCAATTTCCTTCCCCCCTTCTTTCACGAACTTCAGGTATCCCTTCTCGGACTCGTGAGTACTAGTAGTGTTCGACACGCAAGCTATCAGTGGATACTACAAGTAGTTTCTAACGCATCAGTATCACATTCCCAGACATTATGATGACACGTACCCCAGCAGGGATTAAGTTGATCTTGTAATTCATCTTCTTCAGAATAGCTTGGATACCATCCGTACCAAAGACGCCGAGATCATCTTGAGGCTCCTCGTCAGCATCACCCTCAACTACTGAGGCCAATGTCGAGCCGCCCGTCCTGTCCTGCTTAGCCTTAGATGTGAGTGAGATAATCTTGGAAGCATTCTGGTCGACTTTAACAAGGCTATCCTGTTTGCGTTTGTCAAGATGCTTGGCCAAGTCCTCAAGCATCGCGACGAGGTTGTACATCTCACGAAGAAATGTGACCGCACCATCTGCAGTGGTAAGGTCAAAATCTTTCTTGGCAATAAATACCTGGCGGTCCTGACCGTTCCATGAGCAAAAAAACGGGACGACAAAACAACATGACACACCTTTTGGCCCTCTTCTCCCTCTTCCGTCGGTGTAGTATGGGTGACCACATATCTTTCCGCAGTCAAATTTGCACAGAGGTAAATCGCGACAACGAAAAACGGTTTCGTTGCACTGTCCATCAGAAACTGCCCTACCCGCGCGACATTAATGGCTTGAAGCAACATACGGTATCGATCTTCCTCTTTTTTCTGTAAAATCACTTCGCAGATGAGGAACGGGAAATAAAACAAGGGTGATGAAACCATGAAATCGCTCCTCGGGTGAAACTGGCACCAAACGTTGGGGTGATCGTGAGTATCGATGAATATAGGAAAGTTCCAGGGCGTCTCCCTGAAACAATTTCATTAAAATCAGTTGAACTGACATGAGGTGAACCCACTTACTGCTTCAATTCAAAATGTTCACTGCGACGGGAAAAGAAAGGCGGGACTATAAAATATACAATGAAGTTGCTGGTCTTAAGGGCGGAGGATGAGTCGGCGCTAATGTGTTTCGAGTCCTCGTCAAAGCACCGAAGGACATTGAAAAAGGCTACGAATTCCCGGTCGGTCACAGTGCCCGATTGGTTCGGAGTCCACTCAAAGATGTTGTGAAAATGTTCAGTGTATTGGCAAGCATTCCGATAATCCCTGTTCTCTGGGGCGCTCGGGATCTTGGGAAGAATTAGCGACGGGTTGTAGATGTGGCAAAAGAAGTGCTCACGTTGTAGGTACGGCGCCGTGTCAATGATGCCTCTATTTCAGAGAGTTTGACTAGACGTTCGTCGTTGGGAAGGTACAACCTGCCACCTGCCATGTTTTGGGTGACATCCTCCATCGTCCATCTTTGCAGCCTGTATACCCTGATCTGCAGGCGACTGAATATCTCTTGATGATCTTTATTGAGAATTGCGATAGCGCCCTCCGTTGCACCTGAGGGAATGGGTGAGCTAATCGATGATCAACAGATATGCTGACGTAACTCGCCCTCCTTAGGCTTGATCACGATGTAGACATAACTATCTGATAGGGATTGTGCCAGAGTCCGCAAGGACTGCACAGGGTGCACCTTTTGCCAATTGCTCTCATCCAGGCACTCTAGAATGATGTCAGCAGGGGTTCGGTCATCAGGAAGGTGCACGGGATTTTTGAGCTGGTAGTAGTCGCATTGATCAAATGAGATTCTACCCAAAATACGACGTGCATCAGCCGATTCGGATTTGAGGTACGCGAAGGTATCCTGGATCCGAGCGTTATCGGAAGTTGTAACATGGTACAACTCGGTGTCGAGGACGACGAGGAATGTGCGGACCATCGCCAGACTCAACTGTGGGAGACGCGATAAGTCAATTAGATGTAGAGATATCAATATGCGAGCACGAACTTGTTTAGATTCGCGACAGGTAAGGAACGATGACTGCGTAGCTGCAGAGCGAGACAAAGGAGATCAAAGGGCAGTTCAACTATAGGTGTGGCGCGCATAGGACCTAGCTGAGCCACACAATCTTTGGTAAGCGACCACCCAAAAAAGGAAGCCGAAGATGCGTTTAACTTGCTCTCGCTCGAAGATACTAAGGGGATTTTACTGGTCTCATTGTGTGCGTCACCCTCTTTTCGCGTCCTCTCTGTAACAAATATAATCCGTTCTATAGACTCACCTCGCTTTTGACCATATTCTTGATTGAATGTGTGTCTTCTGTGTCGCCACAAGAATGAGCCCTCACTGATCGGCCGTCAGATGCATCCACCTCATAATTAGACTGGTTCCAGTCATGCAGTTCACTGATTCTATCTCCAGAATTGACTATCCCGATAACTGCGTCGACACCTATCTCCACGGCACTTACCCGTCGCGTTGATACGCCTAAGCCAATAGAAAGCTGAGCTTCCCGATCTGAGCGCACGCATCTCGTACCTTCTCATTCCTCACAAAGCCCTCGACGTACCCGATCGTTCTCGTATGGGTCTACAAGTCAGCCACATAGGTACGATTCCTAATTCTTCGAAGGACATCATAGACACGAATCTAGGTGCTCCCATGATACGCACCATGAACGCGGATTCAAGTTGTCGTCATCATATAGCCCAGAAGAATTCGAACAGGGTATCGTGACTGGCATTGTAAACGTGCACTGGCATGACCGGGAGTTGCATGATGAGTTTGGGCATTCACACACGCTCCATTCCGAAATAGAAAAAGTTCAAGTTGGACAGAAGAGGCAGATTGTTGGCATTCTCGTGAGCATTACGTTTGCTCAAAACCCTCGTGGATTAATTCACTTTCCAGGTGTTGCAATTAGGCATTATGATACATTCCGTTATTATAGGTCTAACATTAGCCATCACTCAGGGCTCCGAGTTCAGCGCGTAGTTCTGTTTACTTGACTTCATTTATATCGAGCACAAATTCTATTACAGCGTCACTCCTCGTGGCAATTATTTTTCACCAGCTTTTTGAGGGGTTATCGCTCGGCATTCGGATAGCATCTCTTCCTTCGTCGGACAATGGAAGCATCAAATATATGGCCATTTTACGGTCTACTCTTATCATGCTTTTTGCAGTTACTAACCCTGCAGGCATCGTAATTGGTCTCCTGGCATTCAAGCGGGGTCACGACGTCGGTACGCATCACTGCAATATTTTAGATCCTTCATTACCTGTTCTGACGCGGCCTTACCTCCTGACAGTGGAAATGCTCCTCATTCAAGGAATCATGTCTGCAATTTCCGCAGGGATGTTGATGTATGCCGCGTGTGTTGAGATGCTTGCAGGGGACTTCGTAATGGACCTGAATTTGTGGCGTAGCGAGCTTCGGAAGCAGGCGCTTGCGTTGGTGAGCTTGGGCGCGGGAGTGGTCGCTATGGCACTCGTGGGGATGTGATGGACAGGCAAATGTAATTGACCACAGTCGAAAACATCTTGGTCGGTAACCTCCTGTTACCCCCTCCATCGCTACTTTGACGTCTTGGATCACTTGGCTGTAGTTATTGTTGGCATGATTGAACACTGACATAGACTGTCTGAACTTAGTTTCTTGGGGAAATTTGCTTGAATGTGATCGGACAAACTTCGGTGCTTGCCGTTCACTAGTGTAGCTGAGACCTATAGCAATTGCGCCGTGGAGAAATCATGCTCTCCTTCCACAAGATGCGTGGCATCCTAACGCACGTTGATGTCGTGGCTCACCTTTACTCACAAGCTCCGACCCAGAGTACCGTTCCAGTTGGAATGGTGCCTCATTTACAAAAGGATGTCCAGAAAATAAGTATCGTGGATCATTGCTTGGTAGGTCTGTATCATACGTATAGAAGACTGTTAAATCCTCCTGTCTGTAAGAATCGGTGGCTCACCACTCAGACATAACCTTTCACTTGCATTGACTTTCTCCTTGGCACCAGACGTTGCTAGGAAAGGAAATCACATTGATCAGACGCCTATTGATATGCGTGACAGCGTGGGGTTCTGCTTCTGCTTCTACACCCACTTCGAATCCACCTGCTCTGAAAGACTGCATGCCTACCTGGACAATCATCTCACCGTGCGAGAAAGACTATGATCATCCAATGCGCATGAACATATTTCGGGTCATGAAAACGGTCTACCGTATATTGGACCCACCAAATGAGCCGTCGGCAGTTGACGAAGGAAAACACATCGCAACCCTCGGATACACAGTGTCACAAGAAATGCCAGGACCTCCTGACCTATCAAGTCTTGTCATCCATTTCCGTCTCTCTACAAAGATTGTTACGCACTTTGTTGTCGCGTTCTGTGACCTGCAGATCGTAGACACGGTACAAAACATGTGCATCCCCGTCCCATGCGAACTTACGTCGGTCATGGCAGACATCTATGAGTTCGTAGTCGCGAGGTCGGCCTCCTGTCGTGGGTTGAACTCAGTGGAGGAGTGTGACCTTGCACGCAGGATATGGAAACAGCTGCAAGCGGAGGTAAGACTTAGTCATACCCATCCATTGTCATAGTGCGAATTAACTGCTGTAGAAGTACCATAAACGCCTTTTACAGCAAGAAGTTGTTAGTGACATAGACATCACCTGTTTACGACCAGGTTCTCCGCGGTGTTCTATATGCGACTCCAATCTTATCCACTGCAACAGCTGTCAGGTTGCATCGTGCGAGTCGGATGATTGCCCGGGGTCTTCTGAACCCCCGCTCGCGCAGTGCGGCAGACATCAGAAGGAGGTGTTGTGTTTCCCATGCCTTGAAGAGCAGGGGTACGAGGCGGAGCTAGAAAGGTGTCCTGGGTGTAAATCGTGGTGTTGCACGAGGGATATGTCATCGTGTAGCGGTCATCCCATCGGCATTCAGCTTATTCCTAACTCACCCGGCAGCAAGTCCGTACTTCCTGACCTGATCGTCGCATATGCCCAATCTGCACGTGATCACCCTCCGAAGCGCGGTTCCTGTATGGAATGCGAGCTGCCCGGGTGGCGGAGCTGTAACAGTACGCTATGTTGGTCTCAAACGATCTGCCCAGAGTGCGCAAGCGTTGGTGCGACGTGTCTGTGTCAGGAAGTATGGGCATGCGACCTCTGCGCAGAGCATATTCCAGGGGTCTTCATTCGTTGTCCGCGCTGCAACCGGCCGTTCTGCTGCTCTTGCTCTTATATCGATGAATGTCCAAGAGTGCCACCGCACGAACCTCTGCTATGACTGCGCCGAAGAAGAGTCAGATGTGGACGACGGGGTGATGGTGGAATTTCCTAGATTTGTCGCGTCATGCGGAAGTTGTCAAGCGAAGGTATGCGATCGCTGCGTGTTGTCGCATCCGGCCTTTTCGTGTGCGGGGTGCTCGCAGCGGCTTTGCCCGTCGTGCCGCAAGTCGTTGTGTGATGACTGTAAACAGTGGCTTGCGAGTGACGATGAATATAGTGGAACTAGCGGGGACACTGGTGCTTACCTTAACGTTTAAGTACCCCTGTAAACATCACGTTTTGCTTTCATGCGAAGATTTGTACGATAGAAGAGTAATCGAACAGGAAGTATTTGATAACTGAGTGATTTCTGAGCACGTGACCTAGACACGTTGCGACGTGGCAAACAAGCTGCCATTCACATGATGCTTTGTCACCTGTCCATGTCACCCGCCACCGACCTTTAGGATTTCGACAAACCCAGGAGTATTACGACCGACGACATCATCCTCATGCCAGCGTCTTTGATAGAGCGGCCAAGATGGATTGCAGAGATAACCGTCTCAGCCATGCTGGCCACGGCTAGAATGGTCGCATTTGAGGTCCCGCAGGCGCTCTTCAAACTTCTGGGAAAGATTTCCTTGTATTCTTTTGTCCTGACTTTCCACCTGGCCTTCGTGATCTACCACAATACCAAACCATCGAGTGATGACGCAAGAGGGTCTCCTAAGCCTGAGGAGCCGGGAGTGTCAACTCGCGATTATCGTTTCTCGCCAATCAAGCTCTCGAGTGACGTTCTTGACGAACTCGTCTCTACACACAACGAAGGCGACACCCCCTTTGTCGCTAACATTCCCTGTTCACGTTTGAGAAGTTCGACTATTTCTTCCGAGATTGCGAGGCACTCTTCCAGCAACACCTCTGTAGCAACGCTTGTCGAAGTAAGTCTCATAGATATACGAGTATTTAACTGCGCTAAATCGAGCTTAACAGCAGACCGACCAATCGAAGGAAACCGCAGATGCCTACCCGACAACACCAGTCTCCACCAGACAGCATGGCACCATTTTTCCCGATAGTGAATGGGCCACCATGAATTCCGCGCAGATTCGCAGGATCCGTCGGGCCGTAAAGCGCGTTAAATACAAAGAAGAGCACGGGCCGCCCCATAGGGATGTCAGAAACAAGGCTACCAAGACATCAAAGAAAGACAAAGAAAATGTCATGGAAAACGACCGAGAACACGAACAAGAGCACGAGCCACCACCTAGGGATGTCAGAAGTAAGGCATCAAAGATTACCAAGACATCGACGAAAGACAAAGAACATGTCGTGGAAAATGACCGAGAACACGAACAGGAAATCAGCAAGGAAGACAAACAAGAAGACGATTTCAAGGAAAGCCAGACGAAAGACCACAAGGAAAGCGACCAGAAATCTGTCAAGGAGAAATACGACGAGGGTGTCAAGGAAGATGACACAGAAAACGACGACGACGAAGGCTTCGTGGAAGGTCTCACGGATGACGTCTTGGTGTACGACAAACAAGGCGTCGAGGAAGGTTTCATAACAAAAGATGACGAAGGCGTCAAGGAAGGTGCCACAGTAGGCAACAACGAACTCGCAGAGGACGACAATGGAGGCGTCGAGGAACAATTCGCGGGAGAGAACGAAGACGTGAAAGAAAGTGGCACAGAAGACGACAACGTCCGCTTGGAGGAAGATTTTATGGAAGACGACGAGAGCGGCGAAGAAGACTTCCCAAAGGTCGACAACGAAGGAGTCGAGGACAACGTTACGGTACACGACAGCGCGGTCGTTGAGGAAATTTTCACGGTCAACGACAACGAAGGCGTCGATGAAGGCGTCAGAGAATGTGACTACGAACGTGTCCAAGATGATGTTCCGAAAGAGCACAACGAGGTCGTCGTTAATGGAGATGACAACGAAGGCCACACGAAAACCGCAGCAGATGGCGCATGCAAATTCACACCTCCAACGCATCATCACCGCAATCTGCGTCAGCGGAACGGCGTCATCATGATTCCCTCGCTTATCAAGGGCTGGCCCCCGGTCTTGCTATCAGAACCCATCATGGATAGGTTGGACCCCATCGATTTCAAGATCATGCAGTTGGAATGCGAGTATCACCTGTCCTGCGACCGCTTCGTTTAACGCGACGGAAAGAGTTCCGACAGAGCACACGATCACATCGGCACCTCTCGAACTTGCTGGAGAAGATACAATCGAAGAAGTAGATCTGCCTTGATGCCCATTTATTTGCGAAATGTATTTCTTGACTGATGTTGATGTATTGTTAATATTTCCTTCCTTCTTCGATCGGGCCTGTACAGTATTCGCAGGGCTCCAAGATTGCACTTCTGTCAGTACATTTACCGAATATTGGGATATCTAAGAAGGGCTTCCTGCCTAACCTCTGAACGTTGCAGCTTGATAGAATCGTAGCAATCATAAGAAGTGAAAAGGTCTCGCGGTAGATGATCCGCACCAGGGGGCTCTACGATCATTCCCGAGTGGGCACTCCCCTTCCACAAACGACCCTGAGGAGCGCTTCTTTACCCTTCAAGAAATTCGGATACCGGTACCCAGCTAATGCAAGACCGTAATGGTTTAGTTGTTCTGTGAAACTTAGGAATACCTTAATCCTCGCGATCTTTCAGGCATGCCCAATTCTCGTCCCTCTGGAACCATACTAGTCCCTTGGGAAGGATGATGGTCTGTAGGGTTGGGCACGCTTTACTCCATGCTTCCGCGACGCTCTTTTCATCGTTGAAGGACGCAGGTATACCTGGAGCCATGAACGTGATGTATTTCAGAGCCTTGAACTGCGCGAGACTCGAGCCAATCTCGAGTAGAATTTCCTGTAAGCAATAAGCAAACGAAAGATAAAGCCATGCACGAGATGAAAAACTAACATGGGTGTAGTGCGTCATGAGAACTACGAGATGGAAAGCCTCAAGATGAGGTAGCCGCTCTGCGATGAGGGGAAGGAGTGCAACAGGGGGGTCGCTTTCGAAGCTCATGACAGTAAGCTTCTTTATCGCTCTAGCTGAGAGCAAAAGCGTGTCGAGGGACGTACAGACGTCCCCGGGGTAAAGCGACATGGAAACGCTCTCCACGGGTCTGCCTCTCAAGACCTCTCCGATTATGCTGGGGTAAGACAGAACGGTCCTAAAATGCTCCAGCTTTGGGAGCGCCTTAGGTTCCAGCGTAAAGTCGTACTCCTTATTGAACCCTCTCAGACAGAGCTCCGTTATCGTGGGCTGCATAGCCAGGAATTTCGCCAGCGAGCGGTCACACCGCATAGATGAGGTGAAGGTTGTGAGCGAGAAGGAACACCCCTGGAATATCCATGCGATATCAGCAGCATTGTCTGTCTGGGAGAAGTCGAGGATAAGCGTCGTAAGCGATTTGAGTTGCTGGAGCGCGCGATTCAAGAGGCGTAGGATATTGGCGGTGATGAGGTTGTTGGCAAAGTCGAGATCGATAGAACGGACGTGTCGGGAATAGGTGGCATTGGAAGCAAGGGTCTTTATAAGCTTCAAGGCCTTGACTGATGACGTTTCTGATATGTTACGGTAGACCGCACGATATGCAGTATTGTGGAATACGGAGCTGCTGCCAAGGACTGGGATGAGTTCACAACGTTCCAGGTGATTGAAGATCAGCTCAAGGATCTCGACAGGTAATGTGGAGGATCTCGAGTGGACACTGTCCATCATAATAATCAGGACAGTGCTCCGTTCCTTGTTTTCAAGTCCGTTTCCTGGCGGTTGGTTGATTGGTTGTCAATGAGGTCAGGAACACAGTAGTATTATTATAGTATCATGTCTACATTGGGTTTCCTCGACTCCACGAAACAAAGAGATCAATTAAGAACTATATATTGATTATTGCACGTCTAGGGGTATAGGATGAATAAAATCATGCAAATGCGTCCATCTTATTACCGTATCTAGATCCATGCACCAATTACTGGACTTTGACGGTCTTTGGGGCAGGCATGCTCCCCTCAGCAATAGCCTCTGCGCGTAGACCCTCGGCCTCAATCTCCGCAATGAGATTGCGTTCAGCCTCTTCACGCTCAGACTTGCTCTTGTTCTTCATCGCCGCCTTTTGGGCAGAGATGCGTGCGCGATACTCGCGGTATTTGTTGTCAGTGCCAAAAATGCGGTCGCACCACCGGAAAGAGGTGGAAAAGTTGTTCGTGAAGGCCATGTGGTGGAAATCATGGTGCTCGGCGCCCGACCAGAAGGGGATGATGTGCTGCAATGACCAGGGGAAGTCTAAGGAAGAACATATTAGCACTGATGATCAGCTACTACGAATAGTCACCAACCGTAACCACTGTGAGCATCAATAGCTTGGAAGAGACGAAGCGTAATCCAAATGTAGACCGTGAAAATGTGCAAGTTACGAGTGTACCAGCAGTACAAGACGGGTCCAGCAATGGTACCAGTGCCAAGAATGAAGACTTCAGCAGGATGGGCATATTCAGCAGCGAGACCGAAAGGTGCCGAATACTTGTGATGGATCTTGTGAATATGCCTGTACAATGCGCCGGTGTGAAGCGCTTGGTGGGCTGTAACGATATTGTCAGTAACAAGAGCAAGGACGTCTCAGGATTCACACACCAAAGTAGTGGAACATATCTTCAAAGACGAAGAAAATAGCAATTTGCGGGAGCATGGTCGTCCATGAAGGGAACGGAACCTGCCAGGTATTCATACCAAAGTTCTCTGCCATAGGGTGGAACAACCATATCTTACGAAAAATGATTTAGTTTCGAACGTCAGATGCAGAAACTATGCTCACGGCTGGAAGCTCAATGGTGAAATGCGAGAATAACACCATTTTCGTACACTCCCACTGCTCTTGGGCAGTGGGAATCTTGTTAGGCTGGAGTTTCCACTGGCGAAAATAAGGAATAGCGTCGATGATAATCCAAGGAATGGAACGTCCAAAGTATACAAACTGGAATCATTGAGCAGAAGTTCACGAACGCTGAATAATAAAAAAGATACCTCGTGAAGCAAGAAACTCATGAGGCCCGTTGCAATAATTGGGTTGTCAATCCAGATGTACCAAGCAGCCCACATCTGCTCAAGCCAACTGAGTTTCGAGAGGTCAATGTTTGCGTAGAGCTGCTCAGTAGTAGTCTGGGCCGCGTGCGCAGCGGCAGCGGCGACGGACGTCGCGTTGAAAGTCATGGTGGTGATCGAAAGCAAAAAGATACTCTCGAGCACTCGACCAGTTTTGAAGGAATTCCCAAAGAGAACCACACCACTTTTTGGCGCATTAATTTATGGCGTGAGCCGTCGGACACCAACTCAACCAATCACAACCGGCTTACCTAACCCGTATTCATTCCCGGAATAGGAGTGTCTCTCGCATGTCTGATGTCTTCCATCTCCCACTGTCTCTCCCAGTACTACCTATTATTGTCCACTGGAACTAATTACAAAGTGAGCTGGATCCCACATTAGGTCCGTTGGCTATGGGCCTTGGTATGTATGTAAAGAAGTATCAGAGTGGTAAGACGAAGAAGTAATGATAATAATTGATAGTCCACATCTAAGGGAGTCACGGTTCGATAGCGCGTCTGCCGGGAACATACAGCTCGGGCTCCCCCTGCGAATTTTGGCGCACTCTGTACGGGTCCCTCTCCAATCGATTCAGTCGAGGTAAATAAGGCCTTTGTACCACGGGTTCATGTTCTAGAGTAAGAGAATTCTCTACCTCATACTCATCTTCTGAATCATGGTCTTGATCGATTGTGTTGTCCTTGCTGTTCTCTGGAGGATAGAAGCATCGTGTGGGAAGTGAAAAACGTTCAACGTCTTTAAGCGGTGACGGAGGGGTTTCCTTGATTTTTTTCCGAGGTGAGTCCTGAGGGCTGTTGGTCTCCTCTTCTTCAATTTCAAGATGTCGTTTGCGGCTCTTATGCGCAGGTGACAAGTCAGTCCATTTCCTAAAAATGATACATTAGAAGAAACCCATTGGATCCAGGTGAGTTACGTACCGAAATGTGTTGTCCTCGCCACTGGAATACTCATCGTCTGTGACGTCCCCCCGACTGCCAGTTGGGGCTACTTGGCTGGTGCGAAATCCCTTGGGGAGAGGAACTAGGACTCTTATCTGCGGACGGAGGCTCAGAGCTTTCCCTAAACAACACACATCAGAATTTAACAATTGGCACGAGTTGAATCAAGTTACGTACCAAGAATTTGCTACGCCATCGCTGAAAGCCTCATGGAGGCACTGTTGAGGGCAGTCTGGGCTGTTTGGGCTGCAGCTCGCGGATGGAGACTCAGACCTCTCACTAGAAACTACAGGTTAGAAACGAACAATCGGTGCAATCTTAAGTGAGGTACGTACCGAGAACCATCGTGGTCGCTGCGGCCATATTCTTCATCTTCTGCGTCTTGCGGGCCCTCCCCAATCTCGCCGGCACCGCTCCCAAGATCCTCCTCTTCCGTATCTTGATGATCCACTTCGCCCTCGTCGCTACCGCTCGAATCCTCATAATCTGAACTTTGTAGTTCCTCCTCACATTGGTCGTCCAGGTTTTCATCGCGAGTCTTCAGCGAACGCTCGACTTTCCTGATCATCTTGCGCACAAAGTTCTTCCCAGCGACAGATCCCAGGCGGTTCAGGAAATCTTGCATTTTATCCCTCTCAGCCTTGAGTTCGATCTCTGCGAGAGTGACATCGGCCAGAGCTTCGGCAGCCTCAGTTCGTGCAAGCTCAAGTTCAGCGTCGACATGAGCGCGGTTCCGATGAACGTCAGCGACCATCTGAGCATACCACGTGGGGTCGTTGGCGAGAGGTGGTGGAGGAGGGTAGGTGAATGCCATGAGAGGCGGATCGAGGGAAGCAGTAGCATTTGGGACGCGTGCATTGCGAGGTTTGTCGCCTGGTGGCGAAGGGAATTGTTCGAAAGGGTACTCGGCCCGTGTATCATCCTCAGATTCACCAGAGTCGGGCATGTCCTCATGAACAGAAGGATCGACTTCCTTCTGCTTGCCTTTATCCTTCGGGTCTGAGGTAGCGGCAGGTGCGGCGGTTTGTGTCGGGTTCTGATGTTCAGTGTCGATCGACATTACAGCGATATTCTGTCTTTAGCTTTGTAGGCTAGTAATCGAGTACAGGAGAAGGTATAGATTCAAAGTCAAGAAGCACTGGATCGTAAAAATACCTATGACACGAGTGTCCACAGCATCTTAAAGCCACTTGTGGTGGGCCAAAACATCGGGTTATTGTCTAGTCCATGTCCATGGCCTGCCGTCCACGGAAACCCCTAGGATCCCCAATAAGTCTTGATCCTTATGGACTGTTGTGGGACTTACCTTTTGGGGATGCGGTGAAACATATCCGACTTGCAGGTTCCATTCAACCCTATTGTGGGCTTCATTTGGTTATCTATTGTACTTCGTGGGTCAAAGCTACGGGTCAATAACTGACGAAGTCCGGGATAGTGCGTACCTTAGTGGTTGTTTAATTGGTTCCTGGATGGTTGCGCAGCTAGTCACAGGTGAAATAACATGAAAACTGATCATAGTTCTCTCACAGTTCGGATGCAGCCCTTAACAGAATAAAGCAAGACTCGGAGTTCGGGAACGTGGAGCCAACATCAAAGCAACGAGGTCAGAAGATGTGAGTACTTATGATCAAGATCATCAAATATTATACACAGGCTCGGCCATCCTGGTTGACATTTTGTTGGGGCAGCGTAACAATGCGATACCAGTATGATGGCGGGTACTGTCGGACTCTGGACTCTGTATGTTAACTGCAAGGCCCGGGGGGTTGTCAGCGCAAAGTAGATGTTCAACTGTGACAGAGAAGTTCCTTCCATGACATTAATTAGCGGCTGGAGTCATCATGATCAAGCATTTGCCTGTAAGTTATAACTGCCTGCAGCGCTGTGACAACCTCAGTCGTCGTACAAAGTTGCACTCACACATTTCACACCGCAGATTTTTATCGTTGAACCATTGAATTAACATGCAGCCATGGTTGGTGATAGGCATACTTGCTAGTGACTGGTGCAAGCGGGTGTGGCGGCGCTGAGCACACCCGGTGATTAAACAACAGCAAATATGCAACTTGTTCAGAGATAACGACAAGTATAACTAAGAATAGCAAGCAAACTGTCCGTCAATAGGAAATATTCTTTGAGACTCCAAGTGTCCGAAGTTAAAGCCATATACAAGAATGAAGTCGCAAAATGAAGTACCTAGAATTCAGACGTGGAAGATAACATGAGAGCCCTTCGTCTCCACTCCAAGAGACGTGAAGTCCCAGAACGCGAGGACATCATTTTTGTATCCACCTTGATGCCGGTGATGCCCGACACCAGGCCTCCGGGCGTAACATTGAAGTCAACTTCCATGTTACTGTTGAATTTGATAGGTAAATTCAAATATGTTTGAGCCGTGGCAGTCAAGGCATCGGTATCGATGAAGAGGTCGATCTGCAGTGGAGGTTATGATGGATAAACACGTCCGTTGAACATGGACTGATTTCGAAAGGGCCGATGACAATCTTCTCGACAATGACGCCCTCAACAGCGGAAGTCTGGGGGATATAGATGACTTGTCCGTCAAACAATTGTATGCTGGAACCTGAGCTGTGTCTGCTATGGCAGGCGACCAGCGAATATCGCCAGGAGCACCAGACTCGATTTGAGCCTAATCGCAAATGGGGGCTGACTGATATTGCGGTCTGGGAACATCTGAAAACCTGCCATTAGTCTACCAAGCTTGTACTCGTTTACTTGTCGAAAATAGCAGTAAATATGTGCTTCAGTGGCAGAAAGTAGAGCATAGTAACGCGATTTATTGTGGTGTTGGTGTGTCAAAATACTTAAGATGAATAGAAAGCGACATCGATGAGCGAGTATATACAGGTGCAGCGGTTGTCGTCGTGTCTGACATGGACATATGATCGTCAATATTTGTCGTGAGTCAGCAATTAATGCAATGTAAGTTACTCACAGCCCTTAGTAGATGTTGCACCCTCACGCCTACAGTGTCCTGAGGTTTCCTATGACATGCTCAGCCCAAGTTGCCGTCGCGTAGCTCGTGAGGGGAATCTGCTAAACACTAATTGAACTCGACATGTGCATTTGTTAGTTGTGTAACAGAAATATCGTTACTTGTAAGACCGCAGTATTCTGAACCGTTCAATTGCAAGTAAGAGAACTACTATCAAGGGTGTGTCAAGTACTAATAAAACCAAACAACGCCAAATCGGCAATATCAAAAGTTGGCAAGTTCGCTCTAGCTATCGTTGCCTGTCAGTGCTGTCGTTGTTGTCGAACAAGAGCATAAAAATCCAGTCATGTCGTCCGCACCAGCACCCTCTTTTGATGGCATTGGTATCGCCAACCTTCCCAACCAGGTGAGGAGCTCGCCTTTGCATTTCTCTCATTTTTACTGACCACTATGCGTCTCCTTCCACGCAATTTAGAGGCACAAAATCGTCGCCAAACATGGTGCACACTTCACCATGATGGTTGTTGGTGAGTCTAGCGCGTCTGCAATGAAGTCTTTCAGCTTACCCGTTTACGCGCCAGGCGAGTCGGGTCTTGGGAAGACGACCTTAGTGAACACACTTTTCACGACCGAGTTGTCTCCTGCTAGGAACTACAGTAGACGGCACCACAAACAACTCGACAAGCTCACCGAAGTCGAAATTATTAAGGCTGAGCTTGAGGAAAAGCAGTTCAAGGTCAAACTTACCGTCATCGACACCCCCGGATTCGGTGACTATGTCAACAACCGTGATTCCTGGTCGCCAATCGTCGACTTCATTGATGACCAACACGAAGCATATATGCGCCAGGAGCAGCAACCCCAGCGCAATGAAAAGATTGACCTCAGGGTTCACGCTTGCCTTTACTTCATCCGGCCCACTGGGCATACGTAAGTTGATGTATACTCTCTGAATCATTTTCAGATGTTGACTGGATTCCTAGCCTGAAGCCGCTTGATATCGAAATCATGAAGCGCCTCGGCACGCGTGTGAACCTCATCCCCGTTGTTGCGAAGGCAGACACCCTCACGCAAAATGATCTGTTCCTTTTCAAACAACGCGTTCGGGAAGTCATTGCCGCCCAGGGAATTCGTATCTACCAACCCCCCGTTGAAACCGATGACGAGACTTCTGCTGAGCATGCGCGCATGCTCACTGATGCTATCCCCTTCTCTATCATTGGCTCGACTGAAGATGTCCAGACCCCTGATGGTCGCCTTGTCAAGGGTCGCGAGTACCTTTGGGGTGTCGCTGAAGTTGAGAACGAAAACCACTGCGATTTCCGCAAGCTGCGCTCTCTACTTATCCGTACACACATGCTCGACCTCATCTCGACAACGGAGGAGTTGCACTACGAGAACTACAGGCAACAACAGATGGAGACGAGGAAGTTTGGGGAGCCCAAGGTCAAGAAAGTGGACAACCCCAAGTTCAAGGAGGAAGAAGAATCGCTCAGAAAGCGCTTTACGGAACAGGTCAAGGCGGAAGAAGCCCGCTTCAGACAATGGGAGCAACACGTAAGTGAATTCTAAACCCTATCAGTGACGTTATCTCATGTCTCCTGTAGCTTATCGCCGAACGGGACCGTCTCAACAAGGACTTGGAGATGGCACACAGTGCCATCAAGTCGCTGGAGGCCGAGCTCGACAATCTCCAAGCTGGCTATGGTCGCGGCAGTGCCAGGCGGTGAAAGCCGGATCCCAGCTTGTTTTTGGACAAATCTTCGCTCCGTATACCCTTGCGTTCATTTCCACGCTCCCTTCCGCATCGTACCTTGCTGCCCATACGACGAACATTCTTTTAGTCGCCTTGTCTTCCTTGGTTTTCTTTCTTGATTCGGAAGCTACGTTATATACATTCTCGTACGCACTGCGCTGACATTATCATAATATGGTGGCTTTTATGCCAGATACCTTGTCTTGACTCGAGAGTACCTGGATCGAGAGAGGATTGTTTATGATGCCTATCGAGCACTATTCGTGACATAAGACGTCCGTTAAAGGGAAGTAGATTCAGGTTTGCACACATGTGCCATGTAGGCCGCATCAGAGTCACCGACGCTACGACGAAACGAAAGTTTATAGGAAGAGGATGAGTATGTATATTCCTTTCAACTGTAAGCAGTGGAGTTGGAAGACGCTTTCTGCAATGATCTTTCGGCATCTCCAGAATCCTCACGTACTTGTTTCCTGTTCCAGTCGAATTCCGAACCCTTCGGACAGTGGGGAAACGCTATCCGAATTCGGCACAACGGTGAAGTTGACGAACGGTGCGAGCGCGATCTCTTTTACGTATATAGTACAATACCCCCCTGAAAGTTTGACAGAGTGCTGTGAACGACGACATGTTTACCTGCATGAGCTCGAGGTAAATTGACACCTGAGGGGAAACATCATGGATGTCAGTGTTCCAGATGGGTAGTGCGCTCCCATGCACAAATAGAGAATACATGTCAGCTCTCGTATTGACGAAGTAGATGCCGTCCTCAGGATCAATGTCACCGGAAGCATGAACAGTGGCCAGGAGATCGGCATCTGGACTAGCGATGAAACTATCGTATCGGCAGTACTTTTGTTTATTCGCCACTACAAAATTCCAAATTCCAAATTCCAATGACCATACAAAGTGCAGGAAGTAGCCATTGTGATGGTCAAGTGCAGAAGGGCAGATGGTGTTCATCAAGGAAACGACCAATACTGAATTAAGAATTTAATTCAGGGATATGACCGTGATGATACCGAGCTACTGCGGTGAATCGAGGAATAGCGAGCTGGATGTTGAGCAGGCGCATGTGGGTAGCACCGACAAACTTTACCACGGACTCCCTAGAATCTTGACGCGACTTAGAGGTCCTTCAATGAGTGATCTGTCAAGATCGTTCTACTATCCATACGTCAGGCGTGACAGGTGTGCTTAGCACGGCACGACGCTCAGGCTGCATGCCGCGCCTTGACTCGAGGAGCCCCGGACTTCAGATCTCACATTATAGCGATGTTATCCAAAAACATTGAACTTACGTTTTGTAGAACAAGTTGGTGCCGATACACCTGTCATAGTGATACGTTAAAGTCATCGTGCCTCGGCCCTTCTCAACTCCTCAAAATCGCTAATCTTCACAGGAGCAGCGGCTCCGAGTACGTCAACTATGTCGATATTAGTTAGCAACTAGTTGGTACCAGGTATGGGTTCCTTTGCGATAAAAAGCCAAGCTCGGCTTGCGTTATTTAAATTGTCAACCTCGAGAACCTGACAGAATGCAATAAGGAACACGCTTTACAAGAAATGTTCGAGACCTACTTGTGCCGCGTTCGCGATAGAGTCGTTGTGTACAGCCAGCGCTTTTCCAGTGTTCTTGTCCACGATACTGTGTTCGAGAAGCTAACCTCACTTTCGTTGTAGAGGAACCTTGTCACCTACTTCCAGGCATACGGGACTGCCGTATTTTGTTGCAAACTCCACGGATAAATCGAGTGGCTAGTGATGACACTGCCAGCGGGGGTGTCGGATTTGTTTGACTGGTCGAAGGAGAGGAACGCGCCAGTCCCAAAGGACTGTATGGTCACCCCACACGACTCAGTGTTCGCTACGTTCCACTGCGAAGGATACAACCAAATTCCTTATGGAAAGTATCGAGTACACGCACGATGTCATTTCCTAGGCGATTTCCAACACTATTGACGATGTCACCCGGAACAGCTTGGAAATTGAACACATTCAAATAGGTGTGCGTCGTGGCATTCATGATAATATATGAGCCTGTAGGAATGGTGATGGACATATTGAAATGCTTGAAGCTTTGAAGAGTGCGTCGTTGTAGAAGTTATGAAGAGCGAAGAGTGTATGAGCTCGAGTACTTGTACTTATGACTTTTGACTGATTACCGTAAGATATGTCGCTGAGTTGCGTCGGTCAATTATTCCCACGATCATTCAAATTTGCAAAGCTTTTCTTCCATCGCGCTCATATTGTGTCTGCAACATTGGTATATATACAGAAGGCCGCATCACTGGCCAAGGATGCCCTGACTTATCTGGGTGGACTCTCAGATCTCATCATTTACCAGCACCAAGACGCATCTCCCAGTGATCTAGAATATATTTCGACTGGAGAATGCGAGTACTGCAGGAACGTTCTGATTCGCTTCATACCGGCGAGACTTTCGGGAACTTGCAGTCGATACGCTTATTCGAATCCTTCCCCATCGGTTTCTTTCATTTCTTCACCGTCGCCATCACAAATGACACCATACTACTGCTCTTCTACCTCAGTGCCCTTCGGATCGTGGAATTCGATATTAGGTCATCCATTAGCATGAACGAAGATGGCTCCATGAAGCAAACGGCAGTGGCAGACGCCTGGCCTTGTCTTGAGGTTAACCATTCTTCTCTTCAACAAGACATATGGGTGACATGATCCCATGCCACTGGGGGTTGCATCGACTGGGGTTGTCAGATTCGTCAAGCTGTACCCTCGCAAGCTCACTTGACGGAACTCTGCATTAATTTTACGCTCAGGCCGTCCAATGATGTGGGCAAAGACTTGCACACCTTTGACCTCTAACGCCGTGGGCCGTGACTCGGATATTTTAGAATCTCTCGTGTTGAGATTCCCTCGCGCTGAGCAACATATATTGGACTCTCACCACTCGAGGTTGAACATGCTTGTAAAAAAGCTTTTCGGGCGAAACGCCGTCAATCCATCTCTGATTGGTTTGAATCTTGATTCACCAACTTCTCCGTAGATACCTACATCCCGCAGCTGGTAAAAGCAATTAGAAAGTGGCAAACGTAGCAGAGGGTGTTAAGGGACTTTGAAGTTGTTCGTCCTTGTGTCCTTCGACTCTCACCTCAGACACCATAACGCAAGCAAAGTGTGGCTCATGAAATTGTTCTCGCCCTGTGGGAGTTATCGTGGCCTAGTTATGTATCTGTGGTGCAGTAGACATCGTGCCAGTCAATGCATTGATTCAGTCAAGTGGTGTACTGGCCTGGGTATATGCGGCGCCATTGTAGGCGACTGATGATCAACGCAAATCTTACATCAGGCTTCCATATATAGTATTCCAAGTTTGACAACGACCTTCAAAGCTTCACGGTGGAACTTGCATGCTCAGATACTCCGATGGCCCATCATGATGCTATCCATTGTCCTTTGCTTATCCCTGTGGACTTTCCACATCGCGTTTCGATTTAAATATCCTTGGGCCGAAACGCCCCTTCAGGTTTATTGCACCTTCCCGTTCCTAACGGCTTCAGCGTTTAAATTGTCCTCTGACCAACCCACAATGCATCGCGCTCTCCTTATTTCGGAAATTCTCTCTAACATCATAAGCCATATCAGCGTCGACGAACGTCTCGGCGTCTGGCCAGTCGAATATGTCACATCTTCGGCACCGACATTATTCGCGCTGGCATTAACTTGTCGCGCGTTCTCGGAGCAAGCATTGGATGCTCTCTGGAATAATTTCAAAGGTGTTGAACCCTTCATGCGATGTGCTGGAATTACTTCTGCTCCGCAGAAAGGGCTGCAACAGGACAAAGAATACCCCATCGTAAGCTTTTTTCCCAGGAGAAATACATATAACTCATTGATGTCACAGATCCCAACAGAAGCTCAACTGGCTATCATTGCTCGCTATGGACATCGTGTTCGGTCTTTAGAATTGGGCATGAATTATTGGCGGCGTAATTATCTTGCGCAATCGTTTCTACGAACTATTGCTGGCTCTTCCGAGGTTCTGGTGCCAAACTTACGAAGCCTGGAAATCGGATTTCCCTGCGAATTACTCCATCTGGTCCCCCCCTTGCTTGGCCCGCACCTGCAGCATTTTTTCATCAGCATCCGAGATTACGAGAAAGGTAGCCACCATTTGCGCACTGTCTTCCAATGTTTGCCTTTATATTGTCCATCGCTTGAAAGCATCACGGTTTTAAAATCTTACCACCTATCTCGCGAACGGGATGCGCCTTTCATTCTACCAATGTCGTATGCTATCCAAAAAATGCCGAAGCTGCGGTCAGTCACCGTACCAGCCATAACAAAGGACGCCCTAGTTTATCTGGGTGGACTATCATCTGTTACCGATATCAGCTCGCATCTGCCTACCGGCACTGATCTCGAAGATATTCTTGGTTCATCCCGTGGCCAAATTCTCTTTGAGAACATCGAGAGCGTTGATTGGGAGATCAAAGAATGGCGAGACGTCGAAGTCTTCGCACGTCTATGGCCTCATAAATTCACCTCAATGACACTTCGATCTGAGGCCAAGTTCGATCCAAGCCTATTGCAGGTACTTTTTGACTCGATCCATGTGCGCGAGGCATTCAGGAACCTGGAGTGCATATGCTTATCCGAATCATTCCCCTGCCGGCTGTCATCCAGTATAGTCATCACCATCGACACCATACGGCCACTCTTCTACCTCAGTCAACTTCGGGTTGTGGACATCGATACGAGATCATGTATGAGCATCGGCGCGAACGACCTGGTGAAAATGGCAGAAGCATGGCGCTGCCTTGAGGTGTTACTCCTCAACAAGACGGATGGAAGCATGTCTGGCGCGGTACCCATGCCACAGTGGGTTACAGTGCCCGAGGTCGTCAGATTCATTGAGCTGTGCCCTAGCTTGAAGAAACTTTGTATTGGTATCACACTCAGTACCGTGGACTGTGACTATGACATGGACAAGGCAAGCCTATGCGCCCTCGAGCCCCATAACTCGGACAGTAGGTTGGAAGCTCTCACGCTGAAATACCCTCGTGACGAGGAATACATATGAAAGACTTATTCCTCTGATTTTGAGATACTTTTCTCAAAGCTTTTCCCTCGGATGAACCGGCTCCACTCCCTCCAGATCCTCCAATCTGACAGTATAGAACCACATATTTAACACACTCCAATGCTTGACCTGGAGGATTGAGCTTGCCATCCCAGTCGACTCTCAGAACTGCCTTTGTTATATATGTACTATTGCTATACCTATGATTACTTATGATTTGTCAATATATATCAAGTCTCCATGTACGCCAGCGCTGAGCGCTGAAGTCTGAAGCCTGGCCCAATAAGTACCTAGATCTATTTATCCCTAGAGCTGATCGACATCTTTTATTCGATATACCCTGATCTTGTTATCCAAAGTTGTTATCAGAATGATTAAAAATTCCTCGTGTTCAGATCTCAAGTTGAAGTAGCAGTCGTCATTTTATTTTTATGCAAACAGCAAAACAAAGCTTCTGTCTTGCGCCACCGTCACCGCCACAGTTCAATGTCTAACTTCAGTCTGAACCGTTTGCGAAACACAGGTTTCACTGTTTACCTACTTAAACATTTGAGCATTGGACCGGACGTGCAGAATCTGTAGGGGAACCAGTCCTTCCACTGGCGATGCTACACACCTAGTATACGATGCGCGCTGCTGAAATCTTACGACACGAATCTGAGCAGATACCAGAGAACCAGCTTGCAGCGGCTGCCTCCAAATCTATCAGAGGGTGCAACGATGAAACTGCTCTTCAAGACCTCGAGGATACAGCTTCAAGTTCTCCGTCCGCAGTGCTTGTTCCGACACTGCGATGGTCAAAAATCTGTCGCGTTTAAAGTCAGCACTCACTCTCGTCAAACTCGTGAGTGTGGCATGTTAAAGACCCCTGACGTTCAACACTTCTCGACTCAGTCAAATTCATCAATGCTAGAAAGATAAGTCTCCGATAATCTTGTCGATACTGGGCGACAATTAGTTGGTACCAGCTAGGGGTTCCTTTGCAATGAAAAACCGAAGCCTGGCTTCCGTTATTTGTCAGTCCCAATTCGAGAACCTGGCAATAACATTAATATTGAGGGACGCGGTTTACAAGAAATGTTTGAGGCGTACTTGCGCAGCGTTTGCGGCGGAGTTGTCCTTCACAGCAAGCCCTTTACCAGTGTAATGGTCTACGATACTATATTTGAAGATTAACCTCTTCTTCGCTCATTGATTTGACACTTACTACCAGGCATATGGGACTGCGGTGTTTTGCTGCAGACTCCACGGATAGATTGTGTGACTGGTGATAACGCTTCCAGCGGGAGTGTCGGTTTTGTTTGATGGATCGAAGGAGAGGAAGGCACCAGTCCCGTAGGACTGTATAGTTACCCCACACGACTCAGTTTTTAACACGTTCCACTGCGAAGGATACAATGAACCACACGATGATGAGCGCGAGGTAAACACACCATGTCATTTCCTAAGTAATTTCCAACACTATTGACGATGTCACCTGGAACGGGCTGGAAAGCGAGCACATTCAGGTATGTGTGCGTTGTGGCATTCATGATAACATATGTGCCTGTAGGAATAGTGGACATGTTGGAATACTTGAAGCCTAGTTGTCGAAGAACACTCCATTTTGGAAATGGGTGGCGAGGATGACTTACTCTAATCGATGATTGGACGCGTGTAGGCTCGGGGATGCCCTGCCAATCAGACACGTAGTGCCTGAGCGCTCGAGCACTGGAGTTGGTTTCCCATGATCAAGTTTCAGGGTCTTTGAAACTTTAGGGTATCAAAGCATTGCACAGTGACCATTATTTACAACGAATGCATCGGGATGTAAACAAAATGCTTGAATAGTACTGTAAGAACACAAGCGTGATGATGGGTATGATACAAATACAATCTCTATGACAAACCGTCTGTAGAGCAATAAAACACATTCCATTCACAGCACGACCTTCGCCGACAATCTCGCAAACAGCTTCCTTGCAATCGGAAGCCTCCTCTACACCTTACGTCTCCCTCGTCTCCGCAAGCGCATCAAAATTATCTTGCTCTACCGTGTATGCCTGCGCAGACTTCGACGGGTACGCTAACTCTTCACCCGTCTCGTCGCAGATACGCCTGCCCCAGTCGTCAAGCCCGTACATCTTGAACGGGCCGCTGTCCAGTTGCACCCCTTCAGAGGTATACGGAGTGACGACTGCCTCCTCTGCGTCCATCTTGAACCCCTCTTTCAATTCCTGCGCACGAGAGAACCAATTGCCGATCCCGACACCAATAACACGCTTATTCCAGTCCAAAGCCTTGTCGAGACCTTCCCCATCCACACCTCGTCCTCGTTCGTCGGGAGAGAACCGGATGCCTACGAAGCCACCGCGGGCGCCGGACAGCCCCTGTGCCATCGCTACTGCGAGGTTCTGCATACGGTTCAGACGGAGGTTGCGCATGCGGGAAGATAAAGAGTCCGAAAACTTGCGGTCCTCAGGTACAATGGACGCATAAAAAGGAAGGCCACGAGGAAGGCCACGCGAAAGGCGCACTAGACTGTTGGCAAGGGGTCTGGTAGAAACTGTCAACGTCAAGAGGGGTCGAAAAAAGGGCTCTTGTGCAAGCGTTGGGAGGTATTTGGCGCGGATAGCGTCAACATGGTCTGCCTCGCTTTCGGAGAGCCCTGATGAGGCTTGAGAGTCAATCTCAGGAGCAGGCACAGGCTGCACGAGACGGGTTGGAAGTGCTACCTCACTTGCACGCACAACGGCAGTGGTGTGCAGACGACGGCCCTTCACGATCGTGGAGCTATTGTTTTCCACATCACGGGCGCGTTGTCTGCTAATAGCACCCGCGAGACCCCGCTCAAGACTGGCACTGTCAGAATACTTGAACTCGTTGGCGGGAGTTGGAGGAACGAAGCCGCTCGGGTGTTTCACCGTCCCGTCAGGCTCCCTAATTTCAAAGGGAACCTTATGAGAACGCGGGCGCGTGCTCGCCATAGCGGAATGCACATGATCGAAGTCTGATTCGAGGACACGTTCAGCTACTGAGGCTGTCTGTGCAGCGCGTTCCTCATCCTGATCTCTCGCCTGCTCTTTGGCACGTGCAGCATCACTAGTGCTTGAATGACCCTTGCCAGGAACGACAAACCCGCTCGGGTGCACAAGATTGCCGTCCTTGTCGTAGTGCTCGACAGGGATCTTGGTGACAAGGCGACGTGTGCTGGCTACAAGGTCGTCGCCAAGAATAGAGTCTGAGAGGTGTTCCATTAGTGCAGACTCTTCATGCTTGCGTCTTTTCACGGCTTTAGTTTGTCGAGCCGGATCGTGGGCAGCTTCCTCAGCAGCCGCGACATCAAGACCGGTAGTATCAGTGGCGGATGGAGAAGTGGTAGACGGTGTGACAGGTGATTTCATCAGCTTGTCGGCCTGACGCTTGCGATCTTTTTTGTGCTTGACATAAAAGTTGGGAACGATGTGTTCTTCGTTGTAAGACTCGGAAGGATAGGAGCGAGTGGCTGATGAGTGGAAGGCTCGGACTTGTTGCCCAGTCGTGGTGAGCTTGGGCAGAATCAATGTTCCCTTACTGAGGGGCACTTCAAACCGCTTGTTCTCGCCGTTGAATGCCACTACACCCTCAACCTCATATTGGTTGTCTTCAGTAATCCCCCTCGCAATCTCCTTGGGATCTTCACCAGGATTCCACCACTTGACATGCTTTGGACGTAGCTTGCGCTACCCAGGGCCAGCGGGCGTTGTCCATGGTTTCAATTGCCGGAGAAAGGGCAGAATTATACCTGGCAAGGACATCTGGGAAATCACATTCACGGCAAACGCCGACGACATGCTCGATGGAGTCAGCTCGTCCTACACCATGCTTGGTTAAATGGCGGGCTTCGAGAAGGTAAACGGTGTGAGGGACGTAAGCTGCAGGAGAGGGCGTTTCGTAAGACCTCTTCTGTTCATCGTACGGACCATCCTTTGACCAATACAGAGCACGTAGGTCACGGGGGCGGGTAAAACCTCCCATGTGCCTGGTGAAGAGAATAATGATCAGAACCGAGGAAAAATATGAGTATAATGAGGAAATATACGAGCAAGCGAGGACAAATGGAGACTGGGTGCCTCAAGGTTACGCGGACGATAACGGTTCCATGAATAACATGAATAACGTCAATGACATCATGGAGCCACGCCAGCTAGCCAGCCTCCATTGGTATGGTAGGGCAACCATATCCGTGAACTTTCGTCACAGAATATATGGAATAAGGAAGAACAATGCAGTGAAGATACTCACGTCTTGACCGGAGTCAGTGCCATGGTTATGTCCATACGCTCGTCTCTCTCAGCCTTCTCGATGCGACGCCTTATGATGCGTGCTTGCTCTTCTGGTGATACGGGTTGATGTCCTGGTGTTACGCCATGTACACCCTTTGTGCCCTTCCGAGGTTTGGGTTTGGGATTGGCAGTACTGGCATACCGCTTGGAGATTCGCGGAATCATCGTGTCTGCGAAACGAGAAGAGGCGTCCTAAGATGCAGTGGATAAGTAGATAGTAATTAGTTTGAGAGAGCAAGGTTAACTTGGCGATGGGAAAATATATGGTATTTATGTTTGTTTGGAACATTATCCGGATCTACATAGTAACCGAGGCTCCTATTTCTGCTCGACGCAATGATGTCACTGGGGCAGCTATTACAAATTGCTACCAATTAGCTATAGGTTGACCCAGATATGGGCGAGTCAGATGCCATCTAGTCTCATTCAGAGAGAGGGAGACCCACCTTTCAAGCCATCCTCGGTCAGATTGGAAGAGCCAACTCTCGAGGTTGTGAGGCGAAAGTGTGCGAGGGACCAATACTCACATCTCTTGGACTGAGATGTTCATTCGTCATCTTCTGACCTTTATACGAGTCTGTATGTACTTGTGTGCGCTGACAAATAAGTTGACTTGAATGGCTCTATATATGTTGACTTCAAGTTGTAATTTTTAGGACGGTCCGAATCGGATCCCGACACCAACGACTGAAGGGGTGGGACTCTGTCAATCTGTCGAGAATCCAGGTCGACACATATGGCCGCCGCGCTGCACCTTGGAGATATCTAAGACGACCCTCGCAGTGCATGAAGGTGAATTACTTACTATCACATCAAAAGGAGGTTTCGGCACAATTACTGGGTCCTAGTAGTTAAGATGGACCCCTGAAGATCTATACCGCAAAAGGTTGTTAGTAGGTGGTGCTTGACGGCAATATCAAATCTGGAGTTTGGAGCTTCTCCAGAATCGTCAAGGTGCAGCCTGAGCGTCACGCCGGGCTGAGCACACCTGTTAAGCATATGACATATGGATAGTAGAACGATCCTGACAGATCACTCATCGAATGACCTTCAAATTGCATCAGAGACTCTATGGAGTCCGTGTTAAAGCTTGTCGGTGCTACCCAGCTCGTAAGATATTCCTTGAGATTCACTGCAGTAGCTCATCATCGTCCTATCTCTGAATTAAGTATCCAGTACTGGTCGTTTCCTCGATCCACTCGATCCGCTCTTCTGCACTTGACCGTCACGATGGCAAACAAGCAAGAGTACTGCCGATATCCTGACCACTGTTCACGCTTCCGGTGACAATCCTACCCCTGCTGAGGACGGCATCTACTTCATCAATACGACAGCTGACATGTAATCCTTGTCTGTGCATAGGAGCGGACTACCCATCTGGAACTGTCCTGCGCTGACATCTGTGTTTGTTTTCACTCAGGTGTCGCGCACCTATTAAATATAAACCTGGCAAGACACATTCAGCAGGGTGAGATATTGTTTAGACCAGAAATCAAGAGGAAAAATTGGCTGGATGAGGGTGACAATACCTGGACATCATGATCTCGACTCGGACTGCACGCGAAGGCGGTAGGCACTATGCTACTCCGAATGAGTGGTGACATGAGGTTGGATCTCATGCTAGTAGGAACACCGTAACGAACTGAAAAAAAATGAAACAAGACGAGCATCGATGAGTTTATAGCAGCTACGTATACGATAAACAAGGAACCTATCAAACCTCGGCCTCACCCACTTTCATCATCTTCTGCTTCTCGTTCATGAGCTCCCCATCCTTCATCCTCATCTTCCTGTTCGCTGTCTTCATCCCCCCGCTTCCGCTTCCCATTCACACTCTTGGCATGCTCAAGAGCCTCGCCGTCCGCGATGGTCACGCACGTCAGCCGCGTGCCTTTTGTATCGTACTCAGCCACAGGTGATATCTGCAGCACTTCACTTCCGGCTTTTTGGTCGGCGGGCAGCGAAGCCAGGTCGTAAACGTGAATTTTACCGTCAGACGAGACGGTGCACAGGATGATAGTCGAGAGGGGTGCATTTGCCTTCGTTGATCGGGGTAGTGCGAGAGGAAGAATCTCGACTTCTTTTACGCTAAAAAGAAGGTAAAAAACAAAGCCGAACGAGTGCATTGTACGTACCGACTGGAGTGTCCAGTCATTTCTGCAATGACGGTGGGCAATATTTCTGGGTCATCTGGAATGTCGTATATCGACAATTTTTTGTCTTCTGCACCGACAAGTAACAATTCTCCGGAACCGTTGACTCGGTTACTAAATCGAACTGTATGTATTCGGGATGGATGCGTGATTGTGTGGCGAAGAACCATGTCCTAAGTGCGATCGAACTGAATTTACAAATATACGGAAAAGTTATGACGTGCACTTACAACGGTGAATACATCGATGGTGTTTTGAGATTGCACGACGAACGACGAGCCTGTCGGCGACCACCGCACGACTTCCCCCTCTAAAGCATCAAATGAGGTGAGAGATGGATCTGGGGCCTAGAAAAACCAACATTTACCTTTTCCCAGCTTCGTACTAGCAGACCCCTTCCCCCGCATAAGATCCCACATGCGCAGCGTGTTGTCTTTGCCTACGCTCAGCGCAACTTTATTTGATGGATGTACCGCCATAGAATTGACTCGGCCCTTGTGACCTTTGAGGGAGCGAAGTACGACCCAGTCGCGTGCGTGAAACAAGCATAATGTACCGTCTTCGGACGCTGAGAGAAGATGCGAGCGGGAGGGGAAATGAAGCTGTGTTATAGACCCTGTCGCGATAAGTTGTAAAGAGGTAGATACAGTATAGAACACTATGACTCACCTTCATGGTGCAAAAGCCCGCCGATCTCCTTTTTCCTACGCAAATCCCAAACCTTTATGACTTCATCTGCGCTCCCCGTAGCAAGCCATTTCCCGCCATTCGGAGACGCAGCGACGGCCTTGATGCACGATACGTGTGCAGGAAATAGAAAGGTTGGTCGCAGCTCGAACTTGTAGCTATCGTTCGTCTCATTAAGCGAGACAGATCCATCAAGGCCATACAGCAGTCTTTCGTAGGATCCGGCGACTATTTTGAAGGATGTTGGGAGAGGTTTTGTGGATTGTTTTGTTTTTTGCTTGCCCTTCGTAGAGGATACGAGAAGGTGGTCGCTTCGAGGGAGTACTTTCTTGTTTTCTTTTGGCGAGCTCGCAGGTCTCGCCCTTTTGATACTTGTTATTGTAGCCATTTCGTTTGCAAAACTTATGTCTGAATCAATCGCAGAAATTTCGCCACTCCTTGACCAAAAAGGAAATTGATATAATATTATAGTTACGTACGCTCGTAGGACAGCCGTTCAGATGGCTCGCTCGCAACATCAGGACACTCGAGTTGTCTAACACCAGTTAAGATGAATTTTGTTATTATATGCTACATAAAAGTGGCAGTCAGATTCGGCGGCGATTATGATGTGATTTTGACAGTGAGTGATTCAAACTCGTAACGAATTTGGGTGCTCAGAATCATCAGAATCGTCGAATCGCCTCCAGAGGCATCAGGTTATTCTATGGTTCAAACTGCGATTTTTGTCTCTTCGCGCTCTCACCCTCGATAATGCCGTGTACATTTGACCGTGAGCAAAGGGATCCGTTCGGGAGTTGAGCACGGTTCGTGCTAGTGTCAAGCCTTGACAACTATTAAACGTAATTACATACGCGGATCGCAAAGGAAATTTTCTTCGATTCACCGTCCACGATGAACAGTTTGGATGGAACGAAAAGTTGATGCGGAAAATACAACTTTCGTTCCATCCAAAATATTGATGAATTGGACTTCAACGAATCGACGATGCAGAGTAACTACGCGCACGCGCGCGTTTCTGACCCATTTCCACGGAGATGTTTCGTTGAATCGCGCAAATGCAGTTCTGGTTGAGATCCAGGCGATGAGGAGGTACTCCAGGATGGGTGCGTGTTCTGGTGCATTCAATGGAGTGTGATCGGCTTCTTTCAGGGTGTCTGAAGTAAAGTAAGATTCTATGTTGTCTGGTGAGTGGAATGTGTGGAAAAAAACAAAGATAGAGAGAAATCACGTACATGTGCCAAAGAGATGTAGGGAGTGCGCACATTTGCCTTCGTCGTCAAGATTCAGTGGTAGAACCGATAGTTGTCCGCGCATCCAATAGATAAATTCCGTCTTCGGTAGAAGCAGTGTTAGCACCAAATGTGAATACATTTGCTCGGATTTCTGGAGTGGCGATGAATCTGCCATGCTTAGCGCCAGAAATTCTTTTTGTCAATCTGATACCTGCTTCCGTTTAAAAAGCTTGAAGACCAACAGCGCCGTGAAATGAGGTCTGTACTGATCAAAAAGGAGTGCATGAACATGCCTGGTGGACGCCACCGCCGGCGGTATCTCGATATTTATCAGTCAAATTCAGAGTCAGCGGCGATTATGATTCAAACTCGGATTTTGGGTGCTCAGAATCGTCGAAACACCTCCATCCGGGAGGTGCTTCACGCAATTGTGAATCAGCTTGAAGTTGGTCGAACGTTTGATCCCGCGGAATTCGCGTGACTCCCCTGTCCGTGCTCCACCGTGACATGCACTCCTAATCGCTCACCCGCCCGCTATCCGTGAGCGCTTATCTCCGTGTCGCTACTCCTCCTTTTGTAATTGTTTCCAATGCCTATCTTCTGAGCTCCACATGTGATTGCTCATTTCTCTCCTAGCTACATTCCTGTTCTTTAACCACCATGGCTCCATCGTGCTCTTTTCACGCAAGACGTAAGACTACCCCGCAATGTTCTCTTTCAATCTAGCGCGTTCAAGCTGGACTGTAAATCGCAAACAGTTTCCTGCGCACAGATTCGTTCGCACACGGACAGCTATACACCGCACTTTCCAGAGTGCGGATATTCGAACGCTATTTGCAAGAGAGGAAGAGCAAATGTAGTGTATCAACATCTCTTGTTGTAATTTGCGGTAGAAAAAAAAAACTCCGAGGCGCTTCAAGCCTTGTTGAAGCCAAGGTCTCGCGGTTATTAGGCAAGTGGAATCCCCTAGCTCCATGCGCGGGGGCCTCGGACAGATTTTATTGCGAACCGAGTAGTACATGAGGCACAGTAGCGAGACTTTCCTTTCTCGTTATCTAGATCACCATCGGCACCATACTGTCCCGTACTTCTTGACTTCTGCACCTTATGGTACTTCCGCTCGTCGATCCTCCAGTGTTACGTTACCTAATTGGTCGTCGACACCTCAGTATTGTTCTCTAACATCACTGAGCGCTGAGCTCTCGCTTCGCTAGTTCTACTAGCGTGTATATGGATGAGCAATGAACTATAGACTTCCGCAGACATGAGTGACGAAGACGCGATGGACATCCTAAAGGGCTAGAAGGATTTTTATTTATTTTAAACATACGGTTTTGTTGTGTGTTTCGTGGTCTTGGCGCCAAATGAGCAGAAGTCGTTTGTGACTATTTAAATCTCATTCACGGGCTCATGCCAGCAATGCCAGCACATGCAGCATATGTCATTAGGGTCTTCAGATCTTCAGAGTTGGCAGCGATTTTGAAAGTTTGCATCTTCTTAGAATCACACCGTAATCGCCGAGTCACTCTGACTACCACTAATGTTCTTCTCAGAGATCTAATGTCTAGCTGCATATTTCATAATCGGAGACTCAGAATACGCTATCTCTGGAGCCAAAGTAGAAACAGGGTGGCGCGAGTGATGACACGTGTAGATATTAGGTTTCCGCATCAGGAGGTCCAGTGCAGAACCCTCCCAGTCATGAAAGTCAGAGGGGATATATAACGTCCTCACAGAGTATTTAATCTTCTTGTTCTCTCACTCGCCAAGTTCGTGAAAGGCTACCTCACTTCAAACCATGTCGGATTTAAACTGCGGTTCCGGTGGAGGCGCGACTACATACCCACAGTTGCGCATCGCATCGGTTTTCATCATCCTCATTCGGATCCATGAGCGGCGCACTTTTTCCAGTCCTTGCTACACGGTCAAGCTGGCTTCACGTTCCCAAAGCCGTCTTTGAGTGAGATTATCCAACGCGAACATGTGCAGCGTTCTGATTCGAATCTCGTAGCTTTGCCAAATACTTTGGTTCCGGTGTCATCGTGCGTTCCATCAGCTCATTGATTAGATTGGTCGTTCACATCTCCACAGATAGCTACAGCCTTTATTCATCTCCTCAGCCCCGCTATAGAGGAGCTTGCATCTCCATGCCTGTCACCGGCTTGGCAGGAGTATGTAAGTCAGTTGTCAATGGGAGCAGAATCATTACTTAGGTACATGTCATAATCACTCACAGCCTTACCCGCTCGCATTAGCCTTGCTCAGCGTATTTTCGATTTTTATCGTTGAGCTGGTGGCCTTCAGGTGGGGTACAGCCAAGTTGGCGGCCCTCGGTCTGAGTCATGGTGCGTTTTGGATTGATCGCGTGCCGAGGCTCCCCTTATTCCCAAACAGATGCGCACGGTCACGGTCTCGGTGCCCTCGCTGCACATGGACCTGAAGGTGGAATACCGAATGACGACTCAACCCCTGAGAAGAGCAAGGAAGATCTAGAATCTGCCCATGATCATAAGCACCTGGATCTTGGTGCCACAGGGCAGATCATCGGTGTGTTCATCCTAGAATTTGGCGTATTATTGCATAGGTGCAATTTCTCTTGACTCACGTCCAATGATTAATTCATGCTTACTCTTTGTGAAGTATGCTCATTGGTTTGACGCTGGCGGTCGATCCGAACTTCAAAATATTGTTTGTTGTCATCGTGTTTCATCGTGAGCAATCCTAGTATCCTATGGATCAGTGTTGGACTGACATGATACGTAGAGAGCTTTGAGGGTCTTGGAGTTGGTACTCGTCTCGCTCACTTACAGCTTCCCCCAAAGTACAATTATGTAGCCATCTGTGGCGCGCTGCTGTACGGAATCACCACACCATTAGGCATTGCAATCGGTCTTGGTAGTTCAAAGCACGTACAACCCAAACAGCACCACCGCCTCCATTGTGAGTGGAGTGCTCGACTCGCTGAGTGCGGGTATCCTGTTGTATACTGGTCTCGTTGAGGTATGTTATATTTCTTAGTGTCGTGACCAGAGCCCGAGCACTCATCATTTTTATGCAGCTTCTTGCTCACGAGTTTATCTTCAATAAAGAAATGATCAACGGGTCTAACGGACGCGTTGCTTATGCCCTCTCATGCATGCTTTTCGGATGTGGCATTATGGCGCTGCCTGGGGCGTTGGGCATAATAGTCATCAAGTCATCAATATGTTATGACCGTCTAGTGTAATATCGGAGATCTCACTGGTTGACAGTTGCAGTTCTAGCTATTGCACCGGAACCTATTTTCAAGCTATGGTGGTCATTCAAATTTCAGGATGCGGCAGATAGTTTTAATTGGCTAGGTTATGCTCTGTTATGTGTCTGTCTGAAGTTTGAACTGAGAGTCCTCGGCTTCTTTGATCACGTGCAGTTGTCGCGAGTAATCTGTTACTTTGCGCGAATCTGCCAGGTAAGTTATGGATAGACCTAAAATTCTGAAGCTCCGAGAGACGCCTTAGTCCAGGGAAATTATAGGCTGAAGACGATAGCTAACGCGAGATTTCCGTTAAAACATAAAGTGTGGACTGTAATTGATATCATGAACGCCACTCACTGCGTTACTTTCACATTAGTGAAGAAAGTAGAAGGCCATATATCACAGAACATGTCAGGAATATGCGGGTCGGGGGCTGGCGTCGGCGCCGTTACAAATCCGATAAGTCTGTTTAACTGAGGAAGTAGTGGCTCTAGTTGAAGTTGAAACGACCACAGCGGTGTTTAGGCTTGTTTGTACGGCGAATCAACCGAAGTAAGTACTCCTATTTCTCTCTTTGCAGCGAACGACATTCCGACGGAAGTCGCTAGAATGAACTATCCGACTGGGCCTCCTATCAATCGCCTACCAGTAGAACTCCTACAGCAAGTATTCTTGCTCATCTTAAACGATGTCCCAGAAAACCCCAGTATATTCTCGTTTGGAGACACATGCATCTCAGCCGATGTTACCAGTCCTCCCCTACTCCTCACCCGCGTGTGTCGCCTTTGGCGAGATATTGCACATTCAACGACAGAAATCTGGTCACGGATCCATGTTGCACTTCCGGGCCGAATTCAACCATTGAAACCCTTCCTTCCATCCCTACTAGAGGTTTGGCTCGCCCGCTCAGGACGTCGCCCTCTCAGCCTTAGCATCGTGTCTGAGCAGCTCTGCTACTCGCGCGATCGGGAAGCCAGATACTTGCCATATCTCCGACCATACCGATCAGGGGCGGATTGTCGACTGCTCGAAATCCTGCTTTCTGCAAGGGGGCGTTGGGAGACGGTGGCTATCATGTCACCTACCATTTATGACTGGAGTGATAACGTTGATACACCTCGGTTGAGAACATTGAAATGTTTCCTGCGAGAGTTCAGGAGATTCAACGCGCCGAATCTCCATTGCCTACACATCTTCAACCGAAGTGATTTTCCTGCCAGACCCGCTCCTACCTGCAGAGATATACGTCATCTCCGCCTTCAACATACTTCCGTCAACGCCATACGTTTCACTTCAGTGATTTTCCCTCATCTGGAGACCATGGTGGTGGATGATTATTCCCTAGGCTCTGGTGATAGAATTGATACGGTCACACAATCTCACCTCGAATCAATCACTCTTCCCATCACATCGGATCGGCAGGAATTCATCGACATACTCGATGGCTTCCATCTCCCAATGTTGCAAAAATTGACTGTGGTAGTGAAAGAACTGAAACCACTGGAAATTGAATGCATTATGGCGGCCTTGGCAGTAGCAACTTGCCACGAGCCGATAGTAGACTTGAAGATGGCCACACCGCCAAGCGAAGTTGATGTGGATATCGTTGAACCGTTGCTCTCGGTCGCGAAGGAGGTTACTGTCTGCGGGAAAGTGCTTGATTTGCTGGAAATCTTGTCTAGTCCAGAAACATGGTCCGCAGGCAATGAACCCCCACTAAACGACACAAACGAAGAAGCTCCTGTCAGAGGGGTATCTGTGTTGTAGGTTATAAATTGGTGAAGCAAGTATAACACAGGGATGCTCGAATTTATAGTACTTCGCGGCGCCAGTAAGACGATACGATAAAACGAGTACACACCTCAACAGTGATATCAACTACTATCATCATACCATTGTCTTTCCCCTCTTCCTGGGCGAGCACATCCTTCTCCTTCCTACTGTCACGTCGCTTCTTGCTGTGCTCTAGTCTGAGGCTCAGTAATACTGCCAATCGCCGTCATACGCACAAGTGTGTATCTTCCACTGGCGCAGTCATTGTCAGAATTGTTGCCAGCAGGAGCGATTCCATCCTCGCCCAATCATTCACGCGACTTCCCTCGTAGCTGTACCTCTTTGAATTGGATACGTCGCTCGGTAACGCCAACATATCTGAAAGATCGCGTAATTCTTTCGAAGTCGTCTTTGATGGAGGGAAATGTGTCAGTTGGCCTTCAAGATGCAGCGAATACTTACTTACTTTTCGTCTCCGTGAACAAAAGCTCCGAGCCAAGGACTGTATCATGCCAGCCCTAAAGGAAGGGCCAGAAAGCTGCAGAAATGGTGTAGCCCTTGTTTGCCTTGTAGCGGTAGCACGATAGATGGGGTCCAGTGCTTACTACAAGCCTGAAGGTTGAGCTACTGGGAAGCAGGGTTGGTTCAACGGCACCGAGGTCGACCGTGACATAGAAAACGTCTTCTGATAGATACCCTTCGTCAGGACCGGAGGAGTCCACCTGGCGATACCCGACGAAGGGAGGTGGAACGGCCATGATGATGTCCCGCCTAGTTGTCGTTGTAAGCAATTTAATATCGTTGGGAATCTCAATCCGGAGCTTGGTTTGTTTGGTATGGATTAGGGTCAAAAATGGTAGTCACAAGTTGACGACTCCGTACACCTCTAACTTAGAGATTAATACGATCAACAACCTGTAGGTTCCATAGTATAGCGCGGCTGTCCGGCTTTTTGTCCTGCAGTTACAGTGTCATATCGTGACGGCGCCGGCACCACCCCCCGACTCGCTTATTCCTGGCATGCATCGAATTAAACGCAAACTAATCTTTTTATTTCATTTTTGGTAAATGACTGCTAATCCCATGTGAGTCTACTGTCAATGCATGGTGTTCTTCGATTTTTTCAAGGCCTATCTTGAGTAGTCATATACATAGCTAACCGTTTGGCACCAGAACAGATTAGAAACTTTCTACTCTCTTCAATCTTGTGGTGCGGATTCGAAACCTGTCGACATGTCGGACAGTTCTTCGGAGGTTCGTCTAAACTTGACCAGCAAGCGTCCTGGCCCAAGTGGTTAACACAACAGAATCAAAATCCGTTTCTCTTGGACTACGCAGGTTCGAAACCTGCCTAACAACAGGGTTTTTTTTCATATTGGAACACGCCTTGAAGATTCAGTCATGGACAGTTCTTCGGAGGTTCATCTCAACTTCGTCCTCGCCAAAGTGGTTACCACAACGGAATCAAAATCCGTTTCTCTTGGACTACGCAGGTTCGAAACCTGCCGAACAACAGGGTTTTTTTCCGATCGGAACATGCCCAATTCCTCGGAGCAACTTCGCCCTGACTCTCAAAGTGGTTGCTGCAACATAATCAAAATCTGTCTCTTGGACTGTACCAAGTCAATGGGTTTTTTTTTCTTCATCCGAACACGCCTTGAAGGTTCATTGATGGACAGTTCTTCAGAGGCTCATCTCAACTTCGCCTTGGTCAAAGTGGTTACTGCAACGGAATCGAAATCTGTCTCTTGGAATGACACCACCAGTGCAGGTTCAAAACCTGCCGACGAGGTTTTTCTATCCGAACACGCCTTGAAGGTTCACTGATGGACAGTTCCTCAGAGGCTCATCTTAACTTCGCCCTGGCCAAAGTGGTAAATGCAACGGAATCGAAATCTGTTCTACCAGTGCAGGTTCAAAACCTGCCGACGAGGTTTTTTTTCTCTCAGAATACGCCTTCAAGATTCACTGATGGATATTTCCTCGGAGGTTCATCTCAACTTTGCCTTGGTCAAAGTGGTTACTATCACAGAATCGAAATCTGTTGTACCAGTGCAGGTTCAAAACCTGCCGACGAGGTTTTTTTTTCTCAGAATCCGCCTTCAAGATTCACTGATGGACATTTCCTCGGAGGTTCATCAACTTCGCCTGCCCAAAGTGGTTACTACAACATAATCGAAATATGTTTGTGTCAGACTTGCGCAAGCTCGAAACCTGCCCACGACAAGGTTTTTTTCTATCGGAACACACTTTGACATTCACTCATGGATGGATTCCTCGGAGACTCATCTTAACTGGTCTTAACCAAGTGGTTACCACAACAGAATCAAAATCTGTTTCTCTTGCAGTCGGTTCGAAACCTACTGACAACATTTTCGCCGTGTATAGATCCTTAGAGCTCCGTCTTAGCTGGCCCGGTCATTGCGCCGAAAGCTCCTTTTTATATGATAGTCTGTCCATGAAATAGAATTCACGTTCACGCCTCGTGCGGATCGTCTCAGAAACATAAGGTATATCCAGGCCTGTGATGTGTACGTGCCAACCTAGATTCTCGACGGACTAGCCAAAACTGTCGGGATTCACCACCAAATGAAACATTGATGGAGCTGGAGGCCAGAAGAATGCACGCAAGCTAAGGACAGAGTGAGTCTGACGGTCAGGCAGATGATCTAACCTCCCCAGCCTCGCTGAAGTCTCATCGATGAACACTCCTTCGGTCGTTGGCTCTTCAAACGCCTGTAATTTGAATTACTGTACCAGGCGTCCGGGAATTACAATCCGACGTTTTACTTCTTTGAAGTTCTTCAAGATCAAAGCCACATCTTCACAACGCCCGTCATACACTACCAGTCGCTACCAGCAATTAGTGAGAGTCAGTGAAGAACATGTGTCGGGCACAATCTCCGTTTCATTCCCTTCGCTCCGAGATATCCATACATCATATCACCGATGATACACTGCTGCTTTTCATTCTTACTTACTGACAGAGGTCCTCACCATGCTCTTCTCGTACCATTCCCTCTCAAACTCAATCGTCCTCTTGATCGTGTCTGACGCGCGCCACCCATGCTGTTCACCATCGAAGAAGTGCGCCTCGACACGCCCCTTGTTTTAATGACCCCGTCGATGATAGTCCACGATTGTGCAGGCGGAACAACTCTATCATCATTGCCTTGAAGAACCTATTGAAAACATGATCTACCCATCAGAACGCACTGTCATCAACACAAAACTTACGAGTAATGGTGTCTCAATTCTCGCAGAAAAGTACACTGGACTCCGGTCATGATAGACATGTGGTATCTCCTCCTTCGTACCGCCTAGAAGCTTTATCATGTACATAAGTTCAAACTTATGTGAATCATCCGCAAGTAGCTCGAGGTTTGAGATCCCGAAGTTGCTCGTGGCACTCGCGAAAAACTTCGTCTTGCTTGCCGCAGAGGAGGCGAGGGAAATGGCGGCAAGGGTAGTATATCCGCCTGAGCTGCCACCGCGGATCGCAGTGCGCTTGGTGTCGATGAGGGAACGGAGTTCGGGCGATTGGACCGCTTCGATGCAGTCGCTTACGTCGGTAATACCCCAGTTCCCTTTGAGGCGCTCCCTAGTCACATAGTCAGTGCTGCTCCATGTAAATGATGATGACAAACATGAACGTACACATATGCGCGTCCATAGCACGAAGAACCACTGTAGTTTATATCCAACCTGCAATTGATGAGCATGGTGATCCTACAGAGTACGCTAGGACCTACCAAGCATATCCTCTGCTTGTGAAATACTGCTTCAGCCAGGTCAAACTCTGGGTTTCTAATCCTGTGGGGCCGCCATGTACGCCAAGCACACAGGGAGGCTTTTCGTTTGAAATGCTCGAACCCGCATACGCTGGGTTGTTTGGAGCGTAGTACACGGCATGAACAATCCTGTTATCCGCCAGTTTGAGTTCAAGAGGTGTTGGAAGCGAAATGATACCCTCAGGGAACGGTGCAGCGGACGTCGATGCGGTAGATTTGAGTACCCGAAAATCGGGCACAAATGATGGCCCGGTAAGAGTACAGAGCATGGCTGCGCCAGGGGCGTTGCTTCGCATTCCCGTGAAGACAAAAGTGTAGTCCGACATGCGACGGACAGGTTTTATAACTACAAAGTCGAACGATTCGTCTTTGATCTCCTTGTAGGATCCTGTGGTGATATCAACAACGTACAGGACGCTTCGGCCGCCTCGCCATGCAACACAGATAGCTTTTGTGCCATTATCGTCCAGGAACGCGAATGGGTAATTTCCAAGCGTCCATGGTGGCATGCAGAAGTCTTGTTGTACAACAGATGAGAGGACTGGTTTTGTGCGCGCCTGAGTGTACTCCCACAGGTTTGCGAACCTGTTTCCCTCCTCGCCTTCGTCAGATGTAAAGAGAAGCTTGTCGTTGGAGGCCCACAAGGGGTAACACGCGCTGATTGTGCTAGCACTACCGGCTACCAGTTTCGTGTTGCTTAGGCTAAGTGTATGGGTGTTGGAGTTGTAGTGGACGTCAGCCACGTAGAGCTGTCCTCCCTCCCAAGGCATATCTGGGTGCTCCCAGAATTGCCATGCGAGCTTATCTCCAGAGGGGGAGAAGGTCGGCGCTGCATAAAATTCTCTTTGTGCATCCTCAGTGCAAACCAGGGATGTGACAGTCGTAGCCGTGGAATTGATAACGCAAAGAGAGTTGCGCACAGTTTGCGGCGTGTCGTTGGTATGGTCTTCTAAGATTGCGACGAGTAGGTCAGTGTGGACTGGATGCACACAGAAATCTGCATAGCGATAAATCTTCTTCGGGTCCTCTGCGCGCGGAGCGTTAGTACGGTGTTGTAGTCTGGGGTATTAACATAAGCACCTGGTGTGATTGATTTGATCTTCCCATCTTTCGCGGCATAGACAAGGAAATCCGCGAAATTTGAAGAGTACACAGTCCCGTTATAAGCAATCGCAGCAGCTCCACCATACTCATGGACGCGCGTGCGCGCATTGAAGTCCTTGGCGAAGACTTCACTCTGAGTCTGGTTGCTCAGAATCACGTATCGACCACCCTCTGATGCACGCTGTTCGATGTAGTAGATATCTTTCGTGACTGGGTCTACAAATATGTCGCCCATGGAGACGCTCTACGGTGCAGGTCAGTTTCAGATACTACCAAGCGATCGGAAACGATTTGGAGAACATACATCCTCAGCGATAGCATCAGCTGTGATTGGGGACTCCCAAAGGCCGTATGGAGCATATTTTTGAGGCATCGCAATAACCGTTGAGATAGTTGGTAGATTGGATGGCTGTGTGGGTCCTGGGAGAGGTGGAATCCCAAAGTGCAGGTACCTGTTACATATTTATGACTGGGATAGGCGCACAATGCACATGCGCTTTGCGGCACTTAAAAATCAGAAGAATCACTAGAGTTCCGGTCACTTCAAGGACGTAGAAGTAGTACTACCGTCTACGTGCCGTTTTGTGCCAGGTGGGCATGCCGTGTTGTTTGGATCTAAGGCTTTTGACAAACAACCACTTCGAATTCCCCATCGTCCACAAACGGATTTTTTTTCGTTTCTGGATTTCCGTTTTAGTTTGATGCCATTCCGCCCGACCCTTCCTTTGCACAAGAAGTCGAGCACAGCATGGCTAGCACGACAATCCCGTGACCCCTTTGTCAAAGCGCGCCTCTCCTCGCCGTCATCCTACCGTTCACGCGCTGCCTACAAGCTCATCGAGCTGAATGACAAGTGGGGGCGCTTCCTCTCACGTCCTAGCGTGCGCAGTGTCGTAGACCTTGGTGCAGCTCCGGGCGGCTGGAGCCAGGTCGTCGCGGAAAATTTTGGGTGGACCCTTGAGGCGGCAGACAATGTGGAAGACTTTGGGTTACGCGAAGAGGCGAAGGTACAGAAACGCGGTTCCTGGAGCACCGAACCTATGAACAAGATTACCGGGCGAGGAAACATTGTTGCATTGGATCTGCTGCCAATGGTGCCAATACCAGGCGTGCAGACGCTACAGATGGACTTTCTAGCTCCAGATTCGGCGCGTATCGTACGGGATGCGCTGAAGAATTCACGGAATCCCGAGGGTACAGCGGATGTCGTGTTGAGCGACATGGCAGCGAATTTTTCGGGAAGCAAAATTCGGGACTCGCAAATGAGCTTGGATATCTGTCATGCAGTCTTCGATTTCGCAAAAGGTGCATTAACTGTTAGGACAGTGGATGAACGAGGGAAGGCATCCTGCGGCGGGATACTACTGTATGTCTTTCATTGTCCGGAAGACGAGTTGCTCATATATATGTTTGTTCCAGGTTGAAGCATTTCGCTCATCCATTACTGCAAGAGTTCAGAAAGGAACATTTAGAACCCAACTTCCACCTCGTACATTATATCAAGCCGGAGTCAAGCCGTGCTGACTCTGCAGAAGGTTACTGGCTGTGTCGCGGTTGGTTGGGTAGGACCTAATCGGTATTCCTTGGGCAGGCAAACCCGCTTTCGACACCAATATTACTACACTCCATCGGTCCTTCACACAAGTCAGGTACATGGCACGTAATTGTAGAACAAGCAGACTGTACAAGTACCCCAAGTCTGTTCAGCCTGTGGGGCCGAATATCTATCATCAAGTCTCCCTGCAATTACGACTCGTGATCGATTCACTCCTTCGAAGTCAGAGTCCTTCACCTCTTCCTTCCTCCCACACAAACTCTTTTACGTGTTCCTCGAACTACAGTTTCCCATTGCAAGACAGGCTCCATAATCGGACTGACTTTTTTGCCAACCCAGATGTAGACCAATCAACTATGCAGGCGACTAGCAGTCGACAGCACATTCCATCAGTTTGCATGCTTCCCGTCACACTGTCAGGTACATGACACATGTGTTTGTATGACAAGAATAGTGTACATCATATCGTAGACCTAGTGAGTAACATTGAGCTGCAGTAACATATCACGCAAATCCTACACCAAAAACGAGTGCTATCCTTGGTCTTCACCAGCTCGTAATTTTCGCTCAACAAATCGAAACTGCGCAAGTAAGAATAAATTATAAAAGGCTTATGCTCCAAAGCCGTAGAGCGTGCGCCCAGAGCGCTTGAGAGCATACACGACATCGAGCGCCGTCACGGTTTTCCTAACAAATAGCCAGCCGTCAGCGTGAGAACCAACACTAGCCACAGCAGTTAGATCCTTACCTCTTGGCATGCTCAGTGTATGTGACCGAGTCACGAATAACCTGTAGGGAGTCAGGTGACAGCTCCGCAGCTAGCAGCCGGGGTGACTCACGTTCTCAAGGAAGATCTTCAAGACACCACGAGTCTCTTCATAGATGAGGCCCGAGATACGCTTCACACCTCCACGGCGGGCAAGACGACGAATAGCCTGCGGAACATCAGATAGGTGTTAATTGCGTATAAGAGCAAGGACATACGGGCTTGGTAATACCCTGGATGTTGTCACGCAAAATCTTGCGGTGACGCTTGGCACCGCCCCTACACAAGCCAAGTTAGATATAACATTCACTAAGAAATATCGTTGGCACTTACTTTCCGAGACCCTTTCCACCTTTGCCGCGTCCAGACATTATAGTTTATGGTATGTGTGCGTGGTGTGTTAGATGGATAGAAGATGATCGCACTTGGTGGTGGTAGTGGTAAGAGGGTGAATAACGCGACTTCTTTGTTGATTGGCGTGTTTATATGTAGGCACGGGTCACGTGACCTCATCATCGCGTCGGGTCCACAAGCATGTCTTTATACTACTACTAGTACTCTTGAACCTGTGACCTGAGCACGGACCACCTTGAAAACTCGCAGTGTACGCCCCTACAATATCCGGTGCTCACTGGGTCTGAGCACGGACCATCTTGAGCACAAAAACTCGAAGGCTGTTTTAGGGATGGATTCAAACGAAGCCTCTACAATAATTTACAGAGAGATCTCAATAACTTGACAGCCTAGGCTTCTATACACAGCCCTCGCGTCTGCCATGGCCACTTCCTTTCGCTCGAATCGGTCACCTTACTAACTGAATACGGTGGATACGTGAATGTGACTACATCACTGATAGGCCGTTCAGGGGCGTAACTGGCCACGGTGTTCTTCGGAAGGCGTAGCGGGGTGCGGAAAACCGACGACACAGCGTGAGTCACCTGCCGAACCAGCGGCTGGTTTGAAATCCGTAGTATCCGGCTCCGGCTTGAGTCTTGTACTAGAGCTTCTTCTTCCTGCGTTTGACTCCTACGATACTCCAAGTTGATTTTTCGGATCTTCTTGTCGTGAAAGTGGACTGGTCCTTCGTTGGCGGTGCGCAGCTTGATGTGTGACACAAGATGACGGATACGACGCGTACGAGTGCTAGGGGCCATACATGTGGACGCTAACGATACAGCCGACTATGTCTCGTCAGTTGATTATATCGCCCGAAGTATGGAGGGAAATGTTACCAGTTGCAACTCCAGGGACTGCCACGGATGCTGTCAGATCTGAGATCCCAGAAGAATAGGATATGGTGCTTACTGAGTAAATGTTCCGAGAACTTCCCTCGTCAAGAGGGTCTTCTCCGTCTTCTCTGTCTTCCTCGTTGACTGATACATCCGCGTCAAACCGTTCCGAGTCAAACTGAGAGCGTGAGCTCCGGTTTGTATTATTATTCTTGAAGTACCCGTAAGCGTTGAGGGCGAGCTGGATAAAGACGATCACAATGAATAACGTTGCATTCAGAGGCGCTTTGAAAACGGCGAGTGAGCCTCTGAAGCAGCGCCGCGCGAAGGGCTCAAAGGATGTTGAGAGGGTGACCGTGTGCACGAAGAGGCGTCCCGCGCGTTTGGGTTGAAATGCAGAAATGAATGTAAGTATGATGCTGAGTTGTGGAAAATTATAGTGTGGCAAGATATGTGTATAGGATGTATGGCGGGCAATCACAAGAAATTCTACTTGGCACTATAGTAGGGTCGAAGTTAAGTGTGAGTTAACTTGAACGCGTCGTGATCACGTGCCGGTTGACTTTTGGTCCCGAACCTCGACTTATGCGCATCTGGATTCTGGAATGCATCAGCAGCTGGGTGCACACGTGCATTACTGATGCTATCATGCATCAGCAATATTGCATCACTATCCAGTACCAGGAATCATGCATCATGCATCCGCTACAGCGCTTGATGCAGCACTGCATCCCCACAACTGCAACGAATTTTCAATTCTTGCATCAAAATGACACAACTTGGGGCCTGTCCAGCAAACTCAGGGCCGAAGAGAGTGCACAGGCTTGTCTCGATCACATCACGCTTGGACCTAATGACCACATGATTTTCTTCGATTTGTGGAAGCTTGCAGCAAGAACACCCCGAAAATGGCGTTGGAAATAAGGCCGCCAAGTTACCAACATCACTTTCGACTGGAACTTTCCTAACATTGTTGAAGTAGCCGCGTGCTCAATACTGCCACTGGTTTGCAAATTGAAATCTACTTTGATTCAACCGGGAGCTTCCATTTTGCTTGATTTCGCACCATCCAATCAAGGGTCTCAAGGCGGGATAAAATATTCATCTTCATCATGCGGGCCGATTTTGGTGATAGAAACGCTGAACGGCAGTATATCTAGCTTGAACACCACCATCGTTACTATACACCACAACATTCCCCACTTGCTCAGACACATCCTTCGAATATTATGTCCGCAACCTCAAATTGGTGGCTGGCGATCAGTTCATCTGTTTTTATAGCTACTGGATGGGTTCGTCGTATCAGTTGGTGATGTCTCGATCTAACATTGACTTATGTTTTTTCAGTTGCCGCCAGCGTCGTGGTGGTATACGATTGGGGTGAGCAGGACATCGTTCGGAAACTGCTGACATTCTTATGATATCTCCAGTGGTCACACTTGGACAGGAGGTAGGTCGATGTTATAGTCGGAGCGGCAAACTCACTAAGAATGGTGTCGTAGATTGAACTGATTTGGGTGAGTGACAGAGTCCCATGTCAGAAAAAAAGCAACAGAATACAATGGATTCGCGACAGAAGCAACGCTGGTATCTCATTACTGTGTTGTATCTCGCTGTTCGTACCTCATTTTGTGCTATAGCGTGGTTGGCGGTTGTGCTGACTCCAAAATGTTATAGATACGCTATATTGGAATACCATATTCTGTGTATGTATCGAGGCCAACAAATTGGCGCTGTGCTAATAGCTCGTCTCTCACGATCAGTGCGTCTATTCTGGGTATGTCTCATGTACTCTGTGTTCGATTCTCCTGACCGGCGGCACACGGTAAATATACCGTGGGTCTCGGTGACAAGTGCAGTGAGTATTCTGCAATGATACCGTTCTCATCCAATGAACATGCTCGTTTATAGGGGTGAGTGAGATGCTGAACATTGAACCTGGCTTAATACAATGACTCAATAGGTGTGAGTCAGAGTGTCTGATCATAGTACGAGGGTGATCACTAATCGGGTGTTTCAGGTAACATTATGTACTACGCTTTGAATGGGACAAATGTGGTCGTAACTGCCACGCTGGGCGGTGAGCTGCAATATCTCAGTGATATTAACTTAACTGAAACACGATGCAAGTCATCATGATTATTCAGTTATATGCCATGTATCAGAGATCCAGGATGATGCTTATCTTCTTCTTCCTGTCTGTTAACATCACCTGTGGAGTAGTCACGACAATAGGACTCAATGATACTGTAGGGGGTAAGCTTTACTTGTTGACTTAAAGAATACAACTCATTGGACGAACATCAGAGGAAGAGATACTCTATGGCACATATATGTGCAATTTCGGCCCGAAATCTGACTCGGATGGAGACATCGTCCCACGTCTGACATCAACAGTTTGGGTGCTCAACACTGTTTGGGAGGTCCCCGCACTGTGTCTTTCGGTCTGGATCGCTGTTAAACACTTCAGTGACCTGCGACGACTCAGACAATCGACCATCGAGGATTGTTTCAGAGTGCTGATAAAATCCCACGTGTTTTATTTCGCAATGTGAGCTTGTAATGTGAATATGGTTGTCTTTTTCTCAAGTCCCGCACGTGCTAGCTTTGCTAGTGCCTCTTGCATCCAGCTTGCTTACTTCTTTCCAGTGTTCTTTGTGCGCCGATCTGTCGCTAACATCTTGTAACAACTGCTCATCATTTTTGTAGGCTTCAAATACTATTGGAGGTCTGACACTCGATGGTGCTTGTGAAATTTTATTGATCATGCAGATGTTTGTGCTGGGACCGCACCTCATCCTTAGCGTTCGAGAACATAACGCTAAGCTCGTGACCGACTCCGACGCAGAAACTAGCATGGCTTCAATTGTCTTCGAGGAGCGTGTACATGTGCCAACTAGCAGCACTGTGTAGGGAGATGTTTTCCCAGTGTTCTGCAGGGAGGAGAAATTTGGTCGAGGATCCGTCACAGTATTTTTTCAAGTTATGATGTTTCGAAGTATATTTAAAACGAGGTTTATGTA